TGTTAGATATGGACATTGGCGAACAGCGAACTTGGCTTGGTGGCGTAGAGGCGGGGTCGTGGAGGCGGGCACTTGGAAGCGGGACTTTAGAGGCGGGACGGTGAAGGCGGCAGCTCGTGAATGCGAACTCTTTAGAGGCGGAGACTCCGATGGACACACCGCGCACATGAGTGCCGAAGCTTTCGCTGGCGGACGACGGCATGCGGAGGCGGAGGCATTGCGCGGAGAGAGAACACCACGCGAGGGTGATCAGGCCATCGGCGGAGAGAAGATCTGGATTGTTAGCAAATCATGAGGGGAGGTCGAGCTGCATGCTGAACACAGCAGGGGGTGAGCTCGCGGAGGCGACACAGCTGAGGGCTACCGATGTAAAGCGAGGCACGTACGCCCAATCGGCGGGGAATGGAACTTAACAAGTTGGGAGAGCAGCAGCGAGAGTCGCATATGAACAGTGGCGGCTTCATGCGGGCACTGCGCACGTGAGTGACATGCCGGCCCGCAGAGGGTGAAACAGGACTAAGAGTCTGCCTTTACGATGGCCTATCACTTGTGAAGATGATTAGGTTGGATGAGATGGAGGGGGTCCGGTGCCATGCTGCACGCAAGGGAGCTGAGAGTTACCGAGCTTTTGATAGACGCGATAATGCGGGAACGCTCGGCGTGTAGGTGGCCCACGTACAAATGCGGAGAAAGCAGAGGATGTCTTGCATGAGGACCACGCCGCGCCGCTCTTACCCGAGGGGCCTGCTACAGATCGACGCTATGGTCAGAAGGGCGAGAGATCGAGAAGAGGACGCGGACATATGAGAATGGAGTGAGAAAATGGTGAGGCGCGGCACGACACCGAGGGGAATAGCAGGCGCTGTAAGATTTCCGGAGTTCAGGCTGGAAAGGGGACTCTGGAATGCGGTGCGGGAACGGCCGCCATCTGATGCTTCAATGCAGCCTAGGAGATGACGAGCTGGCGCGGAAACGGACTAGGGATTGGCTGGCGGCTCCAAGGAAGATTGGCAGAGCGGATACGAGGGAGGCAGGAAGCTCAAACTCGTGGGTAGACTGCGCGGGTGAGAATCTACGAGCGTGCACCTACGAATCGGACGAGGGTTCGATGAACGTGGGTATCTCTACGGGTAAGATATGTCAGCAAGGCTTTGTGACGGAGGTCCGGTGGGCAACCCTTGCAGGCCGAGATGTTGAAGGTCACATGACCATGTAGATGTAGGGGAGATGGGCTTACGCCGTGCCGACCTGGCCTTGATGATGGTTACGTTTCGAGGCTGATCTGACAGTGACCTGCTTGACACCACGGAAGAGACCTTTGAGACTTGGTGACTCTACAATCTGACGGGATTTTGCGGCCCGGGCTGGTCGAGCTGGCCTGGCGCTACGGACAAGCATCTGCGGATAGCATCCTACGGATAAATCATGTGGGCATGATATGCAAAGGGGAACCTATGGACGGGATTTTGAGGATGGGATACTACGTGTTACGGGCAGGAAGCCGCGGAGAGGATATGCAGACAAAAATCCGCGGACGAAAACCTGCTGACAAGACATGCGGATAATACGTGCGGATGAATCACTGTAGGCGAGATACTAAGGACGGGAGTCTATGCGTTGCGGACAGGAACCCGCGGAGGGGAAACTGCGGATAATACATGCAGAGGGAAGTCTGTGGACGAGAGTTTATGGACGAGAGCCTGAGGACGAGAGTTTAAAGGCGGGCGTCTGCGGGCGGCACCGTTCGATGGACTTCTCCCCACACGAGGGGCTTCACGGACATCCGTATAGAAAGGACTTCGGAGGAGAGTTCATCACTGTCGACGTATGGACGCAGGGCTCTCTTGCTGAAGCCTTCCTCCGCGGAGACGGCACTGAACCACGCGCTGGCAGGTCTCGCATCAAGGCGTCATGTGCGGGGAGGAGGCCTGGGGAAGAGACCTGCACGTAATTTCTCCAGCCGATTACCTGAGCATGACCTCTCTATCGAGCGTGAGCGAATGATTAACGGGTAGAAGCTGCAGGGGGTCAATAGTTAGCCACCCACGGTGATGCCCTACAGAGTGAATTGCCACCCGTGCTGGCTGTAGGGGATGCTTCGCAATGATGCGTTTTGTCTGAACGCCGCGTAGGAGACTGGGTAAATGCATCGCATACGACATCAGGCGACGGCTGTATGTTCAGATTATTAAAGGCGCAGGCAATTTTTGAGTTATGCTCAGTGATTCTTAACTCGCGGCTGAGTGCGGAGGATGCTTAATGTACTTAAGAATAGGCGCTCTGGTGATGAACGCATCCGAGCCGTCGGCTAAGAACGGGGCCTTCAAGTAGGAAGTTGGTCGGAACGGATTGTCTGGATGGCCGGTGTCGGAACGAGAAGTGATCTCAGGGAATGGGCTGGGGACGGCCTGGTAGCGTGGAAGAGACGGTGCAGACGCTACTGTCTAGGTACATCGCGTGTGCTGGTGACCTGGATCGCAGGTGAAGGAGGGCTGCACATGATCACCGCGAGAGGGCGACCGCCAAACTCGAGGATCGAGACATTCGTAACCGGATCTTAGCGCAGAGTTGCGGATTCGTGTTGAAGATTCTTCGCACTCGACAAGATCGGCTCTGCGGGCAGCTCCTTATCAGCATCAGCGCCATTGGATACTTTGACGCACCCTCACCGGCGCAGTAGGTTGTACTATTAGTCAATCATGGCAACAGAAGCTCGAATGGGAACGGCCGCTATTAAGAGTGAGGTGAAGCCGGAGTAAGGCGGGGAGGCGTATACGATGCAAGGTTCAGGTCGACATACAACCCCCAGACTACGGAAAGGCGGGAGGAGAAGCTGGCCGCGATGACGTGGACGCGCGTTGAAGGCTTGACATCATGAATCAGAACATTTTTTACGGGAGACAGCGAGACGGCGATGCCTCTGTAGGCGCTGATGTCATCGAGACGAGATACGTATCCACTGCACCTTAAATATCGCCCCCTCAGCCGTGTATCCTCACCGGGAAGATCCCCAACGGCAGAGTACTCCTATGCATGGCGGTTACCCCGTCTTCCCTTCCAGCACATCCAGCTGCCCGTAAGGGTGACTCCCAGCGGAAGCAAGACCGGCCGCCAGCTCTTCCCCTTGTAATCTTGAGTGATGATCGGCTACTTCATACCCGACTGTGAGCCTCCCAACGCGCTCGGCGCATAGGATTGGCAAACTGCCCAGCATCATGTCCGCGAGTGTGAATGCCGGACTTCGCGGGAATCGTGAAATGTCCACGGGGCCGAGGGGGGTCTGCGGAACGGTGACGGTGAGAGGAGCTGGCACGAGGTTAATGATCAAGAACAGGCCCGGCTTCGTAGCGGAAGACGTACCCCCAGCCGCAGCACGAGGAGTTGCGCAAACTGCCCAGGCGGAGAGCCACGTACGACGATTCCTGGGGCAGGATACAACAAAGTGGGACTGCGGAGCCAGCAGCAGACCAATTAGGCCCCGTTGGAAATGGCAGCTTCAGGAAGCCACCTTGAGAGAATAGACTCAAGAGCGTCTCGAATTCTCAATCAAATCACGTGCTCTCGGCTCTCACGCTCAGAGATTTAACTCTAGGAAGATGACTTACAGCCGCCTTAGGGTGAGCGATTCCTCGAGCCTTTACTGTGTGGGCCTCCGCTGCATTAGCATATCTTTCTACTAGGGTAGCGGAAGGACCTGCCCTTTAGCGGCCCTCCTTTTCTGGAGGAAGATTTCTGTAAGTATAGAGCGCACAAAGTGTGATAAACAGAGCATGCTCTTGTCTCCACGCGAAATGAGACTAAGGGAGATAACCGAGGAATAGTCCCGCGGCGGATACGGAGAGTAATTCCATGTCTCCATGTCTCCATGTCTCCATGTCTCCATGTCTCAATATCTTAGTGTCTCCACGTCTTAGGTCTCGGTGTCTTAGCGTCTCAGCGTCTTAGGTCTCAGGTCTCAGGTCTCAGGTCTCAGGCTTTTCGGGCTACCCTTAGGCTCCTCTAGGAGAATGCATCATTCCGACCAACCGGTACCCGTCTGTGAACCGACAAACAATGCACCACGCTGCGAGAGTGCGGTTCGGAAATCTAGTGCTAGCGACTCTTGGGAAGTTGCGAGGTCGGCCACTGGCAGTCATCTGGATCCACTACAATGATGGGCAAGAACGGTCACGCGTCTTCTAGTACCCGCCGTCTACATCCTTGTCGAATATTGTCCACAAAGCTACAAATTTGGAAGTCCCTGTTCGCTTCCTTTACAGATTCGTGGATGCCATGTCCTCTGCGTTTTGTGAACTCCGTCGGAAGCTCCTGTAGGACTTGCCGCCGCACCGTGGCGCGCAATAGAGTTGAATATATCATAGAGATTGCCTTGGAGGACTTGCCTTCCAGGCAGGACGTGCCGTACACCGCGGCGTGCTTTGCAATGCTGCAGGCGCGCCGACTTGACGGTTCGTGAAGCCGCTCGATGAGATTCGGTGAGGTTTGCTGGTTTAGCAGGATCGCAGGACGGACGGGACATGCAGTTTTGTACGCTCTTTTCGGGTTGCCTGCGAGATAGTAACAGGCCTGTAACATCTTTGAATCCAGGGAAATTGCTTCATTCAGACGGAAGCGAATTGGAAAGCAGAATCAGAATCATTTTGCAACATGTGGAAACGAAGCGCTCGTACATCGCATGGTCATTTCACTCTTTCGCTCTTTGCTTCACACAATCGCCTTCGACTTTCATCCTGCTCTTCTTCTATGTGCCAATCTCGACACGGTCACCTCGCTCAACACAAGCCGCCATCAATCCCTTTTCGAGTAGGTCTCTCGTCCGTTACAAGGCCGTCGCTCACTCACACGTAACAGCACCAGAACGCAATCCGCGGGAGTCCCCTCCTGGCACAATCCCCCACCTACGTCTCAAAAATCCATCACAAGGTCAGTGCCGCTTGCATCTTTCAACCTCACTCACTTTTCGCTGAGCAAAAGAAACTGACCAACCCGACGCAGACACAATGTTCGAGATGTCTCTCGACGATCAGACTCCTCGCCCCGATCAGACGCCTCTAATCGCCATCAAGATCGAACACTACACCGACATCCTCGGCCAGGCCTACAATGCGGACTACAAGGTCGAACAGTTGAAGGAGTTCGAGAAGGCTAACTCGATCGATGTGGCAGAGATGGAGATGACTGTCAGGGGCAGAGATGCCGCTTTCTTGGAAGAACTACGCCAACGCTTCCCACCCATGAAGCCGGAGGAGGAGGCTTGGGTCCGATACTAGAAGGAGTCCTACGACGTGCTTAAGAGACAACCCCCCGAGCTCGAATGAACGCTCTACCAGTATGCCTTGATCATGCGATTTGTCACCCAACGCTGGCTTGCCCCACTCATCAAGCAAACCGGCGACGGCAAGGGCGAGGCAGCGCAGTAGGTGGGGCATGGGTTGACTCAGGAATGCGAAGGACAGTGGAAGCGTGATGACAGGTGGCTTGATTCGTGCATGGATTCTTGCTCACCTCATGGATGGAAGGCGGCTTAACTCATGGATGAAGATGGTAATGGATGGCGAATGGCTTAACTCAGGGACGGATCTTGCTGTCCCGAGCGCATACTGAGGGAGGACTTTGACTTGATAGGACGGACAACCAGAAGCTCAGCAATCTCGTTATTTCCTCACCCGTGCTCTCGCTGCCTCTTCTTCAGCATGACTGTGTGACTGAACATACCCTTACGCCCGGAGCGCCCTGGCCACCATCTCGACGCTCAAGCCCAGATAATTACACAGCGTGGATCAGTGCCGGCATCCCGGATCAAGCCATCAGTTGTTGTCTCCACGCGAAATGAGAGTGAGGGAGATGACCGAGGAATAGACGCGCGGCGGACACGGAGAGTGATTTCACGTGGCCTTGGTTTTGCTGGCCTCTGCAGCACGGCGCACCGCATTTTGATGCGCAATAAGGCGGAGTTTGAGGCACGATGCACGGCACTCCACTGGCCGCTACAGAACGGCTTTCCGCTACGCAACGAGGCGGAGCTTCGCGGCAGGCTGAGGGCCAGAAAAGATCAGCTTGTCCGAGCTTCCTTGCACGACGCCAGACAGCATCTCCTCTCAGACTTGTGTGATACTTGCCCGTCGCTGTCCCTCTCAGACGTCCCCTTGTGATTCCCCATTGCGTCCAGACGTAGCCCACGGCGAAGTGTGGTGTTGTGCACCCGCCGGGAGTTGCGACGTCGGCGGTCCCTTGGGATATAGCTTTGCCGACAAATCCCGCGTCCTTTTGTGCCCACACCCTTGTCCGCAGCCTTCCGATGAAGAGTTTACGTCTCATAAACCTCGCGGCGGTGCGTTTAGGCCCGAGTGAAGCTCTTGTCGGACAGTGCGCAGCGTTGTACCCACCCAAACGGCACTACGTTTCGAGGTGTTGTGGTACCGTAATGTGAACTTAGGTAAGTGCTGGTGGTTGAGCGCCCGGAAGAGCTTGGGGAGAGAGTGAGATTGTGCGGGTTTGTAGGCAGTTGGTTGAGCTGAATGGGTTGGATGCGTGAGGGAGTACGTGGAGGCCAGCGGTTACACTATAATGTCTGCTTGCCATCGATCGGCTTCATTCTTCAATCTATACGATAGTACAATATGGAGCACAGAATTAACGTTTAGAACGCTTGAATGCCGAATAGGAGAGTTCTAAGAGCTACGTGTCGGCCATTGACTACAGCATACCCGGTTGGCGGCTAAAGTCCCAAGTTGATTACGAGTGAATCAATCATTCTGGGTCTGCAAAGAAGCGTGCCCAGTCGTGTTGACGGACGAAGTCTTCAAAGGTCGTCAGATTCCCCTTGACTTGGATCTACACAAGCCGCAATCGTTAGCAATGTGTTGTGGCAAACGGGTGGCCCATATGATTCCTAGCACGTAAGGCGAGGCTTGTAACGAAACTCACATCGTCAGCATTAAGAGTCTCCATGTTTCCCCAAAAGCCAAAATCGTTGAGATAATTGAACATGTCTTCGAATACCGCCCCAATCCCCGGCAGGGACCTGGTCAACTGGCCCGCTGGCATCTGCTCATACTTGACTTTGTAGCCACAAACTTTTGAAAAGTTTGCCGCAGCTTCTTTGTAGGTTAGAGTTGTCGACGCAGCTACTACTGGTTTTCCCTTCAATGATTGTGGAGGGTGGTTGAGCAATGCAGACACGAAGAGTCCCACATCGTTACGGGCTGCAAGATGGGGAATGGGTATGGATGGATTTGCCGGGTTCGAGATAACGAAGGCGCCATCAGCGCGCTGTACTTCAGTAAGTCTGGAAGAGCATTGGACGGATTTCTGAGGGTTCCGCCGTAAGCCTACCTTCCTTGGCTTGTTGATGTCGAACTCGATGTAATTCTCCATGAAGTAGCCACACCACAAGCTGATCGTCACATCAGCAAGTTTCCTTCCTTCCGGATCTGGGCTCAGGTTCTCGATATATTGAGAGATCTTTGCCTTCCCATTGATGTGGGCTAGAGTTCGTATGCGACCACCAGACGATCGTACTGGATCCGGGAGTGATGAGAAGATGAAATGCGTCAGCGTCGACAGAGTTGTCGCGGCAGCCTGAGCAATTTTCTTTCCCTTGTCGACCTCCTCGGTCTCCGAGACGACCCACGGGTCAGGGTGCCCAGACGATAGGTGTGCAAAAAAAGGCTTCCAAAAGTCTGTCATAGCGAAAATGGCTGTGGCTCCCTATTGGCGACCGTCAGTATTGAAGATCGTTCAGCACAGAGTCGTGTTCTGAGTGAACAATGGGTCTTCGAACCTTGAACGCTGCCACGAGAGACTCTTCGTCGCTCATATCTGCGGCTACCATCTCCACACCCTTCGCCTTCAGGAGCTGGGAGGCTAAGGAGTCAGGATTCCTAGTGAGGCCGCGGAGCTTGAGTGCGGGATGCTGCTCGCGTACACGCTCGATGACAGACATGCCCTGTGAGACAGTTATGGAGTCAAACTTTGCTATGCTTCAAGACTCAGAGGACATGATGTTACCTGGTTACCGGTAGCGCCCAGAATCACAAGTAGCCCCTCCATCATGATATCTCGATGTAATTAGAGAAAGGATTGATGCTTCGATGATATTTGCGCGATGGAAGGAACTATCTTATAACACGAGAACAGGATACGGGAAACCGCTCCTTATATAGACTGAAGCGATGGATGTGCACTATCCATTCGTCAATGATGTCCCCCCGGAAGCCCACAGACTGCGAACTGTCAGCAGTCTGATAGCATGAAAATGGAGAAGCGTGCACGACCGCGACCCGCACATGTCCGCCCCCAAAGGCGTGGAGTTCCACCACGGCCGTAACAGCGCCGCCGTCATTGCGGGCTTAGTGGTCGCAAGTAGGATGGATCTTGCGGAGACTTGATTGTCTCCGCCGCATGTATCTGGCACATGTCGCCCCGTAGGCTCTAGACACGATATTTTCGCAAGACGATGAGCATAGGTCTTGCGGATGCACAGCCCATCCTGCGAAATATCCTGGAGGTTCACTTGCTGTGGTCTTTCATCCATCTGCTCAGCAGCAGAGATCCGCATAGGTGGCGGCGCACGAACGCGTGTCCAGCGGTGCTTTGATGGGAACAGCGGGCTCCGCATCGAGGCTGAGTCAAAGCATCGGCATGCCGCTCTACTACTGTCGCTTGCAGTATTCTGCAGAAAATCGTGCCCTTAGAGCCCGCTACTGCTTACGAGATGGTTACAATGGAGTATAATATATGGAAGAGGTATTACGATATTTCTATTTACTTTATAACCTTAAGAAGCCTTGAGCGCGCGGCGCGCAGCTATCTAAACCTTTACTTAAACCCCGTCTTAAGACAGTTAAGATTTTCACACGTTCCGCCAAGATATGCAGCTACGTTATGCAAAGAACAGTAGCATCAAGTTTAAAACATCATGGATTCGATGATATACGGCTATTTCTACGCGTGCGCGGCCTTACGGCTTCAAAATGGTGGTTACGGTTAAATAGTGAGGTAATCACCGACCCCCGGCTCCGGCGACCAAAATACTGCAAGCAAGAATAGCTTGGACCTTCCTTGAAAATCCAGTTCTCTCGCCTTCAGAGGCCCCAAAAGCGAAATGTCTTCCCGCCGCAGATCGTGCCAGGCCTGTTTCCAGTCGAAGCGTCGATGCGATTTAACGTATCCGGCCTGTTCCCGCTGCACAATGAGAGCGCTTGCCTGCGAATACTTTAACGGAGCTGCCCAAGCCAACGCTGCAGCGCCTCCTGACCTGCCCAGCTTGAACGAGGCAGACAACCGCTGCCTTGGTGTGTTCAGTGCCGGTCAAGCAGAAGAGTTGCCCGCCTTACCTTTACTTACCCCATCGTGGTCACCTTCTGATCTCAACTTGCTAGTTGGATTTGAAGGAGTGCTCTCACAGGGGTCAACTTCAAGCCCGCTCCTAAGTCAGAACCTCGGACTTGCGGTGACCGCAACGGCGGCGATGACCGAGGATCAGCTGCGCTACTGCGTGAGGGAGCTGTCAAGCTATCCGAAGATGTTTGTGCGTGACGGTCTGACGCCTTTTATCCATCGGCGTCTATACCACGAGCAAATGCGAAAAGAGATCCGGAGTGGGTATTCTGTATGCGCAGCATACATGAGCAAGAACTCTGCAAACGAGGACATTGTCTTTCGTGTCCTGGAAGCCGCCGTCCAAGAGCTACTCGAACCGCCTACTTCATGGGATTTTGCAGATAATCTCGCGCATGTTCAAGTCTTGATACTATTCCAAATCATCAGGCTGTTTGATGGGAACATCCGTCAGCGCGCCATGGCTGAGCAGCAGGAGGCTATCCTCGACGACTGGGTAGACCAGCTCCGGCAACGAACAACGAGCGAAGCACCTCTCAGTTGGTCGCCTTGGCAGCTATGGATCTTCACTGAGAGCGTCCGACGCACCGTCTTGTGCTCTTTCATGTTGAAGGGCATTTACTTTGCGATGAAACAGGGCTACTGCCACGTCATTGGGGTACTCTCTCAACTTCGGCTTTCACCTCAACCGGCACTTTGGGGCTTGCAGTCAAAGGCCCAATGGCAGATGGCCACAAAGAGTTCGGAACCTTCTCTTGTCACATATGAGAGTTTTGGATTTCTATGGGAAAGCGGTCGCATTCCTGAAATTGGGAGGTTCGAGAAGATGCTACTGGTTGCTTGTAAAGGCGAGGATAGGGTGGAAGAAGGGCTTCTTGATCCTTTAAGGCGCACTCAACCGGATCTTTAAAGAGATTTTCAACTTGATCATAACATAAATAGATACGACTACCCTTGACGCCAGCCGTGTGCGCATTTCTGTCTTCTAAGAACGCGCCTCTATCCCACTGTCCCTAATATATACCACACATATAGCACCCTGAATGCCATAGACCCACAGCCATACTATTCACCGATCCATCCATCCAACTCCACAAGTCTCCTTACCACATCACAACCTCATTGCTTCCCAAATCCATTCCCGGATCATCGATCTTCCTCGCCAACACTTCATTAAGCATCACCCTCAATCTCGACACGAGCACCCCTATGCCCATCTAGCCTCTCAAGTGGAGCCATCCATCAACGATCAAGCCGCAGCCGAACGTGTCGAGGCTGATCGGGCCGGAGAAGAGAAGGAGGATATATACATTAAGTGCTGTTCTTTTCACGTCAGCCATATCTACTTTTACCTTCGACAGGCTGCGATCATGGTTCGATCATGCTCTAGAGTTCGAGTAGGGGGTCCTTACGTGATAATTCGCGTATGAAGACCTTAATCGTCCCCATCTTGCTAAAGTAGCTAATGAACCCCGCTCCACCTGGGAATCCCTGCGCAGCGAACGACGTTGAGCTCGGATGCACGAGCACGCCCATTCTACTAGTTGAAGTACAGTACCTTATTGTCTTGGCCTCAGGACCCTGCTCCACAGCGCCAGAAACAGATGCCACGAAGCGCTTTTCCGGCAGCTCAATGCGCGCGATTTGCAAATTGAAGAAGCTAGCTGTGAGGGCACGGAGAAGGGTATCGTTACCGTTATGGTGGTTGTATAATGCCGAGGAAGAGGTACTGGACGTATAGCTGACCGGGATGAAGCATGTTCCCTTGAGAGAGAGGAAAGGTATTGCGACCTGTTGGAAGTCATGTCGTTGAGCGTCTGTGGAGAAGGAAAGTTCTCGTCGCACCAGGCGCGCAGCTCGCGGCAATGGAGGCCTTGTTCGCGTATAGCAAGGTATTGACATAAAATGTCCGACGAGAGCTTTATTGCTTCGACCGAGAATGAACGGACATGTGCAACCCTATCTGAGGCGAAATCCTCTAGCAGGGTAGTGTAACCCAGGCAACTGGCGTTCCATCGTCGTTGCAGAATAGCCAAAAATAGTAGAGGCAATGTTAACTCCTTATCTGTCGTGGTCGAATAATTTTGGCATTGGTATGGCTCACCATGTCTGTCTGACGCGCGGTCAAGTCTTCGCAACCGTCTCGTTCGATTCTGACGATCTTGGGCCGCCAAACGGATAGGGTGCCCTCTCTGACCACCCGTACTCAATACCTAGCCTCATGACTGCACGGATATTGCTATTGGACTTTAGGATATAATCCTCAGCCAGCCGGCATACCGCCCTCCTCTTCTGACTGTACGAGACCGTTGGGGCAAATAACTGACTTCCTGAGTTTTTGAAAGCGGGAAACATGCTCAGTTGCTTTTTTGCACCTGGCTGCATGTTTTAACGTTTGCCCCAAAAACTGAGGAATCTGCATAAGGCCAAAGTCGATCTCCAGATCCTCCAGCTTGTGTAATTTCGAGAGGAAGAGCGCGATCCAGACATTTACGTTTTCCTTTGCCAGGGGAACCTTCCAGTCTTTATCGTTTAAAACGCGCATCGCACCAACAGCATCCACTGCTCTCTCTACCTCGTCCTCTGTCAAATCTTTCAAATGAAGCATGGGTCTGCAGTAATCATCGTTGAGGTCGTAACCTAGCCGGACCTATTTGATACGAGCAGACAGCGCCGGACGCTCCGTGATGCTGCGGTACAGCGAACTAATCCTAAGGTTGCTAACTGGGTCTTTACTAAAGTAATTATTGTTAGTCTAAGTCAAATCGATTTTATGGTATAGCTTTGGCTCGATAATTTCTCGTAGTAGCCTGCAAGTGCTGGAGAGCGAGGCTATGTCGGTCGCATCCAACTGATCAATGAGGTGTAGCAGTAGCTCTGTGGAGAGGTCGTAGAATCCCAGCTTTTTGATTTGCAGGACCGTATTATTGCAAAAAGGGATTATGATGAAGGTATTAGAATGCTGATACTGAGAAGAGAGACAGAGTAAAGGTACGAGGTCGGGTCGGAAAGTATCTAGCCGAGTTGGGCCTAGATGTGTACCTGGCTAGTTAATATAGCTAGTTCACTATTTACATAGCCATTTTTAAGCGGCTAGATCGGACACCAAATTGTATTTAGTATCCTCTTCCTCTCCTAGGGCGTTGTTCCTTGTGTAGATGAGTGCTTCTCTATAAAAGCAAGGACGTTCTTCACGTAGTCCTCCGGATTCTCCTCTGCCACATTATGGCCCGACTCCTTCACGCGCGTTATCTGAACATTCTCATGAACCTCCGCCACCGACCTCTCGGCCATCTCCGCGATCGGACTCATGGCACCATTCAACGCCAGCGTCGGAACTCGACATCTCCCCTTCTCTTCAACCCAGACCTTGTTCTCTTCCGCGTCTCTCTCAAATGCCCTGTATATGCCAAACGCGCATCTCATCGCCCCAGGTTGCGAGTACATTGACGTATAGTGTTCTAGATCCTGCAAAGAGGTTGCGGTACTGTTGTATGACTCTGTATCGAAGAAGTGCTGGAGGTAGATTCGTTCATGCCCAGCGACCAGCGCTTCTGGCAGATCAGGCACGCTCTGGAACGAGAAATGCCACAGTGAGTCCTTGCTCGCTTCGTACGCGGATGTGCCAGGTAGCGGGCATTCGCCCCAAGCAACGCTGGCGACATGCTCGGAGTAGCGTGAGGCGTAGGCATATGCGATGAGGCCGCCGATATCGTGGCCGACCAGGTGGACTGGCTCGCGAATGTTGAGATGTATGCGTATGAGCTTTAGCAGGTCAGCGGCCATGACTGTCTTGGTGAAGCCGCTTGCTGGTTTGGAAGATCGGCCTGCGCCTCGATAGTCAGGTGCGAGAACGCGATAGCCAGCATCGGCGAGCGGGATGATGACATGCCGGAATTGATACGATGTCTGGGGGAAGCCATGAACAAGGAGAATAGTGCCTTTGTAGGTGTTTGATGGTGGGGGGCAGTCAAGATAGTGGAGTCGGAGTTGTGAGTCTAGCAAGGCGACGCACTGTTTCCAGCGACCACTAGGAGATGTCATGGTGAGTTGCACGGTAGCAAGCTTGGGGACAGCTTGAAGATTCTGTGGGAATAGCAATCTTCCCGTCTTTTTACTGATTAGTCGGTTGCAAACTCTATTAGCAATGGCCTTTTCGGGTGGCCCCTGGACGGCGATGAGGGGATGAGTGGCGGTCGGCAGGATATGGTCACGTGAGTGTTAAATCATTACCACCATCACCACGCTACAAAGAACGAAGTTTAGTGTGCAATTTTCTAGATGAAGCCGCTTTACAATGATTTGTTCATCCGCACCTCGGTTCGTACTGTTCACAGCTCAACTACAATCTTTCCCGTTCCGGTGCCCTTCTGCTGACGCCTCAACGCATCTGGAAGGCCCTCCAAACCTTCAAAGACCTTGTCGACAACAATCGGCAAGGCCCCACTCTCAATTCCGCGCGAGACATATTCCATAGCCCTCGCCAGCGCCTGATCATTGGCTGGTATATTCAGGCCCGGATGGCCCGTGAAGTCGAACACCATGAACGTATCCAGCTTGACTGTCTTGACCATGAGCTGAAGCACAGGAAAGGGAACCGGCGACGAATCCATGGCACCATAAACGACCCAGTGCCCAAACTGACGCACGCAGTTTACTATTGCCTCGCTCATCGGACCAGCGATACAGTCGTATGCGATGTCAACTCCCTTCCCTCCAGTGATTGCATGCACGCGCTCGACAAGATCTTCCTCGGCGGTCGCGATCACGTAGTTCGCTCCGGCCTTCTTGAGCGCGTCCGCTTTTGCGCTCGAGCGGGACGTCGCTATGACAGTGGAGCCGGCCGCGCGAACCATACTGATGGCAGCGAGACCGGTTGTACTGCTCGCAGCGGTAATCAAGACCGTTTGAAAGGGCTTCAACTGACCCAGGTCGAAGAGGCCGTAGTAGTTGGTGAAGTAGGCAAAGGTGAAACTGGCGGCCTGGATCTTGTCGAGATTCCTCGGTGTATGCATGAGGGCGCGTTCCGGCAGCACAGTGAGCTCCGCAAAGTTGGCGTATTCTGCTACTGAGAAGGCGGGGATCGCACTGACGCGGTCCCCAACACTGAATTGTTTGACACCTTCGCCGATGGCATCCACAGTCCCGGCAATCTCGTAGCCGATCTTCGAAGGTAAGGCTGGCGGCTCGAGGTACTGGTTGGCAAGAAACAAAGAGTCGGCGTTGTTCAGGCTCATTGCCTCGACCCGAACGCGGACATGCCCGGCAGAGGGGTAAGGAACCTCCTCCTCCTTCAGCTGTAGCTTTTCGGGTCCGCCATACTCATTGAAGCGGTAAACACGAGCTTGTTTTCCGCCTGCAGGAGCCATGGAGGAATCAAAGGGCTACGACGCGAGCGGACAATTGTACAGTGCTTAAGATGTGCCAGAAGTCGCGGATTTCACAGCGGTCGTGAGGGGAGCCCATAGAGGCTTGCAGCAGCATATGTACCCATAATGCTTCGGTGATGAAGCCTGGCAGTCAAAATGTCAGCAAGATTGCTCAGCAGCCTACATATGTAGGTTGACGTGAAGCAAGGCGATAGGTATTGAGAAAACAGATGCTGATCAAGAGAGTGGTGCTGACCAAGCGCACGCTCAGGGCTCCGATTGGTTGACTTGAAATCCTAACATTCTGTGACATCTCTTGCTGAGAGATGTTGTTTTCCAAAGCACAAAATCTCGTGCATAGCGCAATGCAGACGTTGATCTCACGTCGAGCGGGAAAACAGTCTCATTGCGCATAGCTATCTAGTGTTCACCACGACTTCACAGAGTAATCTATGATCAGCCGCCACGATAAATCTCGGGAGTGAAGGACAGAATGACATGCCTTGAGTTAGCTATTCAGACCGCGTTGTGAAGCATTACCATGATCTCAGAGGGAGGTTTATCGTTGCTGCAGCCCTGGGTCCCAGGGTCTGCGGTGAAGCCTTTTCTGTCCGGCGTCACTTCACATCTCTGCACCATCACCCCGTGGCTGATGGATCCAACCTTACGCCCGGAGCACCCTGTCCACCATCTCGACACTCAACCCCAGATAGTTTGCAGGATCACACAGCTTTTCCAACTCTTCTCTTTCAAGCTTCACCTCCTCGCACTCAACCAGCAGGTCCAGTAAAGGTCTTCCTTCCATCTGCGCTCGACGACAGAGATCGTACACTAGATCATGCGCGTACTGCCTGCCTATCTTTTTCCCCAACCCCATCATCACCGCCTCGCTTACGATCGTGCCCTTGGTGATTTCAAGGTTCTTCGCCATAGCGTCTGGGTGCACTTCCAGTCCCGCCAGCAGTTCCGCCGCATGCTTCAAGGTTGCACACGTAAGCGTGCAAATCTGCGGCAGCACGATCCACTCAATCTCCCAGGGCCCAGTCGAGCGCTCGTGATCCTCCACCATCGCCTCCACAAGGCTGGCGGCGAGCTGCCGCACAGTAGCCGCCATGGCCGTGATGTAGGCGCAGCCGATGGGATTGCGCTTCTGTGGCATGGTCGAAGACGAGCCACGATGCGGCTTGTACGGCTCCGAAACCTCGCCGACCTCCGTCTGCATGAGGAGCTTTACATCGAATGCGAACTTGGCGCAGGTGGCAGTCAGCATGGCGAAAAGGTTTCCAACTTCGGCGATGCGGTCACGTTCGGTGTGCCAAGCAATGTCAGGTACTTCAAGACCGAGTTCCGCCGCGAGGAGTTCCTGGCAGTCCAAAGCTTTGTCGTGGCCGTGAGAACATAGCGTTGCGAGTGTCCCGGCGGCGCCGCTGAACTCTAGGACTAAGAGACGCGGGTACAGCTCCCTCAAGCGTGCTTCGTGGCGCTTGAACGTGGCCAGGAGGCGGGCAAGCTTGAACCCGAAGGTCATCGGTACCGCTTGTTGAAGGTTTGATCGTGCGGCCATCGGCGTTTCCCGATATCTCTGACATAGGTCCTCCAGACTCAGAATTATAGTAGTGAGATCAGAGTCGACAATCTTGAGCGTGTCGCGGAGCTGGAGAATTGTGGCCGTGTCGGTGACATCTTGAGTTGTAGCTCCCCAATGGGCCCATTCTCCAAGACCAGCCTCAACATCATTGACATTCTTGACCAGCTGTTGGACTGCCGGTAGAACAGGGTACCCTATCGTTACTGTCTGTTTCTCTAACTCCTCAAAGTCAAACTCTTCCAGTCGGCAGTGCTTGCCGATCTCATCTGCCGCTTTATGAGGAATCTGAAGCAATGCAGGTCAGAGTAGTCCGATAATTTGTGCTTGCTGTACGAGCGGTAATGTGCAATGGCCTACTATACCGAGTTCTGCCTGGACCTTGGCCAGCGCTGCCTCGAAACTGAGGTAGTAGCTGGTTCGAGTCTTATCGGACCAGACTGCAGCGCTTTCCTCTGTCGAGAGTATTTTGCGGAAGATCACTGAGTCAGATACGGAAGTCATGTTGCAGTGACAGAGGGTTACGATGTTTCAAGGGGACGAATTTGAAAATGCAAAGAGCGAGTCGATGCTTTGGAACTGTATATAAAGTCAGATCAAATCGGTTGAGATTTTCGCACCGGGCAGTGCTATGAGGAGTAGAGCTCCAACTGATCAAGACTCCCCAGATAACGTATCGAAGCACGTATGTCAGTGTAAAGTGCAGGCAGCTCTCATCGACGTTGGATCAAGGGACCGCACGCGTGAGCGCGTGCCTGGCCTATGACGTCACGCCGTTGGCACCACCAGATCACGAACCTCCCTTGAACTCACTTCGTCCTCAATAAGCTCGACACAGCGATGTTCTGATCCTACCGCCTCACCATGAGATGAATCTCCAGGGCTGGTGTCCATCAGTATGGCCGCCATCACGCTGTCTGGAATCAGGTGACTTGGCGTGTCGCGGCGACGCGTGCAGGGCAGATCTCATGAAGCGGGCTTGACATTTCACGCCCTATGGTAAATTTCTTGTGCTCTTAGCGTCTCGGGATTTCGTATATGATCTGGCTTCGGTTCAGCACTGACAGGTTTCACCCTCCGTGGAGATTTACTTCCTTTCAGACTTGAGTTCACTCCCTGGTAGTCCGACAATCCAGCCGAATTTCACTATAGCGAGATGGCAGCCTCAACCGGTTTCCCAGCTGAAGGCGGCTGTGACTGCGGTCACATCAGATACCGCATGGAAACAGCCCCAATCATGTGCCACGCCTGCCACTGTACCTGTGCGTCCTCGCACCAAAGTGCGCCAACAGCACTCAACAGACTTCAAGCCTAACACCAAGAGCAGGGTGCCAACGCGAGACCGGCTCCGCCTTTGTCCTCAATGCCACGATCGAGCTTTCTCGCTACACCAACCTCGGCGCAGACCCTATTCTTACAAACATCCCCTCGGCGACAGGTCAGGGCCAGTGCATTGCCCGCTGTCCCAAGTGCTACATCGCCGTCTGGAGCGTCTACGGTGGTGGGTCTGATATGCCGTTGCGCACAGTCCGCGTCGGCACGCTGGACGACCCAAATGTCTGTCCGCCGCAATGTCACATCTATACATCGACGAAGCAGAAGTGGCTGAAGCTGCAGGACGGGCTGCCGGAACACGCGGAGGAGTATGACAGAGAAAAGTACTGGGACAAGGAGAGCCTTGAGAGGATGGCCAAGGTGCGGGAGGAGATTAAGAGGCTGAAGGAGGAGGGGAAGAATGTCAGTCTGTAGGCGAGTGTCACATCTTGTGGCCCATCTGAGGGGGTTTAGTATCGTCGAGAGTTGAGTTCTTAGTCCAGCGAGTCACCGAATCAAGATACTCCTCACGTGTAACGGTAGCTGCGTTGGCATGGACCCGGTTATAGGATCCACCGCTGCTGTTAGTATGGCACTGGTTATCTTGCTGTGCCAATCTACGATTTGGCTGTGCCAGTGCCATTGCGGATTTACCGTGGGCACATTCAATGCACTGAAGCTATCAGGATGAGAGGATGGCACATGTCACGTGACATCTGTTTCCCGACCAGTCGAGAGTGCACCGACGGCGAAGCTACGAGCACTCTTAGAAATGCATCCCAATGCAGGATTGCTGTAAGTTTTCTCCCCTTCGGAAGCTGAAGCCATCACTAGAAGAGTGATGTTCGATATGCGGGGAAATGGATTTCCCCGCTGAAGCTGAAAGGCGGCGCAGCAGGCAACAGCGAACTCGCTGCTAAAGGGCAGCCTTATCACAACTATAATTCAATGACATTCATTGCAATTTTTCCATCAATTCCTTATCCCATTCATCGATTCATACCATGACTAGAACAAACCAACCAGCTCGAGGACAAGGCATGGGTTACATTTGCGGGTTCTACTATACCATCCCAGTGCACAGCCAGTGGCACATCGCCTATCAGAAACACTATCTACCTCAAGTTGAGCTCAAAGCACATACGACTGTCCTGTCAACGACCTCGCGTACGAAGCTCACACAAGCCTTTATCAACCCTTCCGACAAAGGCATCAAGCAACTCCGGTATACCTTTCCACTCTACAATGGCGTCAGCGTCGTTGGCTTCACGTGCCACGTCGGCGACCGAGTGATCGAGGGTGTGGTCAAAGAAAAAGAAAAGGCACGTGCTGTGTATCAAGAAGCCGTCGACCGCGGCGAAACCGCTGGTCTGTTGGAGCAGCTGCCCGATGCCTCCGACGTTTTCACCACGACTGTCGGTAACGTGCCAGCGGGTGCTAAGATCGTCGTCGAGATCACCTACCTTGGGGAGTTGAAGCACGATGCTGAGGTTGATGGCATCCGGTTCACCATTCCAACATCCATCTCACCCCGGTATGGCACCTACCCCGGAGAGCTCGCCCGGGCTGGCGGCAGCCCAGCGCAGTCGAACGGTGGCATGCAGATAACTGTGGACGCTATCGTGAGCGAAGGCTCTTTCATCCGGAAGTTACAGTCGCCGAGTCATCCCATCGCGGTCTCGATGGGCACTACATCGACCGCGCCGGACGAAGATCCCCAGATGACCAAGGCATCCGCAACGCTCACCCTTGGTAGCTGCGAGCTTGAGAAAGATTTCATACTCCAGATTGTTGCCAAAGATACTGGCGTACCAAAAGCGATGCTGGAAACTCATCCCGCTCTGCCTCATCACCGCGCACTCCTGGCAACCCTAGTGCCGAAGTTCTCTCTACCAGCAGCCAAGCCAGAGATCGTCTTCGTGTGCGATCGAAGCGGCAGCATGGGTGGCAGGAAGATGCCTGCAGCCGTTTCGGCCCTCAAGATCTTCCTCAAGTCGCTTCCCATCGGCGTCAAGTTCAACATTTGCTCCTTTGGCAGCAGCCACTCATTCCTCTGGCCCAAGAGCCAGTCTTACAGCCAAAGCACGCTTGATGAAGCTGTTAGGCACGTTGAGATATTTCAGGCCAACTACGGCGGTACAGAAATGTATGCGCCGCTCATGGCCACCATCGAGCGCCGGTTCAAGGACATGTCACTCGAGGTCATGCTATTGACCGACGGCGAGATCTGGGATCAAGATCAGCTGTTCACATATCTTAACAAAGAGGTTAATCAGAGTACGGCGCCGATCCGAGTGTTTACGCTCGGTGTGGGTAACAGCGTTTCGCATGCGCTTATCGAGGGTGTGGCACGGGCGGGCAACGGCTTTTCGCAAGCTATGGGCGAGGAAGAGAAGCTCGATACGAAGGTCGTTCGCATGCTCAAGGGGGCGTTGTCTCCTCATGTTAATGACTACACCATCGAGATCGTGTACGGCAAGGGTCTAGATACAGAAGTGAGTTCGTTCCAACCTATTCCTTGCGCTTCTGCTAGACTAAGAAGAACCTCTGCATTTGCTGTGCAATTTGGTGGAAGAATTTCGCCGGCACCCAAGACTTGTACTCTCTCCATGACGTTCACAATCGCACTAACTGTTGGAATTAGGCTCCGGGCAACGCGGACACGGACACAGATGAAGAGGACTTCGAGATCATTGAGAAAGTCTCCGACTGCCTGCGGGTCAAGCTCGATCTGTCTAGAGAAGCACCTCAAGAAGAAAAGCCGCTGGCCGCGCCAAAGCCGATCTCTCTATTCGACACCTCCGTCGACCTCGACAAAGACGAACCGATGCCTGCCGATCACGATGGCCAAGCGCGTTACAAACACTTACCACACATCTCAGTACCCAAGCTCCTTCAAGCACCGCATCGCATTCCGCCTCTCTTCCCCTTCATCCGGACCTCCATCTACCTGCTCATGTCCCCCGATACCGAACAGAAGCATCCACCGAAGTCCGTCATTCTGCGCGGGACGTCCCAGCACGGGCCGCTGGAGCTCGAGATCCCAGTACAGGTCTTAGAGCAGCCGGGCCAAACGATTCATCAGCTCGCCGCCAGGGAAGCCATCCGTGAGCTTGAAGACGGCCGAGGCTGGCTCACGGAAGCCAAGTGCGAAGATGGGACGTTGCTAAAGGACAAGTATCCGGGCCGCTTTGAAGAGATGGTTGAACGAGAGGCTGTGCGCCTAGGGCTGCAGTATCAGGTCGGCGGGAAGTGGTGCTCTTTCGTAGCTGTTGAGGCGAACAGCAAGGCGAAAGACCGCGATGGGGATGAAACCATGGCCGAGCACGTAGGGTATCTCGATGACGACCAAAGAGCAGATGAGTACAGCAGCATTAATTCTCCATCGGCAGCAACTAGTCCACAGAACTACAAATACAGTAGCCTCAGCCGTATGTCACTCAACGTTGACCGTCGCTATGTAGGGCATGCGCCATCGGTTCTCGAATCAAGCCAGAGCGAGGCTCGGCGAGGGCCGCAAAAGCAGCTATTGGCCATGTCGCAGGCACCCGCGCAGTCAGGATCCGCTCTCTTCGGCGGGTCTGCCTCTGCATTCGGCAGCTTCGGCGCGCAGCAGCAGCAACAGCAACAGTCGCAGCAACAGTCATTGCAGGGTACGTCCGCTCAGGCGATTGAGCGCGGCTCTGTGTTGGGCCGCAGGAAATCCTCCGGCAGGGACCAAGTGCTCAGCGCCCGCAGCCCACCACCACCAGCATCACAGTTGGGGTACAGTCTCTTCGGCAGCTCCGCTTCCCCAACTTCTTCTGGTGGCCTCTTCAGCGCTGCTGCTCCGTCGTATGACCGAACACCGGCTCTGGCGGGGCGTAGCCTGGACATCGAGTCACAGGACGATAACGCTGACCAGATCCGGGAAATCGTGGCGCGTGTTGCTGAGCGTGGCGAGAAGCTCGAGGGCGCTGCCATGAGGTCTCGCGAAGCGCAAAAGGCGGGGATGGAGGATGTGTGGGCTTCAAGGGGAGCGCGTTACTTTTCGATGGGCTCCAAGAAATCTCCGAGAGCCCAGATGGCTTCCAGGGCTGAGGCGGTCCAGGACCGGTCGAGGACGACGGGTGATAAAGCAAGAGACCTGATTGAGCTGCAGACATTCGAGGGGTTCTGGGAGTGGATGCCGGAGCTGCTGTCCGTGTTGGGGGTTACGGAGGAGAGGATGGCAGAAATGTGGACGCGGGTAGGGTGGATGGACCGGAGGACATTTGCTACGCTGACGGTCGTCGCGTTCTTCGAGGGTAAATTGGGAGATGAGAGGGACGTTTGGGAGCTCGTGGTTGGGAAGGCTAGGGCATGGCTTGAGGGGGAGATGGAGGAGATTGGGGATGGGAAGACGACAGTTGAGGAGGTGCTTGAAAAGGTGAAAGGCTGGATAGAGTAGCGGTACGGTAGCTTTGGCGGTGGGATGGTTTGAGTAACAGTGAGTGGGTAGATTAGGGAGAATGGGAATCGAGATCGCTGTAGATGATTAAGCAGTAATGAAGAGTACGTAAACAATGGAGTATAAGCCCCTACAGTCGTGGAACGGACTTCCGGTGGTGAGTTGTGAGATGTCCAGTATTTCCCATGACTGGGCATTGTAAAAGGGCGACGTCTCCCTGACTCACGCATTTCTTTAGGCATTCCAGAGAAAAAAGTTTGACGAGTCAGTTACATCTAAAGGATTTCTACGATGAACACCTCCCGCATAATGAATCACGGCGACGAGTATGAGGCGATGGGTCACCACTCTCCGTCGTATTCCAGCATCATGTTCGAGCTACAGTCATAAATCGAGCTTGCGTTTCCTTCCCTCGCCATACCGAAGCAGCTCCACGTCCACGAAAGTCATCATGGCCGACAAGCAGCAGGCTTCAACGACAGATTATTCCTCCTGGAGCAACTCCCGCCTCATCGCGCACGTCACCGAGCTCGAAGCCCGGCTCAAAGCTTCCAACGAGCGCTTCTCCTCCAACGGTGTCTCCCACGCATGCACCACCACCACCATTGCATCCGGCATTCCAACTGCCCCGGACGCACCGCGCGCTTGCCGAAAGCCCAAGAAACCCCCCACCCCCTTCGACCCAAGCAGATACACCACCCGCCTCATCGCTCTCAAGTTCGCGTACCTAGGCGGCCGCTACAACGGCTACGAGCATCACGCGAATAACACCACGCCGCTGCCGACGGTAGAGGAGGAACTATCTCGGGCGCTGCGGAAGACAAGGCTAATCTTCCCGCGGGACAAGGACGGCGGATTCGTGGTGGATGGCAATGGGGAGGGATCCGAGGGGGGCGAGGTGAACTGGGAGGGGTGCGAGTACTCGAAGTGCGGAAGGACGGATCGGGGGGTTAGTGCTTTTGGACAGGTTGTTGGGATCAGAGTGAGGAGTAATCGGCCGCTCCGTAGCGAGAGGGACAACAGCAGAGAAAGCCCCATGGCTGGAATAGCGGACGCTGAGGCCGCAGCAGCAGCAGCCGAATCGGGCATCGAGGAGTCACAAGAAGATGCTGAAAAGATAGAAGCGTCATTCGACCCCATCAACGACGAGCTCCCCTACCCAAGCCTTCTGAACCGCGTCCTCCCACCCGACATCAGAGTCCTAGCCTGGTGTCCCAACCCACCGCCCGCTTTTTCCGCCCGCTTCAACTGCAAAGAGCGACGATACAAATACTTCTTCACCAACCCTGCTTTCCTGCCCACAAGCGACGCCTCAGCTACCAACGGTGCCCATATCCGCGAGGGCTACCTCGACATCGAGCGCATGCGCGCCGCAGCCAAGTTACTCGAGAGCCTGCACGATTTCCGGAACCTGTGCAAAGTCGACCCCGCGAAGCAGCTCACGAACTTTCAGCGGCGCATTTTCCACGCCGACATCGAGGAGATCAGCACGCCGCCTCCTTCCTTCCTCGCAGATGCTCCTGGCAGCGCTCTCGCCCCGGTACCGCCTTTGTCGTCATCAGCAGCCCAGCCAAAACTCTTCGCCTTCATCCTCCACGGCTCCGCCTTCCTCTGGCACCAAGTCCGCCACATCGTCGCCGTCCTCTTCCTCATCGGTCAGGGGCATGAGCCCGTCACTCTAATCTCCGAGCTCCTAGACATCGACAACAATCCCCGGAAGCCCAAGTACGAAATGGCAGCCGCCTCGCCGCTCGTGCTATGGGATTGCATCTTCCCCGAACCCTTTGTTGATGAGAGAGGCGCGACTGCGGAAGGGCAGGAGGCGCGGAGCACGGAGAGCAGACCTGATGCGCTGGAGTGGATCTATGTGGGTGCGGGCGGTGGGGGTGTTGAGGCGGGGAGGTCGGAGGCGGGGAGGTCGAAGGCGGAGGGGAAGAAGGCGCTTATGGAGGATTTGTGGGAGGGGTGGAGGAGGAGGAAGATGGATGAGGTACTGGCCGGTAGTCTGTTGGATGTTGCTGCGGGGCAGGGGCTCCGGCAAGATGGGGCCAGTGGCAGTGAGGTGTACAGTCGGGGAAGGTAAGTTGGTCCATCCGAACAGGCTGAGTTACTGGTGCTGACTGGTGGATAGGAGTACGAGAGTCTTCGACGGCGGTGATACGGCTAGGCTTGCCGGGAACTATATCTCGGTTATGCAGAAAGAAAAGATGGAGAGCGTGGAAGTCATCAATGCGAAGTATGCTGCGAAGAAGGGGCTGGATCAGCGAATTCTGCAGGCGCGGCGGGCAACTGAAGACGATGGCGATAAGTGAAGACGAAATCGCGATCTGTTGGATATCACGTGTATGGCTGGTCTCGTGGCGGAAGGGACCACAAATGTCATGCTTTCGCTGCAGCTGGCTCGTAAAGACAAGCCCGCGCGCCTCTCCACACCGTCTCCAGTATATGCCGGTTGGGCAGAAGCGTCTACATTACTCTCATCAGCCACCAGATTGCTTCTTATGCACGCTCGGGTGGATATGGCATAACAGCGGCTGGGTTGTCTGTGACTCGTAACTTACAGGAAACACAACCACAACATCTTCCTCCCCCTGCACCACAATAGCGAGATAAAACCTGACCTCAAACCCCTTGAACGCCTCGTGAATGAAGATGTCTTGTATCGCGGTCGTGGGGATAAACCGCGTTGTCGGCGTTGAGAGGTACGTGGGCGAGGAGCTTGAGGTCTGTATACCGAGCCCGCGGAGCACGAGGAGGGACTCTTCTGAAGAATAGTGAGCCGGGTATGTTGTAGGAGCGCAATGCATGACAAACCAGTATACCCCCTCCTCGTAACTGCCCACCCACCTATCATAGTTCCACCCACAACCCACGTCCAGCTCAGCCCTCGCGCCGCCCATCCCGCCATCTGCCCCACCGGACTGCTCAGCACCATGTCTTCATACCATGCCGTCTCTCCTAAGCCCTGCGCCTCGTCCCCACCGCGCTGCCTCCACTTCGCCCAGAAAAGAACGATGATGGCGATTCCGACTATTACACGCAACAGGAGGGCGAGGTAGTGCAGGCTGCGCGCGAGGAGGGTGTGCGATGGGGACCGGGTCGAGACGGTGAAGAGGGTTGTGGAAGGCGTTGGGGCGGTGGTGTGGAGGGTTGGTGGATGAGATGAGGAGGGAAACATTGTGAACCGCTAGAAGTGGGTGTTGGTGTGGGAGGCGGAGGGGAGTGCGGTGGCTGTGATAATGGTGATGGTGGTTCTGATGGAAGTTCTCAAAGTTCGAGGGTTAGGGTTCACAATGCAGGGACTGGGCGTGCGGGACGGACCGTAGCACGCGATGCGCAGGGGCTGTCCCGGCTAAAGAGCTCTGCTTTCTATTTCATCATGCTTTCCATGTGCACAGTGCCAACTGCCACGAAGTGATCGCTACAAGCCCATTGTACGCGCAAAGCTGCCTAGTCCCTCCCAGTACCTTCGATCCCTATTTCGCCATCTACTTAACATTCACCCAGTTCTTGTCCACGCCTATAAGCACTCTTCGCAGCTTCTACGTCAGACTCCGTAAGCCATACCGGCCAGCTCTCATACCCTTGCGCCTCCCAAGCCATCACGTAGTTGATGGCGAACTCTAGAAGAGCGGCTCTCGTAAAAGCTGCTTCGGCTCGGAGGAAATCTTCGTCGGTCATTGGGTCCACCGGACATGTAGGCTGCGAAAACAAGTGCTTAGCATGTTTCCAACTGGGGTGGCTTTTAATTAGAGTATCGAGCCCGTTCTTGCCTCAAGGATGATAGCAGCAGGATCCATTGAGCTCAATGGCAGTGGCACTGCTGTTGCGCCTGCGGTGAGTAGGCCAAGCAGGAGGATGGGGAACTTCATTGTGGTTATTTGGAGCTGAGAATGGAGTTTCGAGGTTTCGGGACGTAGATATTGAGGCGATGGGTGCGCGTGAGTTGAGAGAAGTGGGGAGGGCCGGTTGAAGATATATTCGCTATATCCGTGTCCGCTTAGACAATGTTCGTTAGAGTCCACTATTGTGTGGAACGCTAATGTTGCTACCATGGATTACTCTTCCCACGCACTGGAATCGGTGCTTCTTACATGGAGTGGTTACGTGGCCTCAAAATCAGGATTCATTATTGGTAGGTGCCCGCTTCTTGCTCCAAGCCAAGTATATGGTTTTAAATATGGAATAGAAAAATGAAACGCAACGAAGAGTTCGGAGAGTAGCATGACGGGTAGCGCTCTCAGAGAATGTCAATCAAAAAGACAAGAATGCCTAAGAGAAGGCATGAATAATGCCATTGCCTGAAGAGACAATGTGTATGTCTCTTGAATTTTGAGGTCGCCGCTGTCGAAATGCTCCGCCCTCAGATCAGAACGTCGAAGGCTACTCTGCTGATCGCCCCTGTAGCCAGTCCCTCCCGTCTCCACCTTTGCCCTCATCAATACCTCATCAAGGCGATTGCCGCTTGTCAAACTCTTTCTGAACACCGGCGCTTCCGTGCTCTGAAGGGGCTGATTTATGGCTTGGTCCCAGAGAGAGACACTGTATCTTTTTAGAACCCGTTTCAAGAGACGCGGTCGAATGACATCTCAGTCTCCAGTGTCCAATTCCAGGTCAAGCTGCACACCGTTGCTGACACCGTAGTCCTCCAGCGTCAGCTGATCCTTGAATGGCCGCTCGCCCTGCCTCTTGAGCATGATCTCGTGCGGCTGGCGTCCGATGCGGCCGGCGACCTGGGCTTTGAAGAGTTCTGCGTCGAACAGTCAGTAACCGTACGTACTTGATGACCAATGGCAGCAACGCAAGGGATTGATGAACAGGAAAACCTACTTATCGGATCACTCGCCAGACACGGAATCGCCGCCTTCGTACCCAGCCGGTCGTTCACATACACAATGATCATCGGCTCGCCTGACGCCGCGGCGGGCGCAGGTTGCGCAGGCTTCTTCTCCTCGCTCCTCTTTTTCCCTTTTCCTTCCTTCCGCTCAGGCCTATCGCCGTCAGTCTTCCTCGCCCCATCTCTCCTCTCATCCTGCCTATCCCTTTCCCGTTCGTCTCTTCCATTCCAATACCTAGCGCCCCGCTCCTCCCCGCCTCTCCGTCCCCCATCCTCATCCCTCTCCCTCTCCCTCTCTCGATCGCGATCCCTGCCCCGATACGGCGACCGTTCACGCCTATATCCCCGATTCAGCCGTCCGTCTCTGCCGTCATCCTCGTTTCTAGGTTCCTCGTCCCGACGTGGCTTTTCTTTCCACCGGAATCCTCCTCCTCCTCCGCCGCGTTGGGAGCGTTTCGCTGGTCTGGCGTCTCCTTCGCGGTCGCGGCGGGGGCTGCGGGAGCGCGAGCGGCTGCGGTGGGGGGAGCGAGAGCGGGAGTTGGGGCGGGGTGGCGGTGATGGCATTTCTGAGGGAGCGTTGTTGAGAGGTTGTGGGGGGTATTGCGACTTGGGTTGGCTGTCGGAGCAGTGCTGACTGCTGTGAGAGTTGAACGGCACGTGACTGGGCTCGGCCTTGGCGTCACCACTGCTCGGGACTGCTGGATTTCGCGACAGGTGCAGATCTGTTGCGCCGAACATAGGTATATACGGGACTTGGTGTCGCATAGCGACATCTTCTGAGGCGACGTGTTATTTCACAGCCGCTGTAACGCCGATTGTGCAGCAGCAGGAAATCGGCAGCCTTAGGCTCCCAATATGCCGCCTTCCCAAAGCAGTAAATCACCATCTGCGCAGAACGACAACTGCGGCTTGTTGCATTGCAGATCGGCTCGGCTCGGGACGGCGCGTATTTAGCGGCCTTGCGTTCGACGAATTGGCGAGTCGCTAGAGCGCGAGCAGTACGAATGGGCTGAGGGATGATTATGTACCTGAAGATCACGGGGACAGCGCTGTGGTTGGGATTGTTCTTTTATGTAGTATTAGTCAGGCTAAATCAACTGTGTGCATCGGGCATAATTCGCAGTGTGCAAGAGAAATTTTCCGGTGGTAGATATGATGAGCGGGAGGCGTGATGGCTCGGGTGAGGCTCATACTCCCGATGCATGGGAATGGGGACCTTTCTTAGGTGCTTCGGCGACGTCACGGCTCAATTCAAAATACTGCGTACTTGTATCAGTACCGAAAGTCGAATAGAGGCTGGATTGTAAGATACAGGAGAAAACAACGTTCAAAAGCACTAGCATAGAGTGGTGTTAAGCAACGGTGATAGCGATAGCACAGAAGAGGATCAACACAGCGCCTAGCTAAACCCAGAAGCACACAAACAAACATATCCGACCTGTCGCGGGTAGATTGTCCGTCCAGTGTCGGCGTTCCAATAGCGGAGGTGGGGCCTAATAACGGCGTGGCAACCTTACACCACACACTGATCCATCATCCGAGTCGACCGTGAACGAGTCTCTCCGCTGAGGCGCCGCCGCAAGCCGAGTCACCTCGTCGCGCACCATCCGTGAAGTCGTCGGCCTCAGATACGGACGGCCATTCCTCAAGCCATGGTTGTGCAAGTGCCTAGCAGGATCCACCGACATACCCATAACCAGATCGACGATATCTTCCCTGCTGCCCTCATCCCGTGCCCTATTCATCGCCTTGACGGCTCTCTTCCTCATCTCCTCAATCTCAACCCTCTTCATACCATCACAAGCCAGCCTATGCACCAGCTCGTCGAGCAGCACGTCGATAACGTCGACGCCCGCATCCGCCGCCCTCGCCATTCGCAGCCGCGTCTCCTTCCACAGCCGGCGATGCTCAGGAATCTCGCCCTCGCGAGCCATGACGTGTGGGATGGGGAGGGCGTAGTCGTCCGGCTTACTTACTTCGGCAAAGACGACGTGCTCGGGGAGGTACCGATGGGGCAGCCACTCGGTTTGGAAGTTGTACTCGTAGAACTTGTACGCGTCGACGGGGTTGCCGAACAGCGTGTAGGTCATCAGCTTTCGCTGCCCGGCTGACACGGAGCGGTTGTCGAGGAAGTCGCGCCGGTATGTCTCGGCTTCCTTGTCGATGCGTTGGAGGATGTCTACGCGGTATTGGTACCCGTCGAAGAAGGCGCTGAGTTCCTCATCGAATTTCTTTGACAAAGAGCTTGTGAGGGTGTACGGCAGCATCGTACGCAGGTCATACTCCTGTTCAGGAAGCGCGCCGGGCTCGTAGCGAGCGGGCTTGGTGTATCCCTTGATGAAGAATTTGTATGCTTGAAGAGGACTGCCGCGGTTAAACTCAAGGGCGAACTCACGTGCATCGTGAAGGAGCTCGGGATGGCTAGCGAGGAGCAGGTCGATCTCAACGAGGAAGGTTTTCGCAATGCGACGGCTAGAGAGGTACTGGAGAAGTTCGGGATCGTTGGCAGGTGCCAGCTTCTGGAAGTTCGAGTACTTTCGCGGCTAGATTTCGTCAGCTTAGTTCGCTTCAGAATCGTCCAGCAGCTCACGTAGCTGTACAACGGTCGAAGCGATGGATCTGTGGAAGGCTGGACTTGGCCGCTTCCCAGATGCTCTTCGTGCTTGATGAGCATCGGCTCATACGGCTGCCATGGCTGCCGAACGCTGCTAGGAGAAGGCAGAGCTGGCCCATTCTCGGGCTGGAAGCCTGGAGCTGGCTCGGGACGAGGCTGCTGTTGCTTCTGTCGCTTGTGAGGCTCTTTCGTGGGCTGGCTGACGTGACGCCGTTTCGCGTTGCTTCCGAGAGGCTCGGCGTTGGCTCCTTTGCCAGGTGGGATGAGCTGGGGATCCGAGCCATTTCGCGGGGTGCAGTCTTCGGACAGATGGCCCAGTCCGCCGCAGGCAGAGCAGATGCTGTTCGGAAGGTCGTCCTCGATCTGGCCGAGCCGGCTTGGATGGATCATGGCTTGGTGAGGTGCAGCACTTGTCGTGCCGTCGCTCGCTTCGATGCAGTCCTGTGAGAAGTGGCCGCGGCCACCGCAGGCGAAGCAGATGTGGTCGACTGGGTCCACAAACCGTGGAGGCCTGCGGGCGTGAACTGCGGCCCAGTTGGACGCGTCATCCATCTTGCGACAGACGACGGTGGTTTGGCTTTCGTGAGAATAGCGAACAGAGAAGACTCGTACAGTCACGGTAAGTGTGTAGTATGCCGACAAACAATAAAAGCTGTGAGATGTTGAGGATGATATGGCAGGCGAATCTGCGCAGAACTCGCAACGCGTTTCTCACGCTGCAACAGGAAAGCGTACCGCGTTGCCAGTTTACTCAGGTAGCCGCGCCTCCCACCTTGTCTGCTCTCGCCTGCATCGACTCTGAAGGAAACCTCGACACGCACGATTGGGTGATCTGAGAGAGTCTGGCAGGTAGCACTCATTGCAGGAAGATTACGGAAGGTCAAGCCGAAGGCATTTTACAGATAGATGCCCGTCAAGTCATAGGAATCAAAGCCTCACAACGCCGAACAGCTGCGCATAGCAATACATGGACGCCAATATGTACATAACCGAGACCCAGCCCTCGAAGATCAGAACACGCTAATGTAGTTCCCGATCCTCTCCTTCTGGTTCTGCGCTATGCACTCAGCTATCCACGTGATGTTCCGGATTTCCTGTGCATCGTTAGCCCACATTCGCATCGGACAGACACCTCAAACTCACCTGCTCCCGCAGCTTGACCCACGCATAGACAACTGCATGTGTGAACTGTCGCGTAAAGGCCAGCTTCGATATCTCGCACTCCTTCTGATAGAACATGTCTTCCAGGCTTTTGCCCTCACCGCCAGCGCCGCCGGACATGTTCCCTACAGCCGAGCCACCGCCTTGGTTCAGGCCAGTCTGGTCAAAGAAGGTCTTGTAATCTGATACTCCCTCCACCGCAATCCTCACACCTTCCACATCATCCGCTCGCGATAGCATGAGTGTACCTTCGGGGTGCAGCCGCCCAAAGTTGGGATACAGCTTCTTTCTATCCGCCTTGCTCAGTTCCGTACCGAACGAATTGAGCGTGATATTGATGCTTCTCCTGTCCGCCTCAAACTCCAGCACCTCGCTCATGACCTCCGCAGTCGGCGTCCCCCTGACATCCGGGTTTGTGTTTACCCAGTTGTGAAAGTCCTCGAGATAATTCTTGTACAGCGTGTTGCGGACGATCTCGATGTTCAGCTCGTCCAGATCTTGATGGCTGAGCGAGCCCTTGAAGTACGGCGCCAGCGGTGTCTCGATGAGGACCGAGTTGTACAGCTCCTCGATGTTCGTCGCCACGCACAGCACCGGCATCGTCTCGAACCAGCCGAGTGGGTGACATCGCTCTAGTAGTTCGCGCGTGTCTCGTTCGTGCAGTGTACCAGTGATGAGGAGCGCGACGTTGTCGATCATATAGCCGTAGGTAAGGTACTCCATGAACTTAGCGAGAGATCCGGTGGCGTTCGCTTGGAGGTATCGGAATTCGGAAACGAGCTTCTCGGTAAGCTTGTTGGCGAGGGCGGAAGTGGACGGGTTTGGGGGCAGGGCTGCCAGGAAGTCGCCATAGGCTGGGCCGAGCTGTAGCTTGACATCTATGCGCTGTCAGCGCGATGTGGAGGGGCTGATGACCCGTTCTCTCGCACCATCGATGGTCTCGCATTGTGTCAAGTTGCTGTAGGCCTGGCTGGTTAGGAGGCTGTTGCGGTAGCCACGGACGATGCCTTCTATGTAGCTGCGGCGCGTCAGTAGATGGTCTTCAAGCTGTCGCGGCATATGCGCACCCATTATTGACGTTATACAGCATGCCCTCCATGATGCCGACTGAGGGTGGTCGAAGAGGGGACAGGGTAGGTATTGTTGTCTGGCGTCAAGGTGGTTATCATGCAACGACGCTTTGCGGCGACATCTCGATGACAAGCGCGGCCGCCCAAGCTTCCCGCTGGATGATCCCTGTCCGCCAAGGCTGAATTAGACATCGCACATCACTTGCATTCTTCTATACAATGCTGAATAGCCTAACCGCTGCGCTCGCTGTGCACCGTGTGACAAGTAGCCGTGACCACAGTTGAAGTGAGCGCTGCACATATGTATTCCTGTTTACTAGGTTGGCGGACTCGTTAGAGGCTTTACTATAGGAGAGCCCACGCCGGTCGAGTACTCGTTAGTCAAGAGCAGTGGAGTCGCTCTACAACCACTTTCTATACTGCTGATGGTGCGAGAGTCCCTGCTTGTCGCTAAGAAAGAGCGGCTAGTCCACTTGCAGAGGAGAGGCTAAGCATAAGCTATTGATTGCCTTCTCGCAAGACAAGTTCTAGCGAGAAGGAGGAACACACAGTCTGTGAGGCAGAACAACTTGATGATACAGCATCCAGCTCCATGGTGCCTGGCGTCGACAAGACACAGCCATGAATACGAGTAGCTTCGAGCTATTGGGCAAGATCTTCTCAATAAACCAACCCCAAACCCTTACACAGGAGTCCTGTGAGGAAGACTACAGCCATGGCGCGGTTCTGCCCAGGGGAGGTTACCTTCCTGTGTTGAAACCTCGGCGATTGGAGCAAGGTTCACCCACTATCACATTAGACATCAGATCACTGTTCGTCATGACCTTACCGGAGCTCTGAGGTCTGATGATTAAAAAGAGGATCCTTTCATGGACATAAATGCGCTATCCTAGCAATCTGTTTAGGGCAGTGCGGTAAGACCGACAACCTTCTCGGTGAGAACCGCACCCGCCTTCTTCCTCCATTCACTTTTAGGCAGATCTTTTGGGCGAGCATCAGCATGGTCCCACGACATAGAAACATGAAGCTCGGGGTTGAGGACATCCGGCTCCATGGAGGCGGATACTTAGGTAGGTCCCGAACATCCTCGCTAGTCAGTCGCTCCAGATGTGGCACCGAGGACAGCGTTACGATCTGGCATGGACTACATTGCAAGATCTAGCCCTACTCTCCGCATGGCGATTCGTGACTGGACGATAGTCCAGATGGGCGGATCTGCTGTTGCCAGTGGCCCGGAAATGACCAGCCTGGACAGATTATTCCCGGTGCTCCCATGCTCGTAACACAGCGCACTGTTCTATTTCCAAGGCCATAGGGGACATCCATCGGGCTACCCGAGAGGCCAGAACTTCAGACAAGCGACTCGTTGATCAATGTGGTTTCAAGATTGAAGAAGTCGGCGGGTCTTCGGTTGGTTGCCGACCTTCCCCGTGGAGAGATCTGCGCTAGCACACGCGGTGCGGGGAGGAGCCGATGCATCCTTGCCAGGCGCAGTGTCACTCCGCAACGACCTCCGGAAACCTTTACGCGGCTCTCTTCTCCTGCGCCGAGTCGTTTGTTGATTGGCGTTTCCAGCCGCCAATATCGCTAACAATGGACTGTTCTCGACACTGCATGTGCCCTAGAACGAGACAGCCAGAGCCCTCCTGAATCATGTTATGCTGTTAAGTCCAGGTAGGATATTAAAGCTCCGCTTGTCCTCTTTATCTCCCTGTCACCGGTAGCCAGTTTCATTGCAAGCTACAAAGCTTCCTCAGAGTCCTTTCTTGAGCCGTCCTGTCACCCATCAACTGACAAGATGGAGGAACCCAAATCCACAGGCATCTATATCGAGAACGTAGCAGTAGCGCACGACCAGGGCATCCATCACGTCGGACTGCATGCTCATGAGATCCATCACGATCTTGTAGCCGCTGAGGCGGTTGGTGGCCACGTAAATGATCTCCCGAAGGGCTACTACTGGAGTCCCAGCTTCATTGGCACGTTTGTTGTGAGTATCTTCCAGCCCGACGAGCTGGCCTTGACACACAGCTATGAGATGGGATAAGCGCTGATACGATTGCAGGCGACATGCTTAGCACAAATATCTGGCTACCTCGGCTGGGTGCTTCCGGCAAATACCATCTCCCTAGTGATTGCCTCCTTGGGCCCCTCGCCCAATGCCATCTGGCTCGGCGTGTCCTGGACTACTGGTGCTGCTGTTGGATTTGCGCTTGTGGGCAGGCTGTCTGATATCTTTGGCCGACGATGGTTCTTCACGTCAGTAACGGTGATGGCTCTGATCGGCAATATCATCGGCGCTTCCGCACAGAGCGTGAACATGTTAATCGTAAGTCTTCTACTATTATAGTGTGTGTCCACACGACGCTGACGTCTGCGCAACAGGCAACGAACGCGATCAACGGCCTAGCCGCAGCCGGCCAACTTTCCTTCTTCGTCGTCATCAGCGAGCTCGTCCCCGACAAAAACCGCGGGCCCTGGAACGCCGTGGTCCTCACGACCAGGTATGTGGATGTTACGCTTAGCGCAATGTTTTCCTCTCGCGTTTTGTCAGAATCAGCCGTCTCCGCTGTTTGTACTCGACTGCTCTCCGGTATTTTGCCACACGGGTTGCACTTTTGTAGTACCTTTTGTGAACCACCACGAAACATGGATCAACGAAGCTAATTTCTCCAGCTTGCCTTTTGCCGTATTCGGCCCCCCTGTGGCTCGCGCCCTCTACGAAAATACAGCTCTTCAATGGCGCTGGGCCTACATCCTTGGCATCATTGTAAACGGCATTGCCACCATACTATACCTGATATTCTACCACCCACCAACCTACGAGCAGCTCCACGTAGGCGGCAAGACGAAGATGCAGCAACTGAAGTCTCTCGACTGGCTGGGGATCTTCCTCTTCACCACCGGTCTCACCGTGTTCCTGATCGGGCTCAACTGGGGCGGCTCGGTGCATCCGTGGAAGTCGGGACACGTGCTCGGTGCTCTGCTCGCCGGTATTGTAACTCTGACGCTCTTCTGCGTCTGGGAAGCATACTGCAACCTCGATTATCCGCTTATTCCGATGACCTTGTTCAAGAGCAGGGAGTACAATTGTCTTGTAGCCTGTGCTTCCATCGGATGCATGATCTACTATGCTGGCGGCATCATTTGGCCGACTATGGCTGGTGCACTGTTCACGACTGACATCACAGACGTCGGTTGGCTCTCGGTAAGTGCATTGCATCCCTCACAGTACACAACGCGATACTGAGAACGACACAGTGCGCAGTAGGCGGCGGTCTCCTCCTCGGCCAGATCATGGGCGGTTTCGGCGTGCGCTTCATCCCCAAGATGAAATGGCAAATGACGATAGCCTCGGTGTTCATGGTCGCCTTCGTCGCCGCGCTCGCCTCCAGCACGGAGTACACGCGCACGCGCACCGTCGCCTTCTTGATCCTCGGCACCGTCTCCGCGGGCTACATCGAGAACATCACGCTCTCGACCTTCGGCCTCATCTGGGACCCTGAAGACATCGGTCTCTCTGCCGGGGCCGCCGGCGCTATCCGGACGGCTTCCGGCGCTATTGCTGCGAGTATGTACTCCAGCATCTTGAACACGGAAATGGCGAAGCACCTTCCGCGGTACGTCTCGCCCGCCGCAGCGGAAGCGGGTCTTCCTGAGGCGAGCCTGCCAGCGCTGTTCTCGGGCATCACGGCGGGGTCTTTCGCGGGAGTGCCAGGAATCACGGACGAGGTTGTTGTGAGCGTGGGACACGCGGTCAAGACTGCGTACTCGATGGCGTTCAGGACCGTGTTTCTTTGCACGCTACCGTTCGGGGCGATCATCCTGGTTGCGGCGGTGCTGAGCCCGAATGTAGAGAAGTATCTTACGGATGGAGTGGCGAGAAAGTTGCAGGGTGCGGGCAAGAAGGATGAGAAGGCCGGAGAGGTATGAGCAGTGTGTCGCTGGATCGAGCATTGTCTGTAGGTACCGGAGCGGTCAGATACTGTTCGAAGAGAGCAACGAAGCCACCGAGACCATTGTAATATTCATTACATGCTTGAATTGTTACGAGGTAACATAACGCGATTCCTGGCCATCGCCAGTTCTTCTGTGTCCGGGCTTAGACTAAGTAACGCCTTGGAGCCCTACACATCACTTGTGGTAAGACAAGGCAACATCATGCGAAACAATCCTCAACACTGTGCTCCCACACTAGAGTACCTAGTAAGACCTATGAGAAAAGCTCAAATACGAAATTTGTGAGCCAGCTGCCGCCAAGAACAAGCCTCTCTTTTGCGGCATAGTGGCGTTCTGTTATGGGTCGATACCCTACTCCGACCAAGCGTTTCACACAACAGCTGAACATGAGTTGAGGGAGAGCTGAAGGACCTCGAGCATTTCAAGTTCAAGTAGGCGCGCTTGTGCTCCCACAGATGAAACGCTCAGGGTCTAAGGCACAAGCCAGGTGCAAAAGAGAGGCAAACTGAGTCCTTCGAAAGCTATCGCCCCGCATCAATGTCCAGAGTGTGAGGTACCCTAATATAATAGCACCAAAACAACTCCACACAAAAAGTAGAATCGACTCATCAATCCCACAAACACCTCCGTCAGCTGCTTTCAAGCTGGACACTGCACCGGCAAAACTTGTACACCGCTCTCCGTCTTGAACAAGGCTATTTCTTTCTCGCGTCTGCGCACCAATGCCTGTGACACTTGGCCGTTCACGAGCCTCCACTTTGGCAGCTCATCTGCTGCAACCGTGTTGGGATCCTCTCCCGCCAGCAGCCGTATCACCAGCGTACTGCCCCGCATGTTACCGCAGCCGACGTTGAACGTCCACGATGCCAGCGCTCCGTACTGGTTCTCGTTCAGTGTGACGCTGCCGAGTTTTGCAGTGAGGCAATCACGGTACGTCTGGGGCGCGGTCAGTTCATGATCTCTTTATACCTCTCATCTCGTGAAATCAAGAAACTTGGTTTATTCGCGATGCCGGCGGGTACCCAGGAGCAGGGTATCCAGGTGCGGGAGGGACCAGAAACGGATGGGTGCATTATGTTACTTACCCTAAGGTCCTGCAGCATCAGCTCGGTCGCCTCCACTTCGGTAATGGGCGGGGAAAGCCCCGCGCATTCCGGCTCATTACACTGGTGGCCGTAACCGATGGCGGCCTTGTTGACATCGAGGTAGGGTGTCGCACTGAAACCCTCCAACTCCTTGAGCATGATGATCGTGCCATCGTTCACGGTCGGGCTTGAGCATGTGCAGCATTGGATGTTGGCGGCGCCAGGGCAGTGACCTGCGGTAATGACCGTAAGCAAACCTCTGCACTCTGCCGAGAACATCGGCTAAGAGGGCAAGTGTGCAAGCTTACCGGCCTCAGAAGTGCCCCCTTGTGCGTTGCATTCGGCGGTGGAGATACACGTGCCGAGCTGCCCGGAGTTGAAAGTGCAGGAGTCGGCTCGCTCGAAGACGCCGGATTCTCCGACAGGAGCAGCGGAAACAAAAGAGGTGGCAGACAGGGCGAGAGCCAGGAAAACGGAGGTGGTGTACATGATAGAGATTGATATGATTAGAGGCCAATAGCTGATTCTTGTGCGTCTTTGATGCTGGGAACATAAGGAAAATGCAGAGAAGAGAGTGGTTTTTATACTTGCTGGCTCATTGCGTCTTCTATCTCGCACGTGAGGGACGCACAGAAACTCCGGTATTGTCCAGCTTTCAGTCCTACGCTCGCCCGTCAGGCAAGAGACGAATCATCATCTTCCGATCCTCTTCAATCAAAGGGACTAGCGATACTCAGGAGACTGCGGAGGCTATACATAGCTGCGACCAGTAATGATGCGTACATGAAGACACAATGGGGTTTCAGCTTCAGGTCTCACATCGTTGAAAGGTACGTTCTGACTGCAAACTCCAATCAGATTCCCTTTCGGCAGCTCATCAGGCACTGCTTGTAATAGAAGCGTCTCTAGGACCCTACCACCAGAGTTCGAGCTGGACCCGCCAGAATCTATCTGGTTGTTTCATACGATGACTGGTTGGTTGACTTCTTCAGCTTCCGCGGGTTAAGATGGATAGTGCTGCTACCTAAACACGCTCTAGGGGATCTGTGGAGGCTGTGCACGGTTTGACAGATCGTTCTACACGGAGTGTTGGAGGGTTCGTCAGCTACAGGGCTAGATATCTTCGGGCACGGAGTCAGACTAAGTCGAGCCTTAAAGCCTTACGTATCACGTGTGATAAGATAAGGTGAGATCGCCCTAGGGAGTTCTCAACATCACGGTATACCCCAGGACCTACGAGGAGGCAACCTATGCATTCACCTTGTCTACTCCGTCCGCCCTGTCCGTCATCTATAAAAAGACGGTCCAAGCAACCTCGGTCTCTTCAACGCACAGCTGAGAGCGAGTTTGTGTAGACGAGTCGTCCATCCTTGTCAGACGGCCAAAGGATGACCCTGTGCAACCTGTCCAGTGTTTACGCTCAGGGAACTACGATAGGTTCAATGAGTAGGAGATCGGCGACGTGGCTCATCGCAGCTGATCTATCTGGATGTTTCACTGGAGCGAGCAAAGGCGGCATCTCACCTTGCTAACATGGACCTCTTACGAAGTTTGGCTTTGAAAATTGCTTGCCAGCTTAGAGCAAAAGCTGCTGCCAACGCCTCGGATTCACATAACTACTACGGAAACCTGGGATGATACAGATTATTTTCCTATATCTACATTATCGCCGCAGAAAGAATCTCGAAGGTATCCGCGCCAGGTGACTGCCGCCGTATTCTGTCCGGATGGCAAGCTGGTCCCGTCTGCATCCATCGACTGGTCGCCAGGCTCGGGACCTCAATGGCAACACAATCAGGCGCAGGGTCTCGCCAAACCCCTATCTCTTTCAGTCGACCTAAATATCAATATGCCGGGACTGTTCCTACAAGTAGAGTTGGGGCCTGCCGACGCCTCGTGTTTGGTCAAGTTCCAGCCGTACCGGGTCTTTCTCTCGCAATCTCAGCTACTCTAAATAGCTCGTCCCGCTCGCCTTACCACCCTTTTGGCAAGTCAGCTATTCAACGGCTGACTTCAATCCGTGACAGGAGCAGCGAGCTGAGCGTGCCGCACTCAGTCTGAAAAGTCAGCGCCCTCGCCTTGCATTGCTCGCCTTAAGCGCCATGGTCAAATGCTGTTTTGAACCCAGAGCAAAGATTCATTGCAAAGCGTAATTACGAAGAGTCATGGCGAGCAAAAATGTGTCAAAGGACTTAGTCGAAAAGAGTCAAGCACAATTCACAGAGATCGATTACGTTGAAGCAATCTGTCTACCTAGGCATGCCTGATGTAATTTCGTCGACTGACATCCCCTAAAGTTCATACTCTTACTCAGACGATGTTCCAAGTACTTGATATCTGGTCAACAGGCTTTGGAAGCCTACAGGAGTGCTCTCCGGGAAGTACTTCCTCCATGCAGCAGCATCGACAGTTTCACAATCCAGCGCTTTCAGCGGCTCCAGCAGAGGTAGGAACCAAGCCATAACCACGTGAACGGCGCTTGGGCGAGAAGCTACGGAGTGTTTTGCCGAGGACGTGGGCAAGCTTCTGACGTTTCGAGCGAATCTCCGCATCCCCCCAAGAGATCATGAAGCTGTTCCTCTCGGACTTGCTTCGTTGCTATGTTCACCGTTAGCTTGAGTTCCCAAATCAGCCTGGATGGGTGAGAAGGTACAATGAGCCATTTCATCGATCTTCGCCTTGATCTCCTCGCGACTGAGATCAGATGCAAGTAGCGCCGCCACGAGATAGCGCACAGGCTTTGGCCAACCAGGCCCTTGGTCGAATGTAGGCTCAGCGAAGATCTCACGACCCTCTAAGACCATATTCACGACTTCGTAATACGTCTGCTGCGTGATCCCACGTGGATTCGCAAAGCCTGCGAACGTGTCGAAATCCCACTCACTGCAGCGCTTGCCCTGGGGGAACTTTAGGGACGCTTGCTTGATCAGCATGTCGGCTTGTTTCATCTGTCCGTTCCTGAAGTCCAGCATTCGGAGAAGACGTAGGAGCTGCCCCTCGTCCGTCATGGTGCCACGCACGCACTGTTCGATTTTGCCTTGGATCATAGTTTGAGAAGCCGCATTGGAGGGACCGGGAAAGCTGTCCATGTAGTCCATTCCGAGCTTTGCAACACGACTCCGCAGTGAGCCGGTACTTCCTCCTGATATGTCACTAGGTGCTTCCTCAGGCTCGAGTTGCGAGGACGGCATGGCGATACCGTTAGTACTGAAGCGTCCTTGAGTCGGTGGGTGTGATTCTTCGAAGCAGTGGCCGTGAAGCAAGCCTCAGGCAGGATTGTTGACGGAGGATGGAGGGAGGACAACAGCAGGCTGATGCTGAGGATGCAAGAGCGAAGAGGAGGAAAGGCGGAATGCTGGAAGAACTTATCTTAAGTCGAGCAGCGCCAAGAACGAGGCGATGTACAAGCCACCGTGGAACGCACTCAAGGAAGTTGCGGTTGAGGTATCAACTAGGCAAAGCAGGAACCATGGACGAAGCTTCGTGCCAAGCACACCATAGAAGTTACGAGTGCTGTTGTCTATTTGTCGCTACTGCCAAGTTAAAGTAGGTCGGTAACATGATGCGCGTACGCGAGGGAAATGAAGATGTGGAATGTCTTTCTAAAACTTGACAGTCTGTGTGTAAGACAGAACATAACATGGCACAAGGATGACAATAATCGCCGGACCCGGATATCGCCAAAATATACTATCTTCACCATACTTTTAAAGTTCTTTTGATCTTACGGTTTCGTCTCTAGTGATAGCTCAGACATGATTATAAAGGCTATATACGCTGCCCTATGCCTAGGCTCCTGGCTTAGCTCTATCATCGTACGTGACGATACAGCCCTCAATCGGTCGTAAATGTAGTGTCGCACCAGTTTATAACCCCTTGAGTCCGGCGATTTTTGTCCTGCAGGTACATGGGCAGGAGCCTGTTAGTGATATGTGACATGTAGTCGCCGTCGGTATCTTCTGACTTTGACATTCTCTTCCACTTCGGTGAAATCACTCTTCCTTGAGTCCAGATTAGTGAACGGAGTTCATGTAAAGCAGGGATCGAGTGCTGTCAGAACTCTCATCATGAGATGTCAACTGAAGAACTCGAGTCCCAGATTCTGCTCAAGCTGGCTAAGGACGACGATGGAAGGGTAACAAGATTCTCTTGCTGTCTTTGAAAAGCCTCTTCCCACCCCGTTGACCAAGGCTCTCTGTACTGGGTTGTTAGACCGGAGACGCTAAGCTGAGAATATACAACAGCTTGATACTGCTCTTCCCGCTGATTCTCTGTGTCGTGGAAGTAGGGAACGAGCGGAGCAGGTCCATATTGAAACAAGGCGTAAGTAAACTCTCTCTAAGGTATCACGCTGGTACAGGCTCGTTCTTGAAATGGGATGGAATGGGGTCGTTTGGACTGGGGATTGAGCCAAGCTTCGTGACCAAGACCGCCGGCTCACCTTGGGGAGAAGAATCGCGGGACTCGGAAAACAAACAGGTCTTCGTTCAGCTTAAGTTACGGATAAAAGCAATCTCTTGTAGCATACTGCTTCACAAGCTCCACGCCATGGTTAGAGGTGGAACGAAAAGAGTAAATCTCTGTGAAAACGTGGCAAGTTTAACGGATTCCATTGATTTTGGGCGATTGGCAAGTCCGGCGATTGATGTCACCCGCGTGCGGCTCAACCGTGAACCGAAGAGGCACGTTAACTATAACTACGCCATCCCAGCAAGAGAGCACCAAAGCAATCCATCTCTCAGCACAGTCTTTGGTGCTGGGTTGACCGTCTGTACGAAATGGCCCTCGACATCCCCGAAGTCAAGATCCTCCTCCTCGGCGACGCAGAAGTTGGTAAGTCGACCTTCCTCTCGTACGTCCTCACACCATCGTCCTCTCACCTTTCCCACTACCTCCTCCTCACTAATACCAAACTACCCAAGCCGTCTCACCCTCGGCGCCCACTCCCACGGCGGCGATGACCTGCCACCCTACGTCCTCCCCGCCCTCCGCGACCTAGACCAGCCCTTCACCTTCGACATCCGCATGTACAACCGGCCCTACCGCTTCCTCTTCTATGACACCGCGTCGCCGGAGAACTACACGCTCCTCCGCCCCGACTTCCTGATCCTCTGCTTCGACATCACGCGCCGCGAGACGCTGTTCGCCCTCTCCTCGCACTGGAAGAAGTTGGTCGAAGGACACTTCAACTACGATGAGGCACTGCCGGTCATGGTATTGGGTCTGAAGCGGGACTTGAGGAGGGAGTGGAGCGAGGAAGAGAGGGTCAATAGGGGAGGCAGTGTTATGCCGCAGGAGGGGCTGAGAGTTGCGCAGGAGATGAGGTGTGATCGCTATGCGGAGTGTAGCGCGTTGACGGGGAAGCTGTGCAGGGAGGTGCTTGAGGATGTGGCGAAGACGGCGGCGAGGACGACGACGGAGAAAGGGGCGAAGAGTGACGGCACCGCATGCTCTGTTATGTGAGTAAGATTTGGGAGGGTTTCTCTTGGGTCCTTGCCGCTTCAGTAGGTTTGTAATCTTCAGTGTTCTCCGTCCATATCCTTTGGTCTTCACCTGTAGTCTCATTTGACAACTGGCCTTCCGCCATTATCACGCAAGTTCACTTTTCGCGACTTTCACGTGTTTTCATCTACTCTAATCAGTCAACCCAAAATTGGATGCATAAAGAAATGACCTTAGACGTCTGCTTCACGAACGTTTCCATTCACCCAACGAAGAAGCCACGAGAGTCAGGCACCGTGTCACAGCTGAAGAATTTCTACCCATCCAAATGTTCCCTTTATAATACAAAACGACCCAAGATGATCATGTGCCTTTACAGAAAACCCCGTTCGACCATCCCCCAGCAGCACTAAGCCATGCCTCATCCCAAAAACGCAAACCGGATCTTCTACCCCTCTTACCACGATCCAATCACATTCTACTCATGCCTAGACCCCAAGAACGCTTTCGCCCACCTGATGGACTGGCTGTACAACAAGCCCAACCTTCCCGACTTCTGGATCGACACGCGCTGGTCCACACACGGACCGCTCGCGCACGCCAATCAGCTGTACTTCATCCCGAACATTCTCCGCGGCGGTGTTTCCGTTCTTTGCTTCCGCAGTTTCCTGGAGGAAGTAGAATGCTTCTTGTGGGTCCGCTGCTCGTTGAAGGGGTGGTTAAGTACGTACGCGGCGCTACGTGATCAGTATGGGATTCCTATGATGATGGTGCAGACGGTCATGCGAAGGTTGGAGCCTGGAACGGTCCGCAGGACGGTGTTTGACAAGGCTGTCGCTTGGCTGGAGTGGCTGGAGCGTGAAGACGAGAGGAACAGGCGGATGTTTCCTGACGTGCAGCTGAATGTGATAGAACGAAGTTGATACTGAAGAAAGAGACGGATGGAATGAAGGGAATTCTGCAGACAACCTTGAGTCACGAAGCATCGAAGTGGGAACAGGTGAGCATTTCAGCGCAAGAGACAGCCCTCGCAGGCAATCAGACAGAACACTCTGACAACACTGAAGCGCACATCGTAAATTCTGCTAGAGAGAGGTTTTGCCGCTGTTTCGGAACTCAGACAGCACGTGTATCCACGCCGTACACCGGCCACGAATCTGGAGACATCCAGCCAGGGCTACAGCAATCATCGGATCTCGTATTTGCATGCATTTCCCATCGCGACTTTGTGCAACGCTTGCAATACATCCCAGGCATTCTACCATTCGTCAGGAAGTTCATAGCCCCCACCGGACCAGTCTGAAATGAGAAGCAGAACGACATACGGAGAAGTCGGCGGAATCATGCCTTTCAGACCCTTCCAACGACCGTCCATCGGGATTCGAAACAGCGCGCTTCGGACCTTTGATCACAAATTCCGCTTTCCAGCTTTTCCCTGGCCAACATTCCGGCGACGCGTGCAAAGCCTGAAACCACGCGGCCCCTTCAGCGTCGAAAGACCTCCAATGCTTCAGGCGGACCGTCCCTCCCAAGCTCCTCACGAAACTAGCAAACCCATCATCCGAATAGCACCACTTCGCCGACGCGTTGTCTCCCGGCCGACTGAAGGCAAGCATGCTTCCACCACCATCGCACATGTCAACGAGCCAGATGAGTTCGGTGTAGTCTAGCGGCAGCGGTGGAAGAGGGTCTGAGACAAACTCCCCGGCATCGTTCGTGAGGGTTGGAGCCAAGAGGTCGCCGTAATGGATGAGCTGGAACGTGGATTGAGGAAGCTGGTCTTTAACTTTGTTCGGGTTGTTACAATGCAGTTTGATTATGAGCCGGGAGCGACCGTGATAGTACGGTTGGTAAGTAGCCATGTTCGTATGATTGGAACGGGATCAGACGCATGTTTTCCGTGGGTTGGAAATCTTTTTGCGGGTGGAAACTGCAGTGCCTTGTTTGTGGCTTCCGCTTTTGTATGACTGAGTCCATTACGTGTTGGAATGATAGACGGTATATCTGATGCCAGAAACCCTCCACCTTCAATCTTTGACTGGCTTCCCAGGGCAGTGATACGCCTTCAGAGCTGTCAATGAATGCACCAGTGCTACCGTAGTTGGGCGTGGCACAAAAGTCATGTTTTCTACAACCTGGAGATCTTTGTCTGAGTGGAAACTGCGGCCCTCGTCCATCCCTTCCTCTTTCGTGTTACTGAATCTATCGGGCATGGAAGGAGCATAGAAAGTAATGCAGTAACTGGAAACAAAACATGTATTGCATTGATTGCACTTTCTTCCCGCCGACAATCGGGCGCAGCCGTCAGCCCAAGACGAGTACAGCTTTACCGGCAACAACGTTAAGTTGTCCAGATCAAAGTGATGTAGGTTTCCTGGTTCATATCTCACCCACGCCGTCCGAAACGACATTCGCCTTTACCACCTCAACCACAAAATCCGACCGAATAACAACCATGAAAATCTCCGTTGCACATTGGGGTTTTCTCAGGCCCGAAGCCTGAGTTTTCGTTCTTTTGTCGCGCTCATGCTTTTGTAAAAAGAAGCTTAGGCGCGGAGACGGAAGCGTAAGAGATTGTTTTTGCGTGAAACGTAGAGAGAGTGGCTCGACTAGTCTCTAAATAACAAACGATAGTAGAGAAAGGATCGCGCCAAGGGCTGTGACGTGCTCCTACTTGACGCGCATTACCCAAGTCACTTCGCTTTACTCGGTTGTCGTGTTGAGTAGAATTTATTGTGATAACTCTTTCCCGAGGATAAAATCATAACGGGGGTTCCCCTCATACTCCTCTGATAGTCCCGCCGATGGTAATCAACATCCTCTGCAGGCCAATTCATGGGACTTGTATCCAAGAGCACGCCGCATCCTGGAGACAGGAAGGAAAGCAAGCCATGCGATGTGCGGATACAGATGGCGCCAACGGGAGCAAAAGCTCTGATCAGATGCAGAAGACGTGAAGTCGCGATATCTACAACCCCCTGTACAGAGCCACGCCGCATCCGGCTAGTGACATCGTCCCACTCTCATCCAAGGTATCATTGACACGCGCCCATTACGCTCGCAGCTGTCAACCGTCACGCTGACCGCGAACCCCGGATGGGTCACGACTTCAATGAGGCCTTCGTTTCCGCACCCTCTTCTTCGTTATGGTGGTGATAGTGGATCTGGACGATGAGGTCCATGATCCTCACTCGGATACCAATGGCTTTGCCAATCTAACCCAGCTACGCCACTCACTAAACGTTGGGAATGCCACCAGTAGCGATGATGGAGACGACGTTCGCCCGAACCCCAACATCAATGGATTCTCGGCCATCCTGAGCTGCTATCCGTATGCTGCTTCAGATACGGACGTACAGACCACCCGACTAACCGCACATTGACAAACAGCATAGTTTCCGAGCTGGCTTCGCACCTTGATTTGAACTCCCTACATGACCTCTCGAGAACCTGCCGACAGTTCCGCGCAAACCTGCTCCAGTACCGCAACCAGCTTGTCACACAAACCCTACGCTGCTCAAATGAGGCTCTCGCACCCAGCGCACGTCTGGGCCGTGAACTGATAGCAGCACACACAGCATGGAGAAGCAACGGCTTAAGCAATGGATCCCTACACCCTGGCCGTATCACGAGCGGCAAAGTAGGCCGCTGCGCACGAGACATGGTCGGCGAATGCCGCAGATGCGGTACGGTCGTCTGTCGAGTACGTTGTCTCACTGCCCAACCCCATCCCCGTCCGCTCACAATCTGGCAGAACTGCACCATTAAACCGCCCTCCTCAACCACTCTCAAAGGCCGCTACAGACGCCTCTGCCGCACCTGCATCCACGCACCGCTTAGCTGCCTCACGTCTCCGCAGTTAGGACAAGCCGCCTGCTCGTCCTCTTCCGCGTCCTTCCCTCCTTCCACCCACGAACCCGACACCTCCTTCACAGCGTCCGCATTCTCCCGCGGCCCCTGCACTTGCACTGAAACAATCTGGCTCTGCGCGACCTGCGGCAATTCGCTCAAGAACGCCGACACATCCTACACGCGCGCGTGGGTCTGGCGAAAGCAATACAGCCACATAGTATGCGGTCTCGGCACGGGCATCGGCGAGGGCTACGAAGGCGTGAAATGCGGGCGCGAAGCCGATTGCCTCGCCTCAAAAGTGGTCGAGCAGGAGATGGTGTGTACGACCGAGGAGCTGGAGGAGATGGAGCGGGAGGCGGCGAGAAGGGAGAGCGAGGGGGGGAGCTGGGCGGGCACAAGCTATTTGATGCAGGAGATTGAGGGGATCGGAGGCGTGGTCAAGAAGAAGGTTAAGCGGAGAGTGAGGGTTGGGGCGGTGGTGAGGGAGCATGAGGACGAGAGGGACACGGGAAGTTACCTGAGGAGGGAGCAGCAGGGTCTGGTCAGGAGCTGGTGTGCTTGGTGTGAGCGGGTGATACCTGGTAAGAAGGATGTTGAAAAAGCGAGGAGTGATACGGAGACGGATTGGTCGTCCTCTGCGAGCTCGGCATCGAGTTCGTCCGGGAGGACTGGCCCATGAGCTGCAAGTAATTTAGGAAGCGGAACAGCACAGATGATGTCTTGCCGTGTCTCACCATTTGGAATTGTTGACGACTTAGCTATCTGCTACGAGGCTTCGGCTCTGCGGGACGGCGCAACGGTGCATGCATCAGGGGGTGGTTTGCACGAGCGGGTTGTTCCGGCACGTGACATGGGCCGGATTTGGAGCCATCACGTATCATTAACTAACCTCTGTCGGTTTCGTTGCCTCGAGGACAAATGCTCCATTGAGTTCAGATTCCTGGCACAGTGCCAGTATCACCTTAGCCGCTTTCCTCTTGCTTAGAAGAGAGCACGCGTTCAAGCCCGCGCATCTTCCAAACATAGCAAATGGTCTATGTGCGCCGGCCTCGCGGACAAACCATCATTCCGTGCTTACGAGCGGGAGCGTCTCGAAGGATTCAAAGCAGCCCCGGCTGTGCACCCAATCTTGTCCCCAATCCCTGTGGCCTCCTCCACCGCTCTGCAGTCGCTGCGGGTGGTAATTAGGGATCGGCATCACCTCTTGTCCCCACTCGCTCTGCAGCGCTCGAGGCGGTATCCGTCCCCATGTGGGGAACAACGCTTGCATCTCATTCGACAACTCCTCAAATAGCGGAACTTACTGCACCTCGCTCTCCTCACATCCAAGAGGCCATGGTTCCGGCCAACATGTGTTGTGCAGAAGAGGTTGGTGGGTGGACGACTCCACCTGCAGCCCGAGCGGTGGCCCAAATTAGGACGCCCTGCATCAGAAACGGCTTCAAACGACCTGCCCCTGCTTCCGGTGTGGCCGTACTCACGGCCACGATGGGCAGCGCAGATGCTCTAAGGCTCTTGGAAGCGCACCATTCTAGAATAGAAGCATCTCGCGACCTGCGACGATCCGTTCGTCACTTGCGGTCAAGCCAAAGTTGGGCTCAGCAACATGGATTTAGATATCTCCGCGTCGGCTGATAAACCATCCGCACGGTCAAGGCCTCGTTGCAAGGCTGAGCGCTTGGAGCCTCACCGGTTGACCACTGACAGCCGTGGAAACGGCTCTGGTCCATGCACTCTAGTCCAACCCTCTGGCACAAGCCGCAGCTCCACCAACTCGATTCCACGGAAACGGGCCGCCGTTGGGTCTGATCCAAGGGCAGATGGCGCCCCTACACGTGTGTGCTCCCCGAAGTCCACGGGCTTTAGCGTGATTCTGTAACTGTTTGGCTTGCAATGGCCAAGTCCAACCCGCAGATAGCACGGCTCTACCGCCGCTATCCGAAACTCTCGCGTCAACGTTGTCCAGCGTTCTTGAAGATACCGTCGTTGGTGCGTGCCTGAGTAATCGCTTTAAGACGCAACCGCCCTGAAACCTAACAAAAGCCACAGGATCACCTGTACCTTGATCGCAGACGGCAGACTGAGCATAGCCCGAACAACTTCAAAGCGGGACGAGGGAACAGGGTGGCATGCGTCCATCACCGGTTGTTGCTTCACCTACTTTCTGTTCCTTGCTCCAGTCTTGGGTTACCCATTGGTTGTCTACTCTTATATCCTCCTTCTTTGCTCCGGTCCGAAGTTGCCTTACAAATCAACAAGTGCTCTAGCGGAATCACTCCTCCACCCCCTGAAGCTCGTCAGATATGAACATCTGGAACTCTCCGGGTTAAGGCTCCTATTGGTGCCTTTTGGAAGATCATCTCTTAGTATCTGCAGTCCTACCAGGCGCAGCGCGTTGCTCTCGTGTCGGTGCTCGAGGTATTCTGCACAACTTTCAAAGAACTGCCGCTGCCAGCTTCACACGTCTAAGACCTTGCTTATTGCAACAACCGCCCGCCGTGATGGCTGAGGTTTTGGGACTGCGCAACAAGGTCTTGGCGACGCCAAGCAGACAAAGGTCCACAGCCACTGCTATTAGATGCAACGGCAACCAGGAACTTTCTAGACGGCATCAAACACGTAGCACATCGACTTCCTCTCGCTCTTTTAAGGTGCAGAAGCCCTTCGCATGCCTTCATAACGCTACCAGGTCGAAGACTGTGGACACCTACAGCGGCTCCAACCGTGAGGCATCTTTCACAATGCAACGGTTGGCCAAACCCTTGGGCTCGCCTCGATTGACCAAGACCGGCCGGCACAGTAAAGCAAAGAAGGGACTGCCCGTCCATAGTTGCCTCAAGTGTGGGAAGGTACGGTACTCCTCTCCCGCAGTCTTCCGCTCACTCGACATGGTACTCTTTTTGAACGACAACAGTGACGAGAGACGCTGCAGAAGCTGGCATAGGGTTTACTCAATGTCGAAGAACAAGCAAACGCCTCGCGTTGAAACTGGCTGATTGAATTTCATAGGTATACAGCCGAGCGGAGCACTTGAGGTGCGCATCACGAGTGCGACTGAGTGACCTTTAGCTGGCAGCATTGACTAACAAGGGCGTTCATAGGAGACACCAAGTAAATCACGATGGACCGCGTCTCCGGTGCCCCTATGCGAATTGCGAGAAGGTTTTCAAGAGAGAAGACCTCCTTCAGCGGCACAAAGAACGCCAGTATGGATGACTTCGCTCTTCATGCCCGGAAGTTGCTTATGTTTGTCGCAGTAACGATGTCGGAGGCGAACAAACGCGCAGAAGCTCAATCGCTAGCGACGCCTCAGTTGTCCTGTCAGATTCGTGTTCAGCAGCGGGCTGTTCCATCTTGAGCACAGCTGAGACATCAGCTGCAAACTTCGAAGCCAGCCAGCCACCCGTCTATGCCGGTCGCACCGAAGTATCCAATCCAATACCGGAGCCAAGGTATACATTATCCCTTCCAGTCATCATTGCCAGTCCTGGGGCTGGCAGATACCGAACTGTTTCCTCAGCTCGGAATGTCAATCAAACGCGCGAAAACGCATCATTTATTCGCCGTCATATCCTCTCAATTGTAGCGAACTCTTACAAACACAGAGTACTAACGGCAATCACTGCAGTACCGACAGATCGTTCAAGTTTGGAGCAAGCAGTCAGCTGCACCAACCAGTGCCAAACGCACCGCTTGGTGCAGGTGCGTTCGGGCTTGAGTCGTTTTTCCGAGTTGCATGGCCTTCATCATCTGAATGCTCGTCGCCAAGCGGCTATGGGTCACCCAGATACGAGCAAGACCTAGCAGCCCCCACTACATTACCTTACTTTTACGTCCCTCAGCACGCGCAAAATTCATCCAATACCTCATTCGACCCTGCATGGCAATCGCACCCCTCGGCTTCACGCTCTCCGATATCAGTCTGTTCTTCCAGCAAAGCTCACTGGACGAGTCGCAACAACTCTTACCTTCCAGACGCAATTGATCCTCTAGTACTCTTCAGCACAGAGCTCTCTTCCTCTCTAGCAGCTGCGCAGATTCCCCTTTACGTACCGTTCGATATGCCAGTGTTGCTCCAACACAACGATCGCGATGAGATGGAGTACCTGGAGCTCTTTCCACAGGATTCATTGGCGTGGAACGTCGCTTTGAATAACACTGATCAGCATCTGGACCACTACTGGAAGTTCTTCCATCCCTCTTATCCGGTTCTGCATCCACCAACTTTCAATACTGTCGATGCTCCGCCTCTTCTCAAAGCGTCGATGATGATCATTGGAGCTCTGTACGAAAATCAATCTTCGGCCAAGTCAGAGGCAAGACTTCTGCACGAGAGGTGCCTGAAGCTTGTTGCAAAGGTAGGGCATCTAGGTTACATGCCAGTTCAATCTAACGTATAAACTTAGCGCTACAACGATATACAACATACATCACCGCAACCTCGCTTGTGCGACCAGCAAGCTCTATTCCTCCTTGAGTTCTACTCGCAGTTCAAGAGCAGACGACTTTCGCCAATGGCCGCCCGGGGACTGAGCAATGCATTTGAGATAATGTTTCGTCAGGTCAGTCTTATCCCGCAAGTCTCCTTTGGCCAGAGCTCACACCCAGCAGCTTCTGCAAGACGGTGAAGCTATGCCGACTGGAGGCTTTCACAATCCAACCGAGCTAGAACCGGGCGGTGATTATGAGGCGACGTGTCGGCAATGGGCTGAATGGATTCGCCTCTCATCGAAAAAACGACTACTCGTGGCAACAAGTATCCTTCGCGCACAGAAAGCTAGTCTCCTTGGCCGCGCCGAGGGGCGACCTATGTTTCAGGCTACCGATCTGCCCTTTCCATGCTCCGCACCTCTATGGGACGCTCCGTCCGCCGCGGATTGGGTGGACCTCATGCAGCTGAACTCCTCATCCCCACGCTGTATATCCGAAGTCTTGGAAGACAACAGTATCCAGCGTTCGGTTCCTTGCGACCTATTCCAATCCGCCGTACTTATCGCTGGCTGCTATAACGTTGATGTCCACAACGATTTCCTCTCTATATGTGACAGCGATTCCTTTGAGCAAGGACTTGATCAGAGCTATGGGAGCCAGACGCACTATCACGCCACGCTTCTATCACAGAATGCACCTGTTCGCGCACTTCTCGCCGTGAGCGGCGAATCCTGGATCCTGAACGAGAACCTCGAACCGGAATCCTTTGCAGCCGAGAAGAAAAACTTGCGCATTTGGCTAGATGAAAGCTGGGCACTCGAAGCTTACGAACGCAAGGTTCCAGTGATGAAAGCCATTAAGCAATCCATTCACGTCTTGCGCCTGTGTGTCGATGCCTCCGGAGAGAAGCCATCTGCTTTGCCGCTGCACTGGGAGATGATGGCTCATATCTCCGTCCTCGTCCTCTGGGCCGTCGCACACCGGGTTTCCGAAATCCGTAAGCAGCTCGTTCCCGCGTCGAGCCTCAACACGGTATTCCCGTCTCCAGGCTCCGCGCACCACTCGATCACACCGCTATCGGCCGATTCACCGGACCACATGCAGAAAGTCAGGGACTTCCTTGCGTTTGCAGACGAAGCTACGAATGTGTCAGACTTGAGGGCGCAGTGGTATAGCGGCAGCGTACCGCTTGCGCAATGGCGGCTGGGCGTTACGGCCATGCTTCAGTGGGTCAGCATGAGGCTTGAGAACGCGAATCCGGATCAGAGATCAAGGAGTGACGTGCTATCCGCAGCGATAAACTCTCTGAGCCGGTTGTGTGAACGAGGATGGGAGCCGGGTTGGTTTTGATGGCGGCATGGGCCGTTTGTTGGGCGAATCTGCACTTGATATGTTACGTGTCGGAGTAGTCTCAGATGGACATGCATGCTGAGATTTATCCTCTGTTACTCTATCGCTCCTGCGCATTTTTCTACTCTCGGGCGTCTTTTGCACATATTCAGTTTTTCTTTGGCGTTGCACTGCGTGGATTTGCGTTTGGCGATGAACACCCCACGACCAGCTTTAAGCGTGCCACGCTTTGTTATACCCTTTTTTTTTACTGCAGTTGGACATTACTGCCTCCCTCGCTTAGCATTTTTGGATCAATACAGGATGAGTGCACAAAAGTTACATCGGAAATGCGCTGGCAGTTGGAAGGCGTGATGTCTGGAACGGGGCTCAGGGCGAAGGGAATGACGATGTGCATGCGAAAAGTACTCAAGACTTCGGTAATGTCTACAAAAGGAATCCCTCTGTGAGTTCAAGCTGGCAGTTCCAAATCGGGGAAATTTTCATGCGATGTGGTACAGGCTGCAAGGCAATCACGCTATGCCTGATTAGGCAAATGGGAAAGCGGGCCAAAGATCCCCCCGCCAGGGCAGCTCGCACAACATCATGAACGTCTCCCACCAGTTCCCCTCCCTGCCCCGTCCCCTCCCAGCACTGCATCAGTTATGAGATACGCTGCGCCTCCACAGCTGCCGCCACCAATAAAGACTTCCTCGTGTTGAGGAGCTGGAGGAATTCCTGAATACGTTCTCTGGCACCTGCATCGTTGTTCACCTAGCGTCATCGGCTTACACTTCCTTGATGGCTTATCGAGATCAGGCGCTTGAAGCATTTCATTGGTTGAATAGTGAATGTCCGGCCTCAACTACTGCTGTAGGATCGTGACTTGATCTGGAGACCGAGAATTTCTATCAACCAGAGCTGGACCTTGTCTTCCAGCGTGATCTGAGATAACCGGCACCGACTTATCACAGTTCCAAGGATCAAGATTCAGCGAACGAGATTCAGCGAACGCTGTTGCCCTCTCAAAGTGCGTTAATTGAATGATTACAAGCCATCGTGGGAATGACTCTTTCTTCTGGCAGAGTCCTGCACAAGAATGGATCAGACTGTCAGCAATAAGCAGGCAAATTCCACCTGCAAGCCCACTGTCACACTGTGAGGTTACAATCGCAGTCACAGCTCCTTCTTCTCGCTTCGCTCAGTCGTTACCGTCTCACCCTCTGCTTACTCTTCAGCACTTTGTTCGTTGGCAGAAAGATTGTACTAGCGCAGTCATTCGTCCCTTGCTCTAGCGTTGCAGGAGTTTCATAGATAAATCATATCACACACGGCCCACATTGTCCCCATGCATCATGGTTCTCTATCAGCCTTTAGCAGCCGCAGACACATACAGCAGTCCCAGACAGCCAAGCGAGAGCCTCACGGCCAGTCATTGTGGTAAAACTCCAGGTCATGCTTGGCGCAGCACAGTTCGTTGCCTTATTTGAGGATCCATCCATTGTGGCGCGAAGAGATGCTTCCCTATTCTTAAGTTCTTCAGGCGGCCGTTTGCCGTATTGGAGAAAGGTAGGCAACTTCTCCTCTCACGTCAGTCCGGCTTGCCAATGGACCAATCCAATCTGGAAGAGAGGATGCTTCGATTTATGGAACAGAGGCGTTGTACCGTCAGCAATAAAGATCGTTTCGAGCAATAACTCTGCCTCCTCTGGATATGGCGCCTTTGCTCGAGGCCGCCTGGCGGCCGCCTACCCACCATTCATCGAGCTTGTTAGGCATCTACATCTCCGCACGAGAAGCTCGAGTATTTAAGGAAGGCAAGACATCGTCAAAGTTGGTCCAACACGCTCCAGTTTCCAGACTCTCCGCTAGCTCGACAAACTTCATTTCTACCGACAACGTGTCCATCGACAGCCGTTTCCAAACTGTAAGTGTAGCCTCTTCGTTCTTCCGAACTTCTTGTAAGACAACTCCGCAGTCTGAAAGGGTGCACCTACTTGGAGCCGTCTGCCGCGGACTGTGCGTTGTCTACACTGGGTGCTTCAGCTAAGAGACAGTCCAGCGTCGCAACGATGGTTATCTTCCCCGCTACTGAAGAGCCTGCAGAGTTCAACAACAACTATATCTTCTACTGGAACCATGTCGGGCTGCAATTCAATAGGCTCACTCACTCTATTGGCGGTCCTCAAGCTGGTCCACCGATCAGCGCACGAGCTCTGGGCATCTTGCATCTAGCCATCCATGATGCATACTTTGCTCTCAGACCTGACCAGTCGGGCTCATTCCGCACCTACCTGACAGTTGATGACCCAAACCCTGCTCAACGCTTGCCCACCATCGCTGGCGAGACTGATACACGCCAGGCCGTGGCTGGAGCGGCTATCAGAGTATTGAGCAGGCTGTATACACAACGCAGCCTTGCTGTAGCCGTCAATGTTACGCATCAGCTGACGCAGTTTCTGAATCAATCCATTATCGACTTTGCCGCCCTGGACGTGCTTTCTTCGAGCTACCAGTTTGGAGTCGCTGTTGCCGATGCAATGTTGGCACTACTGATCAGGCCTGGAGAGCCGGGTGGTGATCAGACCGGCTACCGACCCAAGGAGGGGTTATATGGCTTCGATGATGATCCGACTCACCCGGTGCGCCTTCTGCCAGTTGACCCGAACGATCCGACTGGACCCAAAGTCCCTACGCGTGTTTACGCTGCGCCGTTCTACGGGATGACTGCCAGCAGGTTTGCGGTGCAGAGCGAGCATATTATCGCAGACCCCCCTGTCGGATTTAGGTTAAACGAGCAACAAGAGTTCGACGAGCAACAAGAGTATGACGACGCCCTCCGGGATGTCAGACGTATGGGCGGTGCCCCCGAACTCAACTCTACCACCCGACTGCCTCATCAGACTGTAGCCGCGTACTTCTGGGCCTACGACGGCGTCAATCTGATCGGTACTCCGCCTCGGCAGTATAACCAGATCCTCCGTGTCATCGCATGGGAGCGGAAGACTGATCCAGCCCCTGACGCCGAAGCCAACAACGCGCACTTTGCACGTCTGCTTGCCCTAGCCAACGTCGCCATGACAGACGCGGGCATAATCTGCTGGCGCGAGAAGTACTGCTTCGAGTTCTGGCGCCCTCTCTCCGGCGTGCGCGAGGACCCGCGCAGGTCCTACGCTGACCCCTTCTGGCTCAGTCTCGGCGCCCCCGAGACCAACAGGAACGAGATATCATTCAAGCCGCCCTTCCCCGCCTACCCCTCCGGCCACGCGACCTTCGGCGCCGCGGCGTTCCAGATCGCCCGCCTCTTCTACAGCCAGGGCAGCAGCGTCGACATCGCGTCCAACACTGCCGACAACATCAGCTTCAGCTTCGTGTCTGACGAGCTGAACGGCAAGAGCCGCGACCTGCGCGAGCCATACGATGACAACCGCCGCATCGAGGACCAAGTCGGCACGGTGCGCACGCGCGTCAAGCGCCACTTCGGCAGTCTGTGGGAGGCTATCTGGGAGAACGCTATCAGTCGCATCTGGCTGGGTGTGCATTGGCGCTTCGATGCGTTTGCGGCTGAGGACGTGCTGGTGCCGAGATCGACTGGGGATGTGGAGCCTTACAAGGTGCTCCCAGACGGCACCACTGCCTACAAGGATCCGGGCGAGATTAGCTACGACGCCATGTCCAAGCGGCATGATCGTGACGGTGTGTTCCCCATTGGTGGGGTCCCGCTGGGGATTGGGATTGCGAATGAGATCTTTGCGACGGGGATGAGGCCGACGCCGCCGGAGCAGCAGCCTGATGGGCGACATCGGTGCGGTACTGGTGGGACGATGAGTGAGTTGATGCAGAGTGGGCAGTCGAGCTCGGACTTTGAGGAGGTTTTGAGATAGTCGTCGTAACCTTTACTTCGGAGGAGGTGGTTCGGCTTTCCTTGCATGAAAACGTGCTTTCAACGGGCTCTCTTTCCTGTCTTCTTCTTCAGTATGTTGCAATGGTAGTCGCTGTTACCCTGATGTTGATCGTCTGTGGTTTTCTTTCCTAAAAGTAGAAAATTGGTCTACGAAAAGGGCTGGTCAACCCATTCCGCGACTTACCTGCCTTGTGGTTCCGTGATATCTTCAGCTTCACTACCGGTTCGTCTCAAGCTCATGACCAAGACTATGTGAGGGGAACACACAATCGCTCCCATGAGACACTCCCAAAGTTGCTCCGTGATACGAATCAGATTTCAGTATTTACAAAGACATCCAACGCAGCAAGCCTTCTATACCAGTCTACACCTCTCGCAATGCGGCAGCAAACCCACCCAGCTATCTCCAAACCGCCACAGCAACTTCCCACTCCACCCTCACAGATTTGCCTGCAACCGCTCATTCAACCCCCTCTTCAGCCTCCTCTCCACCGCCGCCATATACTCCCCCGTAACAACCCAGCTCCCCCGATCCTTCTTCCCACAACTCAGCGCCAAATCCTTGGTCATGATGCCATCCACATCGACCGTCTCGACGCACGCGCGTTCCAACGCGTTCGCAAACTCGACCACCTCGGGCGTGTCGTCCAGCTCGCCGCGCTTGGCGAGGCCACGTGTCCAGGCGAAGATGGACGCGATCGGGTTGGTGGAGGTCTCGTTGCCTTTTTGGTGCTCGCGGAAGTGACGTGTCACGGTTCCGTGCGCGGCTTCGGACTCGAAAGTTAGGCCGTCGGGGGTTATGAGGACGGAGGTCATTAGACCGAGGGAGCCGAAGCCTTGGGCTATTATGTCGGATTGCACGTCGCCGTCGTAGTCTGCCGGGTGCGTCAGTGCGTGGGGCTTGGAGTGTGTAGGAGGTTGTCGGCAATAGTATAGGGAGAATGGGAGGGGAGAAAGGGGGAAACAATTGACATACTCTTCATAGCAATGATGAACCCGCCCTCGCTCTTGATCATCTGCGCAACCATATCATCGATAAGACGATGCTCGTACCAGATCCTCTTCTCCTCGAATTCCTTCCGATAGTCCTTCTCGTAGATATCCTGGAACACGTCCTTGAACCTCCCGTCATACTTCTTCAGGATCGTGTTCTTGGTGCTCATATACAGCGGCAGCTTCTTGTCGAGCGCGAGCTTGAAGCTCGCATGCGCGAACCCGCCAATGCTCTCCACCGTGTTGTACATCGTCATGCCGACGCCGCCCGTAGATCCGAAGTCGAACACCTTGATGGTCTGCGGCTTGCCTCCCTTGGGCGTAAACACCATTTCGAGCGTCCCCTCGCCTTCGATAACCATGTCCTTGGCGCGATACTGATCACCAAACGCATGGCGGCCGATGATGATCGGCTCCTTCCAGCCCGGCACGAGGCGCGGGATGCGCGGTATGACGATGGGCTCGCGGAAGACGGTGCCGCCGAGGATGTTGCGGATGGTGCCGTTGGGCGAGAGCCACATCTGCTTGAGGTGGAACTCCTTGACGCGCGCCTCGTCGGGGGTGATGGTTGCGCATTTTACGCCGACGGAGTATTTTTTGATGGCTTCGGCGGCGTCGATGGTTACTTGGTCGTTGGTTTCGTCGCGGTAGGGGAGGCCGAGGTCGTAGTATTTGAGGTCGATGTCGAGGTAGCTAGGGGTCAATTAGTGGAGTGGGAGAGGTGGGAGGGATAGGGGAGGAAGTACGGGTGGATGAATTTGTCTTTGATGTCTTGCCATATAATCCGCGTCATCTCATCGCCATCGAGCTCCACCACAGGGTTCTTGACCTTGATCTTCTTGAAGGCCGACATGTTTCTTCTCTGTTGGTATACTGCGGATGCTGATATGGGTGTGGAGGAGGTTCGTGCTGGGGCTAATCTGCTCAATTGGGCGAAGGTTCTGGTGGAGGAGGAGATGCAGCTGCGGGAAGCTGTAAGGGCGAAGGAGGGTCTCATGGATGACGAAGTATATGGAGGAGAAGCTCAACACTTTATCGAAGGGTTCCTGCAGGTCACCTCGCAAAAAACTGCGCGGCAGCGCGCGCCGGCTCTGCATAACGCTGCCCGAATGACGGCAGCGGGGTCGGGCTAAACAAACTTCCTCGGCGGCGGCATATACTCAAGTACTGAGGCAGCAAGGCATCAAGGGGACAGGGAATTAGCATTGTCGATTCCCTGAGCTTCGTGCAGACTACTCGAATGCTGAGAAGCAGGAGCTTTCCGCTTCAATCGTGACAATATTGTAACTCAAAGTCCCTGATAGTTATGTCTTAAGCATGAGTACCATCCGACGGCATCACTGCTGGCCTGCCTGAGACACCCGTATCCGTCCGAATCCTGCCGAGATTCGCGGAACGTCCGAGCACCCATGCGGGTGACAAAAACTACTGGACTCCTACATCGCCGCCGGGCTCCCAATCCACTTCAACATCACCAAAATTTGTTGACTTCACCCCGTATCCAAAGAGCTCTAATCTGCCTGTTGCACTCCTGAGTGTCACCTGAACACGCTCACAAGGCAGTGTGCTACGGAGAAATGCTTCTGTTCGTGACCGTTATAAGCTGACTGAAGACTTTTCTGTCTTTTGAGTCCGGCGATATTCGTCAACCGAGTGGCACCCCATCCAAGCTCAATCTATAAACTCCTCCTGTCTGCTTCCATCTTATGTGTTCTTCAAGACGTCTTCACCTTCTCTAAAGACCCACTCAGCTTGCAAGGGGCAAGGGAAGGGTAGCGCTCATCCCAATACTGCCTTCCTCAACTAAGCAACGACGTTCAATGCAGGTACTTTGTGTACAAGTACAGAAACGCTATAGATCATGTACATCTCTCTAGAGGAACCTCCACTTCACGAAAGACCTTGTGTGTTCTACTAGGGCCGGAGATTCCGGTCTAGCCTGTTTTTAGTTCCTCCTTTCCCATTTTCCTCCTTCTATCTCGGCTTTTCTACGAAGCCTACCACGGAGTCTATTTCCAGTGTGACTATTCTACTCTTGCATAAGCATAGCGTGGGCTTCCAACCGTTTCTCTCGTTTGTCAACCCCTGAGTTCCGCCTGCCAGTCCCGCTTCAGGCAGTGCGCGGACCCTGTGTCTCAGACGGGAGCGTGCGACGGCCCGACGTAATACGCAAAAGTTCCGGTAGCCGGGCTCGTGGAAGTTTCACCATCCGCTTTGCATTTAGGGCTCTGTTATGCATGGGCTCCCAACCCATCTCCACGAGTTCTCTTTCACTGGAGAACTGATATCGCTCGATCCTTCCAATATCTTCACCAACCTGTGAAGCCCACAAGCTCGTATCGCAGCACACCAGGCAGCCGAGAACCTACCAGTAACATGCTGTCACAGCCAGCATACAAAAGCGGATAAAATACGCACCTCACGACTCTCCCGCTCACCTCATCAGCGAAACCAGCACTGCGCCACACCACCCAAGATGTCTCAGACTCCCTCCCGGATCCCCGCTACACATTCCCTGTCTACCCTGCCATTCCATTTGACCGTGAAACAGCTACTTGACCTGTACCGTGCGGAACGTGCCGTCACCGAAACGCGCAGTGACTCCCCCGGAGAGGGAGAGCTTCTGGAATCTAGTAGCAGTAGCGCTGCACCTACTGCAGTGTTAGCCGAGCCTCAAGATCTGCCTAGCACGCAAGAGGTTAACCAGGCCGCGTTGTTTACTTTTCTCGCGTTGATGACGAGGGCGGACGAGTTACTGAAGAAGCATAAGAGGCTGGAGAGCGAGAATGAAAGGCTGACGGGGGAGAACATGATGCTGCAGGTCGAGAACGAAATGATCACAGCGGATAACGGAATTTTGCAGGTCGTAAATGACAGGCTGAGAGAAGACAACGAAACAGTCCATGAGGGGAACAGGAAATTGTAAGCGGAGCTGGAAAAGCGCGGCGGTTCGAGGCAGTCCCAAACGATCTGTTGAGAAGCAGTTTCATGAGAAACTGGGGAGGTCAAGGAGTTTATGCATGTCTCTAAGCTCTGCAAGCGTAGCTTGAAACCTGAACGAACCGGTGGTGGAGGACAGTGGTGAGCCAACCTTTGCATCCTGCCGAGCCGTGGAACCGTTCTTTTGGGAACCTTTTTGTTGTCGTGGCTGCACAGAAACCATGAAACGCAGTTCACGAGCAATGAGCGTACACCATCCAGGCCTGATGTTGCCGGTCTCTCTCGGCATAGCTCTCGATTGGGCTCTTCTTCTTGCAGATCACTTCTCTTTCTCTATCCCTCTGCCGTGGAAGCAGTGGAACATGTCTCTGAACAAATCTTGAATGATCAGCCCTAGTCCCAGGCTTCGGAACGTCGTCATTTCCCGCAAACTGCCCTCCTTTCAAATCGGGTATATAATCGTCTCACCGGCGGCCATGATCAGCAATTCAACATCTCAGCATCTCAGCTTCCCGACCTCTTAGTCTATCAACCTCTCGGCTTCCTATCTTTCCATGTTCTCCATACCTTAATATCTAGACATCGACATTGTTACAACCAGCTCGTCGAACTCGTCTCGAAATGTCTCAACCCAGCTTTCATGCGGAGCCGTCAACCTCGGCGCAAGCCTCCTCAGTAAGTCCTACCCGCGATACCAAATATCGCTCCTACAACGAACCCAGCTCATCATCCGAAGCCGGATATCTTCCCCGACAACACTGCTGAGTCCGCCCCTACCGACGATCAGCCCACAAACGCCGTGACGCTCCACGTACAGGCCATGCATCAGCCTCAAACCACACAATTTCAGGGCCCATCAGATCAGCTGGTCCGCCGTACATCTATGGATACGAATGTCCGATCGTTGTCCGAAGATCTGAAGACTCTCAAAGACAAAGCCGGCGCGCTCGGAGTGGAAGCGATGGCTGTGAAGATGTTGGAGCAGCACATGTCCGAGTGTTCAGTATCAACTATAAAGCGGCAGAGGATAACCGAGCTGTTGTGCGACCGCGGCAAGACGCTGGAAGGCGAGAACAAGCTGTCAAGAGACGAGAATCAACAGTTGAAAGGGGAGCTGCGGCATTGCAGAGAGGGCTTTGCTGTCAAGAGGCGGGAACTGAAGGAAGCGTTGCATGTCATGCAACACCTGAATACTCTTTTTGGGGAATGGATTGGTAAAGCTTTGGAAAAATGGTAGGGGCTATCAAGATCGATATATCGAACGGATCTCGTTGGGAGCTATGATGTTGTGGTGAATTATGTCAGATAGCGGCAAGAACCCCTTTGCCTTTTCCTAGTCTCGACAGTGTTAGTCACGTACAGTACCTCTTGTATCGTTCCTTCCTCTTGTTGCGCACCACTTTCCGCACGCTTGCCCGTCACCCTCGGAGCAACGAACTTTTGCTAAACAATTCAAGCATCACCACCAACCTCATAACATCGTCATCTTTGCACACCATCCTTTATCTTTGATTCTACACGCTTGTCAGCAATCGCCTCACTCATCAATTCAAGTATCCACATTCGCAATCAGACAACCCGCAAAGCTCATCTCAGCATGTCTTCGTCAGACCATACCGACGATTCCGTGACACCGTATTTCCAGTCTTTAGAGAGACTGGCTCTACAGTCACCATCCACTCTTTTTCAAATGCGCCTCAAGACCCGGACCCGAACACTGCTCCCTTCACGCCTGCTCAGCACACTCGCGCCGAAGACCATCTCAGGCAAGCCACACCAACAAGAAATCTTGACGAGTACATGCAGTGGCGAATCAATCAGTTGAATCTTGACTCTGCTGCAAATGAGTCTACGTCTGCTCAGTATGCCAACAGTGACGATCTGAATACGCCAGCCATGCTACTCGGCGGGCTAGAAAGATCTGCAGAGGCCGAATATCAGAGTCTCATCGACCGCATCAATCAAATGGTTCCTGTTGCCGCTGCGAATGAGCGTCCTACACCCTTTCGGCCATGCAGGAGAGCAGATTCATCAATGGCAGAGACAGCCCGAGATGCAGAAATCCATTACATGCAGGGAAAGATCGCAGCACTGCAAAAGCAAGTCGCGTATCACGCAGCTCTAGAAAGATCTGCGAACGAGGTCACAGCTCGACAGGCGGATGTCATCGCCACCTTGAACAGACACGTGGAGAATCACGAGCAGTACGAACAACAGCTTCGGAACGATGTCGAAGAGCGTGACCGGAGCAATGAGCAGCTGGCCCGACACCTTTTTTCTGTGAGAGAAGTTGCGACGTCTCTCACTGAGCAGCAACACCGGCTCTTCGCAATCTTGAGAGATTTTAATGGGCTTGGATGCGAGGGGCAGCTCCTCGCAATGGAAGATACTGCGGGTTCTTCTTGATCGGATGATTAAGGCGGTGCAGAGCCTGGGGAGAGTCTAGTCGTTGGGGGATATATCAAGACTTGGAGGGCGTGGAGAAGTATGGAGCCGTTGTCAGTGCTGGGATTACTGATGTAAGGACGGATGGCCCCAGGAGCGTACAACCACCTGCGATGGTGGGAAAGAAAATAGTCCCGTATCCGCTCGCTTGAGTTAACAACAACCGTGAAGGATTCTGGGACTCAATTTTTCGCTCTCATTTCTTCCAAGCTCTGTGCCTCTGGTGGCTTCACCGTATAAGTCTTCAGTGAATTAACGCGTCTCATACGTACCTTCGTCTCTGACAACCAGCTTGCTTGATCAGACATACCACGATCGTAATCTACCGGGCACCGTGACCTTCCGCAAACCACCGGCCGCTGCCGTCATACCTATTAAAAGCCGTTAGCGGCCACCTCGCTTGAAAGCCCAGCTATCCATATCCTTACAGCCCTTTTTAGAAGCCTTACAAATCGCCCGAACTCGACACACCATGCCAGACGCATCACCATCAAATGAACCAAACGATTCTGGGCCAGATGCGGCAGCACAAGCGCAAAACCCAATCACAAGTGCGCTCGCTCAGCGCGCCAGAGCCGACGCCGAGCTCAAGAAGGTCATGGAAACGGTCGCGCAAGGAAAAGGTACAGCGGAAGTAGCCAGCGCGCTCAAACGATTAGCAAAAGAGGTCATTGGCGTCATTGACAAAGAAGCAAGAGAAAGCGATCTGAGAGATTGCGAGGCCGCAATCAGAGAGCGCGAGAACGCAGTCAGAGAACGCGAGACTGCAGCCAGAGAGCGGGAGACCGCAGCTGGAGAGCGTGAGAGTACCGCCGCGGACCGCCAGAGTACCGGCACCGGTTCGTCTCACCGCGTGGACAGACCAGTGAGACCACGGGGTGGTAGTGAGCGTTTTCCGGACCGGCGCACGGAACGCCGCCGCGGAAGGGACCTGGAGGAGAGGTTGTGGGACATCGGCGAAACAGCAGCAGCTCTTGCTATTCAAGCGAGAAGGCTTTGGGGAAATCTGAGGCATGTTGACGGACGGGAATGGGAGCGGCGTTTAGAGATCATGGAGCACAACGCTCATCTTCTCCTCGAGGAAACCAGCCACGCAAGGGATGCGCTGAGGGGATGGTAGGTGATGCGAAGGCGGCGGATGACTTGGGCAAAGCTTGAATGGAGGGAGAACGCTCTGCTTTGTAAGGTCGATAGGCAGAATGAAACGACGTCGGCGTAGAGGCGTAGAGTGACCCGTGAACATGTAAGGCATGAAAACCTGTAGGAGATGGAAGAAAAATTGTGAATCCACGTTATACGACTCATACTGTATCGAATATTCCGTTCATTCGTCTCAATAGGTGCGGCCGAAGAACCTCGCATGCCAGTTGTCGTGATTGGGACCTGCAACTAGTAAGCCTTAAGCTGATGTTGACAGCGGCGTCGGCCTTGATCGAGATATCGCTTTGTATGTGTATGATGCTTTGAGTAACCCTCATCCGACCGTTCAAGCCATCTCGGCGTAGATGGAAAGGCCATGGAAGACCCAGGCTGCTTCCTAGAACAATCAGCTTGTCGGAGCAAACAATTAGCACTCACAAGCCGCAGAATACCTTTGTCTTCGGCAAACTGCCACCTATTATTAGCATATATATGCATCGCTGGCAGACGCGTTCTTTTTCAGAGTTCAGATATCCCACCGCTGACCAAAGATTCCAAAGCCTGACTCCAAGCCCACCATGCCAGGCTCACCTCTTCCACTAGACCCTCCTACAGCTCGTGAGCCGGCTCCTGATGCGGCCACTCGAGCGCTTGGCCATGACCCGATCATTCATGCGCTAGCACAGCGTGCCGGGACTGACGCGGAGCTCAAGCTGGTCATGGAGGCTGTGGCGCAAGGAACACGCAATGAGGCTCAACTGCAATACCTTCAGTTTCAGATCAACCAGATGATACAGCAGCGAGTTATCAAAGAGGAAAACGGTGCTGCGGGGGCGAATCCGGATGCTGGCGCCGCTGGGGTTGGTCCTTCCGGTCCGGTTTTTGTGGGGCGCGAGAGATTGACAGAATTCGCGGCCACGGGCATGAATCTTCACGCTCTCATGCAAGACGTGGAGGATCTGAAGAAAGAGACTGATGCACTCGGGCAAGATATCAACAACGATCGGGAGCGACTGGAGAAAGAGCTGTTGGACGCCGAGATCATTGCTACGAACCGACAGCGCATCGTCAACTTCCTGAACGAACAGATCAAGAAACACGAAAAGCACGTGAGGGAGCTTGAGAACAAGATGAGAGAGCGTGAGAAGCGGGTTTGGAAGAGAGCGGCACGTTTAGACAAGATAGAGGAGCCCCTACGCGAGATGGCGGAGTCTCTACGAAAGATGACGGACACGGCTGCAATTCTTCTTGGACAAAGAAGTCGTCTAATGGAAAGCTTCGAGGGTACCGATCTAGAGGTATCGGGACGAGGGAAACTGTTGCGCGTAATGGGAGAGACGGCCGCGCTTCTTGTCGGGCAGATTACGAACACGAGAGAGGTACTGAGCCGTAATGGGATCGTAGAGGATGTGAGGAAGGAACGCAGTGGGATCGTAGAGGATGTGGAGGAAAGTGGGTCTTTGTCGGATTGTGATTTCTACGATTGACCGGGAGGGTTTTGAAGCGCGGAGTGAGATTGACCAAGGAATCATCTCAGCCTTTCGAGCCTCCTAGACATCTTGCATTATGTGCTCGACTTTACGCGGCGTAAATGATGAGCACCAGACCGCATAGGTGAAACCTGCTGGTCTCTATTTTAGCGGACCATGAAATATTTACCGGGAATAGATACCAAACCTTTCCGTTTTCCCCTGTTCCACTCCCCTTATCATCACGCTCAAGGCGACCAAGCCTTCACAACCGGCCACCCCTCAAAAAACTCTGGCCCCTCCTTCCCCCTCGCCGCGAAACCCCCCACACTCTCCGCCTCCACCAGAACGGGCAACACGGCCCCCGTCTGCAACCTAAATACGCGATGCCCGACCGCTCTCAGGATCGCCGCTGTGCTGCCCCCATGCCCCGTCAAGCTAACAAATATCGCCCTCTCCTTACAAAACACATCGTTCAGAAACTTCGTCAACCGTGCCGTCATCTCCTCGTCCGTCTCTCGTACATCGGGGCGCCATAGCTCGTCTTCCTCCGTGAAGCCTTTTTCGGCGGTGTAGTCTGGATATCTTTCTAAAATCGTGGAGAGCGAGGATCGCCGGTCGCATGTGTGGACGCCGAGGACTTCGCGTAGCAACTCTTTCACTACGGGCTTGAATGGCCGGTCCCGGGGCAGGTCGAGCGCGCCGAAGGTGAGGCGCGCGGTCTCGAGGCAGCGGATTAGCGGCGAGACGAAGTAGGCGCCTGGGGCCGGTATGCTGGCGTTCGTGAGCGCGGAGGCCCAGAAGTTGCGTGCGCCGACTGCTTGCAGGATGCCGAGTTCGGTGAGCTCGGGGTCGGCCCAGGTCACTTCGGGGATGCCGTCCAGCTTGGACCAGTGGCGCTGAGGGAAAGTAAGTCAGAGTTGGCACAAGAGATATGGAACCCCGCAAGACTGAGCATATTGCCTGATGGCGGAAACGTGTGCGGATTGATTTAGAGAATATATACGGAGAAGGAAGTGAACCGGTTGTACTTACATCCCACTCTGGGGTGCCGTAATAGCTTTCAGCAATGTTGTGCACGCCTTGCCCGTGCCTTCCGATAAAGAAGACCTTATACGCTACGTCCCGTGGGCTGCCATCGTTCAGTGTATGCACGTAGTGTTCGAAGCGCTGCCACTGCGTCTTTTTATGTTCCGGGTCGAACTCCGGATCAGTTGGGTATGGACGGTCAATGAGGCCCAAGTTCGTCCGCGTCTGAAAGTGTGAGTGATGGGTACTGGTAAGCGAGAGGCTTCTTCGAATGATCTACGTACATACTCAAAAGAGGTGTCGTTTGTTGCTGGGTCGTCTTGGAGGAAAACGCCGCCGATGATTGTAAATTTGAAGGGCGCAACCCTATCTACAGGGAATATTTGAGTTGCATCGCCCTCGTTGAGACCGAGACAGAATCTTGGTGATGCAAGCAGCAAGCAAACGAAGGTGAGGATGCTGAGATTCATTCTGTGACCAACGGTACAAGACGGAATTCGGAATTCTCTGGAGATTTAACGAAAGCAGACTACACGACCTGACAGCAGCACTCATAAATATAAGAAAGAGCTCAGTATAGATTGGCATCACATGGATGCTGGAGCACCAGGTGTATTGCGCTCCGCACGTGTGTCGCTTCTGAAGAACCGAGTGGCTGTGGTGTTGCTACCGCGGGCCAAGCACGTAACATTGGGGAACAACACCGACTTACTCGAAACACGCTGCTCGACAGGTTTCGTCTTTGGTTTTCGAGAAGTAGGATCGGGAGCCATTTTGACGCAGAGGAAATCCGTAACAGTGGTGAGAACTGTGGTTGACATCGCAGGGAAACTCTACAGTGTCTGGCACGTTGTGGGGTTAGCTCCAGGCGGCTTTCTTTTGCTACAAGGCCTGATCATTGGCCGACAAGCGATGGAAATGCGGTTCTGCACCAATCAGGTCTCCGTCCAGGGCTTAGGTTATCCGTTGTCCGCACTGTTCCTTGTGAACTTCTCGAGGATCAGAGAGCGTAGTGTACTGCATACTCACAGCGTCACGTGGAATATCATATATATCTTAGATCCCTCCCATAATTCATCTAAGACAGCAGAGGCCCTCTATAGACCATGAGCCCAGTGACAAACCCACCAACGCCGTGGCATGCTTCATCAAAACCCAAGACGTTGCTCGCTCACAGATTCGCCTGTTCCCTTTCCACCTCATACTTGAAATCGAAGTATGCCTTGTCAAAGTGATGCACCCGCACGTAACCGTCCTCACCGCCGGAGCAATACCCTTCCCCTTTAGGATGCACGGCCACGTAGTTCAGAGGGCCAAAGTGTCCTCTCACACGGCCGATCTCCTCCATGAAGATCTTGTGGTAGAAGCGCGCTTCGAATTTGCCTTGTCGTGCGGATGTAGTCGTGACGTCCATGGCTGCTTGGCCGCCTCCCAGGATCACGTAGTCTTTTACCGGTGTTATCGCGGCAGAGTTGAGTGGGGTGTCGGTGCTGTAGGATTTTAGGATTTCGAGGTCAAAAGCGGAGACGAGCTAGATCCAGCCGTCAGCGTAAGTTTTTGTGGGTTACAAGACGAGGGAGATCGAAATACCTTGGCTGTCTTGTCCTTCGACGCAGTGATAAAGTACGTCCGATCAGGCGCCCACTGCAGGTCCGTAACCATCATATCCGGCTCATGCACCTGTACGTTCTTGTACTCCTCTCCCGTCTTTGCATCGTACTGCGTTACCGAGCCGTCCTCGTGGCCCGCAATGATGTACTTTGCGAGGTAGCTGAAGCCTGCGACCGTAGCCTTGGACTCCTCGCACAGTATCCGCAAGTACTGCTCATCCGACTGGTCCTCGCCCTTCTCCGGATCGATTTCGTACACTACGATCGTTCCCAGATGCCCGCTTCGCTTCTCCGTAACGCCGAGCAGTAGTCTCCCATCAGGCGAGAACTCAACCCGCTTGATCGAGGTAGCGAACTCCCACGTCTTCAGCAGTTTCCCGGTCTTCACTTCCCACAGCCTCATCGTGTTGTCGGCGCCACCGGTTGCGAGTAGGGTGGAGGTAGGATCAACATCGACGCTCCAGAGGGCGCCAACATGCCCGTGGTAGGTTCCGAGCCGCTCGCCGTTGCCGCTGTACCAGGCGCAAACGACGTGGTCTTTGGAGACGGAGAAGATGATGTCGCCATCGGGGTTGTATCTTGTGAAGCAAGTCAGCCTGGGCGACCGACGGTGGTGGAAGTGGAGGAAGCGCACTTTACTTGGGTCAAGGCCCGTTCCTAGGCATCGGCGAAGTGTTAGTCGGAGACGCCTGACGATACTTGGGCCGGGGAAGGTCTTACATGGCCTGACAGCAATACGGGTCTCATGATGTATGCGCTTCGGAGGATGTGTAGCTCAGAAGCGGTTTGTGGGGGGGTTTTGCCGTGTTTTGGCGGCGTCACTTGTGAGATGTCAAAAGTGTGGTGGGAGGCGCAAAAGATCGAGCACGTGATTTGGGGCCGCCTATTCCGCCAAGATTTCGCGCACAGTCTGGAGTTCTAAACGCGCACGCACGCAGGGGAAGGACAAGGACACGGTTGGCCGCGCCGTGCCGAACGGGTTTGGAAAATTGCCGTTGTTAACTATGGCTTGAGGCTTGAGTCACGCCGAAGCAACTGTTGTGCTCAGGGACTCAGTCGCATTTACCAGTCTAAAGGCACTTGAAGCGTTCAACACGCTAGATCTGCTCTCCGCCGTCCGAATCACGGGCAGCCATCCAGGTTCAGATGAACGTTCTAAGGATCGGCAGGCCGAGGGATCATTCCTTCTCCCTCAGGCCGGTGTCGCGGGGCAGATTTAATTTTGCGCCGCATCGCACAACGTCGTCACCGCTGCGCGCCCACCAATTGACAACACCACCATCGATCAGCGGCCAGAGACCGAGATACTTCTCCAGCAGCCAAGCAGTCATGACCGCCACCAAGATCGATGGCACTGCCATTGCCAAGGGCATACGACAGAGGCTTGGTGCAGATATCAAGCAAAAGCAGGAGAGCAATCCGCGATACAAGCCTGCGTTGAGGATTATACAAGGTAGATTTCTTGCATGTGTTCCGGCTTCAGGTCATAGCTAAACTCCAATGCAGTTGGCGACCGCTCAGACTCAAGTATGTAGCAAGAGATCTTGTGTGAGGACTCGGGAACGGGCAATTGACCTTCCAAGGTACCTATGTGCGGATGAAGTTGAAGGCGGCGGAAGAGGTACGAAGAGCTTGTACCCTCCCTGCTAGGACTCTACTGACCCTCCTTCAAGGCCAACATCGACTGCAAGCTTGAGCACCTCCCAGAAGACATTACCGAAGCCGAGCTCCTCCAGAAGATTACCCAGTTCAACCACGATCCTTCCATACACGGCATCCTTGTCCAGCTACCTGTACCGAAGCACATTTCAGAGCACGCCGTGACCTCTGCAGTCGCCGACGAAAAAGATGTCGACGGCTTTGGCGTGGCGAACATTGGAGAGCTCGCGAAGCGCGGCGGCCACCCACTCTTCGTTCCATGCACGCCGAAGGGTGTCATGGTCCTCCTGCAAGAGGCGGGCGTAGACTTGAAGGGCAAGAACGCGGTGGTCATTGGGCGGAGTGACATTGTCGGAAGTCCCGTCAGCTACCTGCTGAGGAATGCCGATGCCACCGTGACGGTTTGCCATTCCAAGACGAAAGATCTGCCGGGCATCGTCAAAGGCGCGGACGTAGTTGTCGCAGCCATTGGACAGCCAGGCTTCGTCAAAGGAGACTGGCTGAAGCCCGGTGCCGTGGTCATCGATGTTGGCACCAACTACATTCCGGATGACTCCAAGAAGTCCGGACAGCGCCTTGTCGGTGACGTCGATTTCGAATCAGCAGCCGAGGTGGCCGGTCAAATTACGCCTGTACCTGGCGGCGTCGGGCCTATGACTGTAGCAATGCTGCTGCAGAACGTGGTAGACTCTGCGACAGCCTACTTCGAGCGACAGAAAGCACGGCACATCACTCCTTTACCTCTCAAGCTAAAACAACCCGTTCCCTCGGACATCGCAGTCTCCCGTGCCCAACATCCTAAGCTCATCAACGAGATTGCGGAAGAAGTCGGCATTGCTCCGCACGAGCTTGAACCATATGGTGCGTACAAAGCTAAGGTAGACCTCAAGCTCTTGGACCGTCTCTCTCACCGCCGCAATGGACGCTATGTGGTAGTCACCGGCATTACTCCGACGCCGCTCGGCGAAGGCAAGTCAACAACGACGATGGGCCTGGCACAAGCACTTGCAGGCCACCTTGATCGTGTCACTTTCGCCAACGTCAGGCAGCCCAGCCAAGGCCCCACCTTCGGGATCAAGGGCGGCGCAGCTGGCGGCGGGTACAGCCAGGTCATCCCCATGGACGAGTTCAATCTGCATTTGACAGGCGACATTCATGCCATCACCGCAGCAAACAACCTCTTGGCCGCAGCTATCGAGACGCGCATGTTCCATGAGAACACCCAGAAAGACGGACCACTGTACCGCCGACTGGTACCCGCGAAAAAGGGCAAGAGGGAGTTTGCACCGGTCATGTTCCGCCGGCTGAAGAAGCTCGGTATAGAGAAGACGAATCCGGATGAGCTTACAGAGGACGAGATTCGCAGATTTGCGAGGCTTGATATTGACCCGGATACCATCACTTGGCGAAGAGTACTCGATGTCAACGATCGCCACCTCCGAGGGATTACTGTCGGTCAGGCGCCTACCGAGAAAGGTCAGACGCGTCAGACAGGCTTTGACATTTCGGTCGCATCTGAGTGCATGGCCGTTCTCGCCCTCTCGAACTCCCTCACCGACATGCGTGAACGCCTCGGCCGCATGGTTGTCGCTTCATCTCGGTCAGGTCACCCGGTCACAGCGGACGACATCGGCGCAGGCGGCGCTCTAACGGCACTCATGAAGGATGCCATCAAGCCGAATCTCATGCAGACGCTTGAGGGTACGCCCGTCTTCGTTCACGCAGGCCCCTTTGCAAACATCTCTATCGGCGCTTCATCAGTTCTTGCCGACAAGCTGGCCCTCAAGCTAGCCGGCACAGAACTAGACGAAGATCACGAGCAGAAGACTGGCTTCGTCATCACAGAAGCAGGCTTCGACTTCACCATGGGCGGCGAGCGCTTCTTCAACATCAAGTGCCGCTCCTCCGGTCTCGTCCCCGATGTCGTCGTCATCGTTGCCACCGTCCGCGCTCTCAAGGTGCACGGCGGCGGCCCAGAGATCACACCCGGCGCGCAGCTCGACGAGGTCTACCGCACCGAGAACATCGAGGTTCTGCGAAAGGGCTGCGTAAATCTGAAGAAGCATATCAGCAACGCCAAGCAGTTCGGCGTCCCCGTTGTCGTAGCCATCAACAAGTTCGAGACCGACACAGACGCCGAGGTCGAGGTGGTGCGCGAAGAAGCCATCGCCGCCGGCGCCGAAGACGCCATATCAGCGAACCACTGGGCCGAAGGCGGCCGCGGCGCCATCGACCTCGCGAAGGGCGTCATATCCGCCTCGTCGCAACCAAAGGATTTCAAGCTCCTGTATGACCTCGAGGGCAGCGTGCAGGAGCGCATAGAGAAGATCGGCAAAGTCATGTACGGCGCCGAGAAGGTCGAGTTCAGCGAGCTGGCGCAGAAGAAGGTGGACAGTTATGTTAAGCAGGGGTTTGGGAAGCTGCCGATCTGTATCGCAAAGACGCAGTATAGCCTTAGCCATGATCCCGCGCTGAAGGGCGCACCGAGTGGGTTTACGGTGCCGATTCGGGACGTGAGGATGGCGGCTGGGGCGGGGTATCTGTGAGTCTTGTTGACATTGGTGCTAGTGGGTAAACATGCTAATCAATCGTACAGATACGCGCTTGCTGCGGATATCCAGACGATTCCAGGTCTGCCGACGGCGCCGGGATATCTTAACGTTGACGTCGACACGGAGACGGGCGAGATTGAGGGGCTGTTCTGAGACCTGCGCGCTCGGTGCTTCTCGCTCCCACGGTTTCCTTGTCTGTTTCGTCTCGGGTGCTCGCATTTCAACAGCATGCTTGCGCCCCAGCACTCACCTTACCTTGTCCTCACCAGGTTTCTCTGAGCTTCATCAGCATTGTTCGGGTATGGCGTACTTAACGTAGCGCAACGCGGCGATACCATGGCATATTCAACACGGCGCATTGTAGGTCTTACAAAAGACGAAGACAGAACGAGCTATCTGTATACATATCAGAAATTTTTCAAAAGTCCAACTGGAAATCAGCCAGTGAACGTTGTGGCGGGTCGGAGTGGTCACTAGACGGAAACGTGCACCCGCCTGTCACCTCTCCCGCGCGCCTTGTCATGAGCCCCTCTCTTGAACGTCCCAGAATTTCTTGTGTGGTCTGAGTGGTGCCGCAGTCTTCCGCTCTTTGACTGCCTGTCTTCTACGCCACATGTCTAAGATGTCATGTTTAGAGTCTGTAGAAAGCTCCCTTTCGCGCTCAAAGCGTGTACTTATCCAGATGCCGGTTTGAAACTGCGGCAGCCCCTGTCTTAGACATATCGCATGTTTCTCTCTGGTACCAAACAATCTTGGAACTTCTGTCCCTCTCAGTGTCCTGTTCTTGTCCGGCCATGATGTATAAGTTTACACATCACCCTCTCATCCATCTACTACTCATATCCTTCCCATATCCTTCCATCAGACTTGATCTACATTTTCTCAAAACGTTAATCGAATTACACTCTCCACCATATTTCAGTCATACTCCACCTACCCAGTTTACGACCTACCCAGTTTACGACCTACCCGGTTTACGACCAAACACACTACATCGACAAACCTTGGCTCCAGAGTACGCCTCGACAGAACACAAGCGCAGCCAAACTTCCTTCATTCATACGATGTCTGACATGACAACAAGCATTGAGTTCAACGAAATTTTCATGGGATACTACCGCCAGGAACGGTTCATCGTCTTCGGATATCGGCACATGTTCTGCCTTTATTTTTCCGTCTCGTTCCTGCTTTTCGTCATCGCATGCATCGCCTTCTTCCTGCTCGTTCGCACGGTATCAAGGAGAGTGTTACAGACTCTCGGGAAGCCGATGAAATCGCCCGATAGAAAATTGAGCGGCGCTCTCCCGAAGCGTACCAGTCGCAAGAAGGGGGAGAAGCACCGTAGTTCCTCATTCGGCACGGCTTCCTCTCCGTCACTGACGGTTGGCTCTGCCAATGGCAGCTCGCCATCTGCACAAAATTCTGGAGATTCCTGGGTGGCTTCACTTGCACAGTCTTTCAGAGCGTTCGAGGAGAAATGGCCGCGCCGGTCGAAGTACAACACGAAGGTAGAGGACGGGAGCAAGAAGACAGATGCAACGTCCGAAAGCCAATCGTACTATCCTCCAGCCCTCATCCAGTTTACGGCAGACATGCTACCTGAAAACGTGATTAACGTCCTACAGCGTGACGAGCTCGCCTTTGTGTTCGCCTGCATACTCGCTGCTTCTTTACGCTACCTCTGCCATCACTACGGGCACCAATATGCGTCCCGCCAGCTGTGCATCTTCACCGCATGCAGCCTCATCCCGTGCATCCTCATCCCGTGCATCTACATCGTGTGCACTTCAAGCACCACGGAAAAAATCATGAACCGTATCCGGCAGGAGTGGAATGCCGCCCGACAGCATCATCCCCAATTTAATAAGTCGCATAGAGTGGTTGCGAGCTGTCTCTGCTGGTCCAATTTGTCTTTCCTCGGGATCATGTCGTTGACCCCCACAGAGGCTTTGGAACACAGCCAGCGGGTGTGGGGTGCAATCGGCCCAGACTGTTTACCATGGATCAAATCGATCAATGGAATAGCAACTTTCGTCCTTCGATCCGTGTTATCCTTCCGCCAACTGCCCAATCGCGTCAGGGAGGCTATACAGGATGTCCGGAACTGGACAGCGAGTAGGCAGCCTAGCGAAAAACCAGGCAGTCCTCCACAGCCTACAGAAACCGAGAAGAATCAACACGAGACCTCGTCCAGTGCGCCCGCTTCTCCGGCATATGACGCCGACTCTGATGATGCCGGCTCAGCCCCTATGCCAGGCTTTGAAGACCGCGACAGGATCGATACACAATCAACCCATCAGAACGTCGAAGGAGAAGTCGATGCACTCATTGGGTCCGAGGACCTCAAACGCATGGGAAAGGAAATGGAGGAAGAAGAAGCGGCAGCGAAGCGCAGACCTGAAGTTCTCAAGTCGTTTAGAAAGAGAGCACGAGTCCCTCCATTCGTCGAACGACTCCTTCAGTGCATCGAACGAATCGAGGAGATGGAAACGGAGCGCCAAACCCTCAAACACGAGGCTGACATAGTGATGGGCTGTAGAGCAACCCACGCCCCGCAGGACGCTGTGATGATCGAGCGAGGCTGCGCTGGTCAAGAACTCAAGCTTGATGCAGATTTCGATGGGGAGTTGGATGAGACACCACATGCCAACTGCGGTGGGTTGGAGATTGTGAATGGAAGGAATTCGAAGGGGTAGACAGTTTTCTGTGGGGCATATGAGGAGGGATGGAACTCCGTGAGGCTCAAATAGTGTCGGAGATCTGGGGGTTTGTGGAAATATGACAAAGATGTTACTCTGGCAGATCTGTTAGGAGAGGTGGAGAGTTGGCTCGGTTTGTGGGTTTATGGGCGCATTTTTGAATGAAACTCTTGGCGGACTCGGCGTTATGGAGTTTATAGACTACTGCTTGAATAGTTTTAGATAGCGGGGAGATATCACTTTTACACAGAACTAAAAAGATGGAGGCTTTTGTCTAATTGCGAGCGGCTGCCATCAGAAATGCGAGAAGAGAAGTCCGTACACCCATTCTGAATACGCCATCCACCAACGCCAGATGCCGTACGTATAAAAGCCTCAGGACCATGCGCGAAGGCAGAGTGTCCATTGTTCCGTTAGCCGGCCTCGGACGAGATCGACGAGACTGGCCGTCCGGCCGTCTGGGGACTTGCCATCACCTCGTGCCATCCGCAGGCCTCAGACGGAGACGGATGCACCATTGAACCACCCGAGCGAGGGTGATGTGGACGCTCAACTACTCCGCCGCACCTGTTGGCCAACTGGGATTGGACGGTTGACGAACAATCCAGCTCCGTCGCGGCCTCGACCGGCCTGTCTCTCTTCGTAATCTCTCGAAGCGTTCTTGATGTCCTCTATCTGCGCCTATGGACAGTTGTTAGATCTCGCGGAACGACTGGCCGTCGACTTCAGAGGACATACTTGCGTCAAGGGTGGGCCTGATGTCGTGACGAGGAAGCCATCTCGACCCTACACAGGCTGTCAAACTTTGCGTTTCAAAAGGAGAAGATGCGGAGAGCGTACCTCATGTGTGTACCGTCTTACTATCGCATCTGAACCGCAGTAATACCGAATCTCGTGTTGTATGACTGTTCGAGAGATACCGTAGCCGGGGACGAAATAGCTATTGACGGATGCGGCCATTGAGGATTGGAGAGTTAATCGAGGAATCTAACAGAGACTTGAGACTCGTTGATACAGGAAAGTCACAATTCCTCACCCAGTGCTCAACTGATAAAGTACATCTCGAGGCCGGTCAAGGCCCTTAATAAAGCCTCGGCCTCCACATCGCCTTCAGGTATTGTAAAGCTGCACACCCCACGGTCCGCGTGGCGATAATGTGGTGGTGGGTTGCATGGATGGTTACGCGTTAATGCGTGTGAGCCTCACTTCTCGCCCTGCCACACAACCCAACCGGAACGACACTTTCGGGCAGCCAAACACCAATTCTGTCGTAAGATGTGTTTCCGCATCAATTCGAGTTACGTGTTTCTCATGTACGGCGCTTGAGAGAAAGCTGCCGCTGCACAGTGTCCAGAGCCGATGTAGTTTAGTTGCTGCCTTGCTCAATGCATTTCCCGCTTGCTTTGCTGTAAGATCAAGCCCCTTCCGCGGCAGCGACAGCTGTTATAATCCGCCATCGCCACTGAGTTTCGCCTGGTGTTCTCATCCATTTTCTCAACAGTAAAGTTGTACTTGGTCTTCACGTTTTTGTCGGAGATGTTTGCGTGTCTCTTCGCCCATCGAAGAATCTCAGGCTTCGAGATGATCACCACATTGGGCGACGATGGAACGCCGATCCGCCGATCTCAAACCACACACTCTTCCTGCCCAGCACGTCGTCCTGTCTTGAGCTCACATGGCACTCCAAGTAAGATCATGATTACCACACTTGTCAGCTTGGGCCTCCGCAAGCATCACTCGAGCCCTGTTTACGCCGTACAGCTAACGGTCTGCACCTGTCAACGCCTCATGGAAATATCAAACCACGATTACATAGCCTTTCAGGCGGCCTGCTGAACTTCAGGTATCATTGCACGGTAGATGGACCTAATCGGCCCTTTTGACACCCAACCTGGTGCTCGTGGTCAGCTAAAAGGCCTTAATTCTATGCGATTTCCAGAAAATGTCGGCTGATTCGCTGGACGGAAGCCCGTTGTGGTGAGCTATGGCCTGGATGTGAACTGCTGTTACCCCTGAATCCATGCCTGGATCCATGCCATTGTCACCAAGTACGCTGGGAGAATGTACTAAGATGAGCACGACGGCACTGCCATACGGGTTCTAATGCGTCGACCGCGCCTCTCCTACGACGCTTCATCCGCGTCTATTCATCCAATCAGTCAGGACTCTGGCTTTGGCATCTATCAGTTGCTCAAGCAGGCGGTTCCATTATGGAAGCACTATTTCCATGGCCTCACTCAAAGAACAAGGCGAAGGATACACGCGCTAGTGCGGCACCTTTCTCAATACAAAGCATGCCAAATGCCGTAAGACGTCACTATGGGAGCCACCAAAAGCTAGGGGCGTTGAGAAAACCAAGTTCCCTACAGGGTGACCAAGTCACGGGCTCGGACATTTGCGGCTGAACATCAACATGTTCATGAGGATCTTGCAGGGCTTACGAATGCAACAACACTACCGGAATCCTTCAGCGGAGACCGAGCTGAGGCTGTAGCTTCCAGCGCTCACGTTATTTTGCATGCTCTCCTAAAGTCGGATGTGTAGCCCGATTCGAGGCCCTGGACTCGAGTGGCGCTGCCCAATGATTACCAGGATGGAGATCTTCAACTACCCGGACTACTGAGACTTTGTGCCCACCACCGCCTTACTTTCCATTAGAATCTCCTCTAGGCCATGGACCGCCCCGGTGACTATGGGCATTAGGGCATTTAAAGCTTTTTGATTCGCAGGGCTGGTAAAGAAATTTGCAGACTGCTCAGAGCCTCACTGAACGTCGGGCCCCTGTGATTGGGACGTCGGGCCTTGATCTTCGGGCACGTACGATACGACTAACTCGACTAACCAAGGAACGCCCTGGCGAGGCTGTGACTACGAAAATATCATAGGAGACGTGCTCGTCAGCTGTCGCCAGGGGCATCCAGCTTTATTCAAGTGTGCGCTGGATTCAGAATAGCAACACCCACCGCAACGTGAGGATCTTGTTCGCCAGCAGGAGCTGGTTTCCAGTGACGTAAAACAATGGAGGGATGCAAAGTTCCACTTCAGCATCATCCATAGCCTTCTCGTTGTGCTGCAGGGTCGCTTTGCGGAGATTGTTCACGTTACGCACCAAGAAGCACTCTATTGTTCTCACATTACTAGAATCAATCGATATTTACGCAATCCGCCTGGTCATGACTGTTAGAAGAGCCTTTCAGCACCCCCAGGCTTGAAAACACAACAACCATGAGATTCTACTGAAAAGATCCATGTGTTGGGAAAGCTGTCTCTGACCGCATCACCGGTCCTCTCGCTTCCTCTACGGGTCATCCATACGAAACTGCAGCTCATCGTCCGAGCCGCTCTTACGATTGTCACCACTGCGAACGGGGTCCGTCGAGGCGGTGCTGCCAAAGGTGGCTGCAGCAGAAGTAGGAGTTTTCGAAGGCGCAGCGCCATCAAAGCCAACTAGAGGTTCTTCCTGAGCTGCAGCGGTACCCTCATCTGCCCCTGTACGGGCCTGGTTATCGCCCACCTGTCCTTCCTTGTCCTCCTCATCTCCATCCGCTAGCTCTACGAGATGAACCGCCTGCTCTAACAAAGCGGCCACGTTGCCGTCCATCTCCTCGAGGACGTCACAGCCGCGATGTATCACAGCCCGACCGAACCTTCGAACCTCCTGGCGGAGTACTTCGCTCTCGTCTCTGAGTCTGAGACTCTCCTCTCGGTCGCTTTGGCGACGGCGCCACATTCCTTGGATGAGTTGCACGTTAAGGTTGAACTGTACGGTTGCATCGAGGTATTTATTCAAGAACCTCCCGTTATCGCCCAGCAAGCTCCACTTATCCGCTATCAATCTCAAACTCTCGTCCTCCGCTCTAATCCAATCACTCTGCGCATGTTCGAGGTCCGCAACACGTTGCTCGAGACGCTCGCGGAGTTGTATATTTGCGCGGTGCAGCGCGTCGGCTCGTTCCCTCAGTCTGTCCATCTTTATGTCGTATTGGGAGTTGGTAGAAGGGCGGAACAAGATGTATGCAAGTTTCGAGAAGATTTAGAAACATCCGCCATGGACATTGCTTGAAGTACTTCAGGAGCGGACAGCTGGGGTCGAACAACGCACGCCCATACATCACTTTTCTGCTGATTCTGCCGACTATAGTAACTACGTTGTCGAAGCAGTACACGCAGACTCTATTCACAAGCAGACGACTTTTGCACAGGCTTACAGTGCAGCGCCACGCTTCACAAGTTCACCTCGATGTTTAGATCCTGGGAGTGATTCATCCAATGCAAGACTTATCGCGCACACCCTTGCCAGCCGGAACTGGGCTCTCTAAGTCTCCCGTTCCTACAAAAACGAGCGGCTTATAAGCATAAGTGTGCCTAGCATATGAACTATCAAATGAAGGGTACAAGTCATTAGAGAGCTCTTCGTCATATCGCTGGGATTGTATCAAGAAAAGATGCAGATAGTGAGTACTTTCTTCGATCCCTCTAGTCTGTGCGCTGAACATTTAAATAGTCCATTTTCCGTCATTATCCGTCTTCCGCTAAAGAAGAAAACGGCCGCTATTTCACGCTTCCAGGACCATCCGCGTTTGAGCTGTGTCAAGTGAAACCCTTCGCCAATTTTGAACTACCTACGTATTTCAGACTGTACCGGGAAGAGGATCCCTTGTATGGCGCATCTCAGCCAAATTCGCCTCGCACCTGGCACGTCCCTTACTTTCTTTGAAATTTGTCTATGAAGAACTTCTCAACCGTCATCAGCTTACCGTCTGCCACGCCCTTCGCTTCCGCAGCGGCAGCTTTCAGCTTCCCGGCCGCGCTTGTATCGTTGGGCGCGCCAAAGTACCGCCCGCCCGTCATCTGAGTGAAATGGAACATAATCCTGATGTTCTCCAAGGGCTTGATGCCGTGGCCTTCAAAGTCTTCCCATGAGGCTAAGGCATTAAAGCGGGATTTCTTGCCAGTCACTAACGGAACATACTTAGTCTTAGCGCTTACGCTTGTGACACTGAAATCAAATCAGGACACTGTAGAAGGGGGACCATATGTACGTACCCTTCTCGAATGTCTTCGCCATATCCTCAAACGACATCGGCTCGCTCACACCCTGCACTACCTCGCCATTCCACTTCTCCGGATTCAGAAAGATGCCGTGGACCACATCACCGAAGTCATGCGTGATGCTGATAAAGGGAACTTCCTCGCTGCCTCCCCACCGCGGGGTCGTAAAGGTGAGGTAGCCTTCTTCGTCGGCAGTAAACGGAAAGCCGCCGAGGAACCGGGCAAAGTGCTCGTCCAGAAAGTTTTCCAAGTACCAGCCAGCGCGGACGGCGGTGAAAGACTCGAAGCCTTTGCAATAGGCGTACATCTCCGTCTCATGCTTCTCTGTAAACTGGGCGTTTAACTCCGCTGAAGCTTTTGGAGCGGGATGTGGTGTAAAGGGCCGTCCTCACCATCAAACTCGGCATTGGCGAGCTCGCCATTTGTCATCTCGGAAATTGATACTAGTGAACTGTACACGAGATGCTTCACGCCCGCCTCGGCCACGGCATCGATGATGGTCTTCCCCAAATTGAGCTCAGTAGGACCGCCGGGAACGTTGAAAGCCTGTCCGCGGATGAGCGAGGAGCTGGTATATGAGACTGGCTTTGGCTTACAGGATCGTGTGAGCTGGTATTCACGAAAACGCCCCAGCTCCCCTTGAACGCTGCGAGCATCTCATCCTTGTTGAAACCGTCGGCCTTGATCACTTCTACGCCGAGCGATGAGAGCGCTTTAGCTGCTTTAGAGTCGGTGTTGCGGGTCGTTCCGCGGACCTTGAAAGCGGCGTTCTTGTTCTGCAACAGGGAGCGGACGACGGCGCCGCCTTGGCTACCTGTCGGTTAGAGAGGTTATCAGTACATTAGTCCATATGGCTGTCTCTGATCTAGGGGAGCCAGCGCGATAGCACCATACCTGTGGCGCCGAAGACAGTGATCAGCTTCTCTGATGAGGCCATGGTTATGGGTTTGACTGCGGATCTGATGAGGTGATTGCCGTTGTCTGGCTTCTAGTTCCGGCTTATAAGGACTGGTTTGGTAAACAGCAGGATTGGATCTCCGCGAAACTTTTATGGTTGATTTCAAGGCAGCAATGCGCATGCCAATGCATCGATTGTTAAGCAACGAACCCCTCATTCACTTCTCGGAGAGAAATGACATCCGTACACGAAGCGCGTCGGGACACGTTGCTGGCCAAACAGGCAGTTCTCCTGACATGTGTCCTTCACGCTTCCAATCAAAATTTACAACTACTTTGACATTAGACGTTGATTATAAACATGCTTCAGGCAGCAAGAAGTGGCTCATGCGAAGCCGCGGGTTCCGATTGCTGTGAAGCGCGGCGGCGAGCATCGTGATCGTGAGCATCTGAATTGGGCAAGGTCTGCCGCCACCGGCGTTAAATATACGAAATTAGAGATGAGACCAATGGAAGATGAGCACTTAAGCTACTGTGTGGTGTTCTCTGACTTACTTTATCGACAATATCAATGAAGTGTTTCCATTGAACCATGCCTTTCTTGCGAGTTTTCATGTTATCACGTGATGAGGGCGAGCCATGGACTGAAGCGGAATGCCGTCATCCCCGGCCTCCAACTTCAACTCACAACGAGCTCTTCGTCGACCTACCTCCATCTATCATATGCACGAGTGGGCACAGGGAGATCAAACGGTTTAATACCTAATTGTCATCGCTTTTTAACCCATCGCATATGTACAAGTGATCTCAACAGTCTGTCCAGCACGCGAGAACAACATTTTTTGACGCATGCAACTCCAAACCACTTTCCCGATTCCCGCCTGAGGCTCTGCTGAGACAGGCCCTCTCTCCAACAGACTGTTCAAGACGGGAATAACGCGGTGTTCGACAAATCCTTGGTAGCCGCTTGCAGCAACAAATCCGTATTATCCGGATTGTTCGCCTGGCTCCACGGCACCACTCCCTTCGTCTCCCTCAACTCCTTATCCAAATGATAAAGCCCATGGCCCGGCTGCTTCGAAATGCGGACACACTGCTGCAGTAAGTCGCCAAGGTCCTTGACATGCTTCGTTTCCTTCTTCAAGAACCTCGTCTCGAGGACATCTTCCAACGCATAGTCCTCGGCTTCGTCGGCCGCTTTACATAGGCGGAGGACATCTTCAAGGAGCTCCTTCTCGACTTGCAGGGCCTCGTAGACGGGCTGCACGGGGTCGACTGGGTCGTCTGGCCATTGCACGTTGGGCGCGGGAATGTCGGAGGGCTTAGAGCGGCCACCGCGTTGGACGAGGTAGCCTTCAAGCCACATGCCGTCCGCGAAGCACTCCGTTGCAGCACGCTTCCAGAGCCTAGGTGCATGTGTATAAGCCACTTGTAAGTTGCAACGAAGGGCGGGCCTTTGAGAAACTTACATGGAGAAACCATGCAAGCCGACATTGGCGCGGGCACAGTCTGCACTGAGCTTGCGGTAGAAGAACCAGCTCTTCCAGTTCAGTGCGATGTGGCCACGGATGGACTAACTGCGGATTAGCTACATGTCGAGGCTGCGTTTTTTGCCCGAACAGGGACTGTGGAACTAACGTCTTGGAGGTCTGGCTTGAAGGAGCTGGCTTGGATGTACTCGTCGATGTTGGCTTTTGAGTGCTTCTCGATCGCCTGCTGGACCTCTTCGGTATGAGACATGATGAGCTGATGCTAGGTTTCGACGTTGGATGCTTTGGTGTTGAAAACTTCAGTGACTGGGAGATGAGAGCTCGTGGAAAGGGCTGTCTGATATGTACTCGTAACCATTGCATCTGTCTTACGCAATAAGGGCAATATTCAGGTTATGGTCAGACTCGACATCAGGGGCCACAAGTTTCTTCCCCGCATTCTCCCCGCGTTTTCCAGCCTGTCGGTACCTGTGCTGGACTCAGGGCTGCTTCCACGATGCAGGTAAGATGGCTATTGCTGTTGTTATTGGTGGTTGGCTGCTGGAGGATGCTCATTACACGATGGCTGGAACTCGAAAGAGCCGCCATCACCAGGTTTAGGTGCAGATACCCCTGACTTATGACGGACGGCATTCCATCAGCGGTCTAGCCAGAAGCTTAAACTAACAAATGTCATGCCTGCCGCAAAGCTCCTCCACGCTCATAAAACAGGATTTTGTCCATTTCCGTGATTTCCATGCCGTCAATCATGCCCCCGCGCAGACTCTCTCCGCCAACAAGATCTGGCAAAAAACGCCGCTTCGCAAACTCAGGCGAGCAGACACGGCTCCGGTGGTCGATTGAATCTCAAACAGGCCCTTCGGCTAAGCTGTGAGATGCAGCTAAAGCAGTCATCGAAACGGATGGTGACGAGTTAGAAAGGCTACTAGGCGTAGTCTTTTTTATATTAGTGGGCGGTCGTGCTTGGGAAGCAGCCAGTGCTTTGGACATGGATCTCCGGGTAGTCTTCGCAAGCGGGTATGAGGCGCATCAAGCAAACCAGTAGGCTTCAAGCCTTCAACTATGGTGTTCGCCGCATGTTCTGGAATGGAATTCTTGTGGACCGTAGTGTCGAGTCTAGGCTATCGTTAGAAAGCAATCACGAAACACGATTGAGTGACAAGAGTTGAACACGTTTAAACGTATCGGTGCATATTCAAGTGGACGCGAGAACTTACATCAACCTTTCCCACGGCATGTCGCTCACTTCATCCAGCTCCCTTTGCCACATTGGTGTCGCGATATAGATGTTCTTCACGCTCGGCAGCTCCACCGCAACAAGCTTGAAGATCCACCGATAATCGACGTAGAACGGCGTACAGTGCTTCGTCTTTGTGGCCGCCGTCGTCCAGACTGTGACCTCCGTAAGCGGCAATGCCCGCAAGATCTTTGGGATGTCGCGGTATTTTTTGTATTTTCCGCACTCCTTCAGCAGGCGCGGCTTGTTGTTCATGGGGTGGATATGTCCGGTAAGAAGGATCTCGGGAATGGCCCAAGGGCCGAAACATCCGATGTAGCAGGTGACCGAAAAGGCTAGCTGGATCTTGCGGAGGGAGGAGCAATTCCGAGGACCGATCATTGAACAGAACCGGGCAACATCGCCGGGTTCGGTGAAGCGGAAAGTGACGGTGGTGTAGAGCGTGTATGTCAGCTCCTCGTGAATGCAGCGGTTCAGGAACATCAGGGTTGACAATTCTCTACACAACAGATCCGTTGAGGACGTTGGAACCCGCGGTGCTGTGAACAGTCAGTGGTTTGAATGATGATGTTGAGACTGGGGGACTGACTGATTGCTCGGTGACGGTCAGGACACGACCCGAAGTTGTCCGTCTGAGCAAGTCGATGCACGAGTTTTCCATCTTTGCCTGCAGGCGAATGAGCAATGCAAACCAAGGGAATGGTGGACGCAATGCCCATGGCATCTAGTTACATGGGCTTATCTCAAAGACATATCCATCCGGAATGCCCGCTGCCATGACGAGGATCTTGACGCGTAGCTCAGTCGGCAACCGCATGAGAGGAAACGTTGACACCATGACGGGCGGAAACGCGTCGAGAGGTCGGCTGTTGCGCGTTCAGCTTGCTTAGGTCGTCATGGAGGTTCGTGTGAGGATATATAGTGACTCACCTGATTCTGGACCTATTAGGTCCAGATTGGTGCCTTTTTGGATGCATTGGTGCAGTGGTAAGTCCTGTGCCTCTGACAGTTCGTCGATCCACAAGAGTGACGAGTGTAAGGAAGAAAAAACGTCGGAGCGAAGTAGCTAATGCGAGCGTGAAGGTGGTTGACAGCAAAAGCTTCGACGACAGAATTGAGGCGTCGAGACTGTGAGCAAACGGACATTAACCGAAACTAGCACTACCGTTTCGCTGTTACACGGACTTTCACTTCGAGGGAGTGAAGGATGATTCCGTTATTCAAGGGGCTCAGAATTCAGCCTGAGGAGCTCTCACGTGACAGCAATCTCCATGCAAGAAAGTCCTCCTGTTCCATGCCATCCACAGACGCCGGCGATGCAGCTCCCACCGAGTATGCAGCCCCCTCTATTTAGTACACCTCACTCATACCTTTCCTGTCCTTCATCTTCGCCTCGTCGACCTCGTGATTTACGTCTTCCGTCTCCTTCATGTCTTCAACCTCCTCCTCAGTAGCGGAGAAGGCTCCATCTCCCAACTTCTCCGCTCGAGCGCCGCCTCCCATACCGCTCTCAGCCATCATCTCCTCGCCCGTCCGCCGCTTCCTTGGAAGCGGCTTCTCTTTGCCTTTCGCTCGAGCGGCTAGCTCTTTTGAGGGAAAGTAGTCCGAGTCGCCCGAGAAGTCTTCGCCTGGTGTACCGGCGCCTGACATGGAACCGCCAAAGTCCCTTCCTGGATGGAGTCCGGGTGGCGGCTGATGTTGTGGCCGGGGATGTTGATGGTCGTCCGGCTCTGGCGAGCTTGAATCGGCATCGTCGTTGCGTTCACTTTCCTCAGACTTGATGCCATCAGCGGTGTTTGGTACCGACCCGGTCCGTTTCGCCTCACGATCCGGAGCCTTAAGCGATGCGTTTGTGACGGCGATCTTCACATTCTCCTTATCTTGGGCGGCAACAGGGTGGTCCGCCATCTCCGCTTCGGGGACGGCGGGTGAGGGCAGACTGATGCTGTCGGTAGTGTTCTGCCGGCGCGGACGGCGAGGGTAGTGAGAGTGGTCATGGTTGCAGCCGTTGACGCAGCCTCCCCACCGGCGAGTGGGAATCCTTGGTGAGGCATATGGCGGCGGAGGGCCTGTGCTGTCCTTGTTCGCGGTGTTTACCGTAATGGAGGTGGAGGATGCGTTGGTGTTGGTTTGTAGAGCTGCGGCTCGTTTCTTCAGGTCTGACCACGTCCGTAGCTCGTTTTGAAGAACATATTTGCCATTGCCGGGGTTCTGCTTCATGATGACGAACTCGCAGTGGTTGACGTTGCGGAGATCTTCGAAGTACTCGACAGACCAGTGGTACCTGTAGGCCCTTTCCTGTTAGTCTGTCCGGACTAGGCCGCCGAGGAGAAGCAGGATGACATTACCACTTCATCAAGAATACTCTCGTCATGAGCCCATGTGTCACCAGCACGCAAACGCTTGGAAAGTCTTCCTCTCCAAAGAGCCTCCACATACTCTCGTTGAAGCCACTGATCCTGTCGTATGCGTCGGCGGCGCTCTCGCCGTTCGGTATTCGATAGAAGAAATGGCCATAGTCTGCCCGCTCCTGCCACATCCGCTCCATCTCCGCCGAACATGGCTGGAAATTGCCAAAGTCTTGCTCACGCAGCCGTGGCTCTTCGAACACTTTTATCTTGTGTCGTGGGAATGGTGAGGGTGTAGGTTCATCAGACGACAGGGATTTCAGTATGCCTTCGGTGGTCTCGCGAGTGCGTCTGTAGGGAGAGGTGAAGAACTGGAGGGTGTCGTCGGGTTTCAGCATGGAGCGGAGGCGGCGTCCGGCTTCTTCTGCCTATCGTTAGGTCGCCATTCAGCGATATGGTTCGTCTATGTGGTTGATGATGAGATGGCATACCTGTTGCCAGCCATCCGGTGTGAGCTTGACACGGTGGTCTGGTACGAACTGGTGTATGTCGCGGTTCTTGTTGCCTTCGGATTGGGCGTGTCGTATCAGGATTATCATCTAACATGCATTAGCCGCTTGCATGAAGCCTAACAGTGTGAAACTTGCCCGTGGCTTCCCCATTTTGTACACCTGAGTAACTACTCTTTGCATGCAACGTGAAGGGTTGTCCGGTGTTCAAAGGTGTTCTAAGAGCATCCACTTATTTAAAGAAGCGGTCGCGAGCTGTCAAACCATCCGTGGTACGTCTTTAGCTTGACATGGTGTTTGTGTCTTTGTCACATCTCGCCCCGCCGTAGAAACTTTCCCGCAGGCAATCGCGACACCAGCGCTCTCAACACTACAGCAGTATTCCATACCTCTATCTGCAGAAAGCTATCGCTAGAGACGTCTCTAATAATTACTGTCGCATCCTCCCTCAGCTCGTGTCAAGCTCTATCGAACCACTCGCACACGACATACTACACCTCACAATCTCATCCGCCGCCGCGGCGGGCCACTTTAAGCATCGCAACACATCTTCACGCCCTCCACCATGTCCGAACCAATTCCAGAATCCGTTCCCACATCCGCAGACCCACGCTCCAAGCGCCCCACCAAGAAGCGCGCCCTCACCCCCGTGTCAGCCCAAGCGAACCAAGTCGAAGCTCTCTTCGCGCATCCCGATCGCGAAATCGCCCTTCCTTCAGGCCCCAAACCCAAGAACCTCGCCCCCCCACCCGAGATAGTAGCTAACGTGCAAGGCTCGTCTGCAGGTGCAGGCTCAGGCGAGTTTCACGTCTACAAGGCGTCGCGGAGGCGGGAGTATGAGCGGCTGCGGCTGATGGATGAGGAGACGAAGAAAGAGAATGCGGATGCGGAGTTTGAGGTCAAGAGGGAAGAGACGAGGAGGAGGGATGAGGCGAAGACGAATAAGAACAAGGCTAGAAGGGAGAAGAATAAGGCGAGGCTTGCGAAGAAGGGGAAGGGTGGGGAGGGTATGGAGGTTGATGGGGATGGTGATGGGGTTGTCAATGAGCAGGAGCGGGGGAAGGTCAAGAAGTTGGGGCCTATGAGTGTGGGCGCGAGGAGCGGGGCGGATGGGGAGGCTGACAATGGCGTGTTGAATGGCGGTGGTGAGGTGAAGAGCGCGGATGAGGTGGGAATTATCATTCATGATGAGGATTAAGATATGCGGGCGTAGCAGAACGTCCCGCATCTCACCTGCTCAGGAAGGATTGGAGTTTGGGCTACTGAGCTGATGGCTTTCACCGTGCGGCTGCACGAAACCACGCTGCATTCAAGTGCTGAGGCAGCTTACACCATTGACAGAGGACTAATATTGGAGGGATTCTCATAATTCTGATGCTATCTTTGGGCTTCCTCCCAGAGCATAAAATAACGATACCTTTTCATTCAAAAAGTTCTTTGAAGGCGTCTGAGACACTTATATGAAGCTTTTCCCTCCCTTCCTCCAGGCCATGCTCTTCAATATAAAGCTATACACGTCCTCGAGTACTTTACAGGGCTTAGCACTACGAAGTAGTATAGCACGTGATCGAGTTCCCCAAGTGGGCGACGCGAGACACCAAACTCCTAGGCACAACCACACTGTTGGCAATTTGTATGGTTCCCCGAATAGTACACCAGATATTGGACGTTTCTTCGATGGCACAATGGTCGCAGCATTCTCCTTCCTCTTGTCATCAGATGCGTTTCCTGCGACATGATACTCTGCCTATTAGCAAGCAGAGCTTCCCCAGAAAATTGATAGCCACGCAAAATCACCGAAGACGCCCCGCCTTATACAAATCTACCTTGTTTATAGCAGCATTCAGGTAACGCGTACTATAAGCTATATAGAGAAAAACTACTTTTATTAAGTTGATCTCCGCCAAGTTTTAGCAAGGAACGCACGGTGGGAAAACATATCAACAACTCGCTATCCGCATTTGCCGCGTTCAGCTCGTAACACTTACGCTCAGTTCTAAACCTTTGATAGAGCTCCACGCATCGCAGTGAACGAAGGTGTAAAGAAGTACTCTCCTCCCTTTAACTCGACGAACTGGTTGATGCCCGAGAAGGTGTTTGAAGGTAGTGGAGACTGGCCAGGGTTGAAGACGATATCCATCTGGAAAGCGTCCTGCTCATCTCCAGTCTGACCTATCGTGAGGTCAAGGCCAGCACCAGGTTCAGGAAATTTGGGTGCGTTGGCCCACCGTGTTTGGATGAATTTAAAGCCCTGAGTGAGATCGCTTTGGTAACATGCGAACAGCAGTCCACGTTTCTGAGCATTGTTCGCAGAGTTTTCGGGGTCGAAATCTGGTCCGTACGGGATTCCGCGCCGGAGAATCCGGTGTATACCGTTCGGGTCAAAACGACGGTCGCGAGGATTAGTCTTACGGATGTGGGCACCCAGAGGACACATTGAGTTGTCCTGATTCGAGCCAGCGTCCGACTTAACGAAGTTCGGAAAGCGGTTGCTCTTTGGCAGCCGCGCAAGAGAGTTGTCGTTCTCTCTAGGCGAGAGCATGATCGGACAGCCTATCGAACATAGTCAGTGGAACATTTCAAGACCACATGGTTTAAGATATGCTCTCAATACCACTCGGCCACCTGCCCATCAGTTTCGCGCCAACCCGCTCCGGACTCTCGTTCGCCTTTTCGGCGATCGATACGACTGCCTGGTTCCACTTATCGACGTGCTGCTCCAGCTTTCGGAAGCAGAGGAAGCTTCCGTTCTTCATCCAAGGCTGTTGTGCGTGGATGTTACGCGTATCATACCCTACCAGGATCACGTGTCGGTCAATGACATTATCTGGGACCTCCGGGTCCGCTCCGTTGTCGTCGATGTCTTTGACTGCAGGCTGGGATATGCCGTCTTCAAACCCGAAACTGTTCGCTCACGTCAGTCACCCCGACTCCGACTTGTTGTTGCACATCCTTACTGCTCTTTGCCGTCGTTGGCTTGCAGCCGAACATTGCCGGTCTCCCTTGAGACCTCCGCAATAGTAGAGTTAGCGTCTTTGGTGAAGCCAAGAATGCCCATCACGCCACTTAGCGCTGCGTTGACAATCAAATCATTGCTCCCGGCAACTATTAGAACGCCGTCGATCTGATCATCACCAAATGGAGTACCTGCAGCGAAGGCGGAAGGCGGGTCGCCCAGGCCGTCGGCCGACATAGAGTCCCGCTTCATTCCAGAAACGAAAGGATCGTCAGGTACCGGGAGGTGATCCAGCTTCAAGTCTGTAGACAGCGCTGCGGACATCTGTTCGCTTTAGCTGATGTCAGAGATTGATCTTAGCAGTTAACCTACCTTCTTTAACCCTCTGAAGGAAAAGCTTATGTTAGCACCCACGGAAGGAACCCAGTGACGGCTCCCGCTGGGGTTAGCTCCGGTAACAACGTTGTCAGAGACACCAGGAAACGTCTGTCGAAACTTCTGCCGTTCATCGAGAATATTCTGAACGCTGGAGAAAGTGAGCATGCCATCGCCGGTAGCATTGCCGATATTCTGGCAAAAGCTCTTCGCTTTGTTCGGATGGATGGTGAAAAACCAGAATATCTCGTGTTTCTTTGGCAGGCCTCCTGCCAGGATGTCGCCTTGCACGTCAGTGAACAGCACTTTATTGGCCGCGTTCTGTACGATCGAGTCTAGAAGGGCGTTTCCAGCTGACGGCTGCCCGGAAGCAGCTAACAGGACGGCTTCAGGCATGCTTTCGACGTTGAGTAGGTGTGAGTTCACGGAGATGACCTTTCTTGGATTCGAAGCGTGAATTCTGCGCAGTCTTAATGAAGATATATAGCGTTTCAGTCGCTGACCTCACGTCGCGCCCAATGAACTTGTAGTCAAGCAGCCAGGGTGCGGCACAGATGGTGGCATTGTTCCAGACTCACAGATCACTCATCTCAGCTTGCTGTATTCTGATGCCCCGCTCCCGAAGCACACTGCAGGTCTTCCAGCTCGCTGCTCGCTGGTGATGTAGCTGGCAAGATCTGACCTCCTCGCGATCCTGGAGCTATCCGTTCGAAGCTACGTCTGCCCTCGGGCGTACCTCTCCTAGGAGGCCGTCATAGAACGTACGAAGTGAACTGGCGTAAACCCAAAGCTCTTGCTCGTACACAAGGGTAGGCGAGACTATTGACGCAACGCATGGAATCGCTTGTTATCTCCAAAAGCAAACGAAACCGACAGATCTCATTATGAGTCGGGAAGCGCTCAGCTGATGAGTGGACAATACGGCACAAAAGTGGCTACTTTAGGTGTTGATGGCTAGCTGAATGCATCCAGCCTCCAGCATAATCCGAAAAGTCTCAGTTGCTGCTCGACAACTAGCATCCTGCAGATGCGCGGTTCTCAAAGCAAGCCGTCGAAGGATCGACGTAAGCAGCCTCAACGTGATCGTGACATCTGACTACAAGGTGGCTTCGCTGTGCTATGTGTTGTAGCTGCCTGCAGGCTGCAGCGCTCAGCATAGCGAATGACAGATGAAGCTAAAGCAGATAATCTAGCAAAGGTGGCATGTATGTCACAATCCAGGTGTAGTAGTTCTGTATCCGACCATGCTCTCCAGCTCGAGCTTTTAGTTGTCTCGTCTAGGCACGGTACGGACGGATGTCTTCCGACCTCGCTAATGGCGATCTCTTCAAGCTTGAGCGGTTGCGGCCCTACCCTATAGCACGAGTCTTCACCTGAGCTTGCATCGGTGAGAGCCAACTCGGCAATCATTACAGGCCGAATACGATCCTTTATCAGTGTACCAATGCATGAAAGGTTGAACAAATGGCTGAATTGCTGTAGAGAGCGCCATTCTGGCGCCATGCGATCATTTAGATGCCGGACCTATGAGCGTTGATCTTGTTGTCCACTCTCAGCGCCACTAGTTATATTTTGTCAGAAAGTCCATTGAATGCCCTGAACGGAAGGCTTTAGGAAGCTGCGGCTCAGAGGAACGAGCAGGTAGCGTAAGCGGACCCACATGAACATACAGCCGTCGCGTCGCAACCCGTGTGTAACGATCCCATCGACCATCGAGTTCAGCTTCTGTTCGAGGCGTGAAGCGCCTGCGTCAACCGGCCAGCCACAACTCAACTAGCGTGACAGGAAGCTGACGGACGGCAGGTTCAAGCAACTAACGATCACACCACTATCAGCCAGCCATACTCCGGGGCTTGCGGGGAACAAGGCTCAGTGCACTTAGACGTTGCCGCATCTCTGCCGCATTTTAGTAGGAAATAATGCGGCAATGATTAAGTGCGCCGAGCCTTGGAAGCTGCGGCTCTCAACAGCTGGTTGCAGGTTCAACAGACGTGGTAGATAATGGTGGCTATACTGATGGTAGGACGCGTTGGTGGAGCATGGAGCCCGCATCTGCACGAGCAGGACCGATGCAGCCTACCTTGCTTCTGGTCACCGCCCGAGCTCTTAGCCCGACGCCTGCAGGTTCCCAACCTAGATCTAAAGCGCTTTCCAGACTTCCATACGGATTTCCGGCAGCTATTGCATTTCCTGCGTGTTACTGGGGTCTTCCGACCTTATATTCCTGCTGTCCCTAGCATGTCAGCCATTCTCGAGACACTACCACAACCCAGGTACGGCTTCATGCCAAGCTTGCACTCACGATCATACTGCAACAACTCACCTAACCCGTGAAGATGGCAATGAACGCGGCTTTCAGATTGCTCCTTCTCTCTGCGCTCCTATTCGCAGAGCATACGGACGCTTTAGCACAGGACAGTGTTGAAGAACAGGTCTTGGAAGCAGATGTGCCGATAGGCCATGGAGCAAGGATTGGACTGATGGAAGCAGCACCACCTCGCGACCCGAGCAGTGGGCGACCCAGCGCCGAGATTGATCGGAGCACGTGGGTCGCGACCTGCGATAGCGAAGCGATTAATCACACCTGTAGCTATATGATCGATAAGGACGTCAAGACTTTCTGGCAGAGTGCGGAGAGCAGCGTCGGTGCTGCGTTGCCCCAGAATGTAACCATTGACATGGGAGATACACGGACCTTCCACGCCATCTCAATGCTTCCATCGGATGACCCGCACTCCAGAGGGAACATCGCTGCACACGAAGTATATATCAGCCAAGACAACCAGAACTGGGGCACGCCAGTGGCATATGGGACTTGGTGGAATGACAACACAGGTAAGAAAGTTTTGGATCAAAGTGTATCCCATGGCGTTAACATCCGCTGAAAGTCAAGTATTCTATCTTCGAACCGAAGCAAGCACGGTATATTCGGCTTGTCGCAAGGTCTGAGGCCTCAGGAACTGGGGACTTTGTCAGCATCGCAACCTTCTCAGTCTATGGCGTTGCCAAGGCTCCCACGTCGGGTTTGGGTCGTTGGGGTCCTACCATAGACTTTCCCATCGTTCCAGCAGGTGCGTGGGTCGATCCCTTGTCGGGCAGAGTTGTGACCTTCTCATCATATGCACATGAGATGTTCCGCCCTTTGGACCCGCGGCTAGGCAACACCATGACTAGAACGTGGGATCCAGCCACAAGGCTAGTGAGTCAGCGAACAGTGCAGGAGACTGGACACGACATGTTCTGTCCGGGCATGTCACTCAACGCCACGGGGTACATGCATGTGACGGGCGGAAACAGTGCAAAACGAACCAGCATCTACGGCATCAATGCTCAGGGAGCAGCAGTATGGACCCCAAGTGCTGAAATGAATGTTCCGCGTGGCTACCAATCTTCAGTGACGTGCGCTGATGGACGCATCTTTGTGATTGGTGGTAGCTTTGGGATACCCTGTGACCCTCCCGGACCTGAGGGAGAAGAAAAGAATGGCGAACTCTACGATCCGGTCGCCAAGACTTGGACTGAGAAGCCGCGATGCAAAGTCAAGCCCATGTTTACAGACGAAACGTCAACTGGGTCAAGAGAGTGCCGCTGGTTCCGCTCTGACAATCACGGATGGCTTTTCCCATGGAAGGACAATACCGTCTTCCAGGCAGGACCTTCGAAGAGGATGAACTGGTACAACATGTCCGGTTTGGGCGACGTCCAATCAGCAGGCAAGCGTTCGGATGACAACGACGCCATGTGCGGTGTTGCTGTCATGTATGATGCAGCTCAGGGTAGCATCCTGACGGCTGGTGGATCGCCGCAGTATACCGGTTTGGACGCAACGAACAGAGCGTACCTTCTCACGATCAAAGGTGCCAACGCCCCTGTTGAAAAGGAGAGAACAACCGATATGGCAAACCCGCGCATCTACCACAGTGCCGTTATTCTACCAAACGGAGACACTCTCGTTGTCGGCGGCAGAAGGCGTGGACAAGTCTTTAACGACGACGAGGCGGTATTAGTGCCCGAGGTGTATTCTCCCACTCTCAAAGCCTGGACTAATATGGCTAACCACTCTATCCCGCGGACTTATCACTCGCTTGCGCTGCTACTTCCTGATGGAACAGTCTTCGTTGGCGGAGGTGGGCTCTGCGAGATAAGATGCAACGCGAACCATTTTGACGCGCAGATATTCACGCCGCCCTACCTGCTCACTGCCTCGGGTGATCTTAGCGTTCGACCCGTTATTAAGAACATCTCCGCCTCAGACGTTCTCCCTGGCAACAGCCTGACTATCGACACCGATAGTGCTGTTCAAAATGCAAGCATTGTCCGATACGGCAGCGCTACACATGGTCTGAACACAGACCAGAGACGCATACCATTGACAATGACGCCAAACGGTCCCAATCGGTATGACGTCACAATACCCGCCGAGAAAGGCATCGCCATTCCAGGCTACTGGATGCTCTTCGTTATGGATGCCCAAGGAGTGCCAAGCGTGGCTATGTCATTGCAGGTCAAGGTTGCTTAGGTTTCAGCGTTGAGTGCAGGCAGAGGTGAACGAGATATGATCCTCCGTCAGGACGAAGACGGCACGGAAGTTCGGTAGACTGCACAAGGAGAGTCATACTCATGTATGGCGAATACGGCACGAACGAAGGCGAGATTTGATGTTATCGTCAAGCACTGCTGCTCCTGCATACAGACATGATTCAACCTGCCGTTTCTCTTTCGCACAATGATCATCGTCACTCTACCTTCAGCCTGTGCCTTTGCTCGCAATATGAGCTTGGACATCTTTACACCTGAAACTGAGGACTTATTACTCTAATGTCTCACAAGCTCTGAGCATAAGCTGCTATCTCTCTCGCAGCCTTCTCGTGCGCTACCAGCAACGCATGCCTGAAGATCAACTCTGCCGCATATACTAGGCCCAAGTCCACAAGCCCACGTCTGCCGCTAGGAGCTTCTTGTAGTATGCCGTATCTTCATCTCGCAAAGGGTCCAGTTCTTTCATCGTCAAAACATGTGTAGGAGGCCTCTTCATTCGTCGATCTAGGCGTGATACGGCCAGGCCGGAGGATTGGTCTTATTCTCCTCATCGGGCGTATAAGATGCTGCGTATCCAGCTATCATAGGCTCACTATGGACTACAAGCTTGCTAATGCCGATATCAGCCCGCTGGACGGAGATGTGCTACACTGCGGCCGCGCAAGAGTTTAGCCCGGTCGGGTAAGGGTGGTACTGTCCGTCTGGACTGTAGTATGTGCGAAGTCTACGGCCATTGCGAAAACGCCATTGACCGCGAGTGATCAAACCCACCGGAGGCGCACTCTCGTGGCGTTATCGAGGATGACCATGCCGCCGCCGTAAATGTAGACCACTGCGGGAGCTGGTTGGGGACGGTGGGTAGGCTTTAATACATAGCGTTTTCGCCGAAGCCCATCTGAAGTCGTGTAGTAATGGATACTCTCCTCGACATGATTCTCTTCGCATCCCTAAGAAGATTCAGCGGTACAGTTTCTGTACAACTCCGTAAGGGCTTTGTGCTGCTGTCCAATAACCTCAGGAGAGCGTAGCTGTTCCGCACTCAGGCCGGCAAAGGGATGCGGCACGCTTTTGTCTAGCTTGAGATGCCTACAGGCTTCCAATAGGCTAGGGTAAAGACGTATCTTCGTACTAAAACTTGTATAGGATCGCCGAGGCGGTCAGAAGGGTATCAGTGAGTTGGGATCGTAGGTTAACAAAACGCAAACCCTTAGGGCTAGTAAGGCTGTCCAAGCGCATCGGTTTTGAAACAGTCTCTATGTCAGCAATTTTTTTTTGCCTCGAAGCAGCTCTGAGCGCGGCACGCGCTGCCTCGGTAAAGCTTCTGGAAGGCTGCAGCAGAAGCATAGCACTTGCATCTGACAGAAAACGCCCCGGCAGAGCACGCGACTCCCGAACTGTTGGAAACGGCATCGCTCTAGTTGGAAACGCGGGGGTTTAGAGCAGTTTGGCTGTGTTTCGACGACGGAAAGCCCACGGTGATACGCACGGATACGCCTTAGTGGATGTGACCCTCTGACCCGCATGAAGAGCTGGCTCGGCAGGAGAGGCTGCGTGGGGAGCTGGATGCCAGAATGGCTTCCAACGGGTATATCGACACCTGGGCACTCTATCCCACGTCCAAGGGTTGACAGCGCTGGGTCATGACTTGGGGCCCAATGCGCCTATCTTCCCAGTTCTCCTTGATGGTGGCGCCTGTCAGCTCGTGCTACAGGCCAATGTATCGGACCTTTTCTGATCCTACCGGCTTTGTACACATTTAAAGGCTTACGGAAGGCAAGCTATCGTTGGAGCAATTGACAGTATTGCTAAATCGCGGTCTCGTATCTCCATGATGATTTGCTCACAATGGGCCAGGTTGGCCGGCGAAGGATCCGTGCCGCGACCTCGTATTGGCCGCCGAGCCGTCCAACGACATCTCACCTTCCTGGAAAAGCCCTCGCGCAATGCATGTCTCGTAGACGAGCCTCTGCAAACCACTCCAATAGACAGCGGTCCGTGAGGCCTGTCTGGATCGCGCTTGCTGCTTATTGTGGTATCAAGAAGCGGAGAGAACGCCTCTGCCAACCTTTTGAGATGTATCTAACGGGACGCTGCCGCCTTTCGGCAGACGATGGCAGCACCAGTGTAACGGATCACGAGGTCTCGAATTCTGGCTATAGAGCCCAAGGCACGTAAGAACGCGTATATCCAGCTTCTCGCGCCACTCTCACATGCGCTGTGAGCCTTTGACTACACCGGAGCGCATCTACCGACTTGGTTTTGAACACATGAAAGCCGTGGTTATACCTGTCCAGGTGAGTAGTCTGGGAGAGTCGTATTCCTCTATTGCGCAAATTCTCACATTATGGACTGCATCTCTTGAGAAAGAGTACTGGTTGTCGAGGTTTATATTCGAATCCATACGATGTCCAGTAGTATTAACATCTAGATACTAGATTTCCGCTTGAGCCATCTGCAGTTCAAAACAGCGTCCCAGGGCGCGTTTTGTGATCTCGGGCAATATGACCTCGCGCACCCTAACGAACGTCGTCACGCCAAATTCCATCGCGCTGAATGCTCTCATCTATGGCTACGGCGGCCACTCTCTCGTCACACCGCACGCGCCGTTACAGCAGGTATGGTGGACGGAGGAGCGCATCGGAGAGAAAATCACGAGGGACTTCGTCTCTTCCAAACTCCGAGCAGAAGAGAGAGGCACTTTGGATCAGACGCTAGGATTTGGGGACGGACTTACGGACGACACTTATCTGGACTGGATACTCGAAAGGGCGAGGAGGCTCTTTCTGATCTTGGCGGAAATCGGCGTACCAGATCAAATATTCGGGGTTATTGATGACTCCTGGGACGACGACGACCTCCCGATACCGCCAGAAAACGTTGCGCGGCTGGCGCTTTCCTACGAGTACAACGTGACACTCAACCGGAAGTTCTATCAGGCGCAATTCACCTTTCTACTCCGCGAACTCCATCCGGGCGTCCATATCGATTACGGGCCAAACGAGCTGGTACCCGTTGAGTTCGTGTACAAGCTTCCTCCAGCTGCATCTTTACAGAGCTGGCCACGCATCCACTTCCCAGGAAAGCCGGATGAGGTGTTTGTTCGAAGGCGCGTCCCGCTAGGAATCTCAGACTCAAATTCTGCGCTGGCACCTGAAAATTTGAGAGATATTCAGCTCGCCAAGGCTGCACATCACGAGCATATTGCCCCGATATGGGCTTCATATACTGCGAAAGGGGCCGCCTATATCATCACTTCATTCGTAGGCCAGCATACGCTTAGGACATTTATCGACTGGCGCTCAGCACCGCAGTATCAGAGGCTGCCCAAGCGTGATCGCCAGGTTCTGCTTCTTACCTGGCTACATTGCCTTTCGGATGCCGTGGCTTCCTTGCATTCCAGAGGGGTCTGCCATACGGATATCCGGCCTTCCAACATCCTGATCGATAGACATAACAACATAACTTTTAGCGACATTGGCAGCCTAGAAACATTTCAACAAGACAAGAAGCACGACCACAAAGAAAGCTACGACTATGGTGAACCAGAGTCGCACATCCCGATTGTTTCCACCTCGAACAACATACCGACAGTAGCTAGGTCTGATGCTCGTTCCCACAAAATATCTCTCCACAGCAAACGCTCCTCGGACGGCTCTATCACGCACATCACAGGTCGTCTCGGTTCCGTAAAGTCAACCCGAGGCGGATCCACCGGCACCAGCCTTTCAGGCTTCGATTTTGGCTTCAGCAAGAAACCTCCCAACGGCGACACCATCTCCCACCCTCCCATCACCGAAAAGGCCGACATCTTCTCCCTCGGCTGCATCTTCCTCGACATCCTCACCTTCCTGCTGGACAAGAAGCCCGCCGAAGCAACCAAGCACCGCAGCTCGAAGCACAAGACTGCTGGCCGCGGCGGCCGCGGCGGGTCCCGCGTAGATACCTCTTATCACGCGAACCTCGACAAAGTCGGCAGCTGGATTGACGTCTTGGACAACCTCGCTATGGGACAGGACGACGACCTTTTCCGCGGTGTGCCGTATATCCTGCAACTTGTCCGTGGTATGCTGAGCCAGAACCCGAAGAGCAGACCCACGGCTGTGGAGGTCAGAAACCAGCTGTCTGATATTCTGGTCAACTATTCCTGGGTCGAGAGCCTACATTGTGGGGGCCATGGCTATGATGTCGGCATGCCGGTACGGTCTATCTCGTCCCGCGATGGGGTTGAGAGCTCTCCGCCTGGGCTTGTGCGAAGTCGAACGGTGAGCTCGACGGAGAGCCAGAGTAAGTCGACGCCAAGGAGCGCGGCGAAGTCGATGTGGAAGTTTGGGTTTGTTGTGCCCTGAGAAGCGGTCCGGAGTGTGGGAAGGTTCAAGGACATAAAATCACCGGTACAGCCAATCGTCAAGAAGGGAGACTGGTCAGCAGTGCCGAGCGCATGGGTGTAAGCTCAGCGGCCTTGCCTTACAAGTTCTTCTGCTTGCAATGTGGGAAGTACATCGCGTGGGAGGAGTTGACGACCAACTCGAGTTAGGCTTGATGAGCCAGAGAACGGATAGGCGGTGTAGACGTGGGGAGCTGTTCTTTAGCTGTACCGGGGTCTGGGGTGGTATTTGGCCCAGATGCGGCAACAACCTTTCGCGTGGCCCTTGGCTCCATACAGTCCGTGGACAACATACGCGAGCGGACACTATGACAGCATTTGGGTGGATTGAGCTCGCCTCCCTCGCAAAGCGCCGTTTGCAGCTTCAAAACATAGGTCATCACGTGTGTGGCCACCAGTAACCAGCCCCAAGCTGCATCCACCACCTCCAGACACTCCTGATCATCGAATCCGAGATCTTTTCCGCAATATCGAACAGGACGAGCGGATATGAACACCAGGCCGTTCACAGCATCCGGCCTGCCGCCTCAGCTGGGGTTTAGCACCAAAGTTTGGCACCAACCGTTCCGCCGCAGACCTTGAGTAAGAGATCTCGGTAGTGCCCAAGGGCTGTCATCCCCTAGAACTTGGTATCACTTCAGGGGCACGACTCCGTCCAGCCCACGACCACATCAAGGCGGCGCTGTTCCATACAGTGACGTCCAGCAGGACTTTCAAATTGTTTAGCAAGGGAAGGGCACGCGTTCTGATTCCGGTCCTGAGGCGCGGTTTCGAAAGATTAGTTCCATCTCCAGGGTTTGGCCGCCTTACCCAATCCTTATAATAAAGCAAAGTCAAGTGATACATCTACGTAGAATTAGACGAGTTTCAACGAAGAAATGCTTAGAAGGTTAATACGTTGTTCTCGTACTACGTGTACAGGTCTCCGCCATCTGGGCATTGCTTGTTGTCAACTTAGAGTCAGTAATGTTAGTGACACTGGAACCAGACTTCTGAACCCACGCCTCGGTTGTACGGTGTCTCCGCAGCGCCTGTTAATATATTTCCATTTCAGTCCACATATCCGATGCCACATACGCTCAGGAAAGTCTAGGACATTAGAAACGCCTCAAGCCCACTTCCCCAGCAGACTCATGAGCGCCAGGCCCGCAATTAACGAGCAACCCCCCGCGACCGTCCTACCCACCGACGCATGCGCCAGCTCTCCATGCAGCCAGTCATGAGCCCACATCTCCACCAAGCCAACCCAAGCCAGGATGCCAGCGCTCAGTGCATCCAGCGTTCCGATAGCGACGAGCGTGGCAGGATCATTGCCGTTGAAGCGATCGAGCACCCCGATGCCAATTCCCATTCCGATTGGAGTGATGAGGGCGAAGGCGAGGCCCATGCAGAGTTTGAACGCCAGTGAGACGGGACGACCGTGGGATTCTGAATCGGTAATATTCTTCGTAGAGGGCAGCTCCGCGATGCGCGTACCGAGGGCAATACCTTCGAAAGCTTGGTGGAAGACGATGACGGCGAAAAGGGTCAGGAAGAAAGAGTCGCCGGCTACGACGAGGGTGAGGCCAATCACTGCTTAACTTCAGCATGGATATGCAATCAGCTGAACCTGGAGAATACGTACATAGCGAGTGGAAGACGATGCCGGCTTCCATGACGAGAACGCTAAGTTTTTCGGGGGTTTGCACTGGTCTCATCATGCCCACGTTCCTTCCCGGAGTCGTTCCCCTGCTGATGATGGGCTCATTGCTGCCTTCAACTTCGTGGGGTTTCACAGTCTCTCCGTCTGTGGCTTGCTTGCCGGAACGCCTCGTCCGCCGCCATGATACGAACCGCATGCCCACGTACTCGACCAGAAAGGAGAGGAAGATCCCGGCCATGAGGATCGCCGCCGATGTCGCCTCGTAGTCTAACTCGCCCAAACAATTACTGGCAAACATGAGCGTAGCATGTGTCAGGAGCTGCATCAGATCAGATTAGCATGTTGACTACTCGAGCATGGCAGCATGGTGTGGATAGATTCTTACGTGGACGAATGCCGTGGAGACTATGACGCCGGTCCCAAATTGCTTCAGAAGAACAAAGAAGAGGCTCGATCTCTGGATATGGGTGAACGAAGACATCAGTATAGGTGTGAAGACGCCTGCGATGAGTTCAGCCAATGCGTCAGGATGTGTCTTCCATGCAGTTTACTTACTGATTGCCCCAGTTGCGAGCATCACGAACGTCAGTCCGATACGTAGAGGAACGTTGTAGTCCCGGTGCGAACGCTCGTAGCTAACCGCGTGGCTGTTCTCCGACTCGCCCTCGCCAACACAGTGCCTTCGAATAAGTCAGCCATTCCTGACGTCTCCATGGGAATAGCGAGCGCTCACTCTACACCCGCATGAAAATGGCAGTTTTGTCCGGTGGACTCCGGAGTTTGAGCAGGGTCAGCGTGTTGCTCGCCTTCATGAGCTGTCGTACTACCGGATACAAGCTCGACTTCTCCTCCGTCCGGCGTCAGACAGTAACTGCGCCGAGTCAGCAATGTACAGCAAATTGCGGCACCAACGTGCAGATCCTCGCCGTGCGGATGACAGCCGGTGTATTCCGCAGGAAGTTCGCCAGTTGCTGTTGGCGAAGCAAGAACTTGGTACTCGGCAGTCCCTGCCATGCAATACCTGACCTAGTTAGAGAAGCCGTATGCAATAACGCTTGGCCAAACGACACCTACTGAGTGCTTTCATGAAGATGACAGTCCGAGACCGCCGTTACGGACAGCAGTGATGGAGTGGAGTATTGTGTAGGGGTTGCTGAAGCCATAACCTCTGTGGCCGTGGCTTCGGCGTATGTTGTCCATATAACTGTTGAACCGCCTGGTCCTTGACAGTACCTGGCAACCATCAGCACAGCAAGCAACAACCGGAGCATGAACGCACTCAGTGTTCCCATCGCGGCTGCAGGAAGAAAGACTGATTGTCTGACCCGACACCAATGCTAGGGTAAGACCGGTGGCGATAACAGCCTGGTGGGTTGTATTGATGAACCACATCGTATGCTCGCAGTGAATGGATCGACAGAATTGTAGTATGGTTAATTTTCGTGGCTACAGATAGCTCTTTGCATCGACAGAAATGTGCTATCATAAGCTGTACGATCTAGCTGACCGTTCTGCAGTGGATCGTTCAGATGCAACAGGAGGGACGAGCAGTTTTTGAAAACTTTTCGACAGACTAATCCTGGAAGGTACCCGCTTTCACCAACGGAAGACTGAGCACTTTATGTGCAGGTGGCTGAGGGAAAGCCAGGAGTTGAAAGCAAAGGCGGCACCGTCAACGTCCACAACCGGTACCCGGCAAGATCCACCAGAATTGTGTATGGCGGGTTATCTGAGTACCCTGATGGCCGGGTCCATTTCATGTTCTTGGCTCTTGGCTTTATGGAGGCTTTGGCTGCAGCTGCAGCTGTGATGGAAGATGTTGAGCGGTCTGACCGGCATGCGTGTACCCTGATGGACAAGTACCTTGATGGAGAGCGTCACGACTGCTGCATCGGACTGTGCCATGAGTATCTTCCTGAAAACGCCATAGGCTTGGCGTATGCAAGTCAGGGCCAGGACTGAGGCGATGAGCTACATATGCAGCGTGCTGGTATCATACTCACTGCGTGTCCATCAGGGTACTCGAACTGCAGCGGCATGTCAAGCCATTGATCTCACCAACGGGCCGACAAACCCCAAGTCCGTCTGTCGACTCGGAAACAGCGGGGTCCGCTTGCATATAAAAGTCAGAAAGTCGAGCTTCGAAGTCGATTTCCATACATGAATCTTCTCACAAAGACAACATCCCGCGCAAACCTCGAGATCGAGATTGAATAACCATCAAGATGCGCCTCACAGCTCTTGCAGTCTCATTGGCTCTCCTAGCCGCATCGTTGTCGCTGGCTTCGCCCACTCTTCCTCTGCACGCAAGGGAAGTGGTGACGGTAACTCGAACGGTCGCCGGGCCTGCAGCGACATCCTACGACTGGGCCAGCGGCGCCACTCCAGACTTTCCCATCCATCCCTCTTGCAATGCGACCGAACGAGCTCAGCTAGAGCGAGCCTTTGCGGAAACGATCAAGCTAGCGCAGCACGCCAAGGAGCACATCCTTCACTTCGGCAACAGCTCCTCGTTCTACACAAAGTACTTCGGCAACGCCCCGACCGCGGAGCCGATCGGATGGTTCGACAAGGTCGTCAGTGCGGACCGCGGCGGGATGTGGTTCAGGTGTGATAATCCGGATGGAAACTGTGAACAGGAAGGTAAGCATTGCTTCGTCTATTCGGGCCGCTGCATTAAGGCGCCGTCTTACAAGCAGCGCTGACGGTGATATTCTAGGCTGGGGTGGTCACTGGCGTGGCGAGAATGCGACTCTCGAGACCGTGATCTGTCCGCTGTCATATTCGACTCGTTGGTCTCTCGAGGCGATGTGCGGAAACGGCTACACAGTTGCAGGAGGAGCGACGAACGCTTACTGGGCCTCCGACATCATGCACCGCCTCTTTCACGTGTACAACATCGGCGAAGGAACCATTGAGCACTATGCCGATGATTACGCGGCGTGTCTCGCATTGGCTACCTCGAACCCCGAGGAGGCTGTACGTAACAGTGATACGCTGCAGTACTTCGCGCTCGACGTCTACGCATGGGATGTCGCCCTTCCTGGAGAGGGCTGCACGGGCAAGGCGCCAGAGGAGAGTAGTTCCGCAGCAGCAACCACGTCGGCAACCTCTTTAGCTTCTTCATCGGCGGTTGCGACATCCAGCAGTGTGTCTGCGGAGGATGCTAATATCACGGCCTCACCAACGCTGGCCGAGGTGCAGACGACAACATCAGGCGCACCCGCCGTAAGTTAATCGCACACAGAATGATACAATGATCAGCTGGCCTTGCTAACGCTACTTCTAGGAGTGCCATACACATGCCGATGGAGTAGTGCATTGCCGCTAAGTTTACCGGCATGAAGCAACAGTTCACAAGCCGGAAACTGCAGCACAAGGTTGAGGAATTTGTAATCTAACTCGGCAGCAGAATTGAACTTTCCGAACGGAGAGTGAGGACTCTGGAAGGGTGCTCGAATGAAACCAACGAAATGGGAAAACTTTGCAATGAGTGCTTACTGCCTATCTGATGCCAATTAGAAGGCGTTCAACTTACAGTAGCTAATAGGAGTTTTGCGATGCGATAGCGTCAACAGCCGGCTTTTCTGACTAGCATTGGCTTGTATGCTAACACGTCTGAAGTTATTGATCTTGCAGTGTTGAAAAATCGAAGGTACTTCGTAGTCGTCTTGACCCCGTGCGAAGGCGGGAGCTGGAGTTCAAGACTCGCCGGAGAATCTCTTTTCCAGCACCCTCGCATCCCATTGCGTCATGTAAGAAATCCAGGAACGACACGTCTGGATACGAATAATTCAAGCTTGACCCCAAGCCCAACGCCATTCGCTCCTTGAAACCAAGCCTTTAATCTCCGCAGACAGGTTTGGTTCATCCCGAGGTCGAGCGCAACAGAAAATGGCTGTGCATTGCCCTGGAATTGCGTATACTGCGGCTATTTCATCTAACCGGCTCCGGTGATTTTTTGCCGGATGAGCCGCACCTTGATCGGAATGGGAATTCCACGATTGACGTCTCAGATTCCCAAGTTCCTGCAGACCGCCAAGCCGCTTCTCCTTGATTTTGATGTCACCGTTTGCTCGGCGCGCGTATGAAGTCTGGTTGACATGATGTCGAATCTTCGATACATGTCCTCCACGATGAGTTGTTCCTTAGACTTAGGTTAACATTTCAACTTACGAGTTTTGCGCTTTGCGCCATCGCACTTCTATCTTTTTTTAGACTCTAGAACAAGGAGCGCTTTTAATGTTAATTCTGAGACTTGAAACTCCAGCAGCAGCTTGACACATTCGGCTGTCTTCTGTCTACTAACCAACGTTCCGTGTACTGACGGTAGTTCTGGAAGAAAGCCCATCTTCGCTCCTGCAGAGAAGATTCGTGGTAGGTCAAGCCGAACAGTTCGATCTGAGGTGCTTGGATGTGGGTGTAACTGACTTAGCCCGGGACGCATAGCTGTAAACCAGGAGTTTTGAGGATATCACATCGGTACACCGCGTCCTGGCTCAAGCGCCGGCCTCAACTCGAATCGACCTCCCGCCGAAGTCTCATCCATTATTCGGATCCAAGCAGCGCACATTTGACCCAGCGATTCCGCAGTCGGCAGGATGGGTCGCTTCACATTGAGAGAAAGTCATGTTGAGAAAGGACACAACCAGAGGGTTTCGATCCGAGAGCGCCTGTCCCATTTCACATGGTCATGGTTCGAATGCACCATGTCGACTGGTGCCATCGCAACCCTTCTCTCTCAGCAGCCCAATAGCTTCGATGGCCTTCGTACAATCGGAAAGGTCTTCTTCATTCTCGATTTGGTCCTCTTCTTCCTCTTCAGCGCTCTTATGACGACCCGCTTCGTCCTCAACCCCAAAGCCATCACGAGATCTCTCCATCACCCGCATGAGAGCTTCTTCTTCGGCACGTACTGGGTATCCATTGGCCTCATATTGTACTGCATCCAACAGTACGCGGTAGATTCGTGCGGGCCATGGCTCGTTAAAACGCTTGAGATTTGCTTCTGGATTTTTGCCGGATGTGCGCTCCTGGTCGCGATTTTTCAGTACCACGTCATCTTCGATCTCGAGTCCCCTCCTATTCATGACGCTCTTCCAGCGTGGATCCTGCCTCTTTACCCATTCCTCGTGCTCGGCCCGTTGGCCGCTACCCTCGAGTACAGCCAGCCGCGAGAGGCAGCTCTTCCTATCATGATCGGCGGCATTATGTTCCAGGGTCTTGGCTGGACCTTTGCGCTGATTATTTACACGCTATACATCACAAGGCTAATCAGCGAACAACTACCCGAAGAGTCGAAGCGGCCGGGAATGTACGTCGCCGTTGGTCCAGCAGGTACGTGATTCCTCGTTCTCGGTTTCCAATCGTACTGACACGTGTCCAGCATACACCTCGATCACGCTCGTCTCGCTAGGCAGTCAAGCCCAAAAGGTTCTTCCAGACGACTTCCTCAGCATTACCAGCGTCCCGACCGGCGACCTCTGGAAGGCGTTCGGTGTACCGGCCGGCATCTTTCTCTGGCTCATTGGCTTCTGGTTCTTCGCATTGTCGACCGTTAGCGTCTTCTTCGGTATTCGGAAAATCTACTTCACACTCAACTGGTGGGCCTTTGTCTTCCCCAACGTAGGCCTTGTAATCGCTGCCATCCAGATCGGCAATGTCCTCAAGAGCAAGGCTATCGGCTGGGTGTGTTCTGGAGCGACAATCGTCCTGGTCATCGTGTGGTTCGTGGTGGCGGTGGCCAACGTGAGAGGTGTGTGGAAAGGGCAGGTATGCTGGCCCGGAAAGGATGAGGATATGGAAGATGTTGACGGGCAGGAAACCGCGACAGAAGCGGAGGTGATGAACCTTGATGGACAAGGCCCCGCGTAGTTGACCGGTCCGCGGTTGTATATACTCATTTTTACGTATCTGGAACAACTCTGTCAACGGTGCTTTCAACATCGGGGAACGACATGTCGAACCAACTCTACCAGAACCTCTGACACGTGAAATCGCCGCTCTCGAGATCTCAACTTTGGACAATCAAATCCATCATAAGCAGACCAGCATAACCCAACACCAGGTATAAATGTATCGGTTCATAAAGCTCTTCATCACGTGACGGGCAGGTGGGCACCTTGCCGTTCGGCAGCTGTCATGGGCATGTTTCAACGACGGTGCTTGAGCAGCGTCGCAGCTTTATGTATATTCTATCTTAGTTCTTATCAGTTTGTCCTACGATACACATGTATCTTGCACAAATGAAACACAGCATTTCCCCCCCGCACATCTCCGCACAACACCTTTTTCGGCTTACTCCGAGGACCCTCACGGACGCGCTTCCTCACCCTGCATGATGACGCATGGCGATATCGCATGCGGCCCAGGCCGGAGCATGTGCAAACCCCTGCACCGCCCGCTCTCTTGGGGACTGCGTCATAAGTTAGGGAGTTTGTGGCTCGGCGAGCTCTCCCTAAAGCCAGTTGCTGCGCTGAAAACACTGGTTGCACGTTTTGCGATTCCTTTGCGACAATTACAACTAGCGCTTGCCGGACAATTGTTCCAGTATTTGTATACCTATCTAATCTGCGAGCATCGTATCTGGAATCTAGCGTTTCAGTTACTCCCGAACTTGATCCATTGTCACGTCCAGCTTTGCATTAAGGATATTCAGACATGTCTGGCGAGCAGCAAACCATCCCGGCGCGCCATGGCACGGCGACATTCGTGCCGCGCGGACACACGATCAAAATCATAAACACCTACGGCCACCAAGTCGTCGATACCTGGGCTTTTGCGCTCGCCAAACCGCCGTCGCGAGAGGAGAAGAAGGCGGAAGAGGAGGCTGCCGACAAACAGGCAGCTGAGGCCGATACCAAGGACGACAAGTCTACCGAGCAGAAGGAAGGGTCCAGCCAGAAGGCGGAGGAGCAGAAGGGGGAGTCAAAGGATAAACCCGCGACCGATGCGGCCGCTGCGGCGAAGGCGGAGGACGAGAAGCAATCAGCCAAGAAGGATGAGCAGAAGCCTGCGAAGGAAGATCAGAAGACAGATGAATCTTCCGAGAAGAAGGATGGGGAGGAGAAGCCCTCGGACGACGCGCAAATGGCATCGGACCCGCCCTCTGGCGTCCCATCAGACAACGAAGCGGATTCGAAGTCGCCGAAGGCGGATAAGACCGAGAAGTCCGACAAGACCGAGAAGTCCGATAAGACTGAGAAGTCGGATAAGAACGACAAGTCTGACAAAACTGAAAGTTCCGACAAGGCTAATAAGTCCGACAAGTCCGACAAAACATCCACTAAAAGCAGCTGGACGTCCTACCTCCCTTCACTCCGAAGAAAGGGCGCCAGCAGCGGTAAGTCAACGACCGAGGAGGAGAAGCCCTCCGAAAAGTCCAAGGAAGAAAAGGACAAGGATGAGGAGGCAGAGAAGCAGGCCACCTCACGAACATGGGCGTCCTACATCCCTTCTGGCAAAGGTTTCACATCCTACTTACCCTCAAAGGGTACGCTCTCAGCGTTTGCAGCATCACACCAGCCAGATCCCAATAAGTCGTATGCAGAACAACTGTACGATTTCTCGAAGACGCCCGTCGGCGCTGCTAGTATTTCCGGTAAGCCCTCCAGCACTTCCTCCTAACATTCTCTGCTACCCTATTTGCTAAGCACTCTGGGAAGCCGCCACCGGCTCCGGCGTCCCCGGCACCCTCTACGCCGCCTACTCCGCCTACACAGCCTCGCACCAAGACGACGTCCCCCCGATGGAATTCCTCTCCATGCCCCACACGCGCGCCTCAACTCTGCACCTGATCCCCCGGCCCGGCGACACCCTCGTCTCGAACCTCCGCGCACCGCTCCTGACCATCGTCGAAGATACCTCGCCCGGCGTGCACGACACCCTGATCGCGGCGTGCGATCCGCAGCGCTACAAGGAGCTCGGCGTCGAGAAGTGGGAGGAGCACGGCAGCTGCGCGGAGAACCTGGTCATGGCGCTCAAGGACATCAACGAGAAGAGTGGGTTGAAGGGGGCGAGGAGTATCGGGGCTGATGTCACGGTTAATGATGTCCCGGCGCCGTTGAATCTGTTCATGAACATTCCTTGGAGCGACGATGGAGTGATCAAATTCGAGGCACCTAAGGAGAAGAGGGGCGGGTATGTGAAACTCAAGGCGGAGAGAGATGTCGTGGTTGTGATGAGTGCGTGTCCGCAGGATGTGTTGGCGATTAATGGGAAGAAGTGTATGGTTGCGCATTTTATGGTCGAGGAGCCGGGGAAGGAGGGAGAGGCGAAGAAGGAGGAGGCGAAGAAGGAGGGGGAGCAGAAGCCGAAGCCGCCGAAGCTCAGGCAGAAGAGCAGTGAGCAACAGGCCCAATCTAAGTCGACTGGAAAGTCGGATGCGAAGGCCGATGCAAAGCCTGAAGCAAAACCAGCAGCAAAGTCGGAAGCGAAGCCGGACAAGCAAGCGCAACAGCCCATGGCGCAGGAGAAGAAACCTGCGCCGAAGAAGGAAGAAGCAAAGGAGGAGCAGCCGGAGAAAGCAGAGTCGAAAGAGCAGCCGAAGCCGCAGGAAACGAAGCAAGAAGCGCCGAAGGAAGAGAAGAAAACCCAACCGCAACCGAAGAAGGATGAACCGAAGAAGGAGGAGCCGAAGCAAGAAGAACCAAAGAAAGATGAACCGAAAAAGGACGAAACAGCGCAGCAGAAACAAGCAGCACCGGAGACCCCGAAGAAGCAAGAGACCGGGCAGGATTCGCCGACTCCTAAGAAGAAGCCAAAGAAACTTGAGAAGCGGAGTAAGCCTACGAGCGAGGCATCGAGCGAGAAGTGAGTGCGACTGGTTGGGCAAGAGAGACGGACATGTCGCGATACCAGTCCAGGCGGAAGGTGACTGAGGGCTACTCAAGCCCTTAGTCGTTGGGATTTCTCCAAGAACGTGCAACAGCTCCCCAAAGCCGGATACGATTATAGGGCTTCTGGTCCATGTTTGGATATGTGTCCGTTTAATAGGAGCGAGGAAACCTGTTCGGACCGGCTGAACTTCAGCGCTTTTTCAAGTCGGGGGTCGGGCGCAGTTTAGGGTGGTTGTAGGGTCAGTTTTTTTTTTCGTGTCAAGTCAAACGATGGCGCCGTTGGTCTTGGATGGTTCACTGTATGTCTATCTATTCATAACCATGTACTTGCATAGTCACCTGCGTGAAGGCGCATACCTAGGAAAGCATGAATATTCCTACGAAATGTTGTTGATCACAATGTATCCGTGATGAATGCGAAGTGACCCCGGAACAAGGGACTTACATGAACCGCAAATCCATTATCCAACCACATCGCTATTCCATCTTTTAAGACGCTTTAATCCTCACGAAAGAAAACCAACGTAAACCACAGTGAGGAAAAAAGGCTACGCAACTATGCGAGCCAACAGCGCCTCCGTAAACAGCCACAACAACGAGGAATCATGTGCGTGAAACGCGGCGCCGGTATAAAAAGTCCTCCTGCGCCCCTGCAGCTTATACAACTCCTTGTAGAACCCTGCTTCAATCGCGCCAGCCGGAACGCGCAGCTCAAACGGCGCATAGCTCCTGAACACCACAAACTCCGCCCTCTCCGGCGTCGCGCTCGGCACCGTCCCCGCTGTCTTCAGCCGCTCAAGCGTCGCAATCATGTCCGCTTTCACTTGCTCGTCGGACATCTCTACGGGACTGCCGTACTTGACGGCGTGCAGACCCGGTATGCCGGTTGGTGCGAAGTAGTAAACCCCAGGCAGAATGGGCAGGTTGTACGCTGTATGCGCGCCGATGTTCCTGATTCGGGCGGTGTCGGGTATGCCGGTTTTGCAGAGGAGGGCGCTGTAGTAGCCTGCGTGCGTGAACTGGCTGAAGAGGGAGCGCTCGGTGGAGTCGAGGTCGAGGCTGCGGAGGTTCTTTGGTTTGGGGGGGATTGTGACGAGGAGGGTTGAGGCTTTGATGAGTTTTGGACCAGAGGGGGATTTTACGAATACTGTGGCGTAGCCCTTTGCGTCGCGGTCTGTTTTGACGACCTCGCTACTCGGCAGTGCGTCGTCGCCAAGTTCGAGATGCGCTTTCTCGTATAGTTCCCCGTTGTTGTGCCTTTCAGTGGTCAGGAACCCGACTCGTAGGTTTCGCAGCACGTCCAGCCCGAAGAGCTTCATCACGTAGATGGTCGGTATCGGAAGGAGATCTCCTATGCCTTGTGCGTAGCCGAAGACGGTATGCATCGCCGCATCGATCGCGTACTTCTCCACGAACTCACCAAAGGGGAGCAGGAGGTCTGGCGGCACTGGATAGGGGACGTCGAAGCCGACCTCAAGGAACGGATACTTCGCAAGCTGCACGGCATATGCGGCAAGGGCGGCATTCGGACTCGCGGGTTTGTAGTCGTCCACGATATCGCCCGAGCGAAGATCTGCGTGGATTGTCGAGACTCCTGGTGTGGCGAAGCTCGCCTTGACCAAGGGGATATCGAAGCGGGCGAAGTAGTCTCTCACCACGGGCAGGTCGTGCCAAACGACGACGCCGATTTCGGTTGTGCCGTTGGTTGCTGGGTCGAAGTAGGTCTCGGAGGGACCGCCGAGCCGGCCTTATTTCTCTACGACGACGACGCTTTTGCCCATATCGCGTAGACGGATTGCTGCATGTGTTCCACTGGCACCACCGCCGATGATACAGACATCGCGAGTGATCACGTCCTTTGACAAGGGGTAATCAGCAACAGACCAGGCGTAATTTACTCAGAAATGACGTCTGGTGCTCGCAGCACATAGAAGGTATCCCCACGGCGTGTCGAGAATATAGACACTAGTTGTAAGGACAGAAGACTGGATACTGAGAGGACTTAAGTCAAAACCAAAGCACAGGGGGAGTGATATAGAGGCCAGGCCTGATATCAAAGATTGAAATAATGATCGAACGGTCTTGGTTCACTTTGATCTAGCAGAACGAGGCGCTCCAAAGCGTACCTGGACCTCTGGCTGTGACTGATTAGGATTGGTGTCCTCTCTATATGCATCTAAGTCATTCCCGTTTGTCGGCTGAGCGGACACATAGTTGGCCAAAGGCGGCGTTGGAGCAGTACTGTTTTGCTCGCCCACGGCAGGGGTGGGGTCAGGGTCAGGGTCTACACCCTGGCTATTAGAGATCTGATCTATGGCAACCATCTTATTCACTCAAACGTGAATCTATTTTAGATTACAAACACGACTAAGGGCGCGCGTCTCGCCCCGCGTCTTAATCTGTGATGTTCAACTGGAAAGGGCATTAGTTTCAGCTCCACTCTGCAGTGGGCGAAAGCAGCTTAGTAAGCCGAATCCTTCGAGTTGACGACTCCATTGAAGGCTCCTTGTCTATGGCCCACCTAATCTTCATTGGACATTACTAGAGATTCTAAACAGCAATGAGAAGGCTTAGTTCAGGTGCGGAGATTGATGGAATATAGGGGATAGATCCAAATAAGGAACCCGGTCGTATGTCTACAGGCTGTTTCGTTCGCTCTTGATATGCTGAAGGCTCCAAGCCAGAAGCTGCGATATGTACTGCGTGGTCGCAGAGATGTACGTCGAGAAACGAATTTAGCACCCTCTCAAAGCTTACCCTAGAAATCCGGCCTTCGGCGGGACGCTCCGAAGAAGGTAAAGCCATCCGCATGAGTAGTCAAGCTTATTGAAACAGCAGTGTGGCAAAGGAACCGAGGGAGTGATAGAAGTGGGATCAAATCGTATACCGAAGGGGGCTCGATAAGACCAAGAGCTTCTTCCTGGCTGGCCGCCACACTTCGTGGACCTTTTCGTCAACCACGGAGGTAAAGGCACGGCCAGCAGAAGAGAGCCTTCACCTACCACATCTGCATTTGGCGGAGTTGGCGCGCAAGCTGGGCATCGACAGCTACTCCCTTCACGTCCGAATGCGGCAATAACGGCGTTTGCATAGAACGTCGCAGGTGAAAAATGAGAGCAAATTTGTGCTGTGCGAAGACCAAACCGACACGAAAGCAAGGGAGAAGAAGGCAAGAAAGACACGGGCGACTGGGAAACGGTGCTAGGTTCATGCTTCATGGAGGTGTTGAGCATCTTTGCGGCCTAGTTTGCGGTTTGGCGCACCCTGTGTGAAGCCCATGAAGAACCTTCCGTGTTGACACTTGGCATGGGTTTCCCACTGGAAGCAGCACAGCGCCAGCTCAAGCTCAGGTTGACCTTGTGTCGCGGCATCAGCAGGCGTGTGAGTCCAGCCATGTTTCTGGAGTGGCTGCGTCTCGAGCGTCACAACGTCAGGAGAAATGCTAGGCTGTCCTTACGACAATGGATTGTAGCCTACAAGTAGCGCTGTTGGAGCGCGGTACAGCGGATCAAAAGAGAGAGAGAGATACTAGAGTGATAAGAGAGGTAATGAGATGGTTCCCAGTCGTAGCACAAACGAAACACATGTTCCATTATCCATCCCCATCCCATCGTCCGCCCCGATCATCCTTGATGACATTTGCCCGAATGTGCGAATGCTCTTGGTGCCGTGATCTTTTGCAGTAGCACACATCCATGCTTTCTCAGGAGGTATCACTGCTGTTATCGCATTTCACATGCGCTGCATCCTCCATCTTATCCACGCTTGCGCCGCCTCAAAACGATCCCCTTATGAGCTTGCCAAAGGATCAACGCCATCACCTCCGGGCGCTTTGCTCGGATCGTTCCTCCTCATTAGCTCTTCCACCGGGCCGAGCAGGCGCTGGAACCCATCCTTACCCAACGTCGCTACCTTGACCTCCGTCTTACTGACCACGCTCGCCGCTCTCGGCTTGTCGTTCAATAGCGCCAGCTCGCCGAAGTAATCGCCTTTCTTGTACTTGTGGACTGGCTTGCTGCCCGAAGAGGACTTGTACACCTCCGCCTCGCCCGCCTCGAGGATGTAGAAGGCCTCGCCGACATCGCCCTCGCGGATGATGGTGGTGTTGGGTGGGAACTTCTGCGTCTCAAGCGCGTCGGCGATCTTGGAGCGCTCATAGCTCGTCAGGCCAGACAGCAGCGGCACCTCCTCGAGGAACGACTCGTACATGCGCCGGCGCTGGAAGGCCGAGTCCATAAGGATGCGGCGGAAAGTAACGCGGTCGAGGGCCCAGAGGGTGGACGGCTCAGTGGAGATGACGGTCGCGGCGCGGGGCGCGTTGTACATGAGTGCGAGCTCGCCGAAGGAGCCGCCGGGGCCGACGGTGCCGACCTTGTTGCCCATACCGTCTGGGCCCGCTTGCAGGGCGCCGGACGGGTTGACGTAGATGTCGAAGCTGCCATTCTCGATAACGTAGAAGTAGTCGCCTTGGTCGCCCTGGGTAATGACTTTTATGCCCTTTGCCGGGATCGGCTTCTCGGCTAGGGCACCGAGCACCTGCTTGAGGTTCTCCTCGTCGAGGTGGGAGAAGAGGAAGTTGGTGGCCACGGCAGTGCGGAGACGTTGTTGCTGCTCGGGCGTCTTCGGGTGATAGGGAGGACTCCAGTCCTTGTGGGTGTCTGATGTGGGGTTCAGCGATTCGGCGGAAACGGAGGTACGCCGATTGACGTTGTAGTTGGAGGGAAATGACGGGACGTCCAGGCTGCCGCCGCTGACGTTGGATACGGGCGGAGACCTGGACTGCTGGCCTGGCGGCGAGCGGCGGGAGGAGCTGCCAAAACCGCCGAAGCCGCCGAAGTTACCAAATGGGCTCCCGCCGGTGCTGGTATCGCTGGTGGATGAGGGCGCTGTAGGGTCGCTGCCAGACATGGCGTTGGGCGGGAACGACGATTGGGTTGGTGAGGTCAGGTTCTCGTTCTCGTCCTCTTCTTGGACGGAGTGCATTCCTGACGGACCTGGCGAGGAAGCTGCACCAAAGGGATTGTTGCCGGGAAAGTTGCTCTCGGCCATGCCGCCAGGCTGCGAGGAATGCTGCTGCGCCAGCAGGAACTCAGCCCGCTGCGACTCAAGCCGGCGCTGGAAAAAGTTGGCGCAGAATTGGAGGACGTCGGTTGGCTGAGCCTTCTGGACCTCGCGGGTGAGAGAGTTGATCTCGTTCGAGAAGGTTGACGGGAGAGACATCTGGAGTAGCTGGAGGGAGCGAGGTCAGGCAGAAGGTGAGGGGCTTCGTGCTGTTTGGTTTGTGGGACTGGAGCTGCAGGCAGGGATCAACCGTGCGGCGGGCTGACGAGGGGTCAAGAGCAGCTGTCGCCGAGTCGCCGGGAGCGATTGAAAGCGGCTGTCAGTCCAATGCGTCTTGTAGCACAAGCAAAGCGACGGTGCAATTCCACAGAGCAGTAGGGGATGGGGTTGGAATCAGCAGAGCGGAGTAGCAGGTTGTCGAGAGAGAGCGGAGGAGGAGAGGAGCTCTGGTGCAGGTGGCTTTTGGAGGGGAGCTGGTGTGAGTGGCCGCGGCTGGTGTTGCTAGGTTACGTCGATGCCTGCTCCGGCTTTTCTAGAATAAGTCTAGAAGGACCAGAAGCCTGCAGCGGATGACATGCGAGCCTGTCCGATTGAGCAAAGCCCCCCCTTTGTCTGCCTCACCGACTTCACCGTCCAACCCAGGTGAGGTCTCAAAAGCGCTGTTATCTACGGCTGCGACAGTGATAGTGATAGACGAGCTTCCGTTCGTTAGGGACTTTTGGTTCAGTCAGAGCTCCACGCATGAAGCTCGCGCCCACGTCTCACCCGCTCATAGCGCCCGCAACCGTCGGATATCAGCGTGCCCAAAGCGCTGCCCTGCGCTGCCTCTGCCTCTATCCGCCCGGTGCCTTGCAGGTCGTTTCCCTTCTCTGCCCACATGCATACATCTAAAGTGCGGATGAGGGGGCTACGGAGTACTTGGCATGTGCAACGGTGGCCTCGCTAGGCGGAACGACGGGTGGGTAGAATCAGGGCGAGCATCGAGCATCCTGTGAGTTGAGGCTGCTTGGCGGCAGCAGCGCTTCACTTCACTTCGAGATGCAGGGGAAGCGAGCTGGCTAGGTAGGTAGGCAGCCGGTAGGATCACGTGTCTCATGACGCGCGGTTTAGCTCAGCGCCGGCACCAGCTGGCTAGACATGCTAGAGTAAGCTCCATCTCAACCACGTTTCCCACGAGACGCCGACCAAGGACCTTCCCCCTGATCCAAATCCCCCATTAGACCTCCTCGGCGCCGTCAGTTCGAGCGCCTCAGTCTCAGTCAAAAGCGCGCTTGAATATCTTGCGCCCCCTGCTTCCTGCCGCAACTGCTGCGAACTTGTTGCTTCACCTCGTTTAGACCGTCGAACCGTTCGGCTGTACGACATCCTAGCTCTGCCGGCTTCTTCTCCCAGCCTCTCGACCACCAGCCGCAACCGACGCAGCTTAAGAGGACCTTGCAGCGCTCGTGCCAGCCTCATCTTGCATCAAGCTCAGAGCCTTCACTATCGCGCCTCTCTCGCCCAACTTGCTTCGGCGCTGCTCAGAGGTCAACACATCCAGCAGAAGCACCCGTCTTCCGCCGCGGCCCTCATCCATTGTGTCTGCCTGAACCGAAACGTGCGTAGTTTGCTGGCTTGATCCTTTCCAGTAACTGCGTTCCTTCACCTGCTACCTGTTTGCACTGCACAATGGGAAGCTTCACATTCAGGTGGTCCGTCAACGCCATCCTGCCAACTTGGTTGCGACAAGCTGATGCGCCATTTAGGGAACACCCCGCCAACGAAGTCTTCGTCACCGGCACTTTCGACGACTGGTCGAAGAGCGTGCGACTAGACAAGAAGGATAACTACTTCGAGAGGACAGTAGATCTTCCGCAGACAGGCGAGAAAATCTACTACAAGGTACGAATTACACTCATCGCACGCCCCAATCCGCCGGACGGTTTCTGCTCTAGCTGTGATTCGAGTCACTGTCCAATGCTAGAGCGCAAACCAACAGCATTTGTCGCTGCACGCGACCTTTTCATCGCCAGTGACTAACTCATTCTGGTGACAGTTCGTCGTCGACGGCAACTGGGTGACCAAAGACACGGCCCCAGCAGAGAACGACGGCCACTACAACTACAACAATTTCTTGAACCCTGTAGACCTTCAGCCATATCCATCCTCGCACGCGCACACGATGTCTTCGGCCGCACCCCACTCCACGACGTCCCAGCTGGCTGGAGCCCAGCCCAAAGAAGAGCGCCCGCCGTCGGACTCATCCATGCCAGGCGGCTTTCCCGACACACCCGGAGACGAACTCAAGGAGTTTTCCGTCAAGCCCATTCCGGCCACCTCGGATGCTCCTGTACCCGGAGGACCTGGATCCGGGAACCCAGTGAATCTCGAACCTGGCGAGAAAGTGCCGGACTCGAGCAACTTCACAGACAACACCGTGTCCTCGACTGCTCGCGACGATCCCTCACTCAAAGACAGCCCCGAAGACTCCACCGAAGATTCTACCAAAGACTTCAAAGACTCCAAAGACTCCAAAGACTCCAAAGACTCCAAAGACTCCACCCAAGACTCCAACCAAACCTTCGGCGTTGCTCCTATTCCTGCGTCTTCGGGCATCGGTAACCCCATCAACATTGCGCCTGGCGAGAAAGTGCCTGACTCATCGACCTTCAACCGAAACACCGTCGAGAGTACTGCTAGGACGGATCCAGACTCATACGAGAGGAGCGATGCGGGCGCACCATCCCTACCGCCTGTCGTCACGCCGGACGCCGAACGGGAATCAAAGGGTGGAATGTTCGGTCTGCCCTCAGTCTTGAAAAACCTGATACCCCAATCTAGCTTGCCGATTGTAGGCACAAACACGAAAGACTCTTCCGAACGGGACACGAAGGATTCTTCCGACCGGGATGCAAAGGATTCTACTGGTCTTCCCTCGATGGTAAAGAATTTGATACCAGAGTCGTCGAGCTTGCCGATCATAGGAACAGACAAGAAAGATTCTTCCGAGCCGGACACTAAGGGTTCTACTGGTCTGCCCTCAACCTTGAAAACCCTCATACCAGAGTCGGCCTTGCCAATTATGGGAATAGACAAGAAAGATTCTTCCGAGCCGGAGACGAAAGATTCTTCCGTGCCGGAGTCGAAAGATGCTTCTGTGCCGGACACCAAGGACTCTTCCGAGCCGGACACAAAGGAGCCCTCCGAGCCGAGCCTTTTCACGCAGTCAGCGGGACCTACAAGCACGACCGCCATGTTGGCTGGTCAAGTACCGAAAGAGCCAAGAGGAGTGCCGCAGGTCGTCACCGATAGCCAGCAGCAGGCTCATGCCGATCCCGAGGCAGCCGCTTCACCAGAAGCTGTGCAGGAGAAGAAGCAGCTGGAGCAAGAGCTCCTGAGGGAGGTACCAGAAGTGAAACCCGCAGCTGAGAGCGGCACTTCCACCGGCAAACTTGGCGGCATGGAGACCGGTGATTCAGCAGCAGCGGGCTCCGTTGTTTCGCCAGAAGTCGTCGAGGAGAAAAAACAGCTCGAGCAAGAACTGCTGGAGAAGGTACCGGAAGCGCCGCCCACAGCTGAAAGCGGCACATCCACTGGCCGAGTTGGCGGCATGGAGGCTGGTGATTCTGCTAGTTCCGCTATTGGCAGCGCCGCATATGGCACCGAGGATAGACAACCCGAGACTGCAAGCTACGACCAAACCTCTAGTGGGCCATCTACCGGCGCCGCGGCCGGCATCATGACTGGCGCTGCGGCTGGCGCCGTAGCCGGTGGTGTCGTTGCCGGCGGCGTTAGCCACGGTCTGAACCCTGAAATCCAGCGGATGATCGACGAAATGAACAAAGGACATGGTGTGACTACCATACAAGAGCTCGACAACACCGTGAACGTGCCAGAGCCGGTTGCTGAGTCCTACACCCGAGCCTACGGAAGCCTCGAGGCGGCTGCCTATCCTGAAGTGGTCTCAGAAAAGAGGGAGGTTGAGGAGGAGCTGCTCTCGAAGGTACCAACGGCCGATGAGAAGGGCGAGCCTGCGCCCGTGACGACATCCACCACTTCAATGTCCGCAGCGCCCATTTCCATCCCTGGCACTTCTTCCTCTCCAGCCCCAGCCGTCCCTGACGTGGTGGCTGAGAGCATATCTGCCTCCCACGTATCACCGGAGGCGGCAGCGAACCCTGAGGCCGTGACCGAGAAGAGCTTGATGGAAGCTGAACTCCGAAAGGTTGTTACACCGACCGACGTGGCCGGTGAACCGGCTCCAAGTGATAGTGCCGCTCTCTCAGCAACTGCGCCTGCTACGACGACTTCGAGCGCGCTCAGCCCGACCAGCATAGACGATGGCGAACCGCTCAAGAGCTCGAGCGAGGTCGATGTGAGTGCGCCGATTGCAGCAACGACCGTGATGTCCGTGCCACCCGCCCCATCTACCGACGGTGCTCAAGACCAGGTAAGCGGGTTGAACGCCCCAGCCGAGGCGCCCGCCCAGTCCGCCGCCACGGAGACAGGCCAGCTCGCCGCGCAGGACCCAGACAGGCCATCCGACACAGCAGGCGCAGACCGCCTCGCCGAACAAGAGGCTACCCGGCCATCCGACTCCCGCGACGTCTCTCCAATGAGCAAAGCCCCAACCAACATCTCCCGAGGCCCAATCGTCACAACGGGCGTCGGTGCGACACCGGCTGCGCCATCCACCACCGTCCCGGCGACCTCGACTGGCACCGCCAGTGCCAGCCAGCCAAGGAAGGAGTCGATGCTCGGCCCGGATACGGGGGCTGCGCCAGCTGCACCGGTCACGCCTGCGAAGAGCCCCCAGAGGAACTTGGAACCGAAGGTTAAGGGGACCCCGGAGAGTGCGCGCACGAGCACAAGCCAGGCTAGTGCGCCGGAGGAGGCGGGCGCGGAGGGGAAGAAGAGCAAGCGGAGGAGCTTCTTTGGAAAGTTGAAGAGTGCTTTTAAGTAAGCAGCAGAGTAGGGGGCGATGAAGTAGCATCAGCATTGGCTGGGAGGCGTGGGGGGTTGGTAGTACTTGGCGGGTTTAGTACACGGTGGGAGGGGGACTGCGGCTTTGTAATTGTCTTCCTTTCAGTTCTCGGATGCGTGGTTTGTGCATAATTCCCCCCTTCTGCATTTGTGTCTTTCAGTTTCCCAGGCCATTCGCTGCTTGTACGTCTGGTTACCTGGCACCCCGGTAGCTGGTTAAGATCGCTTGGATGCGGTTCATATGGCCGCAGCGTAATACCGTATCATAACGATGTAGCCATCCACGATAATCCGTGCTTGGGTGCGAAATCGATCTGGGCCCATGCCTTCTATGAGTGCTCACTATCACACACGTTCTACAGTGGATAGGAGCCATCGAAAGCATGACTTCATATATCTCGACGTCCTCCTTTCTGAGGGCGTCTGGATGATAGGGACTAGTTGCCGCCAGACTGCTTCTGAACTGCAACTCTGATAACAGCCACGATGAGCTGGTCGCATAAATAGTACTCCCTGGCGCGTCTAGATGCCCGACAAAGACTACAGGGTGAGGGCGTTCCAGCCATAGAAAGTACGATCTTGGAAAGACACGACGGAGGAGAGCATCCCAAGCAACCGGTCTCCTAGCCTAGCGCAGTTAAAGCAGTGCAATGCCATCTGCCGCCTTCCCGCTCAACTCCAAGAGGATGCTAAACAGAGGCCGCCTTTCCCTTAAGACAGAGCGAGTCCGCTCCTCCGCTGCGCCCACTGCTTCCCTTTCCTGAGATATCAATACCTTGTCTCACTGACCGCGTGCCTACGGACACCGCCGGCTACGTCAACAACCACGTTGCCAGAAGGTGCTAGGGGCCGTGAGAACAGTTGCGAAACGAGTGTAGCGCCTCCTAACATTCTCGTATCCAATCCCACAAGTTCTGCGGCGCTCTGGAGCCTGGACTCACAGCCTCGCCGCAGAAGCTTCCCGGAACCTTCAGTACTCGGCACAACACACCTCCTCGATGGATACTGCTGAACGGGTCTTGATGTTGAGGCATGCTTGAAACTGCGACTCAACTGGCCCCATAGGTCGCGTGGTGTGATGGGATGGATGTGCGCTCGGAAGTGTGTTTCCCACACGGATTCTTTTGGGGCCTCAATGCAGCGGTACGATCGCGAAGAACGTGGGTGGAGTTGGCCTCATTCTTGTCTAGGCCCTTACTCAGGAAAGAAAGAAGGACCAGCGCAACTAAACGACGCGTTGGACGGTAACGTGTAACTCATACGCACGGCGGAGAAAGATTAAAATACGATCGCCCTTATGCCTTTTCAATCTCCAGTTGAGCATCATGGTACACACTCAATGTGCCGTTTGAGAAACTCCCAAGAAAAGGTTTTATTCGGTGGAGCTCATGGTCGGTCGGAGTCGTCGGTGCGTCCGGGGCGGTCGGGGGTGCGGTCGGGAGTTGGCGGAGCGCTGGTTGGGGTTTGCGGAAGGTGGTGGCGTGTTGGCTTCGGTGGGAGCCGAACTCGAGGACCGTGGGGATTTGGGGGGGGGGGTTCGGGAGAGATGATGATGATCTCGGCTGCGGCACCTGGATTGTGAGTGGGGGTAGTGATGATTTTAGGGTATATGTGCCTAGGGAGTTGGGCAGGGAGTTGGGCAGGGAGTTGGCAAGTTCTTGGAGAGACTAGCGGTCCGCCCTGGGGAAGTGCGACGGGCAGAGAGATTTTGTATATCCCGAAAGACTCTCTATATCGTAGAGTACCAGGAGCAATTGAACGGTGCGAGCTATTCGATTAAGAAAAATCTTGCTTTTGGTTCTTATGTAAATCTTGATTGTCATATGTCACGAGGCGCAAACAGGCTGTCGGGACGAGAGTGCCTGCGGCCTCTACACGAACGCACTCAAGATTGGGGAAGGTGCAAGAGACGGCACCGTAGATCTTGGATCAATGATTGCGAAAGGACGGCCTTGCAGGCGAGGTACGAGATGAAAGAGGAAGGAGCGCAAGGAGAAAAGGAGTGCAAAAAACCGGATGCGGCAGGTACGATTCGAACTGCAGACTCGCAAAAGAAATACACACTTACCTGGGGGAAGGCCTACAAACGCCAGGGGGGAGGATGGTAGAGGATGCTCTCCCAAGGGCCGCACCGCTTGGTGAGGGATCGTACCCACTCGACCACCTGGCCGCTTACCTGCTTAACGTGGAAGGAGCAACCAGCTTTGCAATTGATAATGTCCTCCTTTTCGGCAGACCCAAGTGGATGGTCGCTCAACGGCCATCTTCTACCATGATGGTGGGCTTTCCCGTAGGGAGTGCACGGTGGTATCTTGCCCACATGAACAACTGAACCATTCTTTCATTGTATGTCCTTGATCCTCTAACGGCGAGCTCGCTCTCTGTATCATGTTTCTTCCATGATACTGGTGTTCTCTTGAGGTGAACATTCTCCTCCGCGAGATGGCTCGAGCGGGTGATGCAGTCAACAGTATCCCCTTTGTGAATACTCAAGCTTCAGTATTTCCTACATTTGGACGGCTTCCGTTCTCTCATAGGCTGGTGTGCTTGCGGCGAGCTCCTCGTGATCTTGGGTTCTGAGCTCCGGCTTCGAGGCGATACCCGCCCTTGAAGGAAATTGCGACCGGTGGGCGACTATCCACCTTTGCGATGAGCCTACGACAAGCATTCATACCCAGGTGCGCACGCTCGTCTTAGAGATACGTAAGGAATCACCAGTCCCGTCTCCTACTAAGGTCTCATCACGGCCAGCGTGGGTGATGCGATGATGGTGCGGCCAACATGACGTTCTTCGAATACCTATTTCCGCCGCATGTGGGCAGCGCCGATCTCCGTAGAACGACTGAGGCGCAACGGAAGCGTCGGATCACTATGGAGCCTTCTGTCTTGGCTTTTAGCTTTGCAAACAACCAAGCTGGCCCCATGTGCTCTTGGAAGCTGGAGGCACGGCCAAAGGGTGCCTCTTCGTTGCAGTTCCAGTCAACCGCAGGAAAGATATATAGGACAGGGTGGAGGAAGGCGCAGCCACTGATCTAGTATGTAGGGTTGGAGGATTTACTACAGTGCCTTCTACTCAGCCCCTTCCAGCGTTGACGGAGCCGACACCGAAAGCATCCTTTGGAATGTGTATAGAGGGTTACAAACGGCGTTCAAGAATAAGGCGTGGCCGCTCTGCGGTCTAGTATCTCCGTGTTGTAGCAATTGAGGGATGAGTGTGAGTTATTCCCTGTGGGCGCCCCCGATGCTTGTGACCAGAGTATGAGGCAACCGTAACAGACCCTGATGGTAGCATTGAGGGCAAACTACTTCTGAGCCAGTGTACTATCACACCCGTTCCCTTAACTACGATCAGTCATGCTTTCGATCTGGCATCACCTCACGCTTGTAATACAGCCACAAGTATCATCAACAAGCGGATCAAAGTCGTTCTACAGAGGATGCAAGATAGCCGCATGCGGCAGTCTAAAGCTCGTCCGCAGAACAAAGTCGATGAGTTGCCAACACACTCATAGCCCTAAAACCGGCGGCTTGGTAGATACAGGAGTCTAGCAACTATTGGCAGAAATGGGTGAACGAGTGTCCGCCGCCTCGGAATGGATTGAGGCATCCGTAAATTGATATATCGTGGTGACATCGACCAGCAGTGGTACGGTAGGTTCCGGATGCTGGACCAAGACGATTTCGCAGGTTTGTACAGTGGCTTCAGTCCGTTTGTCGCGGCGATTGTTGGCAGCCCGAAGCTGGTGATGAGACTTGAAAGCTGAGGCGAGGAAAAACGACTCTGAAGCCAATGGAGAGCGTGTTCCGGTGCCTTTGCAGCATTGAGGGAGCCTTCGTAGTCCATGTATGGTATTGATATCCACCAGGTGTCTTACGAAAATCTTTTCAATCCACTGAGTCGGCTTATGCTGGTAAGATGAAGCGTTGTAAGAAGAGCTACTCCACGGCTCGACCCATAACTCCCATGAGAGCGAGCTGGGGCAAGAATTAGGGAGGAGACAACAAAAATGTATCGATGCCATTGACTGTGGGTGCCTCTATGCTCTTTATACGGTGGCGAAATCCTGCAGTCGTTCTATGATAGATGGTCTTTTGCCAGATAGAGAAGAATTTGTGGGGGTTGGCTTTCAAGCGCCTCGTACTCCGTTGGTTAGTTCCAATTTCTTACGCTTGAAAGGCTCACTACGGGGTCCAAGGGATTTTGAACGACGGAGCCTATCAGACGGTTCGTATTACACGCTCGACAAAGCGGATACAGTTGCGGTCCCAGCAACCTCTCTAGCGCAGGGGATGGCGGAAGCAATAGAGAAGGTACTATGGCGGGGAACGATGTCTTAGTCTCTGACAGTGGATTAGGCGGTCTTGGAGTAAGGGTGTTACTAAAGCTCCGCAGTTGCCCTATCTCACCATGTGACGGGAACATGAAGACCATACGCAAGTTGACAGAGCAATAGAGTCCGCGTTGCCTCAATGCTTGTTGAACTTCAGAGGATCCATGAGCTGTTGTACAGATCCCAAGAATCGCTCAGGTACTCTCAGCCGTCCACAAAAGGCAGCGGGTGAGAACGTTAGGCGTGACTTTACTCGTAGGAGTACGGACGTAGGACCCTCCAAATGGTTCAACATTGTTAGATCGAAGAAGAAGTGCATCCGCGGCATTGCTCAGTCACGATCCATGGCTGAAGTGAGGTGTTTCCGTAGATCATGTGATCCGTTTCAAGATGAACTAACCTTGAGCCGCATGCTGGCCCGTCTTAGTGAGTCAGCCTTATCGTGTTGAGCGTAGGATCATCAGGTGCCTCCCGAGGGTATCTGGGAGGCTTGTCCACGATAGATGAGAGATAGGATGAAGAAGGATTGCTGCGCAGGTCACCTGCGCGAGCCTTGAGAGACACCCTGGCGCACGGCCACTGTGGGAACGGATTGGGCGCGCTCCCAGCTCATTCCGTCAACGTCACCTTCGTGCGGATTGGGCCTGCTGCCGGGTGTGAGCTGTGCTCGCTTGCTCTCCATCACATTTCCACCGCGTCTTGGGCTGTGGCATCTCTCCGGAACCTCAAGCCGCCGGATGCTGCGCGTCGTGAAGCACGCAAACGAAGTGACAAGAATGGATTGCGCCCGATAAAAGGAGGGTGGTGTGCTGGAGGTTTGCCTCCCGCTGACCGTCAAGGTTGATCCTGCCAAAACTCTCCGTTGCAGCGGCGGCGATGCAGTGCTTCCCTACCAGTGAGATCGCCTCGTGGTGGCAGCCTGGCTGGGCCACGGCCTTATCATCCATGGCTGCGGTGCTGCGCCTTCCCATCTATGCCGAGATAGGTTTCCTGACTATCTTGGAATGACTTCATCAATCGTGCACCGTCACATCTATTCATGGGCGCCGCATACAACCTTCGCATCTACTGACTCTATGTAATTCACCTTTCTAGACACGCTCTACACTCATAATCTCTGCTGCTATACTCTGGCGCCTTTCCGCTTCGTCCCTGTTGTGTAACCTTACAGTTGTACTTTACCTAGAACTTGGGTGCAGAGGTCCGGTACGCTTCCGTCACGCCCGCGGACCTCCAAACGCGTTTGGATTTGAAAGTCGAACCTTCTTTTGGAAAACGAGGTAGTTTCTCGGTACCACACACACAATATGTCTCTTTCCTTGGGCCAAAATGTACTTCCTGCGAGTTCCTCTTCTTCTCCGACAACTTCGTTTCCCTCAACCTTTACACCTTCAGAAGAGTACCTATCTGTCGCAAGCAAGTCTCGACCTTCACTTCCGCGAATCTATACTCCACCTCCTCCACTACCTACCAGTACCTCACAAAAGATGGGATCTGTGCAACTCCCCTCTACCGGCGCGCTCACTCCTCCAGCCACACCTACTATTACCCGGCACCGAGGACAATCATTTCCTTCCTCACCACCTCAGGCTATTACCTCGCTAGCGCAGCACGATCAGAGTCCGTCGCTCGGTGTCCCCAAGGAGTTCCCTGTTGGCACTCAGGACTACGACATGGATATCGCCAAGCCATTGGGCACCGGCCTTTGGAGCAACGTCTTCCTGGCGATACCATCTTCACCTTCCACCACCGCCAGCGACCTGACGCCGCCGGTCACTCCAGTCAAAAGCGAGCACAGCCGCTTCGAATCCTCCACCACCGCTCCGCCTCGCGCCTACGCCATCAAGATGCCAGCAGGCAGATCCGCCAAGGCCGTCCTCCTGGCCGAAGCGAAGGCCCTGTCTCAGCTGTCCTCTATACCCAACAGCCAAGACCACGTGGTGCCCTTCTACGGGTACGATCCCCGGAACGGCGCCCTCGTCCTCGAAGCACTACCGCAGAGCCTCGAAGACTACGTCCTCCAGCAGCTCAACCCTCTCGACGCGGCGACGCGGTCTTCTAGCCTCACAGCTCTGTTCCCTAGTTGGGCATTCTCTCTCGCTAAAAGCCTGGCTTGGCTTCACGACACCACCAACTTCGTCCACGCGGACATCAAGCCCGGCAATATCCTTCTCAAACCCACTTCTTCACTGCCTTGTAGCGACGCTATAACTAGCAGTCACAACGACTTCAAGCCCCTCTACGCCGACTTCTCAGCCTCCTTCCACCTCACCGCACCGCCCGAGAAGCCGACCGCGGGCGCGACATGGGACTTCATGGCGCCGGAGCAGCTGTCTTCAAATCGAGAGCTGAGCGCGCCGACGCCGGCATCGGATGTCTATGCCCTGGCTGTTACGCTGCTGTTTGTAATCATTGGGGATTCACCGTTTGCGGCTGCGGGTAGCAATCGCATCTTGAAGAGACACATGATTGCCCAAGGAGACGCCATGGGGTTCGCTATTAACAACGATAATGTTGCGCGGCAGAGATTAGAGGACTTGGAGGGGAGATTGGAGGGGAGGTGTGATGTTGGAAGGGTCTTGAGGATGGCGTTGAAGAAGTCGAAAGAGGAGCGGCCCAGGGCGGAGCAGATGGCGGATTGGCTCGAAGTAGACCTTGGTGATCCGCCGCATGCACTGTAGGGATAGAGAATCAAACGTCAAAATTCATGCGAGCTAAAGTTCCAAAGGAGCAGTCCATCCTTTTCATGCACTGACCAACCAAGCTATCCGAAAAAGACCCATTGTGAGACCTAAGATCAACCACCTGTTATACCAACCCGCGGATCGTACAAGTCAGTGCTGATGTTTTAATACTAGCACGTTCAAGACTCCTGTTCAGTCGCAACTGCATGTCTCAACGATTTCTCTTCTTCAGCTAGAAACATCCTACGAATACCAGCAAGGCATGCGGAAACAAGACATCTACTCATCAGTGTCACTGCTGGTACCACGTCCTGAGATTCCAGAAGTCTAAATCAGGTCCACGCATGTACAGCCAGATATTGAACATTCCAATGAGGTCAGACTCTATAAACTTGCGTCCCTTCCAGCAAACACACGAAGCCGATATAGTCCCAAGCGACACCGGCCACCCTCACAACTTAGCTCCCACCAAACTCCCCCCATCCAGCGCAATAGTCGCCCCATTAACATACGCGCCCGCCCTACTCGCCAAAAACAGACACGCGCCCGCAACATCCTCCGGGCTACCAATCCTCCCCAACGGAATATTCCCCTCAATATGGCTCTTATACTTCTTCAGCGTGGCCGCCATCATCTTGCTCTCAAACGGGCCGCACGCCAGCGTGTTGCTCGTGATGTTCCTTCTTCCGAGGTGGTTCGCGAGGACCCGCGATAGGTGGTGCAGCCCTGCTTTGGAGGCGCTGTAGGCGAAGGTCTCGAGCGCGGGGACGCGCAGGCCGTCGACGGAGCCGATGTTTATGATGCGTGAGGGGGAGGAGGGGGTGGCGCCCGCTTCGAGGAGAGGGGTTAGGAGCTGGGTGAGCGTGAAGACCCGGTGCAGGTTTAGGGTTAGTACGCGGGTCCAGGCGGAGTCGGGGTATGTGTCGTAGGGGGCGCCCCAGTTGGAGCCGGAGTTGTTGACGAGGATGTGGAGTTCTAGGGGGACGATGTGTTAGCTACATCGCCCTACCTCATTCGGCTGCTCCAATGGATGGCGAGTGGTCTATATCTCCCAGAAGACAAGGCTGAACGTACTGTCTTCCTTCTTTCCTAGCTCCTCGGCTAACCGCTTGCAATCCTCCTCATTGTAGAAGTCCGCCGGTATGGCATAGGCCTTCCCTTTACCCAAGGCGTTCAGCTCCTCGCATGCTTGGTCGCAGGCTTTGGCGTCGCGAGAGGAGATGTAGACTCTGGCGCCATTTGCGACAAAGCCCTCTGAGATCATGCGACCAATGCCTTTTGCGCCGCCGGTTACGAGGACCACTTTGTCCTTGACGTCGAAGAGGGTTGAGGCGTCCATTGTGAGAATAAGATCTGCAGGGGAGTAGTAGAGAATGGACCGCAAAGAGAGGAGCCTTGTGGTAATGGAATGAGCGAAGTCTGCTGGTGGTTAACCACAGCGAGCCAAAATCCGGGGAAGCCAACAAGCCGAGGCTCGGTGACTTCATTCGCCGACGTCAGAGGTCAGCGGAAGATGCCGTCCCATTCCATCCCTCCAGAATTGTGAACATCGACGCGATATCTGCAGCATTTGTGAAGACTAATCGTCAAACAGAAGCCCATCTTCTAAGCACGACCGTGGACAAGCTGAGGGAAGCTTCAACATCATGATGGAAGAGCTGCAAGCCCGACATAGAAAAGAAACTCGTGAACTACAAGCCAGAATTACCCAGAAGAAGAAATCCGCTTCTAAGAAGACGCGTAAAGGCGTAAACGATGAGTGCGACAAACTCGAACACGAGCTCAGAGAACGGCATGAATCTGAGATAGCCAGCTTACTGGGCGACGATATTGCGGACGGACAGCTTGACGACTTAGTGCTAGATGAACCGGCAGAGGCCCAGCCACACGCCAATGGGTCAGCCGAGGACGACACACTGAAAGACGACAAAGGGATAACCATCGGTGTAAGCCACCTGTCGGTAGAGCCCAAGTCCGACAGCGAATCGTCCCAACCCTCCAAGAAGCCGAGCCGACAAAAGGCGCGTCTAGCACGCAGGGCAGCAGAGCAAGAAGCCATAGCAGCCAAAGCGGCCGAAGAAACTTCCAGTCTTCCCAACCTCCGAGAGCAAGAGCGAACGAGCATGCTCAAGCAATTCGCGAAGTACGGCTTGCAGGAGAAAGAGATCCGCGCGGACGGACATTGCCTCTACTCTGCTGTCGCCGACCAGATGGGTGCGTTGGGGCTGGGCCTCAAGCCCAAGATCACGCCTACCACCAGCGCGGAGAACGGTGGTGATATGCCGGCATACAGACAGGTCCGGGCAGCAGCAGCGTCCTACATGTCCGCTCACGGCGACGAATTTGCACCCTTTCTTGAAGACCCGCTTGACGAGCATATTCGGAAAGTCAGGGACACAGGAGAGTGGGGTGGACAGACAGAGCTGCTGGCCCTCGCAAAAACGTACGGCGTAAAGATCAATGTGCTGCAAGGCGACGGTACTATACATGCGATTGAGCCTGACCAGGGCGGTGGCGAGCTGGAAGACGGCCTTTGGTTGGCGTATTACAGACACGGCTTTGGACTTGGAGAGCACTACAACTCATTGCGGAAAGCTCCAGTACCTTGAGGTATCCGCCGGTAGCTTAGGTCAAAGAATTGTTCAATTAACTCACACAGAGCCGGCCTACAGAAATGTCGAAACCACTTGCGGCGGTGTCAGAGGCAGGAGACTGGCGGACTCGATTTCGGATCGTTCGAGCGCATACCCCTTCAAAGCCGAGATTCGACTGTCTTGGTCTTGGAGAAGCAGTCTAAATCTACAACGATACAGCTACGACTTATGCCGCCAGACGCTAACCCAATCCGTCCCCTTCCCAACCTCATGTGTTCTCTCCGGCTGCCAATGTGCTATCCTTACAAGCGCAGCAGGATTGCTAGGCTCATTCCAGCCCGGCTTCTGATCCACATAGCCCTCATCATTGTACGCAACTTCCTCGCCTGGGTGACTGAGATGGGCTTCATACACCACCGGAGGAAGCGCCCAGGGGGGTCCGCCAGTCGACGGCGGCTTGTACGTTGGAAACTCGATGCAGATGAGGACGCCAGAGGGAGCGAGGAGCTGGGACATGCGGGCAGCCCAGGCAGGGCGGAGAGAGGGTGGTAGTGCAGACAGAAACTATCGAGCCCCATTAGCTCACTCTCACACCAGGGCTTCAAACCCGTTCAGCTTTCCAGACACAACCTACCGTATAATCATAGATCAAATCAAACGCCCCCTCCGCCCTCCCCCCGACCCCCTCAGCCCACCCATCCTGAAAGAAATCCCCAAATAAAAACCTCACCTCCCCCTTCCCCAGCCCCGGCTCTATTGCCGCATACATCTCCTCCCCACCCGCTGCCTCCGTATACCCTTCCGCCGCTTTCACCGCATTCTCACTCGCCTCAACGCCGAACGCATCATACCCCGCCGCCGCCAACAACAATACATCATATCCCTTCCCACACCCAGGCACCAGCGCCCGCTTCCTCCGCTTCCGGCCGCCGAGCCCGTCGGCGTCCCAGTCCGCTGTCACGGCTGAGCCGAGAAGGTCCTGGCGGTCGCGTAGGGTGTCGGAGAGCGCGGGGTTGGGGCGACCCCGGTCCCAGGGGAGGAAATCGCCGGCGGCCCAGAGGTCGTCCCAGCGTTGGGGATGCGTGGAGGTGGAGGGGTGAGTGAGGAAGTGTTGGCGGAGGCGCTCGCGGGCTTCGGAGGGTTGGTTGGGGGCGCTGGGGGTGCCGGCGACGTCTGCCATGTTGAGGGTGGAGGATTTCGTGGCCGAGTGCCTTCTCACTGCTGGAGCTTGGGATTGTTTAAATTTTTATGTCCGGTGTTAGGACTGCTCTGAGAGGAGAGGGAAGGAAAGGGAGCGAGCGTGGTTGTGGAGTGTATATGGGAACTTTGGCTGGAGGGGTTGCTTGGTAATGCTTTGGAGAGCAAGCTAAAGTCTTGCCTGAAGCACTGCTGACGTGTACTAAGCGCTTGTTACAAATACGCAGATCCGGTCACTCACGAGACATTCTCAATGCAAGAAGAGCGTCTCCAGAATCGTATGCCGTTCTTTGCAATTGCTGTTGCTGGTAACTCGGCCTACCAAGGCGGTGGGTGCTGGCAGAATATTCGGCTATGACGGCACCGCTATCTCGCAAATCCGCCATCGGACTTCTTCCGCGACATTGTCGGCATTGTAACCGCCAAGCGGGGTGGACTATTACTCGTAGGTTGGGACTCAGTCGGAGTCATGGCGTTTTCTCAGTATTCTCAATTATTCGGGCCTTCTATTCACTCGTTGCTGTTGTCCTCACGGAGTCCGCTTTATTCAAGAGCGGCCAGACACAGTGTAGATTTGCGTTTGAACCGCGGTATTGTTCCGGGAGTGCCTGTAGCAATAGCCAGACATCCAGAATTCCAGGAGATATATGGTTGAATATAGTTATCTCTGACTTAGTCAGATCGCGACGCCGTCATGACACCGGATGGGATAAAGAGCAAGGACCAGGACCCCTCGTTGTCCGCCTCAGCACTCGCATCCTCCTCTTCAGACCTTCCAACACCGCCCTCACCAGCTCACTCTCACTCCGACGATGACTCCATATCACGAGCCTCGAGCCTCCATTCGTACCACGACCCAGCCGAGTCCAAGAGATCTCCCAGCGCCAACAAAGCCGCCTCCGTGCTCTCTCGCCAAACCACCTCATCCATAAAACCGCCCGCCATCACAGTACCCCGCAAGGAGCGCCGCGGCCTCTTCGCCCACGTAGCCGTAGTCCGCGAAGTAACAGACGCACAACACTACAGCAACAAGACCAAATGGAGCATAACCTTCGTGATCGCGTGCGCCGCCGCAGCCGCCCCGCTCGGCTCCGCCATCGTGCTCCCAGCCCTCCTCGACATCGCCGCCGACTTCAACGCCAGCGCCTCCGTCACAAACTTCAGCGTCGCGTTCTACATGCTGAGTCTGGGAATCTTCCCGCTGTGGTGGAGCAGCTTCAGCGAGACGCTGGGCCGCCGGACGATTTATTTGGTCTCGTTCGCGCTGTTCATCGTCTTCAACGTCCTCAGCGCCGTGTCGACGGGCATTGGCATGTTCATCGTAATGCGCCTGCTTAGCGGCGGCGCGGGCGCGAGCGTGCAGGCTGTGGGCGCGGGGACGATAGCGGATCTGTGGGAGCCGAAGGAGAGGGGTAGGGCCATGGGTATATTTTACCTGGGACCGCTGTGTGGGCCGCTCTTTGCGCCGATTGTGGGTGGTGCAATGGCGCAGGGGTTGGGGTGGAGGAGCACGCAGTGGTTCCTTGTGGTCTATGGAGGCTTGACATGGATAGGTATATTGTTCTGTCTTCCGGAGACGCTGAAGAAGCGGAGGGATGTTGTTGCGGAGGCTGAGCGCGATGCCGCGCAAGAGGAAGAAGAAAAGGGGAAGGTGGCCAGGCCGCAGTTGCAGCGCGTCAGCACGAGGCAGTCGGTTGCGCAGACGAGCAAGAAGTGGGCCAAGCTGTTCCACCGCTGCTTCATCGACCCGCTGTCCGTGATCCTCTATCTGAGGTTTCCGGCTGTTGCGCTGACGGTCTACTACGCCTCCATAGCCTTTGGGACGCTGTATTTTCTCAACATATCTATACAGGAGACGTTCTCTAAGCCGCCGTATAACTTTTCGACTACTATCGTCGGCTTGTTGTACATACCGAATAGCTTGGGGTATCTTGTGGCGAGTGTGCTCGGTGGAAGATGGATCGACTCGATCATGAAGCGGGAAGCGAGGAAGGCGGGCCGATACGATCAGAAAGGGAAACTTGTTTTCAGACCTGAGGATCGGATGAAAGAGAATGCTTGGCTGGGCGCGATAATGTTTCCCGGCGCACTGTTATGGTATGGTTGGTGTGTGCAGAAGGGTGTCTTCTGGTTTGCGCCGGTAAGCTCCTATACCCTCCACTCACCCTACTGAAGATGGAAATTTGTGGAAAGCAAGCTAATGAACGAGGTCCAGATCCTCGCAAACTTCTTCTTCGGCGTCGGCAGTATGCTTGTCTTCGCGCTCGCCACAACTATGCTTACAGAGTTCATGCCCCGACGCGCGTCTTCGGGCATTGCGGTGAACAACCTCATGAGGAACCTGTTCTCATTTACTGGTGCAATCGCTGCCGAGCCCATCATCGCGGCCATCGGCAATGGGTGGCTCTTTACAATCCTAGGAGTTGTGAGCTTTGTCAGTGGGGCAGCAGTGGTCTGGAGTATGGGGAAGTATTCGAGTAGCTGGAGGGGGAGAATGGTTGAGGCGCTAGGGGAGGCGTAAGAGCAAGGGTATGTCCTGGGTTATGTCTTGCGAAATAGAGAGGGCCAGAGAATATCACATTGGCGCGTGGAGTTGCTTGTGGGTACCGAACGGGGGTTGCTTCAGCGCATTATCGGCGTTACATACCGGCGCTGGGCGCTGTCATCACACCAGCGAGATGCATGAGGGCGATCACCTGGTGGTGTTTGGGTTAGCATTTGGTGTATGGCGAAGTAGTATCACTAGATATAGATCTGTCAATTGAGCATTCGTATTGGCAATATATCTTCTGGATGAGTTTACCCCATTATGAGTGCGAACGATACAACAGGGCGTTAGTTTGGAACGCAGTCCAATCCAGCTTGTGTGTTCATACAAGTCCCGAGGTCAGGTATACAGGATCTTATTCTCGACAGTGGCATGGCATGGCATGAAGTCTCATCAAGGGTCCCTGGTGGAGCGCCAAACCGTCAGGCGGAGCCAGGGGGGACGCGCCGGTGCAGGGCAGACGCGAGACCTCCAAGCTTGTGAAATCGAGTCAACATCACAACCTCAAATCCTGCGCAACAATCAACAACAGCCACTCCGTAACAACTCTCTACGGCCTCCCCATCGCAATCTATATCACTCAAAGCCGCCTTAATTTGCAGCCCTTGCTATGGGCTCACGGCTGTTAAACGCTCCAATTGTCCTCGACAACGGCAGCGGGACCATTCGAGCTGGCTTTGCGGGACAAGACCTCCCAAAGTGCTACTTTCCATCATTTGTCGGACGGCCGAAGCATGCGCGAGTGCTAGCAGGAGCTTTGGAAGGGGATGTCTTCATCGGGCCACGCGCGCAAGAACTACGAGGCTTGTTAAAAATAAATTATCCATTGGAACACGGCATAGTTACGGATTGGGACGACATGGAACGGATATGGCAGTTTGTCTACTCAGAAGAGCTCAAGACTGTGAGCGAGGACGTATGTTGGAACCCCAGCAGGCAGACTGGTCTGTGTTGCAATTGCTGACTTGAGTGTGTCCGATCAGCATCCTGTTCTCCTCACCGAGCCTCCGCTAAACCCACGAAACAACCGCGACACTGCCGCCCAGATACTGTTCGAGACCTTCAACGTGCCCGCGCTATATACATCGATACAAGCTGTCCTTTCGCTCTACGCTTCGGGTCGAACAACCGGCATTGTGCTAGATTCCGGCGACGGCGTATCTCATGCGGTACCTGTCTACGAAGGCTTCGCGATGCCAAACAGCATTAGGCGTATAGACGTAGCTGGCAGAGACGTAACAGAACATCTACAGACACTTTTGAGAAAAGCTGGCTACATATTCCATACTTCGGCGGAAAAAGAGGTGGTAAGGATGATCAAGGAGAAGACAGGGTACATCGCACTAGATCCTGCGAAGGAGGAGAGAGAGTGGTCAGCGTCGTCAAGAACGGACAACAAGAGCGTAGATTACACTCTCCCTGACGGTCAGAAGCTCAAGGTATGCTGCAGCGGTTGTTGATGCCAGGTACAGAATTGCTAATGGCTCGCCCTCAGGTTGGAGTGGAGCGGTTCCGCGCGCCGGAGATCTTGTTCAATCCTGAGCTCATCGGCCTAGAATATCCCGGAGTGCATCAGATCGTTGTGGATTCAATCAATCGAACGGACATGGACCTGCGAAAGTCATTGTACGGAAGCATAGTCCTCTCCGGCGGCTCGACTCTGACCAAAGGATTTGGCGACAGACTGCTTCATGAGGTGCAACGTCTAGCGGTCAAGGATATGAGAATCAAGATCTTCGCTCCGCCAGAGAGGAAGTACACAACCTGGACTGGCGGAAGCATTCTGGCCGGGCTCAGCACGTTCAAGAAGGTGAGCCACCGGAAACACCTTCCAAAAAACATGTTCTCGCTCCTAACGCTTCGCAGATGTGGGTAGAGAAGGATGAGTGGCAGGAGAACCCAGATATCATCCACACCAAATTCGCATGAGCTTTGTCCTCCATCGGTTCCCCACGAAAGCCTTCTCCAAGCTTCAAGACTCTCTCTGTTTCACGTAGTCTTCGGGGTCGCCTTGGTCACAGATCTAGAGTCAACTACTCGCCGCCAACCCGCGTTCTACACTAGATTACTTGTACATGTCATGCTACGAGATCTACGGTCGAGCCCGTCAGCCACGAGGCACGAAACGCTAGATCCCGCGGACCCAGCTTTCTCCCCCGCGTACTAGTATTTCAGACCGCCTGACATGTCTCGGTTACACCTCCGACTTAGCCGCTTGTGGAACCTTGGAAGAGTTAGATTTCGTCTCTATGGTTTCCTGTCTACGTTTGTGAGCGAAGCATTGCATTACCGGCGTTCATCTCGTGGTGTGCATCGAGTGGGATACCCAGAACTGTGGCGTTTGTTGAGATGTTCTTTTGTTCACACCGCTGGACAGGTACACTTAGGTACACCTGTACGAGTACGCAGGAGAAAGGTCGCGGAGGATAGCCTCTTAGTCACTAGGTGCAGATCTGAACGGAAAGATCAAGACTAAAGTGTTGGTACCCGTTGCATTTTGGCGGGGAAGCCGCCATTTTTCGGACCACACAAGGTTTCCCCACATCAGCTTTTCCCGATTGTTTCTGGCGCCGAGAAGCCGTTTTCCAATCTTGAATCCGACGCGCTCAGCCGCACTCGTCGGCTGAAATAAGTGCTGATGTTTGAGAAGCATGCTATTGCGGCGATGGTGGGTCCGACGGCCCTCCGTAGGACAGATCTATTGCGAGTACACTACGCAGACTTTACACTGCAATGTTGAAGCTGGCCCAGTGCCGAGTGGATCGCTGCAATGCCACGACACGCCGTGCTGCTCTCCATGACGACTGGTCACGTTCTTCGTGCGAGCCTGTGCTCCGCGGGGCCACGGGCGCTCTCCTGGTGCTGCGTCAGCCGGTCACGGCGGAGAGAGAGAGCCGGCGTCGTGTGGTGTCGACTCGCCCTGATCTCACGATGCTGCATTTGTGATTACCCCCAGGAAACTGCTCTTGGCGCACTCGTGCCACACTCCCGTCCACGCGATTACCCCCAGGAAACTAGAAGCAGCGAATGGGAAACGGGGCAGCGCTGGCACTCGAACCAGGGAGCCAGAGCTTCCCCCCCGCATGGCCGCCCACGCGCTGGTCGAATCACGTAAGAAGATGCGTGGAGAGCGCTCGACGCGGCGGCGAATTCAGGTACCGCTAGCCGCAGTTGGCCGGCTTGGGGCGTCGGATGCGTGGTCCAGCGCCGGGAGAGAAGGGCGCGGCGCAGGAGCGGTGGCAGAAGGCTCTTCGAAATTCCCCAGCTGACGCCTCGATTGCCGTTAACTGCAAGGCGGATCGCTTACTCAACCCCTCGTGGGCGGGCCAGCCAAGGCTCGCGACGGCGGTGCGTGACCACGTCCAATTTGCGTTTTTCTGGAGCCCATTGCCGTTAACTGCAAAGTACGACCTGACGCAACCCATCGTGACATGATGGTGCCCCCCGCCGTGAAGAGTTTTCAAGGCGGAGGCGCCTGCCGGGCTATAAGAAGTCATTTCCGCCTGCTATATTCTTTCGATTCCGCAGATAAACAACCTGAAGCTTGAGCCTCACACCACTTTCTTCACGAGATCTTCATTTCCAGGACTCAGATATAGCGTCCACCTATACCACGCCTCACTTCAGTACCAACATCACCTCACTTCAGTAATAAACAACACCTCAACAAACAACTTCATCGCCTCCACCATCACCATGCCGTCCTTCGAGTCCTACCGCCTCACCGAGCCCCACCCCTCCGTCCCGAGCAGCAACTACATCTACTCCGGCCGCGGCGGCGCCGGCAACATCCACCGCGTCGACCGCAAATCCGTGACCGACGGCGCCAACGCTTCCGGCCCACCCTCGCTCATCAAGCTGAGCCGGCCGCCGAACAACTCCTACTTCCTGTCCGGGCGCGGCGGCGCGGGCAACGTGCACCGCGAGAACGAGCGGGCCATGTTCAGCTTCGACGAGGAGCTCGCGGCCCAGCAGCGCATCCAGGAACGCTCGGCGCCCGTCTATCACATCGGGCGCGGCGGCGCGGGCAACGCGGTCGACGAGATGAAGCCGCGGAGCGAGAGGACGAACTCGGGCGCGTCGAACATTAGCAGCGGGAGCGATGCGAGCGACAAGGTGCGACGGAGTATTGGCGGGACGTGGGAGAAGATTCATCGCTCGATGTCGAGGTCTTCTTAGACGGTCGTCAACCTGATGGCCTGCACTTCCTCCGACACTATTTCCTTTTGTTTGATCACGGCATTCGGTATTCGGCATTCGGCATTCTCGACTACCTCATTCAACGGAGCGAGCTGGTTCTGACTCTCGCGGCATCACAAAATCGGCGTCGGGACTTTCACTTTGTTCATCATCAACCGGCACGGGTTCTGGAGCGATGGGCTTTCTGGCATCGGGGGAAAAGTGACTGCGACGAAGCATCTGGGCGTTTCTGCACTGCTTCCTGCTTTCCTGCTGTTATCCACCACAACCGGCGGGGAGTTTTGGCACTCTTCGTGAGAGGGCGGCCCATGATGGGTCCTTTTTGTTTCTTCACAACCAGCGGCGGATATACCCATACCCCGGTGAGGGCACCAGATAGTACTCTGGTATTTAGCTTTTGTGGTCTTGCGACGATTGTCGCCGAATGAAATCGTATTTGTCAATATCCATTTTGTCTTGTTGCAATCTTTGAGATGTCAATGCTCGGTGCTGGCTAGGTTGTTCGTGGTTCCAAGAATTAATTGATCGCCGAAGCTAAATGTTCGCCTGGCAGTCCGTCTCTGGGTGCTCCCGCTGTCGCTCCATGTCCATCTCGATAGCGTGGCAAAATCAAAAGTCGTGCTCATGACGCCGGGATCGCTGCCAGTGCTGTGACCGGACCGGAAGCTCTTCTGTCAGAGCTGCTGTATGTTCTGTGCCAGACTTGCCATGGACGAGATACCTGATCTGAGTTGGCTGAGCTAAATTCGAATGGTGTTAAAATCGCCAGTTCGTAGTGGTGAACAGGCGAACGTACACAGTACCTGCAGCATCCTCTAGAATGGAGGATCTACCGAGCCCCTGCGGCCACTGATCTTATGAAGCATCAAGCTTTACACTGGCATCGACCAGAGGCGATGTGCTGATGCCTTTCTAGCTCAGACGCGGCTCCATGTGGACCGGTTAGTACATGACAATCTGTACACGGCTGCTACGGATGAGGTGCCGTCCAGCGAGCGAGGATGGTCCTTTGAAGAGTCCAGGCGGAAATCAGCCAATGTTGTTGGTTTTTGGTGCTGGATGAGCTCTCTTCGTCTTTGTACTCCGCTCGTTGGCGCTTATGAACGGCTCCTTCTTGGGGCTTTTACCAGCAACGAAATGCCTCCAAGGTCGACACTGGCAGGTGCCCAAAATCTCAGATGCCAAACCCAGTAACTGGACCTTTCAAATCCCACCCCGCAAACGGCTCAGGCTCAATCAGAAGCGTCGGGGCCGGGTGAAACGGGAGCTTGCCGGCCTGTGTGAAGATTTGGCCTTACAGACCTGCAACATCTGCTTTTGTCCGCCCTTGGTCCTTGGGGCTTATCCAGGAGCCATCGACATCCAGTATTCCAGCCGAGGTGTAGTCCCCAACCATACTCGACCCAGCGTCGCTTCTCACCCACCCAAACCGGAAATACTCGGTCTCCTCGGGATGCTTTCGAGTCCAGGTGAAAGTATGTTCCGCGGTTAGGTTGCCATATTCACGAAAACGCTCAACATCGTTGACAAGCACGCTAATACCGCTAAAGCCGTCTGGAATGCCAGGCCAGCGGAACGTGATGTTTTCCGCGTGGACAACAGGAGCAATGACTGGAGGGAGCAGTCCGCCTAATGAACCTTCTGCACGAAGCTGACCAGAGGTTTGCAGGATGCTGTCGTAGCCCCAGCGCGCGATGCCGTTGATGAAGAGCCCGATAAGCAGGCCCTGGAAAACTAGGCTCGGCCGCGTCTGTGTTGCCGTTCCTGGGAGTAGGAGCAATGCTAGAATATAGTGATGAATCCGCAGCTTCATACAAGGAACCGCCGCCAGGAGTAGGAGGCCGCCGCCTAGCAAGGCGTATAGTGCGAGATAAAGAGAGAGTCTGCCTTCGTACTTCAGTGCCCGCGCCTGGTGGAGCGCGGCAAAGATTATCACGAGTACAATGATGATCAGTGCGGGGATAGCTCCAGGTTGCTGGCGGAGGTCGTGCGGCGTCAGTCTCTGGATAGGGAGATTGGCGAAGGTGTAGTTGCTCAGCGCGCCGATCCAGCAAGGCCCTAACCAGAGAACGGTTTTTTCCAATTGAGCAGTCAGTCCAAGTAGGGTGCGGCGGACGCATGTTGTATACAGGACGAAGCAAACAAACGCGGTCGGAAGAAAGCGGCCGAACGCTGAGGCTACAACTGAGGAGAAGTCCGGGTAGCTTAGATCGAAATCTGGAGGGTCGGACACGAGTGCCACGTGGAAGAAGATTGCCACAAGAATCGAGCTGAGATAGGTCGCAGGCGAGAAGATAAAAATTGACAAGAGAGACGTGAAGGATACGGATACAGCGAGTAGTTGCCATCGCAAGTCTTGGCATTTCGGCTTCGCACCCTTGGAGTCTAGAAAGGAGAACGAGCGTGGGAAGCTCGAGTTAAAGCCGATGCTTGTGATGCCGTTCTTCTCAGTACTAGGGAAGTGACTCCGCTCCCCGACCAGCGATACAACGCCGCATCCCCCATCCTCATTACTGATGATTCCTGCATGTATCGCCGCGCCGCAGATGAAGGAATCGCCTCGATAGAAGGCGCTCGTTGCTGCGCTGTCATCCGCCGAGCCACCTATAACCAGGTTGCGGTAGTTTACAACCTCGGCACCAACGGTGTGAGGATTCCAAACTTTGGATTCTTTGCAGTTTGAAGGGCAGCGGAACGCGAAGGTATGGTTGTCGAAAGGAAGGCATTGGACGCCATTGAGCCCACAGGTATTTCTTACAGTATTGCCGTTAGACCTGGGTATCACAATGAGTGCCGAACAGGTGTTGACTGCTACTTGTACATACCATAGCTGTGAGACGCAGGAAAGTTGCGCTGGCGAGCCGTATCCAGGGATCCTTCCGGACACGACCGATATGCGCAGCAGTAGTGTAAATACTAGCAGCCAGCAGAGATGGAAGGCGACCAGCAAGCATAGTCGATGCCGGTACTTCGGGAAGTACGCATCGAGTAGCGCTCTAGGCGCAATCTGCGCTCGCGGGAGCCAGGGCTCTATCGTATTGCATCGAGGTTTCGGCGGACCTTTTATCCACCCTTCGGCGATCCCCAAGACGTGCGCTACGCTCCAAGTATCCTGTGAGGATGAGGTCGATGGTCTCTCGAATACTGTCTCTTCATCGTCAAAGCCCCTTGATTCGACTAATTCGTATTCAGGTCCAGTGGGGAGCCGCCGTTCGGTGAAGGGTAGAAGAGGCATGAGAAAACGCCAGATTCTAGACGCATAGAAGTCTCCTCTTCCATGGCTGGGGAAATTATTGCTCTTAATCGTTGGGGCATCATGACGGTTGGTACTCAGTGATCTAAGGAGACGCAAGGTACCGACTGCAATCCGTTTGCGTCGAACCTAATCAGAGCAACTGATGTCGCGTTTGACCGGCATTCTACCGAGACAAAACATCGCAAACTCCAATCACACTACAAGGGTCGCCTAAGAGGGCTGGCTGTGCACCCTGCTCCCGTAACTTTGGTGATAGTCTGGGTGGAGAGCGAATAACTGACTTGTTTTGACTGAAACGGATTCATCGCAGTGGTCTGAGTGGTTGAACCAGGGCGCGCGGCGTGCCCTTGCTTAGATGATGCTTGTTAGGATGGCCCCTGTAAGCGCCCGTGCCGCGCCGAGCCGCCCAGCCGATCAGGGGTGTGTGCTCATCCTTGTCACCCAGCTCCAGATTGCCGTCTGATTCCTTCAGTCCTGTTCTCGGCAACATGAGACTACGACTCTGGATTCTTTGAGTGAACGAAGTACTCGTAGTTGCACCCCTCTTGGTATTCTTGTTCTTTTTAGCCGCATACGTTGACATCATGTTCAAGACTTTGTTGTTGCGGTTGCAAAGTCACGGACAACTCTGGCCACGAGCTCTTTGCTTGCGATAACTGCTTCAGCGCGAACGACGCCACACCACAAGGCCGGCTAAAGGTAGAGTTCTGTTCCGCTTCATGCAGGCACGGCAAAGAGAGATGGTCGGCCGCCTGGACTCCGGCACGTGGGACGATGAGTCCGAGGTCTCTTTCACAGCTACAGTATTGGACGTGTCTCGTCTTATCAAGCCGCCTGCAACCTCATGTTGGCATTGATCAGTTCTTAAGCATGGACTGAAGCCAGTTCGTCATGTCTCCGTCGTGTCTTGGTGTCGAACCGCGTTCCGCCTTGGGTTATCATCAGTGTTAGACATGCATCAGGCTGGTACGTACTTGGCTATGAAAAGGCACTGCCGTGTATGGTAGTCTAGCTCTTTACCCGTAGTACCATACCTAATGTTCATTCCTAGCTGTGGTCGAACATCGATTCTACAGTCCTCATCATAGCACACTCCGTAAATTGTAGAGTTTTATTTTTTGATAACAGCCCCGTTGGCGAAGCGAAAGTGTCCGATTCCGACTGGCCTATGACAGTACCTTCATCTTCGGAGGCCTGAGGACATCTACCTACGGTCTCAGCATGCTCTATCACTCTTTGCCCGCTCTTTTGCGCGCGGTCGGCCTCGACGTTATCAGCAGTCTTTTCTTCAACAGCAAGGAGCCAAAGAAGCCCGTCATCGTTCAGTCTGTCTGGATAGCTTCATCCCGCTGCGCTGTTCATCTTCTACCGGCTCTAGTCTCCATAGTAATCATAGCTCTGAATCTTCAAACGTATTTCATCGGATTCCAGTTGGCCGGCATACCCGATACGGACCGCATTAGCATGGCCGCCCTGCAAGTTACAGCCAAGTTACAAGAGTTGCTTATAGTTGCAAGCGTGGGCGCGATTATCCACCACCAGCTACGTTCGTGTCTGCATGACAGCCAAGGTCTTCCATTCGGGCTGCTTGGATCCGGCTTATCCTTCACTCAGGTCAGCTTTTTCTGGTCGCAGGCCTTCGTAGGGTCTCTTACGCAGAATGTCAGCTTGCCACTCCTATGTCTACTAATTGTAGGTGGAGTCATAGCGAGTACAGCCGGTCCAGCCACCGCCGTTTTACTTATACCACGCCAAATCTCCTATCCAGCTGGCCAGACATCCTACTACGTCAATGGCATGTCCGAAGACCTTTGGCCGCAGCATCTGGGTCTTGTGCATTATCTTCCCAACTACACGAACCTGTTTGGCGAGAGCATTGACTGTGCGTCAAACCGTGGGTTCATCAGTGCTGTTTGCCCCAGCGGCGGGTATGCCTCCCTGATGGGCCACTTTTCTGCTAATCCAATTCAGCACCTGCCCAATCCCGGGTTCTCATTCTCTCGAATAGATCGCCCGCGGGAGTTCTATAGTCTATTCCCCTCGGGGAATGGCATTCTTGTCAAGAGTCGTCAAGGTCACACGGCACCGCAGACACTTAGTGGAAACATTCGGACACCCTTGGATATATCGGAAACGTTTACCTACGCGACACATGGAGCGACTGCCAACTTGCAGAGGAGGATCAATCTTGACTGGCTCAAAGCGGTAAACGAGGTCGCGACGTTCTACCACGAAAGCATACAGGCGCACAGGTTCCAATTCTATACGACGCAACGAACGACTGTCAGCTCATCTGTTCCTGTGGTACGTGTGGTATGCGGCCAAGCGCGGAACCTCAGTGCAGGATCGGACACAGTCTCATTTCCTGACTTGCCTGCATATGACACGGCGACGTCCTGGGAGGGGGCACGGTCCTCTCATGACCTGTCAGTCGTTGGAATTGATAGCAGGCCTCCATCCGCTCAAACAAGAGTCACTTGGACAATGCCCGGCTTGAATCGCACATCGCCACAGAACGCAATCACAGCAAGGCTTGTCGTGGAAGCGCCATGGCACGTGAATCAGTCAAGACTCGTGGTCGGTTGCTCACTAGACGCTAGATGGGCACCTGCAGTCATATGGGCCAACGATCCTGGCTCTTTCCAAGCCACTCTTCTGCACGAGCGGAAAGCTCCCAGCGGTGTCAACAGGACAGGTTACTTACCAAGCCCCGATTCGCCCTGGAAGCGCATAAGTGTAGATTCCGGTGTTCTGGATGCAATTAACTTTAAGCTACCCGAAGCCGCACCCGGTTACACAGGTGAGGGTGCAACCGCATTGGAAGCCCTCATTACTGCTGCTGGTGTGGTGGCGGACACTCGTTCACTGTCTGGTCAACACAATGACGCGTATGCGTTGTACTACTTGGAGCACGTCATCTCTTCTGCATTCGCCGACGCCCTTTCTCGGGCAGGGAGCTTTCGAAGCTGGGATACCTCAGGACGTATCAGTGCATGGCCTCACCTCTTTTATACACCATCCCCCCGCCATGAACATACCGACATTCGAAACTTTAGTCGAGCAGTCCAGCCACCCGATTACTCAACCAATTCAGAGAGATATACCAGGCTTTTAATGCAGCAGACTATTACCGGCTTCGGATTCCACGCTCAGACACTCTCAGACTATCTCTCAATCGCAGTTCTTCTGGCACATATCCTTCTCGCATTCTCGCACACCATCTATGTTGTCTTTGTTACTCAGCGTACCTCCGGATGTTGGGATACTATCTCCGAACTCCTTGCTCTGGCTCAGCAGTCAGCCCCTGCACATATAGGGCTACACAATACATGTGCAGGTATCAGCAGTCTGCTGACGTTCAGACAGAGGATCTGGGTTAGAGCGAGTGTTGATGACAGATCGCATCTCGAGTTGAAGTTTGAAAACGACGGCAGGCCTGAAGACTCGCTTGGTAAGGAATATCTGGAGGGCAGCTTTGGCTGACGTTTTTACGGTCTGTCTTCACCATCAAGCCGCTTTCAAAGCCTCGCTTTGAGCCATTCCGTATTTCAGATTTGAATCATGTCAGGCCTGCCGACAAACGCGATCCGTGCCGAGCAGGAATTCGGACGGCGGTAGTGCGGCAGTCCATGGATATCATGCTGGGATTACTGTAGACTCAACGCTGTAGTATAATTTCCAGAGGATCTCATAATTCACGACTCGGGCCAATTGTCTTTGATCATAAATTTGACTCTACTAGGTACTCTTTTCGCTGGACGATCTCATTGGCAATCCTGAGGGTGGTTTCGCACAGCTTCACACTCTCTTCCCTCGGACTACAGGCAAATTGTACGAAGCTCTCTGTGAACTCTGCTTCATTTTTCCCAGTATTCTCACGTATGGCCAGCAACTCTGCTGTCGTGGCTGAGGAGTCTTTACTAGGCTTCTACGTTCCTGGGCTATTCGAAGAGAGGATTCGTGTCGGTTGCTTCCTGCTTATAGAGCGCAACATCTTCGTACCATTATATGAATTAAGCAGTTCCGGAGCAGGTATCCAAGTTCTATCCTCATAGACTCGGACCTTCCGCTTGGCCGTGGTGGTTGATATGCGGGATGTCGAGGACGCTAGAGCACAGGCTAAGAGCTACGGGGTTGGCTCTATATAGAAGCTCGAATCCCGCGCCTAACATGCAATCTTAGTCGACTGCGTGAATTTTCAATCGTTGCAAGCTGACAGGTGTAAAGGTGCCGCAGGGCCCCTGAACAAATGTCTCTTGCTCTGGTTCACATCTTCAGTTCATGCATTGTCTACTCCTCTGTCATCCTTCAACACATACTCCGAAGACTAAAGATCTATACTAGGGTGCACCATTTAAGCTGCTTTCAGGGTCTCATCATACGCTCAAACGTTCAGTTCTTAGACGCTTTGGAGCTGGTTGAGACAATCCTGCAAGTGGCCTGACTGTTTGTTCAATCTCTCTATTTCCTTCTCGATGTTGTCCTTTCAATACATAGTGGTAGCCTAGTAGGTATTCGCTGGTGGAGGACCTGGTTCTCGAAATAGATTCGTTAAGATATGGCTTACACTATAGACCTTATACAATACTTACATTCCATCACTATTCCTTAACGAGCCACGTCAGCGCCGCTGCCGCATACCCATCGACCGCACACGTCATCGTCGGCTGTACGACAGGAGCGAAGAACGGGCTATGGTTGTTGGGAATATCATCATCCAGACGTCCCTCTTTCTCCGCCTTATCGTAGGCATCCGGGTCCGTACCACCATACACAAAGAAGCTGGCAGGACGCTTTACTGCTGACGCCAGGATACCAAAGTCCTCGCTCGCTGCCATGGGCGGAATATCAGACTGATAGCCATGAGGCCCAGCCTCAAAGACGGCAGAAAATGTGTTTTCCAGCTTTGCCGTGACATCCTCGTCGTTGACGCCGAAAGGATACCTGGTAATTTCCTTCAGCTCAGGCGGCTTTGGCGCGTTGCTGGCAGTACTCTCGGCTTCAATGATGCGTTTGAGGCTGCCCAAAACGCGCTCCCTCGTCTTGGCGTCCATAGTCCGCACATTAATTTTAAGCTCGGCTCGGTCGGGAATGATGTTTTCTGTGTCCCCGGCACGCAGCGATCCGACTGAGACTACTGCGTGACCTGCGGGGTTGATCTCGCGAGAGCGGATGGTCTGGAGGCGCATCACTGTGCTGGCTGCCATCACGACGGGATCAATCGTTTGGTGCGGTTGGGAGGCGTGCCCGCCCCGGCCGTACAAGGTACAGCTAGCACACAACCATCAAAACATTGCAGTAACTGTAGAGACGCATCTCACTTACTGGAAAGAGTCGGCTGCAGTAGACATGAGGCCACGGCGGGTGCCTATCGTGCCTGCTTTTTCGTCAGTGAAAGTTCATTTTGACGTGTGACCCGATACTCAACAGGATTTGACCAAAGGCGGAACAGAGCCGAAACAAACCAATGACCCCAACTTGAAGGCAAGAATTCAAAATGTCAGGTAAGAACCTGGATCTTGCCGAGCGTGGTTCACCTCTTCCGAGGTACACGGAACTGCTCGGGCTTGATTGACGCTTTATCAAGAGGTGCAGAATGCTCAGCAGGAGCCCCCGCAGCCACTCACCAGATCTATACGGCACGACATGCGCTCCCAGCACGACATCAGGCACAGGCACCCTGTCGTATAGCCCGTCATCGACCATCGCCTGCGCGCCCGCTCCCTTCTCTTCCGCAGGTTGAAAGCACAGAACCAGGGTCCCCTGCCATTCATCCTTGGCCTTTAACAGCAGCTCCGCCGCTGCAAGCAAGCTGGTGAAGTGCATGTCATGCCCACAAGCATGCATGACCGGCCGCTCCACGCCATCAGCGTCCTTCATGCGCTTTCTGCTCGCGTAGGGTAGACCTGTGTTTTCTTCGACGGGCAAGGCGTCGATGTCAGCACGGAGGAGCACAGTTGTACCTGTCCCATTCTCGAGGACGGCAGCAGTGCCGGTGCCGCCGATGTTGGGGTGGACTGAGTAGGATCCGAGTTTCTTGAGGTGCGCTTGGATGCCAGCTGCGGTATCCTTCTCTTGGAAGGAAAGCTCGGGATGGGAGTGGAAATGTTTGTACAGCGACTCGTAAGGCGATAGGTCAGGCCGATATGCCTTGATGATGTTGCTTATGGCGGGCATAGTAGTATCGATGCTGCAATCAACAGGGGCGATTGGAGGTCAAAGTGCAGGTGTAACTGAGAGAAACATAAGATGTTGCGTGAGCGATACCACAGTATCTGGCCAAAAGTTTTTCCGAATCAGCGTTTCCTCACTAGAACTTAATTTTTTTAGAGTAATAAGTATCTAGTTAGTAGTATAGTTTGATTTTAAAAACAATATTTGAGTCTAGTAGAAATCTAAGTTATCTTTGAGATAAAAAGTTATTAGATTATATTAAGTATTTAAATATAGATAGATTTAAATTTTAAGTACTTTTCTTTTACTAAAACTATAATTACTATATATTAAGTAGCTAGGTATTAAATCTAAACTATATTATATATAAGATTATTTATAAGCTAATAAGCTCGTATGTATCCTACTTAGATATAAAATTATAATATAATATATATAAATACTAAAATAAAGATCTACTAGCTTTTTCCCTTAAATTGAAATGTAATGAGATTAAATATAGTAATACCTAGATTTAATATACATCTACTAACAAGTAATTAAGATCTTACTCTTACTAAGTTTACTAGCTTACAGCTTAGTAATAATGCTGGAAGGGTTTCTTGGATCTTAAAAACAATAAATTTTAATAAGAAAACGCCGGTTCGGAAAGAAGTCCAGCTAGTTGTTTGTTGTAGCTTTGACGTCAGTATTTCGACTGCAATCCTAGCAGATAGCTACCTTAGTACAGATTCCGTCGCTATGAAGAATCGATGGTACTGCGTTCAGCCTCTGCCCCCAGCTCTAGAAAACGTCTCTAAGCATAGTATCTCGCTCTGTTACCCATATTCAGCTACTTACTGCAATGGTACCCATCCTGCCTATTCACAATAGAGGAAATGCCGGACACTTCCACCCCGGATCAAAAGGGTTCATGCCGAATCGTGTCCGGAACGAGCTGATTGCTACGATAGCGGAGTTCGTCGGTACCTTTATGTTCCTCTTCTTCGCCTTTGGAGCAGCACAAGTTGCAGATGCTGCAGCAATCGTTGAGAGCGGCCCCAGAACACAGACGAACAACTCGATATCGCAAGCACCAAACACGTCGGCTCTGCTGTACATCAGTCTTGCTTCTGGTTTCTCCTTAGTCGCCAACGTCTGGGTGTTTTACAGGATATCAGGTGGCCTCTTTAATCCAGCCGTGAGTGGCTGAAATTGCTTCCGTTTTAGCCGTGGCTTACACCTGTATTACAGGTGACATTGGGCCTCTACCTTGTCGGCGCTCTTAAACCGGTACGGGCAACTTTGTGCTTTATTGCCCAGATCCTCGCTGGCATTGCAGCCGCAGCGGTCATATCGGGAATCCTTCCTGGGCCTCTCAATGTCACCACGACTCTGAATAACGGCATGTCAATTACACGCGGTGTCTTTTTAGAGATGTTCCTTACCGCCGAACTAGTCTTCACTGTCTTCATGCTGGCAGTGGAGAAGCACAAAGCCACGTACCTTGCCCCAGTTGGCATCGGTCTCGTACTGTTCATTGCCGAAATGACAGGTGGGCTACTCTAACTTCATCTGCCCAGTTGAATGCCAGCTAACAGAACCACAGGTGTCTACTTCACCGGCGGATCGTTAAATCCCGCTCGATCCTTCGGCCCTGCTGTCGTAACTGGCCGGTTCGAAGGCTATCATTGGATATACTGGGTCGGCCCCTTCCTCGGTACCCTCAGCGCGTACGCCTTCTACGAGTTGATGAAGTTCTCCGAATATAAAACGGTCAATCCAGGGCAGGACCTCAACGATCAAGAGGACAAGTTCTTCCAGCCGCCGGAAGACCCATCGACAGCGGAGCAGGTAGAAACACCGAACGTGCCGGCTCAAATGGCAGACCAGATTGCGGAGCGGGTAGCGCTGGCAATCGATCGACGTTCACTCGATATCGCCCTCGGCTAGGGACACCACGCGCGACGGGGGCGAGGGCGATGAGGGCGACATCGATGAACTAGCTAGCGTTGGTTAGCTAGACCTGCAAGACACCCAGGCTTGCCGAAAGAACATGTCATCGAGCGGCGTCGAGCTATCATGATTCTCGCCTGGTAGTGTGGCAAGGATTCAAAAGAGTAGCATCCGACGAAATCCGTATTTGGATACGACCAAAATTTGACACCTTCTAGGCTCCAGCATGAACTCCTGGCGAGGATACCCCCGCGTACCTGCTGAGGGGACGCGTTAGCAAGCAGTCTCGAGCCTCGCTGGCTGCGAGGCAGGATTCATGCGAGGGGGTTCCGGAGAAGACTCGGCTTGCAACTAGGCATGAAAGCGAAGATAACGTATGTTGTGCACGCCCAGACTAGGTTTATCAAGTCAGACAGATACGGATTAGAAGGGGTGTTTCTGTTGGCCACCCCTTTGGCTGACGCAAGGCGATCGGAGAAGACACATAATGGGCGGCTTACAATCGCCAATACGGGATGCTTTATGCAAACTGGTCAGGTTCGTCATGGAGGCGAAGGCAAATGCAGCCTGATTGAGTGAATTGTCTTGGAGTCAGATTAATCAAACAAGCCTAAATGTCTTCAACTTATCTAACACATCCACAAGACACCCTCCATGCATAATGCCATGAACATAAGCCTGCCCAATCCACTCAAAATACTCTCCCCGCTGCCGCAATATCACCGGCATCTTGAACCCGAAAATCACACAAACAAGATCATCATGCCGCATGTCCAGCGGTCCGGAGCCCAGATGCCCCTTTTGCGTGATGAACAACCGCCGATTAAGGCTGTGCTTGACCACACTGCGATAGAACTCTATAGTTGTGCCAGTGGGGGTAATAGTTCGCTGCTGCTCCAGGGAGCTATCGTTGAGCTCAGCGGGAAGAGGCCGAGTCCCATCGACGACATACAGTGTGGAGCTCGTCATTTCGTCGTACAAGGCGTCGTAGGCATTCGGGGCGGGATATTTTGATTCGGGCGTAGAATTCCAGACGAGTGTCTGCCAGAGAGGCTCTTTGAGCCACGCGTTCAGTTCTAGGGGTTGTCCGGTAGCGTCGGTTGATTGCTGTGGGGCGTATTGCGCTAGAATGGCATTCTCGTAGCTTTGCAGGAGAGTGAAAAGCTTTCCATCTCGATCTCTGGCTGAGCCCTGCCAAGGTTCGCTCAAGTAGCCGGGATGGTCGTATAGAATACCATTCAGAACCAGTTGATCTCCAGGGGCAGAAGGCTGAGGAATGATTTTCGACCCTTGCAAAGCTCCATGGACATGCAAGGCCCCGTCTGCTCCAAAGTTACCCTGTGGTAACGTTGAATTGAACTCGTCGTCCTCGTATTCGCAGGAGTAGTCGGGCACTCAAGATGGAAGATTGTGGTTCTTCGGAAAGCGGTTAAAACTCAAGATCGTAAGCTCTCTCGCGGCATCGATGAAGAGCTTCGTAAACATTGTAAATACTTCTTCTGGACTCTTAGCGTAATCAGGAACCATTGGAATAGAAGAAGCAAGCCCTAGCAAATCATAGATCCTATCGACCGGCATCGTAGCCTGCTTCGTCTTGGTATGATAAAGCAGATTGGCCATGAACCGGAACCCAGTCTCACCTTGATCGAGCCTAGTCCCAATTGCCGTAAGATGGCCAATGCAATCTTTGGCAAAGTCAAGCTCTCTCATCCCCTGAAGAAGTGGATGGCCTTGCCATCTGCACATAGCCAGACTTGCCCAGATAAAAGGGTCCCAGAATATCCACTTGGAACCGCAACCGATGATAGCTCTCTTTCCGGCAGCAGCAAGCTCTTGCACGACCCACGTGCGACGCCACCAGGGCCGCTCCATCAGTTTCTGGAAAGCTTCCCATTCTCCGCCACCGGCTGTACCAGAATTCGGTCCCAATTGAGTCATTGCCACAAGATACCATCTTTCCTCGTGGGGAAAGCGATTCATTAAAGCTTGTTCCTCCGTGGAGAAAATGACGTTGGGGAGTTGCTTCTTGACATCGGCGAGTTGCGAGGCGGCTAGCTTGAGCACAAGATCTAATGCCGCATCGCTGATGTCACGAGCTTCCCCCAGCCATACCAGCACTCTAGCGGCGGATTTGTAAACGTCGAACATGAATCTGACCTGGGTGTTGCGTTCCAGTATGTCGTTTTGGTTGATGCAGATGGCATCAATCCATATTGCTCGAACGGTTGAAGTATCGGGGCCTTTGCTGATCACACCGGGATTTCTTAGGTGACGGAGCGTGGTGTCGAGATTTCTTGTTATTTGCAAGGTGTGGTTTCCGATTTGGAGTGGAACGCTATCGGACGCATCGCCCCTGGACAGAATGAGTCTCCAAAAGGAGAAGAACTCGACATTGAATGCCGATGCGACGTAGACGCTCTACTAACCAAACATATGATAGAGCCTCATACTTGGGAGCCTTATCCAGCGATGCTTGGACAAGACTGCAGCGAATTGGTGCGTCATGGCCGACTTCAGCATAAGGAACTATTAAAAGTCGAATCTCTCTCCGGTCTGCGTTCAATGGGTGATATAAAGCCTGTCCGCCGGCTACCTGAGGAGGTGCATCGTAGGGCTGCGATTTACTTGGGTCACAGCCCATTATGGCGAATTTGAAAAGAAAGAGATTAGTTTAGAGAAAATCGCGCTTTGAAAGTCGCACAAGAGAAGATTTTGTAAAGCATATGTGAGGCAGCTCGGCTGCGGCTGAGGTCTTTCCCCGCCCCAAAGCTCGTCATTGCAGATGCTGATTGCAGCGCTTCTAATAAGCAAGTCACTTGCTTAATACCTTCAATGAAGCCTCTCCAGACGTCAAGCAAGCAAGCAGAGTGATGTTTATATAATCAATCAAACAAGCAGAGGTATAGATTGTCAAGTACTTGATAAATCTTGAAGTTTTGCTTAGTAGTATATATGTATAGCCTCCCATTGGTCGATCTTGCTTAGTAAGCCACGCTAAAGTGCTGTTCTCTCCTCCACCCGTGTAGAGAATAAGGGGCTAGAGAGAATATACTAAGGTAGATACAAGCATGCCACGGTTTAGCGCCTCTACTCTCTCTCTTATTAATTATAAAAGACTATACGCGAACTTTACGCGCGAATACTATCTTTCTATATTATTAGTTCTATACAAAACACTATTAATAAGCTAAGATTAGTACTATTATATCTTTACATACTCTACTTAAGTTTAGAATATTTATAATATAATATTTAGAGGGTCGTAATATAAGAATAACTATATAATAGTGTCACGGTTTAAGCTATATATAGTAGCATGTGGGGTTCGATCTATCGATCGAACATTGTGCCTTTTGGCCCGATGGCGCAAGCGTGAAACTCATGCACACGTGAACCGTCACAAATAGCTTCTTTCTCTATACTAGTAAGGGGATAATCCCTATACGGGGTGCAACTTTTGAACTGTCTAGGGGGGGTGGGGGCGCCGAACCGTGGCACGCCTGTACCGTGTCTATAACATTCTGCCGGTCGATGACGTTACTCTCTTTAATCTGCTATTACCTGGGCAGTCGAATTCGCTGTCCTGTATGTTTCAGCTGCTCTACTCATCCGCAAAAGGCCAGTGGGAGCCATGATAATGTAGTGTTGCAAATCGTTCGGTTTTCAGTCGGTGAATTGTAACTTGATGGATGCCGGCACAGGATAGCTTAGCCGGTGGTTCAGCCGCTGTAACTTACAGTACTCAGCAGTCATGGATCCACGCCGGAGCGTGGACACATCAGAATTCTTTCTCCCTTCTTCCCAGCAACGGAAATTTCTCACAACGCGAGACAAAAAAAAGTTAGGCTATGGTATGCTTTGTGAGCCTAAGTGTAATAGCCTGTTCGAATATCATCCGCGCTTTGCATCTGGCACGGTCAGCGCATAGACAAGATCGCAGAGCCAAGAGAAAAAGCAAAAAACATACAGCAGTGGGGATTCGCTAGTGGTCACCCACCTAACTACTAATCCACCGATTCAAAGCTTATGTAATGGCACTGAATTGGTGCTTGCACGTGACTGCTGCCTAGAATGAAGTGTTGCACGTGGAAGCGCGTCGGATTAATAGCTCTTCCGAACGCCAATATCCATCCACTTCCTCTACAACCTTCAGCCTTACCATAAGGCTGTCTATCATTGCCGCTGACTGGACCGCTGACTGGACCGCTGGTTGGACCGCTGAACTGGACCATTGACTGGACCACTGACTGGACCACTGAATGGACCGCTGAGAGGCGGGTCATGATGCTGGGTCACGATGCTGGGTCACGATGCTGGGTCATGATGCTGGGTCATGATGCTGGGGCCGTAATCGACTGTTGTACCGCTTACTTTCTTACGGGATGCCCAGTATTCTTTGATCTATGGCCGTATGTGCTAGTTAAGAGTGAAGTTAACAATAAACGATGGTACAAGGTAAATTTCTTGCCCCTGTCGAACAACAGCGCCCTGAAGGCGGTGTGGAATCAAGCAGCTGACGCAGTGCCAAGCATCAGTCTTCCACACGCTACGGAGTAAAGCAACGAGGAATACAGAGAGTCGTTTGTGACCAGAATCGTAAGGCCTTCTATTACTATATACTCATACCAAAACTCAATCAAGCCATCCTCCAAAGCCAGTACGCCGAGCGGGCGAACCCCAAACATGCAAAAACGGGAACCATGCAATCCCGGGACACTCACCACAATCCCCCCACAGATGCACTGCCAAACGGGCAGGCAGACAGGCAAGGTGATGTAAAGCAGAACGCCAGACATGCATAGGCTAACTATCCAGGCTCTACACCACAATCCCCTGTGCCCACTGTCTCACACCTCCCCATCCCCATTATCTAACAATAAGAAAAACAATGCGCCTCACACGATTGCAACGCACCGCCTACCCCTCGTACCCCGCCCCCCTCTGCCACGGACTCGCCGAATTCTGCTGCCTGTATCCCCCGCCCGCACTCCGCTCGCTCCTCATCGTGCCCGTCCTCTCCGCGCCCCTATACACCGGCGCGGGGGAACTCGTGTCACTCCTCTGCCCAAAATACGGACTCGGGCTGTTCTGTCTCGCGTCCGCAGGGGCATACCCGCCACTACTCGACCCAAACGCCGTCGTGCTCTGACTCGCCGGCGTCGCGACGCCGGCATCCATGGCCTTCTGATCCCTGCGCTCAAGCGTCCCGCTGGAGAGGCTATCTTCCTCGTCCGCGTCCTCGATGCGGGATTTACCGTAGAAGCCTGCTGCGCCGTTCTTGTTGCCCTCGCCGCGGGCCGTGGCGCCCAGCGCGTCGAGCTCGGTGGTCAGCTGCGTCTGGGACTTGATGAAGGAGCCGCGGTCGTCGCGCATGGGCTGGTAGCGCGTGTCTGGGTTCTTGGAGAAGAGGGCGTAGCCCGAGGAGAAGAGGACCATGAGGAGGAGGATGAGCGCGAAGGCGGCGTTGAAGATGAAGAAGATTACGCCCATTACGCCGGTGACGAGGCCCTGATAAATTGTAATTAGCATTGATCGTAGACGTGGGTTTGGTGAAAGGGGACGGGGGGAGATGGAGGAAAGGGGCTTACAGGTTGGTCAAAGATATCCGTGAAGACAAGCAGGAAGATAGACGACACAAAATTGACGGCACAGATGGAGATGTTGAACGCGTTCGTCTTCTTGTCCATGTACGGCCGCATGATGCTGACGGCGATCAGAAGACCAGCTTCGATGAGCACGAGCGCGATGGCCTGCACGACGGCGGACTCCTGGCCCAACCCGATGAACATGCCCTTGAGCAGTACATGAAACAGGACCGGTACGATAAAGTAGTAGGCTGTGGCTTTGAACTGGACGTAAAGGAAGCCCCACTTATTGAGCGAGACGGGGTCCGAGTAGAGGATGTAGGCGGGATTCTTGTGCATGGCGATGGAGCGCTGCGCGATGCGGATGACCTTTGAGGAGGCCCAGCCGAGGATGAGTGTCATGGTAACGATAGTGAGGATTGCAAGGGCGACTTCGGCGGCGGAGTCGCGCTGCGTCAACTCCCAGAAGCAAAGGACGACCATCTGGGGGAAGCCGATGAGGACCTGCGAGTTCGGTTAGCAAGCTGTGTGAGTGCAGATTATTGTAGGCCAATCTCACGATGCGGAACATGATGCCCTTCAGGACTGTCTTCCATCCATTGCGGAAGTCCTGGAACTTGTCGCCCTTCATCTTGCCACCCTTGGCAAGGCCTTCGACGGTGAGCTTGAACAGAACAACCCCGATAATCACGAACAGGACGAAGACTACAAAGAGGGAGTAGCCAGTCAAGAAGATGTTTGTGATCTCAATGTGCGCTCGGAAGCCAACTCGTTCAATGCCGCGAACCGTGATCACTCGGTTTGTCTCGGCTTGACTGGAGTCGGCGTTGGTACGGCTAGACAGGCGGCCGAGGGCGCGTGACACGAGCTTGTGCATTACCTCGAGAGACCGCTTCTGCACCTGGACTGAGGTCGTGGCCAGTGTGGACAGAATCGTAGAGGGCGTGCCGCCCGTTGAGCGCTGATACCACGTAGCCATCCTCTGCAGGAAACCGATACGAATTATTCCCATACTCCATTGAAAGTTCTGGGTCCATGAAGAGACAATTGGGGGAAGCGGGACCGCCGACATGCCAATGATGGCCTGTGCCTGGAAGTATCCAAAAAGCGAGAGCGCGTTTGCGGCGACATGGGCGGCGGTGTTGGAGTGTCCGAGACCGTTGGTGATGGCAGACGCAACCAAGCCGGTACCAGCTATGATGGCGGTGACCCAGCCAACACCTTTCTGGTACACGGTCTTTCCATTGGACAGAGCGGCTTCAACGCACGCTAGCGACTCGCCAGTTTCAGCGTCGTGAATGTGGACTTGGACGATACCATCAAGATCGGGGATGGTATATGCAATGCCTGGCACATCCCGTTAGATATCTGGCTTTGCAGCGCGCAGGGATAGCGGAACTATGAGATTGCGTATGGCGGCTTACCAGGGATATGGCGGACTACCTCATCGCTCAGCGGCACATTAGACTCGATGTTGATTGTGCCCGTGTTCATCGGGCAAAGGCCCTTGAGGTCGGCACTCTCGCATGGATTAAGCCTCTGCTTGATTGCCGTGTAGCCGTAGGCGATGACCTCGAATTCGGCGATAACGTTGCCCTGGATTGCCGATACTCCAACGATTTCGAAGGACAGCGTCCTGTTATCCGGTGTGAAGATGACGTTGAAGAGAGTGGCGGAGAATCTGGAGTTGGCTTGGCACGGGTTGAGTGAACGGGACTCTATTAACCGGACTGCGGAGGAGAGAGGTATTAGGGTGAGTAGGGCGGCGACGAGGAGCGTAAAGGGTGTTCGTAATAGGGAGCGCATTGCGGTAGGTAGGAGCTGTGTCGCAAGGAATTATCGATTAATGCTGCTGAAGGCGCGGTGCCTTGGGAGGTGGTACTCGTGCGAGTACGCTCAATGCCGAAGCCCCAAACCAGCGACGGTGGTGTGTAACGTCTGTTCAACGAGCGACTTTACAGCGAGATGGAGTTGCTCCGTAGCGAGTCGCAGCAGCTCTGCGGTGGAACGAGTGTTGGGCGGATCGAGAAGGGAGGATGGGAGGAGTTGCCGCGACGACAGAGGTTGCAAGTGGTGCAGGAAATCCGGGAACCGGGCTGGGAGAGGCGAATGGCAGTCGATGATGCTAAGCAGCGGAAGGAAGCGATCGTGGAGACTGCGACGAAGCGGACCAACCGGATGCCCGCCCAAGAGGTCGCAGTTCAAGGAAATGCACGAAGTTGGCGGAGTTGGCGGAGTTGGCGGAGTTGGCGATGAGCACCGAGAATGCAGCCAGGCCGTTGATGCAGACAGATGTTGGAGCGTCGGTCGTGGGGCTGAGTCGGTCGCCGGGCGGAATGGGCGGCTTGTCTCTGCTCGTATTTGCACTGGCGCTGCTTTGGTTGACGGCCGCTCAGGGGTTTGACACAAAGCAAGTCACGGGATTCTGCTATGAATGTTACCGCTGACAGGGACACGCGGCGCCGCGTGCCGATCACCCTTGTGCATTGCGACGCCGGCTCTTGGTCTGTCTTGACTGCGACGGCACCGTGTTGGCAGTATGTCATCCAGATTCCTGCCTTCTATTTACGCTTGCCTGTGCTCTTGGAAAGCTGTTTACCTCTCCGATACACAAACTGTCAGACACATGTAGAGAGACCCATTCCATGGATCGCTGCACCGCCACAGCCCTGTCAGGGACAGGCGCCGGGATCCAGATCTTCAGCTGCGCGTTGCCGCCACCCAATTTATCAATCAGCTTTTGGCTTTACCATGGAGAATGGTCAGCTGGAATGGGTAAATGAAGCAATGGTAGAGATCAACTGCTCGCGAAAAACTCTATAATTCAAAGCGCGACTATGAGTGCTCAGAAGACTCGTTTCGATTCCCAATAGAGTATCTCTTAGTCACGTGACCTCTTTTGCTCTGAATGCGAGTATCTCAACTACCACTAAAGCGTCCTACCCCGTTAAGAGGAGTTTACGCGGAAGTCATGCTAGGAGTATCCATTGTCTCAAATCACCCAACCCTGTCTGTACTTCACCGTTACGTCCCCTATTCCTACTTCCGGCACCTTCATCTCTCTCTCTCATATCCATGCTGTCCCGCTCTGATGCCGACATGGTCCCGAGTACTGTTGTACCTGTATAATCGTAACCCGGCCAGCCCGGACCAACTCCCCTCTAGACATCTACTCCTTAAGAGGTAGTCACCGCTGGTTGGATTCTGAGCGGTACAAGCCACTGGCGAAATCGGTGTTGCTCCTAGCGGCCGCACAACAGGCGGTGCATGGCCCGTTGCTGGTTGTGTAGGGCTCGAAGTTCTCATGCTCTGTAGGAATGCTATAAAGGTAGTGACTGACGCAGTGACGCACTCGAGAGAAACGGAGGTCCAAAGAAGATCTCAGAAGCCTTTCAACAGGGTCCACAGATGAACCCCATTCACCATCATAGCCTTGCCCAACTCGAGCGCGACGCTGAACCCCGCCCCCATTGATCCGCTTCTCTGAGCCGCGCCGAACTCGTCCGTGAAAAGCACCTTGACAGCGACAACTAGAAGCGCAAAGCGGACCAGGACATCAGCACCCGTGACCAAAGCCGGAATTCCCCACGCTAACCGCTGCACCAAAAACAGCCTGCTAACGCACCGTCGATACCGCCACGCATCCCCACCACAGTAGCGCTGCACGAAGAGATCAAGCGGCGACAGCGGTAGCGCCCTAATATCTTCCACCCTTTCCCCTCTCGCAGCCTCCGCGCCAAACGGGTAGCTAGGCGCAGCAGGCAAGCACCTCAACCTCTTCAGCACCGCCCACCGCAGGCGGTCGAAGAGACCAACGCTCGGCGGGCCGTCTACTGGGTACCTGACTGAGGGAAGCAAGGCTCTTAGCAACTCGGGTTGGGAGATCCAAAGGGTGCGGTTCTTATCCATGGTGCAGAGGCATTCGCGGTCAAAGGCCTCAGTCGTGTGCGCGTAGTGGACAAAGCGGCTGTAGAAGGCGGGGGTTGTAATGTGGATGTGGAGGTGTGGTCGGAGCGCCTCTGAGGAGGAGGATGGGGGGGAGAAGTATTGGCGAGGAGGGCTGAGCTCGGTGGGGGGTTTGTATGTTACGTCGAGCGGGGCCGTGGCGTGCGAGACGAGGTGGGCGATGTATTTGGCGAAGAAGGTTTCGAGCAGCCTAAGGGACGGTTAATGTGAGGTCTGTAGATGAAGGAGGGATAGTGGTACCTCTCATCATCCGTGGCGCGCCGGCCTACGCTGTTGATAGATATCTCCGGCCTGAACCACACGTGGAGTTTCCGCTTGAAGTAGAGCTTCCACGCTTCTCGGATGATACGAGGAAACGTTGCAAACCCAACCCATCCCCAGCTCGCTACAAAGCGCAGAGAAGCCCACCAGCCGAGGATTTCAGGGTCCACGGGAGCGCCGACGGAGAAGACTCTTGCGACCAGTTTCGCTTCCTCCTTGGATGATCTTAGGGTGATAGTGTTGTTCACACTTGCTACGCTATCTCCAGCGGTGGATAAAGGATCAAGTGCCACGAGGCTGTAGGTGCCTTTGCGAGAATTGAATGGAGATACATGAAAGTCTTTGGCCCATGCACTCGTGAATCGGATCGAGGTCTGCAAGGCTGGTGAGACCTTGCCGTCAGTATCCCGTGCAAGGGTAGTAGTCTCTTGCTCCTTCCCATAGGCGGCTTTCAGTAGATACATCCGCCGCTCATCGAAGGTGTTGTTGACCTCCAGGATCATCATCCTTAGCTCACGTTCGGCGGAGTAAATGTACCAGAATGATACTGGGTTGAAGGAGTGGCCTAGAAACCGAGGAGCGGTGACGAGGTACGCATGGGCCCAGTCATCGTCTGAAACACCCTGAAACAGTGAGACGAGCTACAAGGCATTTAGAAGAGGGTACTACCTGAGAGTTGAGATACAACGACAGCTTTGCGTCCAGAGTCTGACCGTCTCCTCCACGCTCGAGGAAGTCTGATGCTTGGACATGAAACCAACCTCTTCTGGCGCCTTTTGGTGTGTCCACGGACAACATGGATCCGCTGCACCCACGCCATCCTACCGGAATGCCTACGTAGAGGTAGGAATAGCCAAAGGAGTGTTTCTCGGGGAACATGCGGGAGTGTGTGGTCCTGCACGGAAAAAGCATAGGTCGGCCATGCCTTTGAGCTGCAACCGGCTCGGAGTGGCTCTTATGAGACTTCAGAGATGCATTGAAACACCATTCGAACAGATCCTTCAGCCAGAAAGCAGACCGAACTATAAGATAAGTGGTCCAGACTGGAAACATCGCGTCCCAGAAACGGAGATCGTAGGATTGCAGCTCAGTATAACTGGTCCAAGCCACGAGACAAAGGAGCAAACTGCTATCAAGATGAGCCGTAAGATCAGACTTCTTGACTCGGTATGTCCAGAGAGAAATCCATAATGCTAGGTATACAATCCTCAACCAAACGACACTGCGATCCAGAAACTCCCGTGCAGCCAGCGCTAGCAGTGCTACATACGCTGGCTTCCACGCATAGTTGGCGATGAAGGGAGCAGAGCCGTTTGAGTCGTCGGTGGACTGCATGCCTGCTCTGGGAGACACAAGCAGGGAATGCCTCGATTCAGGGCAAAACGATGGTAAATTTCCCCTGCTCGGACGCCGTAGGTTGGGGGAAATTTGTGTCGACTCTGAAAGTGGGAAATATAAGCCGATGCAAGTGTTGACCCATAAGGCATGCCGAAAGCCACAAGTCAGAGACCTTGACTTAGAAAGTCAACTCAAGCTCCCTGTAAAGGGATGTCAGCTGCCCCGTGTTAGGCGAGCGCAGGATCGTATGCAAAACAAGGCCCGTTATGAGGACACCGCCCGGATGGACTCCATCTCATTGGATCCTGCTGGCGTGGATCATCGCTAATCGAATAAATCGCTTCTACGGTACGGGTCTTACGAGCTTGTGAAAACATGTTGCTGTTTGAGTTGCTCTTTGACGGTAGTGATAGGAAGAGTGACGGAGAGGTCTTTCCCCTCGTTTCGTGTGTCGTGGATGGGAAGATGTATATTGATGGGCTGAGGAGAAGAGGATGGAATCATTGACCTACGTAGCGTGCGGCACGACACTGTAAAAACTCGACAGCTGAATGTGCTGGTGGACTGGAATGTTGTCAGTATTCAGAGTGTAGGTGGAATGCAGGTGGGTTACAGTGATCAACTTATCCGCACAACCGTCTTGGGGCCAAAATGGTCACACTAGTTCGTAGCGGAGAACCTTAGTGCAAGGCCGGGCGAGCAGCTGAATCACAGACATATAAAGATTAGAAAGAAGGCAGCAAAATGATATGAGGAAAGACGCGAATGTTTAATAACGGCAAGAGTGGTCGAATCAATCGACATCGAGTCCAAAAGTCTCGGCTGCTGGGCGTTCCATAGGGCTGAACAGGGCTGTTCACGCCGAAGCTCCGACAACTCCAAAACTTTTCCCAAGCGGAATCGTGACGAGCTCTGGTCGGCGCATAAGCCAGCAATACCACAGCAACCCTCACGGCTCAGCATTCCTGTTAGACACCTAAAATCGCTGTAACATTGGACCCACCACCATGTCTGCAGTCAGCATCGAGAACAAGAAGCGAAAGAGGAAGCACGGAAACCGGCTTACAGAAGATGTCTCTGCGCCTGTCCTCGAGGAAGGCAGCGCGAAGCCACGGTCGAAGAAGACGAAGCGTCAACCCGAGCCAGAGCAGGTAGAGGACGAGTTTCAGAACGGGGTAGAGACTACAGATATCGCACCAGCTCCGTCGGAGGGGCTTGACCAAGTTGCCGCCGCTTTAGATGCACAGCCGGCGTCTGAAGAGGAGGATGCTGAGGCTCTCCACAACGGAGGAGAGGGCGAGGATGGAGAGAACGAAGACCATGCAGACCTACCGACGGACAACGCCGTATCACTGCCCCAAACCACCGCCGACCCCGAGCGATTCGACGACCTCAACCTCTCCAGCAAGACGATGCAAGCAATCAAAGGCATGGGTTTCGAGAAGATGACACAGGTCCAGCGGCGATCGATACCCCCTCTACTAGCCGGCAGAGATGTACTGGGTGCGGCAAAGACTGGTTCCGGCAAGACACTTGCCTTCCTGATTCCCGCTGTCGAGATGCTCAGCGCATTGCGCTTCAAACCGCGCAATGGCACCGGAGTAATCGTCGTTTCTCCTACCCGCGAGCTCGCGCTTCAAATCTTCGGGGTCGCCCGCGAGTTGATGGAGCACCACAGTCAGACGTTTGGTATTGTGATTGGCGGTGCAAACCGCAGGGCGGAGGCCGAGAAGCTGACGAAGGGCGTCAACCTGCTCATTGCAACCCCTGGACGTTTGCTTGATCATTTGCAGAACACGCAGGGATTTGTGTACAAGAATGTCAAGGCTCTGATCATCGACGAGGCGGACCGGATATTGGAGGTCGGGTTTGAGGACGAGATGCGCCAGATCGTCAAAATATTACCGAAAGAGGATCGACAGACCATGCTGTTCTCAGCGACTCAGACTACAAAGGTCGAGGATTTGGCGCGAATCTCGTTACGGCCTGGCCCGCTCTACATCAATGTAGATCACTATGAGGAGCACTCCACAGTCTCTGGGCTCGAGCAGGGCTATGTGATTGTTGAAAGTGACCTGAGGTTCAGGCTTCTCTTCTCCTTCTTGAAGAGGAACCTCAAGAAGAAGGTAAGCTGTCGAGTGCGTTTTCGCAGCAAAAGCTGACATAATCAGGTCATCGTGTTCTTATCGTCGTGTGCTTCAGTGTCATACTACGCGGAGCTGCTCAACTACATAGACCTTCCGGTGCTTGATCTGCATGGTACGAGCGCCTCTATTCGCTCCTCTCCGAACCTGAAAGGCTGATGGAATTAGGCAAGCAAAAGCAACAGAAGAGGACAAATACGTTCTTCGAGTTGTGAGTATATCATCTTGTCCTAAAATATACTCGCATCGTTTTCTAACTTTCCTTTAGCGTCAACGCTCCCACCGGCATCCTCATCTGCACAGATGTCGCAGCCCGTGGCCTTGACATCCCAGCCGTCGACTGGATAATCCAGTTCGACCCCCCGGACGACCCACGCGACTACATCCACCGCGTCGGCCGCACGGCCCGCGGTGCAAACGGCAAGGTACCTAAACTCCCCTCCTTCCCCCTCCCCACCACATCCACCATCTACTAACAACCCCCCAGGGCAAATCCCTCATGTTCCTTCAACCCTCCGAAGTCGGCTTCCTGCACCACCTAAAAGAGGCCCGCGTCCCCCTCGTCGAGTTCGAGCTCCCCGCCTCCAAGATTCTAAACATACAGGCCCAGCTCGAAGCCCTCATCTCCAAGAACTACTACCTGAACAAGAGCGCCAAGGAGGGCTATCGCTCCTACCTCAACGCGTACGCGAGCCACTCGCTGAGATCGGTGTTTGATATCAATAAGCTGGATCTTGTCAAGGTGGCTAAGAGCTATGGGTTTAGCGTGCCGCCGCGCGTGGATATTACGTTGGGGGCGAGTATGGGGAGGGATAAGACGCAGGGACGGCGGGCGTATGGAAGTCAGCCCGGTCAGCAGAGGGGGAAGGGAGTTAGGCATGGGGCGAGGCGGTGAGGGTGGTGCAGGGGATGGGAGGCAGAGTCTGTGGTAGCGAGCGTGCTCTCCTCAGATGGAGAGGAGAGCTCTGTGTAGACTTTGCGGGAGGCGGCGTTTCGCACAAAGCCACGGGTTCGGGATGCCAATGCAGGCCTCCAAAAGATACAATGTCAACATGTTCTTTTCAAGTTCTACATATTACTTCCCGCTATCAACGCTCACAATCCTAAGCTCCCCAAGACACTCAACCCCAAGCCGTATGGACGAGCAAGCCCTCGCCTTCCCATCCATTCGCATTATGTATACTCGAATATCTATACGCACGCCCGCTGCGCCAAATAGACGCAGGGCCGAAGAGCAGAAAAAGTAGCACCATAGCGCCGTCATCGAGATCATCAACTAGTGAACGTGCCTAAGCACCCTGAGGCGCGAGTGTCGTGGCTGAACAGACTCCATCTTCCCATCTACAATCCAACACGTCCTTCTGGGTAATGCAAGGCCGCTCAGAACGTCTCGCTCTCGAAGCTGTCGCGATATGATTCTGCGTACATCTGTCAGCGACTTCTCGATGTACGAGAGTGTGGGTAGGGACTCACCAAGCGACCTCTGATCAACAGGCTTCCTCCTCACGGTGCCGGAGTTCCCATACAGCGGCGCACCGTTCGTCTGACTCGGGCTCCTCGAGCCCATGGGCCGGGGGCCCGTGATTCTGCGGGCGGGCGACTGCATGCTTTGGTTCGGTTGAGGCGAGGGCGTAAGAAGCTATTACAAAATGATTAGCAAAAAGCCTATTTTACGGAACCCAAGAGAGACGTATTTGAGAGAAACCACTCACCCTCGCACTATCGCCTTCCATGCTATACCTCTCCTCAATCGGCGCGAGCTGGTGTCCGCTGCCCGGCGGGCTACTGTACATCATCATCTTCGGCGCCCCCATACTCTCCGGCTCCTGGATCCTAGGCGGCTGCTGCGGAACCAGTGGCCCATCGTCCCTCAGTCTGCTCGACCGTGGCGGACCCGCCTGCTCAGCCGCAGAGTGCGCGCTGTAGCTGCCCTCCGACACCGGGGAGTAATTCCCCGCCGTCCCCTGCGTGCCCGTACTCATCCTGTTGCGGTTGAGCGCCAGTGCAGGCGCCGAGCCGTAGAAGTCTGCGTCGGGGGTGGCGGGCGAGCCCTCGTAGTTATAGGCTTGCGATTCGAGGTGGCTTTGGTGGCGGTGCGTGGGGCCCTGGCGCGGCTGCGGGTGCATGAGATTCAGAGAGTTGCGGTGGGCTTGGTATTTCGGGTCGTCCGTTGGGCTCTCTGGGATGAGAGGGGAAGGCGAGCGGGCGTTGGCCAGGTCGGCTGACACCTGGGCTTGCTGCTGCGCGGCGAGCGAGGCGTTGGACCGCAGACGATCATCGTCTTGGACTTCGTAGCCGTCGTAGTAGTTGTTCGCAAGGTTGACGTTTGAGCCTGAGCGTGAGGCTTCCGAAGATGGGCGCTCCTTGCGGCTACCGCTCATGCGCGGGGTCGTCTCTTGCGCGGTTGATGAGGTTGTCTTGGACCACCTGGAGATCTTGGGGAACCCGAAAAGCGAAGAACTGCCCGATTTGTGTTTCTTCTTGGAAGAGCGCTCCGGACTCTCGGGACTGACATAGGCCGCAGCGGGTTGGGGCGGAGTCTCCTGCGACACGGATCTGTCCCGCCTCACCTCTTGTGTTGGGGTGAGGAGCCGTTCTTCGTTGCCATAATCCTGGTTCGCAGGTGGTGTGGCCTGGTCATAGTCATCGTCCTCTTCGTCCCGCTCGAGAACAGTACTGATACGGTGGCCAGAATCAGACGCTCGGCGTCCATCGTAGCCCGAGTGCATGCCGTTCACCTGGCGCGAGGAAGTGTTTGAAAAGTAGCCGGACTGCCCAGGTGTCGATGAGGTGCCAGCTTGACCCTCGGGCTCGTATCCTGTATCGGCGGCTCTCATCTTTTCGTACGAGTCCAGGCTATGAGAAGGCTCGAGTGATGTCCTTTGCACACCTTGAGTATCCTTCAATCCTTCCACTTCATCCAGCAGCTGCATAAGCATGGCTTCAATGTTCGCGAGATCGTTTGAACTTCGCATACTCAGGCCCTTTAAAGCCCGTTTGAAGACATTTTTCCTCTTAGTCGGCAAATCCTCCGCATCTTCAGTTGACCGCTGCCGCGGCACCCTCGGAGAACCAAGAGGCTGCGGTCGCGGACCTCCGAGCACCTTCTGGACTGTCATCTCTGCATCTCTGTCGGTGTTGCTCATGATCAGGCGATCCTGCTCCGCAATGAACCTCTTCATCTCCTCGAACGAGTTCCTCATCTCAGCTGCGCTGCGCACAAGGGTCACCAGAATCTCGGTATCACGAGCATTGCGTTGAGCATCGCGAACAGTGAGGTGATCCATGAGCGCAACGACATCCTTAGACTGGATGCGATCGATACCCTTTCCTGTAGCACTGTCGTAGATCGGAGAGCCCATGCCATGAGAGTTGCCGCTGACTTGGCGGATGTGACCCCGGTTCTTCCCTACAAACGGGTCGGCATCAAACTCATTCTCGGCCTCCTCATCGAACAGCTTGGGCGCATTGCCCATCAGTGGCTGTTGATATGGTTCTGGAGTGATACCGCCTGCATGCGGGGCGGAGATGTAGCCTTCGTCCTTCCAGTGACCAGGCGGGCTGATCGATGTGACGTTCTCGCGAGCAGCATATGAATCATGATGGAAGCTGCGTTCAACTGTGTCCTCATCATCATGCTCATCTTTCACAGACGGTTGTTGGCCACGGGTTGGCTGGTAGGTCTCCGGCTGCTTATCACGGTTGATACGAGCCGCAGCGGCAGCGGCAATGCCTGCAGCAGTAGCGCCAGCACCACCAACTGCAACTGCTTTTGCCGTGCCCAGCTCCGGCTGCTCGTACATACGTTCTTCGTCAAGCATATTACGAGACAGAGGAGGTGTGAGTTCGGGATCTCTCGTCCAGCGGTTCTGGCCAGCGCCGATGGGACCCTGGATTTCTGAAGGATTTGTTGTCAATTCCGACTCGTCGTCTTCAAGCCCATATCCGATCTCAGGCATATACTCATCTTGTCCTGGGAACGCACTCGCACCCATCCGGGGCATGGACTTTTCAGAAACAGTTCGGCTAACGCTCTGTTGAGGTGAAGCAGTTACAGGCCGATCCTGCGACGGAGCGGTGACGGTACGGTTCTGTGGAGAAGCGCTTGACAGAGCCTTCGCCTGATCACGGATCGCATGCCACCTTTCTTGGCTGGGATGTTCGTAGCCTCGATGCGGAGTTACACTGCCAGAAATAGATCGATCCTCTACGACCACGTCCTGACGTGCCCCAAAGACGTTGGGTTGGGAGCCAAAAGAGTGTTTGAGCGGACCGGAGCCGGACGATCGCACGCTCAAAGTAGACGGCTCGTGAAGAGAAGCAACCGCCGACTCTACAGCTACCGGCGTACGAACATATTCGGGATTCGCGCCGACACCACGGATATCGTTCTCAGCCGTGACTGGTACATCCATGCTAGTGTCGGTGTACCGAGTATACTGGCTGAAATGCTTGTCATCTAGAAGAGACGAACCGTTTTGACTGTCGTACTCAAGGTCCGAACGATATTGCTCATTAACTTCGTGTTCATGATCAAAGAATTCACCAACGTCCTTCGGTGTACGGGTGCCAGACTCATATGCAAGCTCGGAGTCGTGCAAAGGGTCATCCATAAGGATATCTGACTTCCTCTCAAGATTGATACCTTGCGGCCGTCTCCTCGATCGGGCGACCTTTGTGCTCGGCGACGATTCCAGGGAGTCGATTGAAAGGTTCGACCTCTGCCGGCTGGCTGCACGGCCAGCAGAGGAGAGCGATGCTACACTCTTAGCGGAACGAGGTACAGCCATATGACCAGGATCATCGCCCTCCATATAGCTCGCAATGCTCTGCACCGGACTGACCTCGCGAGTTGGAGAGTGTTGAGAATAGCCATCCTGGTCAGTGTGCGCGTCGATGTCTTTACTAACAAGATCGTGAGTGGTCGCTTTGTGGTACGTCGTGGGAGAACCGAGGCCACCTAGGCCAGCGGCAGCGAGAGCGGCATGCCGGGCCTTTGTCGATATGCTTCTGTCGCTTTTGGCGCTTTTTGGAAGACTGATCTCCCCCTGGGATCGATTGCCCTGACTGTAAAGTCCTCGTGCCGCTGCGCTTCCGAGCGGTGTCCGATTTGGCGTTCTTGGCGCCGGCGACATCATTTCTCGAGGCGTTCCGCGGCTGACCTCACGCACGATAGGATCGCGCACAGGAGTCGAAGATCCTCCTCTTGATGACCTCGATACTGGCCTCTCTGTTTCGGCGGTGAGTATTGATTCCCGTGTAACATCCGACGGGATCTCGCTCTGCATGGGCATTGGAGGGATGTCCTCCTTGTTCCAGTCGTCAGGCAAATCGGATATGCTAGCGGTACGGCTTCTGCTCTTGCTCTTGCTTCGCTTCTTCCTCCGTTCTCTAGTATCTCTGGTGTCCGTGCTGGAAATGGAGTCATGGTGTCGAAGAGCAGCGGCAGTCAACCCTCCAGCGGCACCGACGGCCGCAGCCTCTTTCAAGGCATGGCGATCTTTGCTCTTCTTTTGGTGAACCTTCTCATCATCGCGGATCACCGTGTCCAAGGAGTCGTCGAGACCGTAGGATGCGCTCCTTTCGGTTGACCCGCGGCTGGTGCGCCGCACCTTCTTGCCCTTGGTTGAGTCGCCGGAAAGTGTCAAGCCTGGGTCGTCGCCGCTGCGATTGAGGACAACCTTTGGCTTCTCAGATAGATTCGGAGCGCTTCCAGTCTTCGACACGCGACGTCGCATGTCTTCGCGAGAATCCGCTGTGGCAGTCGTTGCAATTGAATCCCGTGCTGTGCGTTCAAAGTTGCTCCTGTTTTCCTGTGTCTTCTGTTGCTCTTTCAATGCGTTCAGCTCAGGGATGATAAGGCGACGAATGGCATCCTCGACGGTCTGGAGCAGTTTGGGGTTGTTGATGGACGATGCGGCGGAAGTCCCTGATCGAATTGACTGCGCATCTCCAGATCTGCGGCTGATGTTCGACGTGAGCAAGCTGGACTCCGCACCCGGCACGATGTCTTCGCTCCGCTCACTCCTGCTCGATCTCCGCCTTGACGACCTCTCAGCTTCTGGCAACCGATCTTTGCTAATGCTGCTTTCGCGACTCCTTGTCTTCTTTTGCTTCTGGGGAGGGTCCACTGCCTGGCTTGCAAGCTTTTCCATGACTTTTTGTGTGATACGCTCGCGACTCAAGCTTCGACTCCTTCTCCGCGACGGAGCTTTCAGGTGGTCTGGGCTCATTACCTCATCCCTCTCCAAGCTCCTGCTTCTTGGCCGTGGCGGGCTCTGTGTGCTTGCTTCACCTTCCAGCATGCTGTCCGGTGGCATAGACGAGATATCGGAAGGGGCAGGAATGTATCTTCCGGCAGAGAGCTCCGACCTAGACAGCTCGCTAACGTTCTCGAGCACCTCGATCTCGACAGGAGGGCGCCCACTGAGATTCGACTCGGAGGACACGGAGACCTCAGTGCCTTCGGGCAAAGCGGGCTTCTGCTCGCGGTTGGGCGTGCCTAATGAAATGCGCCGAGTGTAAGATGGCTTCCTGTCCTTCCCGACCTGCGTGATCTGTATTTGATCGCTTCCAATCTTGTGCTTCCGGCCAGATGATGGAGTTACCCGCACTCGAACGCTGGGTCGGGAGTGCGTTTTATCTCCCGATTTCCCGCCCTCAAAGTACTCAATCAGGAGTGATGTCTGCGACTTATTGCGCCCGTGTCCGAGACCTTCCTTCTTGCTCCTGACCTTGTCGGTTGTGACCGTGATCGGGCTACCGTCCTCGGGTATGGAGTACGACGTGCGATCGGTCCGGCGCGAGATGTCTGTTGCGAGATCGTCGGCTATGGCGCTGCCGTTGTCGGCGGAACTGACGTCCGTCGGTGCTGGTAGAGGCGGTCTTCGTGTGTCTACTCCCATCGCGAGGCTCAATGGTGGCTTAGGTGGCTGCTTGCCTTCTCAGCGAAGACATGGATGGCAGGTGGTTCCGTACGATGTTGTAGTCCTGCGATCTCTGCAGTGGCGGGGGAAGTTTCGGTAGTGAGGGAAGTCGGAGGCCCTGGTTACTCGAAGGTGACTGACTGATTATCTGGGTTCGTAGCACGAGGCTACAGTGCGGCAGTTGTCGGGATCAGCCAATAAGTTCGTGAACTGAGTGGCTAGGCTGCGAGAGCTAAAGACTGAGCTTTGGGATGTTCTGCAGTGTTCAATGAGTGACTGAAATGCCGTCGGCCGATTGTTCGCAGGATCTCATGACAAGCTGACGGGTTGGCGGTTGGTTGGAAACGCTGTTGTGCTGTCGCGGAGCTGGTTGGCGGAGTGGTGTAACAGCACCGCGGCAACTGGAAGCTGCGAGACTGCGGAGTTGTTGAAGGGCTATCGACCCCAATGTCAAGATAGCGCAGACCCCGGCTGGAGCTGGGCAGAGATTAGGGAGGCAGCGAGGGTCGCGACAAGGTTTGGCCCTGAGAGAGGGTGGTTGAAGTGAACCTGCGTTGCGCAAAGGAAAGCTGCGGCGGCTTGGGAAATGTCACGGCTCTGGGTCGGCCAGCTCTTGCAGGAACTCCGAATCAAGATGTCGTGGCTTGCGGCGCCAGCACAACAGAGCGCTAGGATCAATCGGTGACCTGCCGAGTGTGAGCTCCTCCAGTCGTATCGAGTTCTCAAACTATTCTAGAGGCTGGCTGATGGAAACAGATGTGGCGAGCAGCTCCACCGCGCGGCTGTCCCAGCACATCGTCCGCCTGCAGTTGCGTTTGTTGTCACTGCTGGGAACATGCGGCACTGGTCCGGCCCTCGAGCCAGGGGATCTCAACGAGCGGATGCACATGGCGCCTGCAGCTCCTGCAAGCCCGCGTACAAAATTGGGGCCATGTGCTTCCTCGATCTGCAAGTTGAATTTTTAGTCCATCAAACGGCTCTCCGGACATCCATATTCACGCCGTCATAGGCCGGAAGGGAAACACAGAGGCTGGATTAACGGCTTATGATTCATGGATTGGTACGGCATCGTACCAGTGCTACATGCACTATAACCGTTCCTACGCCTACCTGCAGGCGGTCACTGGCAGCGCAGCTTCTAAGACGTCGGCTTCTGCTTCAAGACGCACGCTGGAGCTTTCACCGTCACTCTTCTGAACCGATTTAGCGTCGGCTACCGAAGACCAAACAGATGGCTCACAGGCCCGGAAGAGGTTGTCGGGACGACCCTTAGTTTCTCCACCATCGCATTGAAGGTTTTGAGGCTTTTGTAGCATGAGCGCCATGATTGGCTGTGTGGCTGTTTGAGCTTCACCCGAACGGCCCGCAGTTTGACACTTGACAACCTCCATCGAATTGTTCCGAGATTCAGTGAGGCTTTCCGGGCCTTTAACTAAGCGGTGCAGCCCTGCAGAACGGCAAGATTGCAAGCCTGAGGCGGCAACGAGCTGACTACTGACCGCTCAATATCAGACTCATGCACTACCTGGTACGAGGGGAGCTTGTCGAGCACTTGATACCCGCCGTGTTCTGCAGCACAGACGCTGCATAGGGTAGGTATTTTCAGGTCTACTGTCTAAGGGTCATCCGAAAAATGCGTTGTTGTAGGCTGCTCGTGGACATCCAGATGAACAGGCTAGACACAGTTTACAACCCGGGAATGGCTAGGTGACCTACACACGAGATGGCTAAACCGCTGAACGACTGACGCTCTCTATGGTGTGGAAGCTGTCTCGTTGTTTTACGTTTGGCAAGATCATGAGTCCAGCTCAATCGTGTATCTGGAAAACTACCAGCTACCAGCCAAAATGCGGCAAAGGGCTTTTCGATTGGCAATTAGCCGTTCCTTCCTTCCTTTCTGATGACATCAACTGCTTCTTTGGTAGAACATTCTCGCCTCTCTCACAGTGCAACTGTACTGTGGCATACACATTCAGGGTTCTGTTATTGTCTCTGTTTGGGCGTTTAGTTACACCCACCTTTCGGTTGTCTTCATACTCAGGACGCGGAGGCAATAACGAGTCGATAAGGTATGGGTTTTTTGTGAAGAGCCTATCTTCGTTGCAGTGAGTTGCCTATCGAATGTGGTCAAGACACGAGATCCGCTCCGCAGCTTCCCTGGTGAACATGCGTTTAACATGACCATTTTACGGTTCTAGTTCTAGATGGCTACAGGCATCGGATTGGCTTCATACGAGAGTCATGATTACACTCTCCATCTTATATCGTTCAGGCACCCTTTCGTAGCGGCCAGTGAGGCAGCCAGGAGGTATCGGCTCGTAGGAAAACGGTCTCTGATAAAACGAGTGGGTTTGACACGGACTAAGGGAACAGTCATTACCTTATTCCAGGCGCCATACTCCCTTCGGGTATTTGTGAACCTCGCGAAGAACCGGAACAATCATATCATGAGCCTTTCGTGCCTTTCGAACTACGGTGCGGTAAAGGTGGCGGCTTCCACCTGGCCTAGCCGAACTTGTAAACAGCCGAGGCCCATCTCCGTTGGTACCGGCCCAACTCATAGCAACTAAATATTCGAGTTCATTTCTGCAGCGAGATGGTAATGCGCCTGCGGCGAGATGGCAATGCGCAAAGGCCAAGTGAAGTCTGCGATACTCAGCGAGCAAGTGTGCTGGTGTTCAGTGCGCTAACCGGGTGCCTTCTCCAAATTTATTTATCCAGTTCAAGGTCGTCGATCCCCAAATGCTCTCCGCCAACGTCATGCACGTGCGACAGGCTTTCCCCACACAAACGCTAGCCTTAGACGCCTCGCGCGCGGATCATCACAAGCCGCCCTTGAGATTCCCTTTGGGCCGAGGATATTCGGCCCAATGGTGCTCAGCAGCTTGAGATCGAGCAGCTGGCAAGATGAATCTCTGCTCCAGCCCAGAGAGCAAGCTCAAGGCGTCCCCGAAGCCGTTATGTCATCCGGCCTCTCCCGAGGGCAGGAGGGTGGGAAAGGCCTTACGCGTAGTTGACTAGCACGCTCATCACTGGCGCAAGTGATTGATATATTCTTGGCTCCCCCGCTGCTCTATTCCCGAGGTGCCATTACGTTCGCCTTACCTCTAACCTTTGCTGTTGTTCTCCATCCTCCTATTCTATCATCACATCGTTAACCGTTACTGTACTGGCTATATGTCCAAGCTGTACCATAGCTTGAAGGAGGGAATTGAACATCTTCTGCCGCACGACATGTCGCCAATCGACGCCGAGCAACAGAGGTACGAGGAGGAGGTTGAGGCCGTGAAGCAGTGGTGGAACGACTCGCGATGGAGGTTCACCAAGAGGCCCTTTACTGCTGAGCAGATTGTGTCCAAGAGGGGGAATCTGAAGATACAGTACCCCAGTGCTGTCATGGCTAAGAAGCTATGGAATACCGTGGAGAAAAGATTCCAGGTCAGTGCCCAGTAGACGACATGATCGATTGTACGCCGCTCACAACGAGTAGGAGAAAGACGCCAGCTATACATACGGCTGCTTGGATCCTATCATGGTCTCTCAGATGGCCAAGTACCTCGATACCGTATATGTTTCCGGCTGGCAATGCTCATCCACAGCTTCCTCGTCCAACGAGCCAGGCCCTGATCTTGCCGACTACCCCATGGTATGTTTTGCAACTCAAACGCCGGTAGACGGCCGCTAACAACCTGCCAGACAACTGTCCCGAACAAAGTCGAACACTTGTTCATGGCTCAACTTTTCCACGACCGCAAACAGCGCGAGGAGCGCCTCAGCACACCGAAAGCCAACCGCGCTGGCGTCGCCAATACCGACTTCCTCCGTCCCATGGTCGCGGATGCTGACACCGGTCATGGTGGCTTAACCGCCGTCATGAAGCTTACTAAGATGTTTGTCGAGAAGGGTGCCGCAGGCATACATATTGAGGATCAAGCACCGGGGACCAAGAAGTGCGGACACATGGCTGGAAAGGTGCTCGTGCCGATCAGCGAGCACATCAACCGCTTAGTCGCCATCCGCGCGCAAGCAGATATCATGGGTAAGCAGTGTTAGCTGGAGTTAACCATATGACAGCACAAGCGACAGTACTGATGAGTCTCAATGCAGGAACCGACCTGCTAGCAATCGCGCGCACAGATTCCGAAGCCGCCACGCTGATCACCTCGACCATTGACCACCGCGACCACGGCTTCATCATGGGCGCAACGAACCCCGCGCTCCAGCCCCTCAACGACCTCATGATCGCCGCCGAGCACGCCGGCAAGAACGGCATGGAACTCCAAGCAATCGAAGACCAATGGACCGCCCAGGCCGGCCTCAAGCTGTTCCACGAAGCCGTAGCCGACACCATCAACGCCGGCGTGCACGTCAACAAGGCCGAGCTCATCAGCCAATTCAATATCCTTTCGAAAGGGAAGAGCAACTCTGAGGCTAGGGCCATTGCAAAGGGCCTGACGGGCGTGGACATCCACTTTGATTGGGATTCGGCGAGAACGAGGGAGGGGTATTATAGATACCAGGGCGGATGCGAGTGTGCGATCAATCGCGCGATTGCGTACGCGCCGTATGCGGATCTGATCTGGATGGAGAGCAAGCTGCCGGACTATGCGCAGGCGAAGGAGTTCGCGGATGGAGTGCACGCCGTATGGCCTGAGCAGAAGTATGTTTGAGCCCCGCCTTTCCCCTTTCAGAGATTCGACACCATCCGCGGGCGGGTGGGAAGTCTGCTAACAGCCGCAACAGACTCGCCTACAACCTCTCCCCCTCCTTCAACTGGAAAAAGGCCATGCCCCGCAGCGAGCAAGAAACCTACATCCAGCGGCTAGCGAAGCTGGGCTACTGCTGGCAGTTCATCACGCTCGCCGGCCTGCACCAGTCGGCGCTCATGGCCGACACCTTCAGCAAGGCGTACGCCAAGCAGGGCATGCGCGCCTACGGCGAGCTGATCCAGGAGCCCGAGATGGACAACAAGATCGATGTTGTCACGCACCAGAAGTGGAGCGGGGCCAATTACATGGATGAAATGCTCAAGATGGTTACGGGCGGGGTGAGCAGTACGAGCGCCATGGGCAAGGGGGTTACGGAGGATCAGTTCTCGGAGAAGGGGGCGGGAGCTAGTGATGGGGCGTCGTAGATGGATGAGGAGGAGAAGGGCGGATGGCCTGTTATGAGACGGGCAATTGGAAAGGGTACGAGGGTTGGATAGTCGGGCGTTCGACGCGAGATGTAAAAATTGAGTGTAGCAGTACCTATCTTGTCTGAATGGCTTGGTGAGCTGAACGCCGCCTGTCTCTGGGAGGCCCTCAATAGTCAATAGTGACTGTGCAGCTGTGACGCTCCTAAACGCGCTCAGAATTTCGCGTCGGGTTCGTCGCCCGCACGTGGAGACATCCTCGGTTCATGCAACTCGGGAAGCCGGCATTCTGTCGGTCACTTGAAACGGTGCCGATGTCGTGTACCAAAGCCGACTGCAGCTGCCCCAGGGTCTCCCAAATCCCCATGTTATCAGCACTTCAGCATCCTGGACGAGCGGTGCGTCACAATGTCCGACATGTCAGTCACGACTCTTCGCAGAAGCACCCAAGGCGCGAGAATTCACTCCATTGAAAATGGGTGGGACAGAGTTAAGTACCTATCGCATCATAGCTGGCACGCATCATGGATAAACGGCACGGCTACTGCGGCTTACATACCCCAATGCCCTCACAAGCCACCAAACGGCTCTCTAGTCCTTAAGGTAGGGTCGCGATGCACTGTACGATGCATCTTCTCTTCAATCTCATTCCTCAAACCACTTCGCTGCCGTGTCTCTTATCTCCCTTACCGCCGCCACCAGCATACGTCCCAGCACTTAGGGATCGTCCTGACGACATGAGCGGAGTTCAAGAGTTAAGACCGAGAACGTTGATGTGACGAACGTGTGCTACTCTCAAAACAACTGGAGTATAGATACGAGCCGTGGTACCACGTCAAGGCCGTCGTAAAGAGGAGGACCTGTACTACAGCACACCGCCATGGCGCCTCCTCAATCCACCAGCGCGGCCACCTCGTCCCCTTCAGGCCCCTCCATAACAATCTCCTCGCCCTCGAACCCCACAACCCCGACCCACGAGCGTCACTCCTCCATCTCCTCCCATACCAGCACCTCCTCTGCCGCCTCGACCGCAACAGACGACTCCCGCATCCACCCGCCCAACGACGATCACCTGTCTATATACCACGGCGACCTCGGCGCAGAGAGGGTGCTCAGTCCGGCGCTATCCCGCACGAATTCGAGACGGCCGCCGTCGCTGAAGCGGAATGTGACGGCGAAGTCGATGGGTGGGGCTTCGGTGATGACAACTGCGACGTCGGATCCAGTGTTTGAGATTGACTTTGACGAGGATGATAGAGCGAATCCGAAGAATTGGAGCATCAAGATGAGGGGCTTGATTATTGGGGGTGTGAGCTATTCGACCATGACTGTGTAGGTGTGGTTTTCTTCTCGCTCCTTTGGTTGTTGCTCTATGGAGTTGTTATACGTAAAGTTCTTGTCAACTGTAGGCGCTGGGAAACTGTTACGCCGCGCCATGTGAGGACCGCGATGCTAGTGCTTGGGCGAGCGCGGACATCATCAGGTTTTTATGGCTCGAGGCAAAAGACAGGCCAGGCCATGATGTGCCACATGTCTGAGGCTCAGCCGATCAGTCATCTGTTTCATTCGCGAGGAGCGTCCTCAATTGGTCCTTGCTTCCTCAAATCGCGTTGCTGACCTATACTTCACAGCGTCCTCTACTCTACCTCTTACACATCCGGCATCCCGGGGATGATGGAGACCTTCGGCATCAGCTCTACAACAGTCATAGTGCTAGGCCTCACGACCTACCTCTTCGGGCTGGCCGTCGGCTCTGTTGTCCTAGCTCCCCTCTCAGAGATGTACGGGCGCAGGCCTATCTATTTGTTCACAATGGCGCTCTTCATGCTCCTTATTCTGCCATGTGGTCTAGCTCAGAATCTTGAGACGATACTGATCACACGCTGGTTCGGAGCCTTCATGGGCGCAGCGATGATTGGGAACGCGCCGGGAACCGTGAGCGATATTGTGAGCGACGAGCACCGGGCGCTAGCGTTTAGTATATGGAGCATTGGGCCTATGAATGGGGTGAGTGCCATGCATGCCTCATGCGAATCCGCACCTGACATCCTTCACAGCCCGTCATCGGCCCCTTAATAGGCGGCTTTGTCTACGAGTATCTCGGCTGGCGCTGGACCAACTGGATAGTGATGATCATGTCCGGCGTCGCTTTCGCCATCATGGCTTGTATACCGGAGACGTACGCGCCGGCCATCCTGCGTCGCCGCTCTAAGAAGAAGAAGAAGGAGGCGGGAGACAATAGATGGTGGAGCCGCTATGATGATAAGACGAACTTCTGGCCGCTGCTTAAGGTGAATCTGAGCAGACCGTTTGTCATGACTGTTACGGAGCCGATATGGTGAGTGCTTATATACGAACAAGTACGCATCAACCACTAACACCTCACCTTAGTATATTCTGGGACCTCTACATCGCCGTTATCTACGCAATCCTCTACCTCTGCTTCGTCGCCTACCCAATCGTCTTCTCTCAGCTCCGCGGCTGGTCCCCCGGCCTCACCGGTCTCGCCTACTGCGGCATCGGCACGGGTTCCCTCATCATCATCGCCTGCGAGCCCCTCTGCCGGCGCCTCATCAACAGCCACGCCCCGGACCCGTCTACCGGCCGCCCGCCTCCGGAAGCAATGGTCGCGGTCGTCTGCATCGGCTCGATTTGCGTGCCGGCCGGCCAGCTCATGTTTGCGTGGACCTGCACCCCGAACGTGCACTGGATCTGGCCAATTCTGGCGGGGATACCGTTTGGGGCGGGGAATTGTGCGGTGTTTATTTACAGTAGTAACTACCTTGTTCACAGCTACGGCATCTACGCGGCTTCAGCGCTCGCGGGGAACGCGGTTGCAAGGAGCGTGGTGGGGGGTACGCTGCCGCTGGCGGGACCGGCGATGTATCAGGCGCTTGGGGCGAATTGGGCGGGTACGGTGCTTGGCCTTATGGAGGTGGTGTTGATCCCGATTCCGTTTGTGTTTTATAAGTTTGGCAGCAAGATTAGGGAGAAGAGTGCCTTGATTAGGAGTATGAGGGAGGATGCGGAGAGGTTGCAGGGAAAGAAGATGAAGGCGGAGGAGAAGAAGGCGGCAGAGGGGAGAGAAAGGAAGGCTGGCGCTGAGGGGAAGGATTTGGAGAGTGGAGGAGTGTTAGCTGAGGTGGGAGTGAAAGATGAGAAGGGAGGTTGAGACGTGATATCTAGGAGCAGAAAACGAGATCTGAGTGGATTTTCTTCCATATTGACGGACCTAGTTGCTCGCTGTCAACGCTTGCTAATGGTACCAATATCACAAGCTCGTCCTGTGCTGGCGTGCTGCCCCTCGACACATGCCCCGCCAAGTCAACGAAGTCCGCCCCGCGGCAGTTTCACTCAAATTTCTCAAGCACGCCATGTCCACGAGCCTTTTACCGAGCTGCATCTATGCTGCCGCGGCGTCACCCACACTCGCACGGAGTGATTCTTATGGGCGCTTTGCCTGCGCGCACTAACCTGTTCAACACGTTAACTGACTCCATCGGAAGAGTCGCTGGAAGAAAAGCGCTGCGCTGCCGGCTTGTCAGGTTCAGCGGGCCGCTGGTTGCTTGTGGAGACTCACGCTTCACGCGACGTTCTACGATTCTTGCGTCTTTCCGGATCAGGCAGGGCTTCCTTTGTTCTCATGATAGAAGGGCGCGAAACGGCGCCACGCGACAAGGAGGGCCTTGGACATCTTGTCTATGCGCTCGACCTTCTTTACAGCCAAAGAACTATTATCGACGCACTGGCAGTGGAAGCTCAAATAAATGCAGTCTTGATACGCAGCACTCGAGGGTTTGAAGTTTCAATAATTATCTGCAGGTGCTCCAGAGCACCTAAGCAGTCTGTATCGGGGGTCACTTTAAGGCTCACGAACGTTTGATCGGAGACTCACAAGTATCTACCCCAGTCTATCTTTTTTCTTTACACAACCGGCGCCCTCCTTTCTATTGTCATCCACATATCCGTCCAGAAGCTCACACCACCTTTCACAACATAAACCCCCGGCCTCTCCTTGTTCTTAAACTCCGGCTTGAACGTTCTTAGGAACTGCACCGGCCCCTTGTATAGCTCCATCAATGCGATGTCCTTCCCCAGACACACTCTCGCCCCATATCCAAAAGCCATGTTGTACTTATTATATTCCTTCACTTTCTCCTCACTCTCGAGCCACCGCTCAGGCCTGAACTCGCCAGCATCCTTCCCATAAACATTCTCGTCTCGGTGGACGAGCCACGGATTACACGCCACCTCCATGCCTTCAGGTACGAACTGGCCGTTCAGCTCCATGCCGCCCTTTCCGACCAGTCGCGGAAAGATATTGGGTGCGCTCGGGTAGAGCCGCATGGACTCCTTTACGCAAGCGACGTAGTACGGGCAGTGATCCATTACCTCGGCGTACTGCGGGATCTCAGAAAGGTGGCCAGCGCGAGTTGCGGCGTCGATCTCGGCCATGAGCTTCGAGTAGACGGACTCGTTGCATAGGATGTACTTCATTAGAACTTCGAATGCGGTGCCGGTGGTGTCGGCGCCGGCGAGGAGGACGAGAAGGATCTCGGCTTTGATGTAGTCCATTTCCAGGGGCTTGCCGTCTTCTGTTCTGGCATCGAGGAAGCTGTTGATAGGTCAGCCTGCCTTCCAGCTGCTGCCCCTACGTTTCCTGCTGAGGTATGCTCACGTTTGTAGTAAGTCGACTCGGCCGCCCACCTTCCCGGACTCCATATCCTTCTGCCTCTCCGCAATCAACCTATCCCTGAACCTCATCAACTTCCCAATCCCCGAATCCTGCTCCGGCGTCGCGACGAGGTACTTCCCCATCCACGTGCTCTTGACCCAGTACGTGAACGGATACAGCCTAGCCATGATGCCAAACGGCACCAATCCCTGGTGGAACCCCTCAATCAGCCCTCCCACATCCTTTCCTTCCTCCACGAATCCAAACGGCGCCCCAAACCCGATCTCAGACACAATATCATACGCCATGTAGATGGCCCACCAGTTAAACTCGAATTTCTGACCCGTGGTAGCGAACTTTTCGTCCAGTTTGCTGATCCAGTGTTTCATGCGAGTGTCGATCAGGGGCTCCATCTTCTTGATGTTGCTGAATGCATACGGCCCGGCTGCTACTTTGCGGAACTTGGCGTGGGTGCGCCAGTCTTGCATGTTGAAGAGGGACTCGGTGCTGCCGAATGAGCCCGTTATGTAGTGTTGGGTCTTGTTGGCTTGGCGATGGTATATGTCTGGTAGTTTTGTGGCGTCTGAGACAAGGAGTAGCGTTGGAGTAACGCGGATGACGGGGCCTGGCACGTTTGTCAATTAGAGCCGGTTGCCTATGCAGTCTGGGCTAGAGCTGTACCGTATTTCTTATGCAAGGCATACTCGAGCTCGCACTCGTCCTCTTTTACGTTGTGATAGGCGACCCACAGGCGTGTTACACTGCCCCAAAACGGGCCAGGGAACTTGGAGAGAGGGTGGAAGAAGCGGTAATAGGCTATTTGGTAGACTACCCGGAAGGCGATGTAGACAGAGAGCGCGAGGAAGAAGTTGCCCACGGTGAGCTTGGAGAGTATAGAGCTGCCCACGTTGCTGGCAGAAGCCATCTTGTCGGAGGTGTCGCTAGAGCTACAAGAGGCAGAAAAACGGTGATCCAGTTTGAAAAGACAGTAAGTGAGAGAATGGCAGGAATGTAGAAGTCAGAGAGGGAGAGATCAAGCAAAGCCGAGGATCCAACGGTGCCGCACTTCCTCGTGGCTACATTGACTAGCAATGCATGAAGCTTATCTGGAGGGGTATCCTGAGCCTCGGAGCCCAGAAGCAACCCCTCGGAGGCTTCATGGGAGCTTCCATGCCACGCTGGGCAACGGCTGATACCGAATGGTATGGATTGTCTCCGCTCTGCAAGAGACAGCTCAAGGGGGATGCTGCAGCTGCAAGGCTAATCCATGGCTCCTCGCCGGCTCCTGCAGAGAGTCAACCTGGCATTGAGGCCGCTATGCCAGGGTGCATTCACAGCGGGGAGCTGTGTGGAGAGGCCCAGTTGATGGACTTTGCTTTCGATAGGGTGACGCTTGGTGCTTCACATATCGACAGACATCGGATGATTCCCTAAAGGACCCTTGATGTTCCCTTGATATGACCCGCGCTGCGCTATGCTCCGCACCGATGTTCCGGCGTTCAAGTCGAATCTAACGACATCTCGCTCTTTTAATACATACCAGGCGCATTCCATACCGGCTGTGCCCCCGTCTATCAGGGACGGTCTCCAATGGCAGTGTGATCACCTCTCTGATGCACAATAGAAAGCTGCATTTCCCTGATGTGTCAATCTCGAAGGATGCTGCATTGCTTGGAACCGTCCGGTCCGAGCCAGCGGTTCAGCCGTGAATGAACCCTGCGGCGGAATCGGGAGCAGAAGCGAGAAGGCCGCCATTGCTCGAACTACATGTCACACTTGGACGCGAGCGCGCTTAAGACCACACCAGAGCTACGCCTGTGTTCATACCCTTGCCTCAACCTCAGGTATCTCCAAGCCACGATGTACTCCAGTATCAGTCATCGATTCTCCCCGTCAAGCGACCTATGCCTGACGCAGGACAAGGCGCAGTCGTTCAAGCGCTATGGGCTTGGGTAATCGGATGATCTATGCCAATATCTCTTCAATGTTGCTGGATGAGCTGATGCGAGGGGTGTGCGGTAGGCGGAAAGACATGGTGGTAACGAAGGCTGGAGCGTTCCTCATCTTATGAAACGCCATGGCAACTGCCACGCGGCGCTGGGCAGGCTCTGTAGCGTGCGTATGCACGGCGGTAGGGTAATCTTGAAAGATGCGTAGGTCTTGGTCTGGCCCGGCAGCTGCCATGCATCGCTTCCTTAACATTCCGACTATCTGATCCTTTCCGCTAGACCCGGCTATGTCCAGAGATCTCTAGCTATCGGAAAGAATCTGAGTACTCAGGTAGTCCCACCTACATACGTTCTTCCATCTCTATCACCTTTTCTGCCGGGTTTCCGTACTTTCGTCCTCGCTCGTTCCCCATTACTCTCGTTTCCTACACACAATCTGCGGCTGTCAGCTGCAGAGAGTCGGACAGCACCATGCTTCAAGGACAGAGACTTTATCTGAACTCCCTTGTGTCCGGAGGCCTAGGCTTCATCACTTTTGGCTGGGATGCAGGCGTTCTGGGGGGAGTCCTCTTGACTCCATCGTTCCAGAGTGCTATGGGCGTGCGTACAATCTGCTCCGGAGGTTTGACGGACGATAGATCTGACACATAGAAGTACCCAAGCGTCACGACAATTACCATGATTGCATCGGTGTTCCTTCTGGCGTCGTGGTTAGGCTGTATCATCGTCTCCATTGCTGGCATGATGATGGGACGGAGAATGTGGATCATTGCTGGCAGCATCACTCAGATTCTGGGCTCGATCGTGTCTGTTTCGAGTTTCGGCTACGGCCAGTTAATCGCTGGGAGGGTGCTGGTTGTAAGTCAACACAGACTCCGAGAGGGCCCTGGCGTGCACACATGTAGAGACAACCAAAGGGGAACTGATATCTTATAATAGGGCATCGGCAACGGCTTCTTGACATCTATGATCCCAGTTTACGTCGCCGAGATGGCTGTTCGGAAAGAAGATCGCGGTCGCGGTGTAAACGCCATGATTGCATGTGCCTCTGCTGGCACCGCACTGGCATACTGGACGTAAGTTCACCTTACCAAAGTAATAACGCCTCGTCTGATTACTGGCAGCGATTTTGGCATGGTCTTCAGGACTGGACAGGTTGTCTGGCGGTTCCCAGTAGCCTTCCAAATCTTCTGGGCTCTTTTGACTATTGGCACGATCTACTTCAATCCAGGTATGTGCCTACAGATATCGGCAACTGCCCACAACTAATCTCATAACCAGACACCCCTCGCTACTACTACGCGAAGTCGCTTCACACCGAAGCGGACGCACTGCTCTGCCGTCTCTATGCCACTGAGATATCAGATCCAGTCGTCGACGAAGCAAGGAAAGACATTCTTGCATCTCTAGAGCTCGAACGCGCCTCTACCGCCAGTCTGCGCATCAAAGACTTCTTCTGGGACACCTCAGACGTGCAAGCCGCACGCCGCATTCGCACAGGTGTCATCCTAGTCGGCCTCGCTTACCTCATCGGCACGAACATGATCTTCTACTATATGACCGTCATATTTCAATCGTACATTGGTCTCGCGCCACTCACAGCCTCAGGCCTCTCTGGCGCGGCTTGCACAATCCTGGCGATCGCCAACTTTGTGGGTGTCGCGTTCATGGAGAAGCTTGGGAGAAGGACATGGCTTATGGCCGGCGCGGTCGGTTTAAGTATCTTCATGGCGGCGTTTATCGGCTGCCTGGCGAACCCGGGCACAAAGACTGGCGCTGCGGCCGCCGCCATGTTATTCTTGTGGATTGTTTGTTTTGCACCTACGTGGGGTCCTGTTACCGTGATACTCCTCCCTTTCCCTTAATGGTTTCAAAATTGAAAAGAAGAGTTGGCTGACAAGCGTGATTCAGTATGTCTATGCCTCCGAGATTATGCCACTCCGCTACCGTCATCTCGGCTTCGCGCTCTCTATCTCAAGTCAATGGATCATGGCTTTCATCACCGTCTTTGCTGGGCCAATCGCTATTGCCGATCCCAAGGTCGGCTGGAAGACGTGGTTCTGGTTCTTGGTGTTCAGCATTGCCGCAGTGCCCTACGGTGAGTACATAATGCCCAAGTGGCGCTACTAGCGTAAGATATCAGTAGCTGACGTGCCTTTTCAGTCTACTTCTGCTGTCCGGAAACCCGCGGTCGTAGCCTTGAGGAGATTGATCTTATCTTCATGTCTGAGAGTGCTCGAGGAAGCGCAGCGGCCAGGCAACTAGAACATGGTGATGTTGTCAGCTTCGGTGACTTGGAGACTCCGCCGTCGATGGAAAAGACGAACAAGCGTATTGTTGTGGAAGAAGGTGTTAGTGATCAGCCACAACTACGGGCATAACCGTGTTGTGGCAATGAGAACTCCTGACAGAAAACTCTCGCTCCTGGCATTGAGAAGCCTCGACATACGCAGTATCCATCATCGATGATCTGAACAGGAATGATCTTAGCGCTTTGAGACTGCGGATGAACGGCTGATTGCGTAGCAAGTCATTTCGCTCCCTAGGGTTGAATCCGGAGCGGCGCGCCCAGGCGATATTCACGATACTTTCTACATAGCCTTCTCAATATATGATAGTCGCTAGCACTGTTCTCGTTGCTTGTGTGATTTGTGTTACTCGTATCTTGAGGGCATGACATTAACGAACAACTTCACGGCGGTCGTGTAGACGACGGATCTCATGTGCGATATATGACCTCAAGCTGACTCTAGGCAGCGAGTAAGCGGGCCTGTAGAATGGCTGGCCAGCTTGAAGCTCCTTTCAGTCATGCCGTCAATGCGCTGATCTTACGTAGATATCAATTTGCTTACATTTTGTGTGTAATATCTAGTTTAGCACAAACGAAGGTGGCGGAAGCGGGCTGGCAACTATTGAGCTGAGGGTGTCGTGTCCAAATGCTTGACCATTACAAAACAAGCCTACATAAAGTATAAGGGAGCGTTCGGTAGTCTCGGCGGAGCAAACCATAACAACCAACGTAAGATAAACGAGGAGATCGTTCAGACCACTCCGCTACCCAAGACACAAGATGCCGAATCCACTCCGCTCTCAACCACAATCCTTCCCCCTCATCGAAGGCGGATCTGGCTCATGGTCCGACATGGAGCGGGCTGGTAGCTTGTCCTGTCCGGTGGTGTGCCTCTCTTCGTGGGAGCTGCATGAACATTTCAAATTCAAGCTAAACAGCATCAGCTTACGCTTCTGGTCCTGTCAGACCCAGTTTTTCGATAGTCAGGCCTCCCATGCCATGGCGGCACCGAGCAATCACTTCCCCGTGCAAGTTTCAGCTCAAACGGCGTCCCTGAGCCGTGCTTGACTGAAGCTAAGCCTTCCCGGTTCGCGGGCCGCACCTGTCAAACGGCCCAGCACGCTGCACCAGCCGCACCAGCCGGCAAGGAACAGCCTGCAAACCGTTCCTTGCGGGGACGGCCGTTACAGGTACAAGTGTCCAACGCCTCCGATTCGCAGGCACCATCGGGTGTCCAAGAAGGCTTGACTAAACGCCTTGAAGCTCAATCTAAAACCGTGATCCTCAGCATGCTCAGGGAGGCGAGAGCAGCGATCGCCGGGGCTCGTACGAGTTCCAACACTCCCCAGATAGCGAATGCATCCGAACCGCGATCATCAGGGCCATCTCGTCTCGATGATGTTCTGTGATCCTGTATCAGCAGCTTCAGGACAGCCCATCTGTTCGCGTATGGCAGAGCTATGTCCTCCTTCTGACGGGCCCTGGCACAAATCGTTCCTTCAGGCTCGAACTGGTGTAGACGCTAAGACCGACACAGAGGACGGATCACACCATCCGACTGGAAAGGGTTTTGAGAGCTTGTCTAAGGGATGGCCAAGTGTGCTTCGCGAGCTCCATGCTCGATCTACATCATTTCTCAAGCACCAGATAGCGATGCTACCTGGTATCGTGGCACAGTCTCAACTACCCCATTGTTTTAATGCCGTATGTCCCAGGTTATCTCTCATCACTTAGTCTATCGTCTCTCGTATCTTAGTCTTGTCTGTTTACTGCGTCCGGTATTCAGGCCTCTTGGAGCGTTGTACCGTAGACCGTAGGAAAGAAAACTCCTCAGCATGTCCACCCCGCCAGGATACCACGATGATTCCGCTGGCCCTACTGTGATTACTGTAGCCGTTGTTTTCGGTGTTCTGACCACCGTCGTCGTATCCGTTCGGTTAGCCACGCGAATCTATGTTGTCAAGTCTGTTGGAGCAGATGATGGTAAGTTCCCTGTAACAATTCCTCCGGAGAATAAGTACTGATATCATGCAGCGCTGATTGCCATAGCTGGCGTTCGTCCCCCAAATTTTTCTACAAGAATGCCTCAACTGACCCCTGCAGGCTTTTTCTTGGGTGTTTATTACAGTGACGATCCTGTGTAAGTCTGTCCACAGAAACCCTCGTTTAGCTCTAGGCAGCAAACTGATAATTCGTAGCCGTTAAGCATGGGCTAGGCGATCACATAGAACATGTAATGTCGCGGGGCATGGATAATCTATCAAACTACGGCCAGGTATGAGAACGCCGTATTTTGGCGTATACACCAAACCCCTAACTATCTACAGCTTGTTTGGTTTTCTTCAATCTTCTACCTCACCTGCCTCTTCTTCATCAAAGCCTCCGTCCTAGCCCTCTATATGCGGCTCGGCGACCATCAGCTCCAACGCCTATCCATAGTCGTCCTTGCCATCTGTATCGCTCAAGCGCTCGCAAACGTCCTCGTCTGCATATTTCAATGCTCGCCTATCCCCGCTGCATGGGACATGCGGATTACCGAGAAGGAATGCGTCAACATCAACGCCTTCTACCTCGCCAATGCGGCCGGCAACATCCTGACGGACATCATGGTGTACACCCTGCCCATCCGGCTCGTCTGGAAGCTTCAGGTGCCGCCAAAGCAGAAAGTCGCGCTCGTCGTGATGCTGTGTCTAGGTCTATTGTACGTTCCCCCCTGGCACCTCCTGACCCGTTTTCAACCCTACCACACATGCAACCGGCTTAAGCTAATAACCTCCCACAGTACCTGCATCTCCTCTATCATCCGCATAACCTACATCCCCATCATGCTCAAATCCCTCGACGCGACCTACGTCATCAGCGGGGCGATGTACTGGTCCGTAATCGAGACCAACGTCGGGATCCTGGCCGCCTCAATTCCATCCTTCAAGGCGCTCGCGAAGCGCTACCTCCCGCGTCTGCTGGACGAATACTACTCCAACGACGACGGGAGCCGCAGCCGCAAGTACGCCCGCGGGTCCAGGACCAACAACTCCAAAAAGACAAGTAGCAAGATGGGGTCGCGTCACAGGATGGGCACGGATGGGAGGGAGGTGCTTTGTATGGATGAGTTAGCCGGGTCGAAGGGGAAGCATGGGATTGTCACCAATATTGATTTGCAGAGCGGGAACAGCAGCGAGGAGAGGCTGAATGTGCCGGATGGAAAGATCATGGCGAGTACGCATATTTCGACGCATGTGGAGGGCAACAAGAGCGATGCGGAGAGTTCGTATGAGGAGGGGTTGGCGCCGAGTCTTAGTAGCAAGTGCGTGCATAGGGCCTCTGCTGTTTGAGGACTCAAGGCTCTAGCCGTGAGTGTTGAACAAACAGCCTTTTAGGGCGATATTCGATTTGGGTCTGTTAGGGCCCCCTAGTACGATACGGGACAGATGCTGTTTTCTTGGTTAGCGAGGAGCCTTGGGTGTTTGGCTGTTTTGGCGTTGCTGAGGCATCTATATCCTATTAGGATAGGGATACCCTTCGTAGGCAGTCGCCAGATGATCTGTACTTAAAGGCAAGCTACTTCATCCAAGCACTCTTGAAGCCCACCTCTGGGCAGTGGCACACTACACGCACGTGGCTTCGACGCCTTTAAGGGTCCACTCGTGTCCACTAGCTCGGAGATACAGCTCCTCTGCGATGATATACAATCGCCAACAACCAACCCTCTCCGTCGGATATGGTCATTACCAAAACCGAAAGAATAGGAAAGACGGACACGTCAAATGTTGACTTTGTGTCGCAGGCCCACTTCTTCCAAGAACGAAGTACAACAGCGGCTGAGCGCCGCTGGACTTGATGACACAAGAAAAGAGAACTCGTTGAGCGCGTTAACTGAGGGGAGTTCGGCCACGAGTGTCGCCATGCAATCCAGTCCCATACTGAAAGTCATCCAGGCTACTATGACTGCGACTTTGAACACTCGAATGGCTGGATCCCCAGAACGAAAGTCCCAACGAAGACGATATTAACCGCCACTGATAGATGATGTCGCTAAGAAGTAACGTACTGTCACTTCAACAGCAACACCTCCGGGCGTTGTGAATAGCGTCGCGCTGTGCGGGACGTACTGTCGTCACGTGACAGGGTGCTATCTGCTTGAGATGAGATATCCCTTGTCGAAGAACACTTCGCGAAGGGGCAGTTCACTCCATGGGTGATATGATTCTCAAGGCAATGACTGCGTTAAAGCAGCCGTGCCATGCCACCAGTGACCTCTCCCCCCAATTTCAAGCGGTGTCGAACTGCGAGGGTGCCCGGTCAGCCAGTATCCATGAGACTACGCCCGAAAGGAGGTCGTACCACTATCTTTCTTCTCCCCAAAGCTCACCTCAGGCGCAGGAGCAGTAGGCGCCCAATACCAAATCCTCGCAACCCAACACGCAACCAACGTATCCCTACTCCGCTCATCCATCTCCTGGCTCAGCTTCAGCAGCGGCGGCGAAAACTCGTCCCCCTCCCTCGTCTCCAGCGCCACTGCCCTGCCCTCCTCGTCCTCCCAATCCAGCCCCACCCGCCCCTTCCGGACCCAGTACAGCATCTCGCGCCGCTTATCTCGCATCCAGTACACCCGCCATCGCCCGAAGGAGTAATCAACCCTGATCTCGCCCGACGCGCCCACGAGCCGGATCGCGTTGTTCCAGCGGTCCATATATAGCGTGTAGAGCGTCCGATCGTTCTCAAACTTCATGGGTGTTTGCGGGTTCGTGACGATGCGGCGGCTCTCGGAAGACGTGAGGCGCCGGATCCGCAGCTCGCGCATGTTGTGGTCGAGGGTTGTGGAGAGTTGGTAGCGCGCTTCGCCTGAGGTGACGGCGGCGCAGATGAAGGTGCCTAGGATGCGGAAGTTGGTGTTTGAGGTGTTGAGCGCGGTGTAGTCGGGCGGTGGGGGGAGGGATGCTGCTGGCTCGGTTGATGCTGCTGGTCTGCGCGTGGAGGCGTTGGATGGTTCGGCGATGTCTAGCATGGAACGGCGGCGGTTTGGCGGAGCTGCTATATCTAGCATAGAGGGGCGACGGTTGGGTGGTTCTGCTGTCGAAGGGCCATTGTTGGATGTGGGTGGCTCCGTATATGGTGGTGGTGGTTCTCGATTTTTGCCATGTCTGCTATCTTGAGAGGTATCCATTGCAGCTGGGGGACTCGGCCGGGGACCGAATACAGTGGTGCTGAGGTGAAGATGCTGTTTGTTCCAGTTGCCAACGTCGTCTGAATCCGGAAGCTTAGAGATATGTACCTGCCACGCTTGTGGTCCGCTGAATGCTCGTGTCAGTCTGGCTCAATCATTTCGTAGTACGTTGCTGAACGGGGTAGCATAGCAGTAGGTGTCTCCCAAACTTCTATGCTATCAACCCCTCTCGCCGTAATCACCTTGTACATGGCTTGCTAGAAGACACAGTCGATATCCGGCGCAGCATGCGTGATGACGGCAGGGCTTGGCGGGTGAGGCTTGGTGTTTCATATACCTACGCTTCCCGAATCGATGCTGTACAATGGACAACAACAAGATGATGAATCTGTTGTGCTTACTTCGCCGTGTGCTAATATCACAAGCATCAAACTATCCTTTCTGTAGCACAGGATATGTGTTTCTCTGTAGAAAGAGCTGGAACGTCGCTATGGTAGTACTTCATCTCACTACCGACATTGCAGTAATGGAAATTGGAATGTACGGCTGTTCCGATACGGTCACGATATATAACTGGCCAATTGCTAACTCTGAATCCGGAGCGTCTAATATTCGAGCGTCGAGTTGCCTTCGCGCTGGACTTGTATAAACTTTCGACGCGTACACGTTCGAAGCGCGGTTTAGCAAATCTCACCGGACTTCGTCGTTCTGCGCGAGGGTTGGTTTACCCTCATGGGAGGTGGTACTTATGAGATACGCTGGATGCGTACTGGGAAACCGTTCTAAAAGCATAGCAATGGTGTATTGATAGTCGCGTACAGCATCTTGTAAGTTAAACTCATTGCTCTTTAAGCACTTGACCAAGTGTCAGATCAAAATAGACAACGTGCTCTCTTCCGCTGGTAATGTCGTTGTTCGACGAATATCGGAGCACGGAAACATAAGATGTCTGCGCGAAGTAGAAGACTCATCGAAAAGCAACATGCAAGAGAAACCTGAGCTTGTTACTGTCCACGTATGCAACCGGACCCCGACGACTAGCCAGGTGCCCAACGCGATCCACCCCGAACGCCCTTCTGTTATTGCGTGCGCCAGCCCTAGTCCGCCATTGTCCCAGCCCACAACGCCTGCATCTACCCCCAGGGAACTCCACCTATATCACCCAATTACCCAATTACCCAATTACGTGCGCAGCCCGTGTATCCCAGACCCATTACCCCCTCACGGACACGTCAAACTCCTCCTCCTCTGCCCCCCCATCAGCAACCTCCTCTGCCCCCTCACAACCGCCCTAACCGCATCCCTCTGCTCACTGCTCAACGCATTACTCAACACAACCGCGCCCCAACACTGCCGCACCAGCCGCTCCAACAGCTCCTGCTCCTCCCTGCACAACCTAAGCTGCCGTCGCGAGAATGTCGATTTGCGGATGCGAAGGCTGCCGCCGGTATTCAACGTATCCGTAGCTTCAATCCCGGCATTGTTGTTGTCAGCCTCGGTGATTATGAGGAGCGGTATTGACGACATCGGCGTCGAGAAGTTGCGCTTCGATCGCAAGGGCGATGAGAGAGGCGAGGTGGAGGTGGAGGCGGTGGGAGAAGTGACGAGGATGGTAAGGTCGGCGCATTGGGCTATGAGCGCGTGGATCCCGGTCTCTAGAAGTTGCGCGCGGGCGAAGATGTGCTCCCAGAAGTAGGGACCCCAGAAGGTGTCGTTCTCGACGGCGTGCTCGAGGGCGGGGAGGAAGAAGGAGAAGCTCGGGAGGGGACTGGTGGAGGGGGCGCTACGTGGGAACTCTAAGGCGGTTGCCAGGGAGGCGGGTGTGGTATCGGTTTCCGACGATGAAGATATCAGCGTCGCGGTGATGGCGATGCGCAATGTCGATTCGGTGGATAGAGTATTTAGCACCGCGCAGGCGGGGCAGCCGCGTGTATAGCACCAGTCTTCTTCGTCGCTAAGCAGGCATTGTAAGAAGAGGAATGCGCTCCTGCCATCGCCCCTAAACGCCAGTTCCAGGTCGTCGGGCGAAATTGAGCAGAGTGCGGCTTGTGCAAGAGCGGTTGCGCGGTTGTAGAGCTGAACAATGGGTGTTATCAGCGCATGGATAATGTCCCGTTGCAAGATCCATGTTTCTAGTGCGGAATGGTCGGTGGGTTCGTGAGAGGAGCAAAATCTGTGCGAGGAGACCGTCAGCAGATGCGGGTTGAGCAGCGCGGCAAGACTTACGAATTTCCGGAGGTCTCCGCTAAATATCCTCGTAGCATCTGGAAAGCCTCGGACCTCTCCAGCGCAGCGACGTTCTCATGGGGGATGCCGAAGAGTGGCATCTTGGGCAGAGCAGAGCAAGTTACGGAGCCCATTGTTTACGGCAAGAAGCTCAGCGAATATTGAAACATTAAACGCTTTAGTAGCTCTCAGCATTGAAAGGAAGCGCAATATGTAAATGAACGAGCGAACGAAGCGTGTCTGGAGAAAGTAACCACACAACCCGGGGACAGGAGAATGAATGTAGGGTGGACGAGGGTCAAATAGCTCAAACTTAGATCAGAGTCGTGTTTCCCGACGTCCAGGTCAACAAGTGGCAGAGTGGCTTAGAGACAAGCATCGGCCTCGAGAAATGGTGGCGCAATATTTGATATCCGGTTACCAGGGTAAAGTAAACTGTTCCGTGGTTGACTCGGGGCTCGGAGTGCGCAATGAATGCTCAAGAAGAGAAAGGTCAGACGTACGAGGGAAAACGATGAAATGTTTGAGGCGATTGTCGCTGCTTTTCGAAAGACTTGAATACCTTAAGTGACGTGGTTATCGCCGATCCAGCAAGTCCAAAGATAGGGAGAGCGACACGGGCTATCGTTTCATCGACTCAGGGGGGAGACACGAGATTTGGGGGACCGGTGCAGCCGCCGTTTTCCATTAGCAAGCGTGCCCGGAATCCGCGAATCAACGCCAGCAGATAAAGGTTCAGCCATGGCGCGCGTTCGGGAAAACAGCAAGCCACTGAGCGCGCCGGCACCATCACGGCTGCCCAAGAAGACACCGCAGGATGGTGCGAGATTTAAGATGAAGCAATGTCGGAGTATGGTGGAAGTTGATTTGATGGACATCAGTGGTGGCTGCTCGTGTCGTGCGACAAAAACGGGAGCGGCAGGAACGCGGGAGATCTCCAGGGCTTGCACATGCTAGATTCATCCGCGCCTCTCATTTGCGAGATGGGACGACCGTTACCTAGGGTATGGGGACTCTGGGCAGCTAGGAGTATGCTCAGATACTGCAAGGCAGAATTTCCATCTATGCGGCCATAATCATCGATCCTTTCAAGCCCGATGCCCATCGGTGTTTGGGAAAATTCTCTCATCGTTTCCGACCACCCTAAAGCCAAGTCTCATGCCCCTGCGTGCGTTGATGACGCCATCATATTAACGGCGCGCCGTTCGGATCCCTAAGGTCCCACTATGCTAGGCAACGGTGAACGTTGGACGAAGTTTTAAAGCAATATATCAGCAGCAGGAGATCATCACATTCCGTAGAAGCAATCAAAGAGTCTAAACCAGCATGTAATATTATCAAGCAAGGCCGTCTCCACACCACCGGAGATCTATCCTCGCTCAGCAAGAGCCTAATCACAAGCCCGTCTAGCTGTTTACAGAAGAAGACCAATGCAAAACTCCCATCAGATGCCCATCCAAACCCAAGGCGCAGTATATCTACATCACCCATCCCACACCCACCAAGCCCCAGCACCAGAGACCACTATATTACAAAACCCGTACGCCATCCTTGTCACACCACAAACTTATCTATCACCCCGCAACCCCTCCCTCTCAAAAGCCCACTACTCTCCACCCCTTCCTCCGCCGAAACGGATACGAAGGGCACCGCCACCCGCGGGCTAAAGCATCCAGGCAGCAAATCCCTCCACAAAGGGAGAGAATGCCGCCATCGGAGCAGGGCATCCGGGCAGCCACAAGGGCCGCCAACAGAGCAGCCAAAACGCGGGTGTGGAGCGGGGATATCTGCGTGGTCAGTAGTGTGCTCTCAAGAGATCAGGTTCGGCGGCGATGATGTTATGTGTTGCGCTTAGGCGGCCAGGCCAGTAGCCACAGGAGTAATTGCAGCGTTGGCGTTAGCATTGTTGGCACTGTTGCGCTGCCACTCCGCGAAACGGTTTTGGAAGCTCGTGAGGGCGCGTTGAGGGAAGTCGGCGGGCTGTGCGGCGAGGGCGGCGCGAACGGCGGCGAGGACCTCGGGGCTGGCTGATACGGGCTCCGGCGCTGGGAAGTCGAAGATGATGTGGGGGGTGTTTTGCTGGATTGCGCTTGTGAGAGGGGCGCGGACGGCGGAGTCGATGTTGAGGGGGGTGGCTGGTGGGAAGGCGAGGGAGGGTGCTGGTTGCTGTGGAGGAGTATAAGCGGAGACGGTGGCAGGAGGCGCGCTGGTCGGCTGGGTTGCTTCGATAGGACCAGCGGAGGCTGCCTGCTCTATAGTCGGAGGTAGCTGCTTCTCTGCCTCGTTGAAAACGTTAACACCACTAGCTGTCTGGATCGTTGGGGTAACGCCCTGGTTCAGCAGGCTGTCACCCAAGTTCTGCGTGTTTGCCGTCGCGTGGAAATCTTCTGCTCCATCGTCAGAAGCGACTGTGGAAGTCGAGAGCCGGCTCGAAGCGCGTAGGCCGCTAGGGATCTTCGGCTTGTGCTTGTCAGCGACGGCCCTCTGGCGGGCGATTGATTCTGCAAGTGAGCCTGATGCAGCTGAGGGTTGTGCAGCATCTTTTACTGTCGTCAACGCTCCAGGTAGCGACGCGTGTGCCGGCTTCGGTGCTTGGGGCGGCTCTTGCGGTGGTGGAGTCTGCTGAGCGTCGTGGAGTTCTCGCAGTTTTCGGGCTTCTCGCTCTTCTCGAAGTTCCCGAGCTTCCCTCTCTTCGCGTGCTGTGTTTCTTCGTATGCCATCGGGATCTTTTCGTATGCGCACTTCTCCAGTTGCTCGGGTAGCATTGTTCTTGCTCGGTTCACCGAATGTCGAGGTTTTGGGGACGCTGCTACCAAAGTTAGGATGTTTATATAAGACCCAATCTTCGAATGAGATCGGTATGAAGGGTTCAAAGACGGGAGGTGGGCGGCCAGCCGCAAGGGCACATCCCGTTAAGAGGCGTTGAACGTCTTGGTAGTTTACTAACCCTTTAGCGTTGAACTCCTCGCACTCATATCGATCCTGCGATTCTATCATCTCTTCCGTCACCGAGATGTCCGAATCCTCCTCGTCACTACCTTCAGGCACCGCAAATACGCCTGAGCCCTTGATGTGGCCGGTCTTTCTGAGCTTCGCCTGGAACTCTGCTTCTTCTGACGAGGTTCGCATCGGAGGCGGCGCAGTTTCCTGGCCGGACGGGCTCGTAGCTGCTTCTTCATCGGCCTCATACTGCTGGAATAAGTTAGGATTCCAGCCCGGGTCTCCAGGACCAGCTGCTATGCTTCCATAGTACTCCGTTGAGGTGACACGGTGACCTGGAGGTGGTGCGGGTCGGGAGAAAGCCGCCTGCCTCCTGTTTTCGGCTTCTTCTTCCTGCTTCCTGCGCTCTGCTTCGAGGCGATACTTCCTTGCCCTCGGAGTCTCACGGCGGCGCACTGGGGTGTTTTGCGCGGGCTGGGGAGCGAACTGCGGAATCTGGTCGCCATCATCTGCGCGTGTCGATTCGGTCCGAGCCTTCTTCTTGATCCGTGGAACTTCCTCGCCGGGCGAAAACTCAATGTAGTCTTCACCGTCGATCTCGATGATCTCGCGTTGACCATAGCCGCCAGACCGTGGATTTGGAATGTATTCTAGGTCGTCGACACGGACCCGGCGCTTCTGTCCGACCTGCTGCTGCTCGAGAATTTCATCGTAGTCGTCCATCGCCTTCTTCTTACGAGCTTTGTTGGCTTGATCAACTGCGGCACGGCTGTCGATATTGCGGCTGCGCTTGTCGGCGTTCTTCTCGCGTGGTTTCACCGGCTGGGTCGTCATGCCTCGTCTTCGAGTCTGAGGCGCCGACTGGGGCACGCTCGCCTTCTTGTTGTGTTGTGGAGTAGGGGTCACTGGCTCTTCAGGACTGTGCTGTTGTGCGCCGGCAGTAGGGCTTGACTCGGCTCCGTCTTCAGTACTGGGCTGAGTTGTGCGACCGATGAACCTAGAAACCTGTTCGGTGAAGAAACCTAATAGGCCTGTGCGCCTAGAAGGAGGTGTTTCTCGGGCTGAAGTGGATATGAGAGCACCCGACATCATATGCTGATGCAGAAACAGATCAGCTAAATCATCGTTTTTACCACAGTCAACAGTTGCAGTGAAGTATAAACATACCTGATCAGCGGTTGAATCCGCGTTTTGACGGGAAGAGTCATCCTGCCCGCGTGAAGTATCACCGCCGGTCATCTCAGCGTCATTCATATTCTCATCCTGCGCATTTTGGCCGCTCTGCTCATATTCGCCTTGGTGCTCTTCGCCTGCCTCGGCTCGGCGCGCACGCTCGGCGGCCTTCTCCATTTCTTCCTCCTCCTTTCGATGGGCTTTTCGCTCCTTTTCCTTTTCGGCCATCTTCGCCTTCTTCAGAGCTTCGATCTTCTTAAGCTGGTCAGCTGGACCGCTAAGATACGCCCATTTCCCTTCTTCGCTTGGAGGGTCAGGCCTTGGCTCTGCGATCCAGTCCCTCATCCTCTTCTGCCGCTCGAGCTCCGCCTTCTTCGCTTTTCTTGCCTGCTCTTTCGCCGCTTGTTCTTCTGGCGTGTCTTCCTCGTCATCCGAGGGGATGCTGTACATCCGAGCGCTGCGATTGAACAGGCCGTTGCGCTGCGAGCTTCGTTGAGGTTGGGTTGCAGAAGGCTGTTCATCATTCACAGACTCAGCGTCTAGCGCAGATGCTCGACGCTTTCTCGAAGGCCGGTGCGCATCTGACCGCTGTCTTGGCGGTTCTGTGGACGGGACTGTGACAGGAGCATCTATCGGCTCGGTGGAAAAACTGCTGAAGAATGGAGTCAGAAAGCCAAACCTTCTAGACGTATCCTGCTGCGGAGTCGTGGTCTCCAGAACGCGTGCCCTCTTCGCTGGACGTTCAGGTGGTTCGGTGGGTCGCTCGTGAGAAGCAATTTCGGGACCAGCGGCATCGGCGACGTCGGGTCCGTGCTTGGCGTTTGTCTTTGAAGGTCTGTTAGTAATGGGTGCTTTCTTTGGCGAGTCGGGTTTGGTGCTCGCAAGAGCTCGATCTATATATTCTATAGTAAGCCTCCCCTCTGTATATAATGTGCGTAATTGTATAAGTTGTTGGTGCACAGCGCTGAGATTCGACGCATTTATGCGTGCATGATCTGCCTTCATTCTGGCGACAAGTGCATCTTTTTCGGCATCCTTCTGGGCAAGAAGGATCATGATGTCATGTTGCAACTCGCCCTTCCTAATTGCCCTTCGGATGGCTTCTTCTTTGAGATGGATGGATGAAGTGCTTGTGACACCGCGCATAGGGTGAGTTTTGATGAAAGCTGAAATCTTACGCTGAGTGTCTCTGCTAACCGCACGGCGAGCTTGGACAGCTTCCGCAACTCCGTCAACTTCGACAACACCGCCAGCTGCGACAACCTCGCCCGCTTCGCGTTCTTCGTTAGTCTCAACGCCTTCATCGGGTTCGATAACTTCATCAGCTTGGACGACTTGATCAGCTTGGATGGCTTGGACCGCGCCGGAACCTTCATCATCTTCCACAACATCATCATCTCTCGTAACGTCATCGGCTTCTACAACTCCGTCGGCTTCGATACCTTCATCGTTGCCCGAAGCATCCGCCTCACTGTCGCTGAGAATTTCAATGACCTGGGACTGCGACGGTTGCGCCTGCGGTGATGTGTCGTGCGAAGCCGCAGGCGGTAACGTTGCGATAAGTTCCGGCTGAACGGCCCCAAGCTGTGGGTACCTGACTGTATCATCTTGGTTTTCCATCTCTTCTTCCTCATCTGTGATTTCCACAATCTCGTATCGTTGTTCGTCTTGGACCGACCCATAATCTTCAGACTGCTCAGAAGACTCCTCGGTGGCGGATCGAGACAGCGACTGGATGTCGTATTGCGCTTCGTCGTGGCCTTCGTCATAAATGTGTTCTTCTTCTCCGCGGAGCTCATCGTGCTCTTCGGAGAGATACTGCGACTCCACTTCGTATTGCGTGATAGTAGATTGTTGAACAACAGTGACTTCCTCGACCACTTCTGTTTCCGGAATCTCTTCGGCGTCCTGAGCCACTTCGATCTCCTCAACCACTTGAACTTGCTCGACCAGCTGTACTTGCTCAATCACCTGAACTTCGTCTTCTTCATTGATTGCCGCCGGGGTCTCGGCATCCGTCATCTCCTCTTTAAATCTTTCTGCGGTAGCCGCCCCAGTTTCCGTGAACCCAGTGTCCAATGGCGGATCCTCAACCTCGGCTGGGTACGAGTAGGTGTCACCTTGCGACGCCTCCGCAAACAGCTGGGCTTGTGCTTGTTCGTCATCGTCTGCGGCCCGGTACGACGCGCTGAACTGAGAGCCGCCGAACGATTGCGACGCGGTTGGGTGAGGTTCGTTGGACGAGGCGCTCTCGGCGGCGAGGGTATGGTCGGTTGCTTGGGAGACGGGCTGTGTGTCGGATCGCTGCGAGGCAGTCTCAGCCTGCCTTGCCTTTCGTCCGCGCTTCTTTGGCGGAATGACACTGTGTTCTGGTAGGGGTGATAGGGGCTGGAGTTTGGCTGTCGACCTAGTGCGACGGGTGGCAGCGTGCGTTGGCTGAGACGAGGCGTTAGATCCTGCCGAAGAGCCGCGTGTGGTGCGTTCAACGTCTGTAGACTGCGAGCGGGACCTTGCGCGCGTCATAGGAGCGTCTTGGCTGGGTGTGGAAGCTGCGTTGCTTGAGCGGGTTGTTCTCGTGGTTCTGGGCGTGGCCGGCGGGTCGGCGCCCTTAGACTTCCTCGACTTTGGCGGCATGGCGTCAGCTTTGCGCAGATGCTTCGAGAATCTGGCTGGCTGCTGTGAACGCGGGCTCAGAGTAAACGGAAGCTGTACTTGGAGAACTGCGAAGTTGAGCGTGCAATGCGCGTGCTGTAGTTCCGCCGCTGAGGTTGGAGGGAGATGGAGGAGCCCAAAGGGCGGCAGAGCTTAAGAGCACGACACAGTTGCTAAGGAAACAACATGACGAGAAGAAAATCTGTGATCAATGTTGTGAATTGGATGACGCTGCGGTGAAGTCGGCGTTATGAGCTTTACTTCCGACATCGTGAATCGTCCGCGAAACCAAACATCGGTGAAGGGTTTTTCCGAACTGACAGCGGGCCGCCAAGCCTCGACCGGTGAAGGTAGAGATATCACCTACGGAGCACAACTAGTGTAAAGAAGATGTTCGTGGGTTATGATGGCAATAATGACAGTGTATTTGGCAACTCATTGAAGTGTTTAATAAGCTTTTCGTAGCGTAGAGTAATGATAGGGGAATCTGCTGGCCGAGAGCGGTCTCAAGATCCCCTATACTTTGTTCGAGTATGATGTACACCAATGACTGTCTATAGATCTTCCCTTCCTCTTCAAATTCGCTCTCCCTTGTGGGCTCCTTTAGTGCTTCGGAGGATGCTTTGGATATTGCGTCACTCTTCTCAATTTCCATCCCGAAACCATCCCGTCTCTTCCGAAGGTTTGCTTTCAAGCGATCGCGTTGGGAGCATCCATGCCCAACCCCAATCGAGGCCACTCTGACGGTGATGCACAGATTTACGCGGATGCTCAAGCATATGTCTTCGCACTGATCTCACTCTGCTTTTCTAGACGCAGAGCGGGAAGCATAGCAATCTGCCAAGATGCTTCCGTCCGAATGACTTACTACCATGACGATAACGAGCTTACGACGGCCACAACGCCTTGCAGACAAATGTGCGAATGTGAACCCTGTAGGTCCTCCAATGCTATCGGGCGTTGAGGATTCTGAGTCGAAGCCTAGTCATAATGATCGAAAAGCACACTGATGCTCTCTCCGTGATGTACTCTCCGGATAGCCTACGCTCGGTCAGCTGATTGAATGTAACAAGATCTCTCATGAGCCACTGACCTCAGCAAAGACGTGCCCAATCTCCAACACCTCGAGCTTTGGGCACTTCCTCTCGTTTTCCGTCTGATCCACGCTGTTCGTGACAACGACTTTGTCCAGCGCACTGGCGTTGATGCGCTCAATTGCATCTCCACTGAGCACACCATGCGTGACCAGCGCATACACCTTCGTCGCGCCCTCCTTCTTCAGCAGTTTAGCGGCTCTAGTGATGGTGTTGGACGTATCTGCAAGGTCATCGATAAGGATGGCCGTGCGGTGCGCGACGTCTCCTACAAGCATCATCGTGGCGTTCTGTCGCTCTGTGATCTGCGTCGGACGACGTTCCTTTCGCATGGATCAGCTATCACCTCAGGAGCATTGCAAAAGAAAAGACAGAACAAACCTTGTGAATAAGAGCAAAGGGCATGCCAAGCGCGTCAGCAATAGCCGTCGCACGTTTCGCGCCGCCCGCATCCGGACTCACGATTACCGCCTCGCGGTAGCCGGGTATGTTGTATTGCACGTACTTCCTGAGCAGATGCCTGCCGTAGAGATTGTCCACTGGTATATCGAAGAAGCCTTGGTATTGCGGATCGTGGAGATCGATGGTTATGACATGATCCGCCCCAGCACAAGTGATCAGATCCGCGACCAGTGTTCCCGGATGCGCAACCCACTGCTTGTAACCCCGTTGCGGTTCGAAGTGCGGCGGATTCGCGACGTGTGTGGCCGAGGCGGGATTGTCCTGGTGTCCATTGACAAGTGAAGTCGACGTCCCCCGTTCGCGGCCTGCAAAGTGCGCCTGCTTTTCGGAGTCGAAGGTGCTGCTTCGGCTGCTCTTGCTGAATCCGTCTACGAGATTGCTGGGTTTGGTAGGGCTGCTGTGAGACGACCCACCGTGCCGCTTTTCGTCGATTTGCAGTTTAGCGAGGTGCTTGTGGATGTCCGCTCCGTTGCTCAGGCCTGCGCTTTGCTGCCCTCCTGGATATGGCGTCTGCGGCCTACTGTCAAACGTGTAGGTGCCGTTGGTATGTACCTGGCCTGGAAGCCTTGCAAGAGGAGCGCCGACTTTGTTATAGGGTATGTCGCTCTGCCGGGAGTATGGGAAGAGCGGGAGGACGACAGTGACGCGCTTGGCGGACGCCGTTTTGCATGCGCTGATCAGGATGAGAACTTCCATGAGCATGTCGTTGACTTTGCCGCCGCCATTCTGGCTGCAGCCGCCTCCGGATTGTATGATGAACACGTCCTTCCCGCGAACGGATTCTTCGATCTCGACTCGAGTCTCGCCGACAGAAAATTTGCTCAAGACTCTCTTCGCTGGTGCAATACCAAGGTGATCGCAGATGGTGTTGGTCAGTCTAGGGTGACTCGACCCTCCAAGGACTACAATGTTCCGGACCATGATGGCAGTATTAAAGAATCCTTGCGCCGGCGGAGTCTAGGGTCTTCTTGAGGTCCGAGATGTAGGTAGTCGTGTGCGACAGTCGAGCCTAAGGGATACCAGAGCTTGCCGTTGGACGAAAACTTTTGCTCTACGTGTGAACTTCGGAATTAGTCTCAATAGACGCGAGAGGTAGAGGAGAGGGCTAGAGGCGGTTGAGGAAGGTCAGAAGCCAGCATGGTGAATTGCGTGCACTCCACACCCGTCTGAGTATAAGCAAACCCAAGGCGGTCCTGTGAAAATTGGCGAAGGCTTGCTTGCAACCTCGGGAGATTTCGTCACCGCCAACGGCTGCGGCTCGTGCTTGGCGCCGCCGACGTCGCCTGTTGTTCCCCGCAGCCATCAAAGAGAATGGCACAGCCGCTCTAGATTGCTCGCGTGCGTAGCAGCAGTGATTCTCCCATCATTCTAGGAACTTAGATCCCTGATTCCGTTTCAGTACAAGTATGTACTTGTCTGGCGCAGACTCCTTATACCCCTGAGAGCAATCTTATCACGTGATAGAGACAGCATATTCAGGATGAATCTACTCAGGGGGCGCCTTGAGGCGGACAATTGTTTCACTGGAGAAGCGGTGGCTCCGAGACGGATGTACGTGACACATCTCAAGCACAAAGGTCGAGCGTGACTAGTAATGCGGCACCGCTGGAGACTAGTCACATCACGGTCATCACGACCCCGATGAGACCGAACATGAGGAGCGGACTTGCATCTCCTCTGTGAGGCTACAGTTGCTACATATGAATCATGCACAGTATTCGATAATTCATTGCCAAGGGTCGCTAACATGTGGGACCAACCACAACACTATCTTTGCCTGCAACATTGATGGCCACCGGATATCCTAAAGGCGTGCGAAAGGAGTGGCCTCCATAGCGATCTTTCTCTGGAGTATAGGCACCATACCGCGAAGGATCCCACCGCTGTCTTCTCTCTTCCTACACAGCACTCGGCCGGAGCCGGTTGACCGCCAAGAATGGCCACAGCTCGGACTCCCATGATGATATAATCCGCGAACTGGGCGCCGTACTTGATGTGGCGCTGTATCTTCATGTCGTAGATGTCACTTACGGTCAGCTGCCTACTGTCGGCATTCTTGACGCCGTCTGGGACCTGGATCCTCAAGCGCAGGCCCTGCTCTTTGCTGATACCGCCTCGTTGGAACTCGAAAGTTCCACGTGGAAGCCGTTGGAGCGAGCCTTGATCTCCATGTCCTGTAGGATCAAGCATGAAAGTGCCGGTGTCGAACTTGTGCATGTACAAGCCGACCGGATCGGCGACGGAGACACATATGCCTTGGCGCGCGAGTTGGTTGATCTCGTACCCAATCTGATGTGGAATCAGTGTTAAAACATGTGACCCGGGTCTAGCTTTTTGCCCAAACTTACTCGAGGATCTGGATTACGGTTAAGATCACCAAACCTCGCCCAGCGGATGAGCTTGTCACTGTCCATGATGGGTTTGTTGGAATATCGCTCTTTACGGAGGACGGTCGCTTGAGCTGCGAGTTTTATTTCGTCGCCTAGCGTGTTGGCGCGGTGGGCTAGATGCGTAATTGTGCCGATGGTGCAAGTGGAGTTGCACGAGTTCCTCGGGTTGTATCTCCACTTGGCTCTGTTGGAGGGATCGTGGGCATCGACACTGAAGAACGCGCTTGGGGGAACTCTGTCGAGGAGAGGGGCGTTGAGTTTGTAGATTTTCTCGATTGCGGTATCTATCTGACGTTCGGCAAGAAACTCTCAATACTAGGAGTGGATCAGCGGCGCGGAGAACTTGGGCGGGCAGCTGCTCATGTTGCATACTTTCGGGCCTTCGCAGGTGAACGTAACTCTGAGGATATTCTGCGCATCTTCCGGGATCAGAGACCACTCCAACTACTCGTCCTGGACGTCACGGGTCATATCTGCGGCCGTCCATCTCTTCTTCTCATCGTGACCGAACGCTTTGGTGATCTAGGTAAAATCAGTCTAAATTGGAGCCTATTCGGGTGGTTACCTACTCTGTTGGGGAACCCTATCCACATAATCTTGATACCGTCCTGTCCAATGTGGTAGGCGGTATCAGTACCGTTGAAGAACTGCTTGAGTGGGATTCGGCCCGGCCGCCTTCCAGACATTTCATCATTGACCCATTCTGAGATCTTGATATTTGACCACGGAGATCTGTTATCTAGGGTCAGGTCCAGTAGATTTCCAGGAGGGGAGAACTGGGATAGTTTTGATGGACGGAGCGTGGCACTTCCGTTGGATCCACTCGCTTCCTTAGACACCATTACTGATGAACGAAGGGAAACTGGAAACCATGATATGAACACTGAAGAGGTAAATGATCGGAAATGAAAGGGAGCGCTCTCAAGCTGTCCTGAGCCAGACTTCAAGCCTAACCAACCACTTGATGTGGGTAAAAGGGTACACCGAATATGGCCGAAGTGTCTTTAGGAAACAGATCGCCATCCGCATGAGTGTGCATGAGCATCAGACAAGCAAACCGATCACGGGAGACCACTCTGGATGCTTGCCTATGAAGGCCAATAGCCGGGGCACATCCGCCTATTTAGGGAGCACGAACGGCCCCCATCGGCGTACTGTGTTGAGAAGCAGAAGTGCGAACGCACTACTGTCTTCACAGTACCCACTACTTGAAATTCAACATTGTGCTCACCAGACACAGGCTTCCGGTCCACGTATCACGTTAGTGGTCAATGGTAGCTGCCGATGCCGCCTGTACAGAGGACTTGAGGGAAAATGCATCCAGCTTTTACGTCAGAGGATGGTCCGTGAAAGTACAGCATATGGACGTGCTCGAACGGTTGGAGCACGGGCTTTGTATGTGGGGTTTCGCCAAAAACAGGTCTAAAACTTGACCGGGAATTAGAGAAATACGAAAGCGCAGAAAGACGGTGGTTGCATCACTATTTACCTCATAGAATTTGATCGGTCGAGCTGACAGACAGAGGTTAACGCTGTCGTGAAGCTGAAGACGTAGTTCGCTACCTTATTTTTCTAAGCCCCCATACCTATCGCCAAGAGGAGTACGTATCCGATAGTCGGATACTTTGGGTACACCTCAGTCCATGCCACTCCAAAGCTCATCCCATCAAGCCTGTAGAAGACAGCGTATCAACACTGAAAGTCGTATGGCGTAGGCAAGAATACTGGCTCATCAGTTGCCGCTATGGTGCCACCAGGACCTTCCCACTTTCTGCTCAGCTGGCCTCGTCAACACTCTAGACCTCCTTCAGGCTCGGTGATGGTGTGCAGCTCGCAGCGAGCACGACATTAGAGACCTACACCTCAAAGAACACAACAAAAGCTAGAAGCCGAGCAGCGATCGTCTCAACAGCGTGTGACCCTCCGCTCCGGGGTCTGGAGGCTCCAGTGATGTCTAGATAGTGAGGACGATCGATCACACTGCATACGTTGGGTACCGCACAAGCTGTTTGCGATGAGATTGGTTCTTGTTTCGTCTCCAACTCCCCTGAACTCCAGCCGAGAGTCCGAACCATCGTTCTTCTGATATTGCAATTCAGTAACACTCATTTGTTCATACTGCTTCAATGATACTCTTAAAGGCCTACCAGTCATCGAAGCCTTCCAGATGCATCAAGTTGAGCTATGGCATCGAGTACTCAACCACGAAAATGCCCACGATGAAGACCGACTCGCAGACGCAGCTTTTCTCGAATTAAACCTCACGGACTTCTTTGGCAGATGGCTTCAGACAGACGACAACGCTAACGTGCTCTCCTTTGATGCTTTGATGATGCACTTCTGCAGTATGGACTGGGCCTTCTTCTAATCCTCATTTCTTTCCTCGTTTCTTACCAACACATTGCTAGGACAACAAAGGCTGAAACAGCATTTTGATTAGATGGTTCCCGGCGTAAGCCGCCGCAGAACACATTCGCCATCTTCTGCGCAGCAGGCGATGGAGACTTCCCTATGACCGACCACAGTAGAACGTGGTTGAGGCAGTCAGTCCGCCTCGCTGTGTTCATCGCATCCAACAACGAAACCCCATTTGCCGACGAGACGCCTGACTCATGGACTTTATGTGTTGTTGGATCAAGCGCGCTGGACAGCCATGATGAGTTTCTACAGGTAGCGAGTTGGGATGGCAGGGTCTTCCGATACTACAGCGTAAGTCCGAACAATACTTCATAGTGTACTCAGTTGTAACACACATCAAGCGCAACGAAGTCCTGAGTGACCAAGCAAAGTCTCCCAATGGCAGAAGCCACAAGGGCTGGATCTATCAAGGCGTCTCGACGGATGCGTTTACGGAGGACAAGTCGTACCTTGGTCCGTTGCATGGCCATGTTAACGGAGCTCTAGTCATGAAGGAGCTCCACAAGTAAATTATATAAACTATCTTGGCCGTATGCTTGCTGACATCCTTCTCTCAGACCTTGGCTGCACTGGTCGATCGACAATCATAGCTTTGTCAGCAACCTCGCTATATCTGACAAGGAACGCTTCATGGACGCTCCTTACCTGACGGACCAGACCACCCGGATGCTCTTCTGCCGTGTCTCGAGTGCAGAAAGTATGGAGCCCATCGTTCAGGACGGAGTGAGCAAGTGGTACAACACGCGCAAACAAGTGGACTTCTTCAACGATTTGCGGCAGCTACGTCCGCAGCCTCTGAATATCAGACGTTGGATGGCACATGTCCTCCTTACTACCACGACTAATGTTGCGGTTATCCAGTGCTATGGCAAGAAGAGGTATGAGCCTGCTGATCACTTCTACGACCAAGAGATGCTTAGCCAGTACTCAGACACCAGCTTCCTTGTGCATCTCTAGCTGTGCTCAATGGTTCCCCACGCTGACCAGTTTGTAGAAGGGTGTCGCCGTTCCGGGCTTTTTGTTTGACATGCGGCATTACACGAGAGTCCGTGACAATCTCGGATTAGCCTTAATACAAGACGTTGACGAAACATCGGCCGGCTATCCGGAGCTCAGACTGCCAGAGGGTACC